GCTGAGAACTTTTTGGCATTGGAAATAGGGACTGAGACTGGAGAGTGGAGATTGGAGACTGGAACCAATAATCTCAGCCTGTTCCCATCAAATTCGCCATGAGATTTGGCCCCCAGGTCTGATTTTTTGTTACCTTGTTTTTGTAGGAATTTTTGTTTTTTGGTTTTGCTTTTGCCGCTGTCAGATTTCTGCTGATGTTGCTGCCGCACACATCTATTGATATTTTGTGAAATTTGTGTATCTTTCTTGGCTTTCTTTGGGCACCTCTGCTTGGGGTTTTTTGCCAGAACAACAAATCGAAGCGTGACGGGGTTTTTATTTTGATACACTGCAGGAAAATCTATGAATCTGAAGCTGGTCAAAATTAAGTTTGAAAACCAGTTTTTATTATTATTAGGGGTTTTCCTTAATAATAATTTTGAAAATACATATATTATTTTATATAAATATATGTATATGTATATAAAGCTGTGTACTACTTGAATTTGATTCAAGATCAGACTCTCTAGATTTTCGCACTGTGCAGTTCCAGTTCCCCGGCCAAGTGTGGACGTGGGAAAGTTCGCCCACGTTTGCTTCGTGTGCGGATCTTGGATCTTGGTTGTTGGATCTTGGTTGTTGGATCTTGGATGTTGGATCTTGGAGCTAGGATCAGGGTCCGAGAGATCCGAAGCTGGCCAGTCTTGCTTGGCTGGATCAGTGAAAGCTCGCAAGTGGCATGTGGCATGTGGCACGACTTTTAAGACTGCCTGCTCTGCATTTGTAATTGCTCGGGTTTGCTGTTGCTGTTGCTGTTGCTTTTTGCTTTTTGCCCGGATATTGCAGGTTAATTGACCAAAACAAAAAGCGATTCATAAAACCATGGAAATAAACCCGATTTGCATGTTTCAGATAGTGGATAGTGGATAGTGAATAGTGGATAGTGAATATTGGACGTTGTACGGCCAAATGTGGTCAAAAGCCAAATATGCGTGCTGGTTTGCCTTTGTTAAATAAATAAATACCTGTATATGTAAGAATTTTGAAACATTACGCCAACGCCGTTGGCAAGACAATAATTTAAGGTCAATTGGGCCTACAAAGCTGGCTCTTAACTATATATAGAAAATAGCTCCAAATAGCCATTCTTCGAGGTACTTTTCTTTGAATATTTGTTTTATATTTTGATGATTTTTGCTACCCGCATTCATAAACATTTATTTGAGACACTTGAAAGAGCCAAACTTGTGGATGGATGGATGGATGAGTCTGTGGGTGTATTTGTTACGTTCGTTGGTTAGAAAGCAAGTTTCCATTCATTCAGCTCAACTTAACCCGTTTAAGTCTCATGAATAGTTATTCCAACATTAACCGTAACAACAGCAACAACAATCGCAAAAAAAAAGATCTCAACAGCAAAATTAAAAATTAAAAATACTTTTTGCCATGCAAGTTATTAATGAGTTATATCTTGTCTTGGTAATTGTTGTTTTTTTCCTTTAGCTTTTTATTATTATGCCTTTCTCGCAGGCAAACAACAAAATAATAATTATAAAAAAATTAAAATTGCAAGCAAAGGGTATCTTAAAGGGGCAGGAAAAATGCAAGGGAAAAGTAATGGAATGCACTAAGAAATAACGAAGTTTATATACCCTGGGATCTATAACTCTTAAAAAGAGTATCATTTCTACATAGTTTTTAATAATGCACATAATACCCTATTCTAGGGTATCAAAAGAGACGAGTGAATGGTGGGAAATTTTTAAAGCCAAACAATTAAACTCACAGCGATAAGAAGGTGAACAAACAACTTGATGCATGTGTAATTAGCCAAGGAAATGTTATAAGAAATATAGTAAATTAATGGACAACGAATTGAACTTTAAGTCAATATTAAAAACATAGCAATTACTTAAGGCTATATTATTAAAGGTCACCTGACAAATGTCACACTATTACTAAGTAAGTAAAAATATAAGTGCATTTCTAAATCTTGATTGAAATTGTGAGAGAATTAACGTAAAAGCAAAACTTTTCATCGGTTAAAGCAGGTCTATATAATTGTGTTCTGCTTCTTTTGAAACCACTTTAAGCCGCTTTAACTGCCAATTAAGAAATCATTTATGTGATCTATTGGCCAGCGTTTGCATACAAAGTGGTAGCTTTTTGTTCGAATACATAATGATTGCAACACGATTCATTCATTCTGAAATGAATCACAGGCGATATAGATATAAATGTACATATTTGCATAAATAACTCGGTGGAAATAATAGTGTTTCTATGTATACAGTAAATAGCTAGCAAAAATCCTTTACGTTCGAAATTACTCACATTCTAGATAAGATAATAAACCACAATTTATCAGTGACTCAAATACTACCTTACACAAGTTGAGCAAATAATAAAAGAACAATAAAATAAATATAACAATAAAAATATATAATATATTTTATAAATGAATTTAGCAACATATATTATATATTTAGAAACTATAATATTCTAAATTGATATTTCAAGGTAAGCTAAGTATATTGATTACTTGTTTTTGATTAAATATAAAACAAATACAATAATTTAAGGTATCTCTAATTTGATACTTCAATATCAATTAAATATAGTTTGATTTTATTTAATCGATTAGCTCTAGGAAAACTAACAAGTTTTCCTTTTTATTTATTTATATTGCATTTTTGTTATGTATATGTATGTATGTTTTTTTTTTTTTTTGGCTAGGAAAAAATGCAGTTTGCTGACCCAGATCCAACTGAGCTCACTTGATAAAACAAGTAAAAAATAAATATAAAAAAAGGAAGAAAAGTATGTAAGACCAACTCCAGGTAGCCTCGTTATCTGCTTCTTTCACCTGAGCTTCACCTACTTGGGAAGGCCGAACGAATGGACAAACGGACGGACAGTATCAAGAGTGATCATAAATCTTTATAACCTGTATGCGTTGTGGATTTTCACCAACTAACTGGCTTTCGGTGGAGCTGGGTTCTGCCCCACCAACATCACCACCACCAGCACCACCACCACCCCCTTCCGTTTCGGGCCATAAAAAGTGAATTTTTAGCCGAAAGCAGCCGACATTTTACCTTTTTCCTGCCTTTTAAATACTTTTTTGTATCTGTTATTTTCTTTTTAAATTGCTTTTTTTGTTTCTTTTGGTATTTATTTATTATTTTTTGTTGAATTTATTTTTCGCGCACTTGGCCTTAATTGCGCATGCGCGCGCACTTTCAATTCCTTTCGGCGCACAATCCGGACAACCCGCAACAAAGAAAATCAAATGGAATACAACAAAAAAAAACAACAAAAAATTAAATAAATAATAATAAAACAAAACAAGTCGTGTGGCAAATTGTAGCGGCTGAAATTAGATCTCAAGCGCGGCGATAATGATGCGGCGGCCACCGAAAGAGATGCTGCCCTGGAGTAATCATCATTTTTAAAAGATTTAAAGGGGGCGAGCAGGGGCAAATCCAAACGAAAATTGCTCTTGAGTCAAAAGCAAAGTGAACTGAATTAAATTAGGAATGCACTGTTATAAAAATATGTGTATTTTAAGTGATTTTAAGTAATTTAAATAAAGATAAATGCTATATTTGTGGGGTTGGAAGTTGGATAGTTTAAAAATCACTTGAAGGGGTTTCAAAATAAATACAATAATTTCTAAATTGTTTTTTGTATTTTCTTTTAATTGAAGCTGTTGTTAATTAATTATTATTTATTATAATTATTTTTCTACATTAAATATTTATATTATATACATTTCCTATGTTAATCTATGATATTTCTCAATAGATTTTCTTCTGCAGAAACCCCTGGAAAAAAAAACCAATCCCCAATTGAGGTCAAGTGCAAGCTTATCCGCTTCTGGAAGCCCGATTTGGATAGGTCAAGTACATATAGTATATGTGGAAAATAGCCGCTATTTTAGTGCACTTTATGGGCTTTACGGCTTTACTCTTTATGGGTTCTACGAGCTGCGAGTGGAAAATGAAGAATAAATAAATAAATAAAGGCACTCGGAGAGTCCGCAGAGAAAAGAGCTCAACAGAGACTCGCATATTTCTAGAGGCTGACCAGAGCATGTTTTGTTTTTTACTTTTTACTTTATTTCTTTATATATATTTTTTTTTGTTGTTCAGATTTTTTTATATTATTTTCTTTGGCTTTTTTGTGTCTTTTCTTCGCTTTTTGCCAGTGGGGCCAACAGGTTCGTTGTTGGGGAAAAAGTCAAACGGGCTCAATAATCGAAGACGGCTCAGAGATGTGTTTTTTTTTTTTTTTTTGAGTCCGTGGCTCTTGGAACTCCATCTTCCAAGTTGGAGTCCGGATAAATGAGGACAACAACAGCGACAACTTTAATGAGGTTATGCCTAGGTGTGCGTGTACCTGCATCTGTTGTGGTGTGAGTGAGTGAGTGCTGGGATAGGCACACCGAAAAAAAATAACAACCAACAAACAAAAACAATAACTATTTATTTATTTATATTATGAGGTTGCCATTTATTTCTCTATAAATAGAGGCTTTCTTGCTAAATTCAAGGTAAAGTTTACCTGTTTATTGTTGGGTTCGCTATTTCTTTTATTTGTTATATATCATTTTTAAGATAGATATTATTATGATTAATTTTAATTTTTAATTTTTTAGGGATATATACCAGGGAGTCTGGTTCTTTTGGCATTGTTTGAAATCATTTATTTTTACTTAACCAAATTTAAATACAAAACACAATGAAACTATCTCAGCTTGACTTCAATATTGTCTGCCTTGGATTAGTTAATTTTAATTTGTCAATAATATATTTAAAATTAATATTTACAACTTGAATACGTTCTATTCCACTCTTATATCTTTTCTCACAATTTCTTCAAGTGTCTGCTTAAATGCAGCGCCAAAAAAATAAAACAAATCAAGGAAATTAAAAAACACAAAATCAGGCAACAAAAACAAATACGAAAAAAAAACGTAAAAACAAAAGAACAAAAAATTAATGGAAATATTTGCTCACCTCTTCCTCTGTCTTATAGAGTGCCTTGTAATTTCTGTTGACTCTTTAGTTGTTCGGCTAGCTTGTTATTATTATTGCATCGTTTGTTGCAAACAAATTTAATTAATTTGCTCAAAAAACCAAATTCAAATGTAAATTTCCACGCAAAAAAAATTAGTAAACAAATATTCACGTATAATTTTCAATCAGCAGACACCACACTCGAAAAAAAAGTAGCAAGCGAACCACGACGACTCGCAAGAAACCGTTGCACGCCTGCGCTTTTCAAAATATATATTCCCCAACTGGAATATGGCTGGAATATGGCCTTTTCATCCGCGCTCGAATTTCTCCTCGACTTTCGCGTTCCAGCGCTCGCAGCGAACTGAGCGGCCAGTCGACGCCGGCAGAGCGCCGAGCAGCGCTGCTCCCCAAAGCCCCCCAAAAGCGCCAAAGCGCGGCCATGATACGACGACGGCAGCGATCCCGACTGCAGCGCCAGCCGCGAACTGTGCTGCGTCGATCAGTGATGGCGGCGTAGCTTTGAGCTTTTATTTATATATTTGTTTTTGGCGTTGAAATATTAAAATTTAAACATACAATAGGTTAATTATTATTAATTAATTTGTTAGTTTTTATTATATATAAATTAATGAAAATATAATATGAATAGTATCTTTAATCAAATGAATACTTATTTTATATATTGTGTACACTTAGATAATAATTAATTTCATAATGTTGTCCTAAAAATAGTGTTAATAATATTTTATACAGAATACTTTTTTCTCCCTGTATTTAGTAGGCAAAAAAAATGATACCTGGGCTACCTGTTGCACACACTCGCACATTTGGATAATGGCCGTCCCGTCCGCAGTCCGCAAATTGACCCATAAAATTGTAACGTTGCTTGGGCCATGATAGATTAGCTGTCCATATATCATTGCAGATACATTATCCGAGTGGCAGTTGGGAGACGGAACGAACGGGTTCCCACTCGGCAGTTGGATCCGCGAGTGCATAAATAACCGCCATCATTCGTGGTGTCGATGTGTGTGTGTGTGTGTGTGTGTGTATGCTCGGATCGGGAACACCCCGATCGTGTCGATCATGTCTCTGATTTGCATGCCCACCAGATACAGATACAGATGCAGATGCAGATACAGATACTTTGTAGCCGGCTAACAGATGCAGATATGTACATGCCTCAGTTATGCATCCGAGGCATGCGATATCCAGTCGGATATCCACAAGGTTATGCATATATTCCTCCTCCGAGTTTTGGATTGGGTGAAGGAGGTGGTTGGGGGCGTCATTAGCATCATTAGTCACGATCGGACGATCGGTCCTAGAATGAGTCGTGGAGGTGGCATTGAAGAAGAGCTCAAGGTTCGCATAAATCGCCAATCATCATGCAGTTCATAATGAGCCGATGATAATGCCAACGCTATAAGATATTATCTAATGGGAATTTCTCATAAAATAAATAAGGATCTTTTATATAGTAAAACAAGAAAGGCAACTATAAGATATAATAGTCTGATTTTCATAAAAGTGTAAACCAAATTCTAGATTATTATATATGGCTACATATTTAAGTTGATGAAAATCTGATCGAAAATGGAAAAGTTAAAATTTTTTTAAAAATTTTCCGATCGTTCCTATGGCAGCTATATATATATATATATATATATATATAGTCCACCGAGTCGCCATGCTCCGACTTCTATACTAGTAAAACTATATAGAAGAATAACTCCATAGTTTCATTCAAATAGCTTGCTCTTAAATATGTTCCAAAACAAATCTCGCACATCTGTGCCTATGATTCCCAACTTGTTTAAACATCCCCGGAACGAAGTGACTTCTGCCGGCCACGTCTCAGATATGTGTTGTGTTACAAAAGTTGCAAGTCATTGTTTACTAGTGTTCAAAGTTAGTAACTGATTATAGATACTTACTGATCATAGTTACTTACTGGTCATAGTTACTTACTGGCCATAGATACTTACTGTTCAGAGTTACTTATGGGTCATAGATACTTACTGATTATAGTTACTTACGGGTCATAGATACTTGCTGTTCAGAGTTACTCACTGGTCATAATTACTTACTGATCATAGTTCGTCCGATTGTTCCTATGGCAGCTATATATATATATATATATATATATATATATATATATATGTATATATGTAGTCCACCGATTCGCCATGCTACGACCTATACACTAGTAAAACTATATAGAAGAATAGCTCCATAGTTTCATTCAAATAGCTTGCTCTTAAATATGTTCCAAAACAAATCTCGCACATCTGTGCCTATGATTCCCAACTTGTTTTAACATCCCCGGAACGAAGTGACTTCTGCCGGCCACGTCTCAGATATGTGTTGTGTTACAAAAGTTGCAAGTCATTGTTTACTAGTGTTCAAAGTTAGTAACTGATCATACATACTTACTGGTCATAGATACTTACTGGTGATAGATACTTACTTTTCAGAGTTACTTATGGTTCATAGATACTTACTGATTATAGTTACTTACGGGTCATAGATACTTGCTGTTCAGAGTTACTCACTGGTCATAATTACTTACTGATCATAGTTCGTCCGATTGTTCATATGGCATCTATATATATATATATATAGTCCACCGATTCGCCATGCTACAACCTATACACTAGTAAAACTATATAGAAGAATAACTCCATAGTTTCATTCAAATAGCTTGCTCTTAATTTAGTTCCAAAACAAATCTCGCACATCTGTGCCTATGATTCCCAACTTGTTTTAACATCCCCGGAACGAAGTGACTTCTGCCGGCCACGTCTCAGATATGTGTTGTGTTACAAAAGTTGCAAGTCATTGTTTACTAGTGTTCAAAGTTAGTAACTGATCATACATACTTACTGGTCATAGATACTTACTGATCATAGTTACTTACTAGTCATAGATACTTACTGTTCAGCGTTACTTATTGTTCATAGATCCTTACTGATTATAGTTACTTACGGGTCATAGATACTTGCTGTTCAGAGTTACTCACTGGTCATAATTACTTACTGATCATAGTTCGTCCGATTGTTCATATGGCATATATATATATATGTATATATAGTCCACCGATTCGCCATGCTCCGACTTATACACTAGTAAAGCTATATAGAAGAATAACTCCATAGTTTCATTCAAATATGTTCCAAAACAAATCTCGCACATCTGTGCCTATGATTCCCAACTTGTTTTAACATCCCCGGAACGAAGTGACTTCTGCCGGCCACGTCTCAGATATGTGTTGTGTTACAAAAGTTGCAAGTCATTGTTTACTAGTGTTCAAAGTTAGTAACTAATCATACATACTTACTGGTCATAGATACTTACTCTCCATAGATACTTACTGGTGATAGATACTTACTGTTCAGAGTTACTTTATGGTCATAGATACTTATTGATTATAGTTACTTACTGGTTATAGATACTTACTGTTCAGAGTTGCTTACTGCTCATATTTAATTAATGCTCAATAGTTATTTATTTCTATAATATAAAATAGAGCTACCTCTTCATCTGCATGTTTCTCTGCATATCCCTAGAGATATCTCTTTCTCTCCCGATCTTACTTTCTCTGCTTCCTTTACTTGGAGAGTATAAATACAGTCAGTGTAGGCGCTCTGACCTCACTCTGTTCGTGGCCTCCCCGCTGTTAATATCTATAGTGATAGTGATTACCCTTCGACCCGAAGAAAACGCCTGACCAATATATTTGGATGACCAGGAAGAAGCTGACTTCGATGATACATGGAAATGCTTAATGGAAGTCACCAAGAATATAATTCTGCTCTGGAATGAAGTACGCAACGACGAAAATGGCCTTCACTGCGGTAAGTCTCAACCATGATACTTATTATTATAATATATGTAGATGCTATAAGAGGAATCAGGACTCTTTATATATTTTCCAAATTTAACATTTAATTTGAAGTTAATAGTCAAATTTAACTAACATTATACACGAATATGGATTTCTTTCCCTTAAGATAGTTTCAGAACTGACTTTGGCCTCAATTTTTGTTAGTTTATTATGCGCTTACAGGGTATTATAATTTTAGTCAAAAGACTGAAAATCAGTTAAGGGGTCATAAATCTATATAAATCATATATATTCTTAATCAGCATCAACAGGCAAATCTTTCTAGGCATGCAGGAAAGAAAGTACATTTTTGTAATTATTTTCGAAATTTTATAAGGGGTTACATCGTAAAATAGGTTTTCTTGAAGGTATAAAAAAGCCAAAAGTCATATATATTTATATGTGCCATAAAAACAGTAATCAATAAAGAATTTAACATTTCGAATGATTATTTAATTGAATTTATCAAGGTTTTCATTGTCAAAATCTTTCCATAATAAGTTTTACCTTTTATAGTTCTACCCCGAAAACCCAAAAACCTAAAACCTAAGCCCCCTATAAAACAGTTTTTCTTTAATTTAAAATTAAATATTTATATCATAAATTTTATGCTTTCTTTTTCACTTCAAAAGTCTTGTAAGTGTAGTCCTCGATAGCCTTTAGATTCTTGATGACAAACTCCTTGATGGCCTCCACGTATTCGGCGGCAGCCATAATGAGCTTCTTGAAGGCCTCAATGACCTTGCCCTCACCCTGGAGGACACCCTTCCAGGATTCCTCGCTCACCTGGCTGATATAACCTCGAAGGCCCATAGTCTTGGCCTGAGCAGCAGTGAACACTTCGAAGGCCTCCTTGGGCACTTTGCCCTTGATCTCAATGTCGCAGGACATGATGCCGGACTCCTTTTTGTCAGGCATTGAGGAAAGTTAATTTGGGAAATAATATTTTAAAATATCATTAAATTTCTATAAGCTCAAATAATGAACTTGGTTGGCAGCAAAGTCCCAGCAACGCTTGTGACCCTGACATTGAACCTTAGTCATGACCAGTAATTGCGGCCAATTATCTTGTACTTTAATCGCTGCAAAAGATCGCACACACAGCCAACAGCAGGTTACATTCCCAAGATACTTACTAACCCCAAAGATACTTTACCATTTACCCAAAATAATAGAGAGAGAAAAAACCAGAGATTTAAAGCAAAAAGATAAATATGAGGAACAAAAACTAAAACAAAAAAAAATACACAAGACAAATTAAAGTTAAAACAAATGTAAATATAAATCACAAGTTGGTTTCAAGTCTTTGGCGGCATTTGTATCTTTCGGATCCAACAGCTTGGCGGTATCTCTAAAAGCGATTTATCTCGACTTTAGTTTTCTTCGGATCTTCCGTTAACACCGGCACCACAGTGCGTCTGTTGTCGTCGTTGGGTTATATATATATTTATATATACATTATTTTTTTCACAGAGTTGTCATGTGGAGAGGATAAAAAATAATTAGAAATTAAATAAATTGCTTAATTATAATAAGGAGATGGTGGGGAAAATACCTAGCCCAGCTGGCAACGGTCACAGAATGCTCTTTCTGCCTCTGATTTTATAAAAATATATATTAATACTAATACCTTATGGTATTATTTTATTTTTAAGAAACCAAACACCAAAGCTTATGGAAATATTTAAGTAATTTAATTGGACTAATACACACATGATCATGTTTTCAAGTTTATGCAAACCCCTTATTTTTGTTTAAATTTCTCTAGAAGTGTTATATTTTTTAAGGACGTTATGTACCCTTGCAGTTCTCAATTGAATTATAAGATCGTATCGAAAATTAATAAAAACTATGTTTTAAATATTCCTTGAATCGTTACTTGTCAATATTTTTATATGAAAACTTTTTGACAAATCAAAACTTGAAAATATCATAACTTGGCCAAAATGGCATTAATTTTAATTCGGAAAGCAGTCCTATGTTAGTTTTTACTAGAATAATAAATCTGCATACTCAATTTAAAATTTGAAAAATGTTAAATTTTATGTCAATTTTTGAACATTTTGACAATGTAACCCCTTATAAAATTTTGAAAAAATTTTTAAAATTTTTTGTTCTGCCAAACATGGCCAGATCGATTCGGCTGTTAATGCTGATCAAGAATATATATGCTTTATAGGGTCAGAAATGACTCCTTCACTACTTTTCAAGCTGCTGACTAAAATTAGATACAAAATTCTAGAAAGAAAATATATGTTACAATATTAAATATTGAGTGGGTTAAAAATGTTTAAAATTGAATTCTGTGTATTAAACCTACCACAATGTTAAGATACAAGAAGAGATAAAATTGAATAAGAGATGAAATAATAATAAAATATATTCCGTGCTCTTAGTACTTTCCAAGTACCAATGAAAAACAAACCCATACTTTAATTAAAGATCATTAAGTTGCATTTAATTTATATGGGGATTAAAAATTCAAATTTCTCTAGAGTTCCAAGTCCCCTAAGCTGAGCTTAATCCCCTTGTTAAGCCCCCCTTTTATTAGCCATGAGAAAGCCGACTCTGGGATGTACTTTTCGAGCGGAAACAATTGTATTGGCTCAAAACCCTTCTGCAAACTGGAGAATGGGAAAGCGGCCATCATCCTCCCCCTCCTCCATCTGCTACGTGGAGTTGACAACCTTTCTGGCCAGGTTTTAGATGTGGAATTTTGCAACAGTTGGCGGCACGTGACGTCAGGTTGAAGTTTCCCAGAAGCTCGCCTCCGCTTTGGCAATTATGAGCAATTTACGGGATGGCAGAGCCATGGGCAATTATGGTGATGTAAGACATGGGCCAAGATGCTTAGCATATAATAACCACAGATACAGATACAGATACAGATACAGATACAGATACAGGTACAGATATAGCCAACAAAGAGATGCATGTAGATGTGTGCGCATATACAGATATATATGTATATATATTTAATGGATTCCTGTAAATATAATAATCTGAGGTTCTTCAGCTCCCTTCGATAGGAATCTTTTGCGGCGTGCATAAATCTGAGATTAGCTTAAGTGCTACACATACAAAACATATACATAGGCACATGTAAAAATATGAATGTTTATAAAAAAAAATTAGGTATATATAAAAGTATATATAAGGCAACAGGAAAGTTACTAGACAATTTTAAGAGAAGATCATAAATCTTTATAAAAACTGTATAGATCTCTCTTACTTATTCAGTTTTAATAAAGACTCCTGTATAGTTAATTTTCCCATTGCCCCATTTACATATATATACCTCTATATATATATATATATTAGATTCTTCTTTTCTCTCTTAATGAGTTATTCGATTTGCCAAAAAAAAATACATATTTAAAGCGCATTTAGCTGACGATGAAGTTCTGGTTTTGAGTAGAATCTTTACGTTCGGCAAATGGAAAGGGTATCCAGTAGGAAGACAGCTCCATTGATGATCATCAAGGAGCCTGCAGCAATGGCATTACGCTTCCTGTCACTCTGCAGGATGGCATCATGCCACTCATCAATCACCAAAGCTCCAGAGGCCACAAAGGCCACGCAGCCAATCAGAGAGATCAAAGCATTTAGACGCTTCTCCACCAACGAGTTGATCACATGGCCTGTGAAGGAATAATAGAATATATAGAACTTTGTATATAAAATATGGATTATGATTTAACTTACCAATCAGCAGAACACCACAGATGATTGTGAAGCCACCAATGGTGCCACAAACGATGAGGGGACGAGAGGATAAGGCTCCCACCACCTCATACATCACAATACAGCAAATGGCAATGGCCTAAAGAAGGGAAATCGGTGGAAAATTTAATTATATTAAATTGTATATTGTATAGAAATATCTGGAATATTTTAAAGAATATTTTGAACGGTAAAGAAATATTAAGGAAACCTTGTAGTTACCTTGTTTCTATAATTCTTTCTAAGTTTCAAAGCAAAAAAATATGAAACGTTTAATGTTCCCCCAAAAGATATCATATTTCTAAAGATAATTTTTCTCAAAATTTATCATTTTTATAGCAAATTGTATAGAAATTTCTGTTATTGAACAAATATATAATTCCCTTAAAAGAAAAACTCTTTCTAAGGATTCCCTTTCCTACAACTGTTATCAAATTACTCCCCACTAAAAACTCGAAGTATTTGCTTTGATAAATTATAAATATTATATATATATTCTCATATTTAATTTTAATTTAACATTTAATTGGGATTATAAATCTTGAAAATCCCCTTATCCAGTACTCAAAACCACAAAGATTTCGCCCACTAATAGAGCCCCATTGGCCAGGCAAAATATGGCCGAAACAAGCAGTTTGGTCCTGTCACTCTCCAACTTGCAGAGGCCCATCCATTGATCCAGCATAATGGTGCCCGTGGCAATGAACATGATAAAGCCATTGATCGAGAATACAATATCGAGAAATTTATCCACAGCCACGCCCATCAGATGACCTGAAAGACAGCAGCCGTCAGAGGCACCAAAGGTGAGCGATGGGGAAATCTCTCCATTACCTGTGCCCAAGGTGACACATATGACCAGATATCCCACAAGTGTCCCATAGACCACCATTGCCTGGCAGATGAAGCTCAGATCCGATATGGTCTCAATCAGTATAATGCTCGCCACGATGAAAGCCTGGGAGAGTTAAGGACTCGGTGCTCAGACAATCAGACAGACAGATATATAATTATGTATATAAATGCACAGACGGACATGACTTGGGAACAAAGACACAAGATACACAGGATATAATCAGACACAAAGCTAGATAAGTAGGTGTGATAGATAGAGAAATTAGAAGCCTCAAAACTATATATATAAAATATCTATTGCCAATTATCGATTATTGTTATTGACCATGAAATGATTGAATCATTCGGATCCGAAGAGATAAACTATATACGAATTAGTTAAGATAAGATATAATTAGATAACTATCTATAATCAGATAAAATTCTATATCTGTAAATAGGAAATCATTTCATTGATACATTTCACATTATTTATAATTATATATACCATGTAAATAATTAAACCGTAAGCTTTAATTTTATCTAATTACTGAAAATAACCGAATAAGCTGAATAATTCCATTAATTCATCCTACCATATGTCTCATTTGTTATCTAACGAAATTAATCCTCCTTTTTTTTGTGGACAGAGGACTCGGCGCCACTAAAAGCTCCATGAAAATCAATCAGATAAATTTCATCGCGTCATGGACTTAATGGGTTTTATATAGTGCCATATGCTTCTATTTCGAGGTATTTATTTATTATTTTGGGAATTATTTTGCTGGCAAGAAAATAACCAAGTTAAATAACCAAATATCTTGACCCTTATACATTTTAACTAAAGCTGTATATGACAGTGAAATATTTTAAATAGTTGTTATGTTATATCCACTTCCCCTAGGTATTTTTATTTAATTTATTTTTAAAGTCTTTAAGCAGCTGAATTAATTCAACTTCCACTCAATTTGCTTATCAAAAATATGAAAATTATTCAAATATAACCCCGTCCGATAAATGACAGCGACCGATATGGCCATTCGCAATGATATATGTATTTATATGGATATGGATGAGGGGGCAAAGCCAATGGGCGACAGTAAGCTGTCGATAAGTGTGACACACCCCGTTCCCGTTGGCAATCAATCAATTAGGACAACGACTTTGTGGCTAATTGACTTGACAGGATGCAGTCCTGGTCAGGGCCAGAGCCAGGCCCACCTAGTATTGACTTTGTAATGCAAGAAGCTTCGGTCATTAGGTCATTAGCGGCCAAAGTAAACAAATGTTCGCTATATCCCATATCCACACTTGTAGCATTTCACCATTTGTTTATTGTCTCTATATATATATAGAGATAGGATCGGTTATATATATATATGTGTATACATTTCCTTTTCGCAGACAATTATGTGTGTCAATAATTACCAAATGTTGTTTGCCATTTGCCATTTATTTATGACCATGCATAATGCGGCTACGTTTATTGTTTAATTGCCAGGAAATTGTGTATCCAAAAATGACATTAACATCCGAATAATCGGGGGAGCCATTAATGGGGGAAATGTGTAGGGATATTTAGGGGGAAAATTGGGAAAATTACGAGAAAATGGCCGATATAAATTAAGGCATTGATTAAGAGTGATTCAATTTATGGCTTATAATTAATCTTAAGCGTTAAATAATTTATTTTATGACCAAAATCTCTAAGGGAACTCCTTTTTGGGAAGTACTAAAAAAATATACAACAGTTTCTATTGATTAGAAGCTATAAAACAAAGTGAAATAGTATATTTCTAATAATTTGAAATGTGCTTCTTAATTGTTGTAATATATAAAACTGTTTTACTTGAATTATCTTGCCTTTTAATATGGCTTCACCCTATGACTAAACATTGTTTACTTTTGATTGTGCTCGTATTATTTACAAATTTATTTTGCCTCAGACACATGGCAACACTCACCACCAACCAGTTAGTTGATTGTGGTCAAAAAGTATTTCCCGGAATGACTTTCCCCGAACTTGAGACCCGGCAGAGTCACGCCCCTCACCAATTGGCAGTATTTTTGCACAAAAAAAACCTTCTTACCAAAGCCAAGATCAATTTTATTTTTCATTTTAATTGATATTTGTTAGCATGGAAAGCGATTCATTATATGACCACCTGACATGAGGAAAATCCATTAAATGGATTTTCATCACAAACAAAGTGGATACACTTGCAGAAATAATTGGTGAACTAATTCATAAACTATCTGTTAATCTACAAAAATGAATTTTCCTGCTATGTAAATTCTTTAATATTTTATTTTTAAACAAAATCTCTGCCACCTCTGTCTGCTTTTGAAAAGCGCAGTTAAAATATTTATTAGGACGTAAAAATATTTATGAGTTTCAGGAATTCTCTTAGACCTCACCACCACCCAAAAGCAAATAGTGGGCAACGTTTTGTGCCTTCTTATCTGCCAATACAAACAACCAGGAGACACAATAATTATATATTTATATATGTATATAAATATATACATTACTTTTTTGTCATTGATATTTGCTCTCAGCAAAAAACAATACCAAAAAAAATGAGAAAATAAACAAATAAAAGACGCCCGAACTGGGCGGGTCTGGACTGTGCTGATTAAGGCCAACTGGTGCTACTGGTTGGCCAGATAATCAAGGAACAGCCAGAGCCCAATTAGCTATTCGATGAGCGCTCCGTGCTCCATCGTTGTTTACTCAATGCAACGCCGCCGACCTTTCGCCGATCGCACATGGCGTATGCGTAATGCGTGCCAGCATTTTTAGCGTTTTCTTGGTTGTTTCTTTTTTTTGTTTTTGTTTTTGTTTTTGTTTTGTTTTGAACCATGATGTCATCAAGTTGGCTACACAGAAAAAAATATTAAATAACATATTCCCATGTATTCGATCCTTAAATTATACATTTTTCATTGAAGTCTCGATATATTAAAAATATTGCTCTGAATATCATATTAAAAATATCACATACATGATATTGTTTCGTTATATTAAACAAAATACCGATTTATAGCTTACAGTTTTTAAATATAAATTTTAATATATAATAAGTTCTGTTATCCCTAGATTCAATATCATATAGAAAATATTGTTGTTCAATACATTAAAATTGTAAATATTGATAATATAAATATATAAAATAAAATAGGCGAAAAATTATATTTAATTTCAGCTTGTTCAATAGAAGATATAGAATAGAAAATATATGTTTATTCTATACTTCATTTATTCTATCAACGAAATATCCCACCTATAAAATAATCTTATATTTTTCTCAGTGCTGAAGCCGCTATTGATGAATTTTCTAGCCTGCTGTGGATTAGTCAGAGCAATGAATGGAGAGACGTGATTCCAATGCCCGGCTCGGATCGGATCGGATATATATATTTATATATATATATATACTTGCCTAGATATTTAGTGCCCGGCAAGTGGGTCGAGTCGCGTAGCTCTGTCATTCATCTGACTGGGCACAGCACCAAGTGATGTAATCATAGACCCAAAGTCGCAATTGAAATGATATAGCCGGGAGTGGAGCTCCAAGATCAGTGAGAGTGAGTAATATGCTCGAAATAGTTATGATTCTTTTGGTTACATTTTTACGAGGCAAATTTGTGAGAAAAGCTAGTCCATAAACTAGGCATAAAAGTGTGGGAAAATCTAGGGCCTTTGTTTAAAAAAATCTAAATATAAAATACAAATAAATAATATATAGGGATTATATGGGGATTTCTTTAACATATATTATAGTATCGTATCTTATTTATCAACCGTCCCGTCTGAGAATTTGATTTGAATAACAATTGAAATCCAGATGAAAAGGGAATAAAAATTAAATGCAAATTGTAAACTAAAAAAATACATAAAACAAAAGTCCAGCTTTATACTTTCAATCTTTTATTTCTAGCCGAGTGGATAATATGTTTTTTGTAGAAGAATGGATGGATATAGTAGGTATATATCGCAACCATTTGACTCATGGTTCTGCTGATAAATCATTACAGATGCAAATAAATTTACGTACATAAAATCAAGTCCATATTAAACTTTAGCAATCAATACAGATAGTACTCATATTTATATACCATATGTATTCCTATATATTTATTTCTTTGTGCTAAAGATAAGCACAACTCGCAGTGTAAACAATTATTCACATCTCGCCAGGGTAAGAATGCAACAAAAAAATATATAAAGGTTAATGGCAGAAGTGATTATATTATATTATCAATAATTTCCAAGTAAAAAAAAAAAAACAAAAAAGAACCCAATCTATAAAGACAATTAATTAGAAAATGTAAAGACAACCTCTTGTGGTCTGTGACAAATTAAGACCGATCGAATTATAATGCCATTTCTTTAACACTCCGGTTTCATACATTTCCAGAATCTCTTCTCATCTGATGTCATATGTGCTAAACCCAAAAATAAGTCACGGATGCCGCCTTAATTAAGTCACAAAAAAGTATATATAATAAATTGAGGCAGACTAACAAAAAATAAACTGCTAAACTCGACAATTTGACAATTGTATTTGTGCAATTGTATCTGTATCTGTTTTTTTGAACCTGATATAAATGGACAATAAAATCAAATTAGGCCGTATGGTATAAGCTATAGATCGGATCGAACGAGATCAAATGCTGCTGTCTGACATCAGCGATTTTTGGGAACCCAAAAAATTCACAAATCGCTGAAGAAGAGATGTCCATGACATCATCAAACCGACATCATCTCAGCATTACGCAGCGATGGAACATAAAACTACGCACCGGCTCAGAAAATACACAAGAAAACTAAGAAACAAATAATAATAATAAAGAGTAACAAAGCAATGAAGTCATGGGATTTGTTGTGGTCCAAAAACCGGTTACTGGATCTTCCAAGGCCAGGGATGAAAGAAATCCCAAAGACGCAACAGGAAATTGATTGTTTGATTGAGAAAAGGGAACGGAACGGGGTGCAAAAAACAACAGAGACGCTCACAAAAAAAAAGAGAATAATAAATAAATAAACAAGAATAAAATGCAGCTGCACTATTAAAAATTATTTATTTTTTGGTACCAAGAATTAGTATAATGTAGGTTTGCCTTGAAAGATATATTTTGATTTGTTAATAAATAATAACAAATATTAAAGAAATTTAAATATAATTTGAAAATGCTAAGCTTATATTTGTGGATATAAATATAATATTTAAACATTATACTTCAATGGGTGATTTTTAACTAATTTTTAAAGACAAGAAAGCTGACATAGGCTTAGATTTTTGATAAACCAGAATTCTTGTTTATTAAATAATATTAATTATTTTGATTAATATATTTTTATTACAAATCCCTTAGTCTTATTTCTTTAAATAATTTCATTTAATATAAGTTTGAATACCTTTTTCTTTTACTTAGACATTTTGTAAAATTTTATTTACTAATTCTTGGTCCCTAAATTTTGCTTTTTTTGTGTGTTTTTAGAAACTATATTATTTAAAAATTAAGTATTTGTGGTTTTTGCTTACCAACTCAATGATTTTAAGCAGCAGACGATTGTTGAACTCCATGGCGCTGAGTTTTGAGATTTCGCTTTCGATGGGAAATATATATATGGTATCAAATCGGATATGGATTTGGATTTGGGTTTGGATTGGAACTCGGTTTCGGTGCGTGCTGATGCCACGGCGTACGCAGGGTAACTGGCTGAAAGTCGATTTAAAAAGCGAAAAGCTCTGGCGGCATCGAACGTCGACGTCGAAGGCGAAGCAGCAGCGAACTGCGAAGCCAGCGGCGACAGAGGCAGCAACAGCGTCGGCATTATCCAGGCAAAAGTTAATTTTTGATGATTAACATCTGCCCGAGGTGAAATAAATATATTTCTTTACAGAAAAGCCTACCAGCATTGACTAAAGCTAGAATAACATCGATGTTATTTGATTTTAAATCGATTTATCTATATTCTGCATAACAACATATATATTTTCTAAGAAATTTCTTTACAAAAGACGTTCTAGTATTAAAAAAAATAGAAAGAAAAATCATGCTTATGCTAGTCTCGCCCAAGACCATAGGCAGGAGGGAGGCGGGCTTAGGAGGTACCTAAAGGATACTAAATAAAATAAAGAAATAGGGAGTTCTCCCTAAGAGCCAGCTATCGAGGCACCCACATACGCCAGAGCTCGCTCTGCCTCAAAGGCCGCAACATACTGAGGCTGGAGTGAGGTCAGGGCTCGTTGCGTGAGCAGGGCAATGTTCTTAGTCTCGCCGTGATCCCGCTCGAAGGCCAGATATTCGACCCAAACGCGTGGCTCTGTCTTGCCAAAATAGGCAGCCATAAACTCATAGCACATGCGCCAGCACTTGAGGCTCGCCTGATCCTGTAAATAAATAACCAAAAGTGAAAATAAAACAATTAACATATACAAAATGTATAAAAAACCTACACGAACGGCCAGACTGCTCTCCAGCTGAACCATTTTGCGGTGCAGGGCCAGAGTCATGGGTGGCTGAATGGCCAGCTTCGAGTATTCCTTGCGTGCTGCCTCCACGGATCGCTCCTGCCACAGGTAGCTGAGATAATCGGAGCGCATTTCCCCAAATTCCACGTACGGTGACTTGCAGGCAAGGGCATAGATCTCGTCCAGCCGCTGGGCACCCAGTGCGTCCTGACGTGTCCGATAATACAGGATGACGCTGCGCCACAGCGGCAAAGCTACTTCGCTTTGCACACTCTTTTGGATCTTATTGAAGAGCTCGTATACCTGTGGCTCACTGTCGTTTTGAATGTGCGTGGCCAGTAGAAGTTCATGCATTTCCACTGACGACTCATCGCGTTTCAATGCCTCTGTGAGTATAGTGACCGCTGTTTCCCTGCCGCCAGGCGCACTGCCAAGCATCTTTCGCAGCACGGCATAGTGCTTAACGCCCATCATTTTGGAGTGATGGCCCGCTTCGAGGGCATCCGCCAGGCTCTGTTGCTTGAGGGCCCGCTCTGTTTTGGTATCACTATTAAGTGCCAACATGGCATCCAAATACCTGCTCCACATCTCCTTCGATTGCACCTCCTCCACCGCCGACTTGTACACGGTGACACACAGCTGTATACGTCTTTTGAGGGAGCGGGCATTTATATGAGGTCGAGATTTCTTGCTGGCCGGCTGATCATCACCATTAGCATCACCATCTGCCGCCGCCGTTTCCTCTTCGTTCTCCGCCAAGTCGCCCAGGTGATAACCACGCAGCTCACGCTGGGCCAGGAAATCCCACAGACCTGGCTCTCGGGGGAACTTCTCCTGCATGTCATTGATTATTATTCGCTGTAGTTTGTGCGTCAGTTCTGCATGATCCTCGCAGCTCTCCAGGAGTTTCACGAAGTAATCGAGGTGTGTTATATTTGTCATACTGTTCCGGTAAACCGCCTCTACGCGCTCCAGCTTAATGTCCTGCTCAGACAGTGTGTTCTCCGCCAGATTGCGTTCGTTGCTGGCCAGTGAGGCCTCTTTGAGCATGATGTCGAAGAAGCACTTGTTGAGGGTCTCGGAATCGGGATGTCGTTGCAAGCCACGCAGCAGTATATCCTTCACTCGATCGAAGTTGAGGCGATTGTATTCGTACAGCCAACATGCTGCATCCACCCAAAAGTCCGGGGCATCGCCATGGTACTAGAAGATATGTAACAACAATCATTGACATCGTTTATATATGTAATTGCTAAATTCTCTCTATACCCACCAGCAGCATCTTTTCGTATATGCCCGCCACCTCAACTGGATTAACCTTTTTGCTGAACTTGATCCAATTGTTCCACAGCCGTCGATCATGTGGGAATTTCGCCAGGACCTCGCGATACAGGCGCATAATGCGAATGGCCAGCGAAGCCTTCAAGCCCGTCAGTTTCACATGCATCTTCTTCTCCTTCTCGGTGATGGTTTGGTGCATGTCCTTCTCGTACAGTATGAACTCCAGATAGTCACTGATGCTCAGGTGACTCTTAGTGATCTTCAGAAATAGGCGTTCCCGCCGGCTAACGATATCCCTGCAAGGAATGGTTCAGTGTTTAGTTAGCTAGGCCACCGGCACCGGCTAAAGGCATGTGGCGCTTGCTCTTACCTGACCTGTTCCGCCGTGAATACGTTGTAGTTCTTCATCTGCTCGTATTCCGGCAGCAGGCGCTCCTGCATCTCAGCTATGAACTCGGCCATGTTTGCTTATATTTAGTTAAACAATATTGTTTATTTCTTTAAAAAACGAGCGCACGTGCAATACAACGGCAATTTCATCGATTGGCAGAATTAGCGATATCGATAGATGACAGCTGACTAGAGAAGGCGATATTTAGACAACAAAAAAGCCGAAGGTACATAAATGAAAACACAGAGTCCGCTATTTAAAAATAAATTAATTCACATTAACTATGCGAAACAATTTAACAGTGATCTTTTTAGCGTGAAGATATTTAACTATTTACTTACAAAACTATATAAATCACAAGAAAAATAGCCAATTCAACCAAAGCTTTGTATACTAGCTACTTTTAGCTATAACCCAGCCAATCTGGCCACCCTTGTTGCCCGGCACCGTTGCAATCGAACTTTCGTGTGGCGCACTCCGCTCTTTTGTATTTTAGATTCGTTTCCGCGGCATTCTGAAGCCCCGGGCCAAACCAGTGAGCACCGAAACCCCAACAGCATGGCCGCTGCAAGTGGAGAACTGTCCAAGAAGTAAGTGCCAAGTCGAAACATCCCCGGAAAGAATCCGGGGGCCAACGCAGCACAGCAGTGTTGTTGTGTGAGGTTAGGGCGAAGCTCTGCGCCAGTGCGGCAATTAACGTTCCAGTTGTGGCAGAGCTGATGAAACATTTTGTGCTTAAAAATATTATATTAAAGAACAGAAAATGCTCGCCCGCTGCGCCCTGAGAACTCTGCTGCAGGCCTGGCGGCCCAGAGCCACGGCGGCCAGTGTCGGACAGAACGTTGCCTTCCACGTGAGCAGCTTGCATTTGGCACCCAGCAAACGGACCAAACTGTGGGTTACTCATCCATCTATGCTGTCGTAACAGATATCCGGGATATAGAAGGAGTCAGGGAAAAGAGATTGAAGACATCCCAAGCCCCCGTCCCCTCTCTGTAATCCTCTGTTATCCAGGACAGTCATCTATAATTTCTTGTTATTTACCTGTACATTTTCCACTCTGTTTCCAGTGAGCTTAAGCGCCGCCTAAAGGCCGAGCAGAAGGCCAAGGAAAAGGCCGAAAAGGAGGCCACTCGGGCAGCTGCAGCTCCAGCCGAAGGTGCACAAAAGAAGAAGAGCAGCGCCGCCGAGGAGGAGGAGATCTCACCGAATGAGTACTTTAAGCTCCGCTCTGCCGCCGTACAGGAGCTGAAGCGTTCTCCCAGCACCCATCCGTATCCACACAAGTTCCATGTGAGCACATCCCTGGAGGATTTCATTACCAAATATGAGACCAAGCTGAAGGACGGCGAAACGCTAGAGGATGTCACACTGAGCGTGGCTGGTCGTGTCCATGCCATTCGTGAGTCGGGAGCCAAGCTCATCTTCTACGATCTGCGCGGTGAGGGTGTAAAGGTCCAGGTGATGGCCAGTGCCAAGTCATACAAGTCCGAGGCTGAGTACGAAACGGACACGGCCAAACTGCGTCGCGGCGACATTATCGGCGTCATTGGTCATCCCGGCAAGACCAAGAAAGGTGAACTGTCAGTGATGCCCACAGAGATCCAACTACTCTCACCTTGCCTGCACATGCTGCCGCATCTGCATTTTGGACTCAAGGACAAGGAGACACGCTACCGCCAGCGTTATCTGGACCTCATTCTCAACAACAAAGTCCGCGAAAACTTCCAGATTCGTGCCAAGGTAGGCTAGCACCAGCAATGAGTGATCTTCAGTGCTAATTAATAAGGCTATCGTCTTGTCTTCCTGTAGATCATCTCGTACGTGCGCCAGTTCCTGGACCGTCTGGGCTTCCTGGAGATCGAAACGCCCATGATGAACATGATCGCGGGCGGTGCCACAGCTAAACCTTTTGTAACGCATCACAACGAACTGAAGATGGATCTGTTCATGCGCATCGCTCCGGAGCTGTACCACAAGATGCTAGTGGTGGGCGGCCTGGATCGTGTCTACGAAATCGGGCGTCAGTTCCGTAACGAAGGCATCGACCTCACCCACAATCCGGAGTTCACAACATGTGAGTTCTACATGGCCTATGCGGACTATGCCGACATCATGGACATCACCGAACAGTTGGTCTCTGGTATGGTTAAGGCCATCCGTGGCTCATACAAGATCACCTACCATCCCGAGGGTCCAGAGGGACCCGAACAGGAGCTGGACTTTACGCCGCCCTTCAAGCGCGTCTCGATGATCAAAACGCTGGAGGAGAAGCTGCAGGTTAAGTTCCCATCGGCGGATACCTTCAACACGGCTGCCACGAATCAATTCCTGTCGCAGCTCTGCGCCAAGCATCAGGTCGAGTGCCCAGCTCCACGCACCACTGCCCGTCTGCTGGATAAGCTCGTGGGAGAATTCATCGAGGAATTCTGCGTGAATCCCACGTTCATTTGCGAGCACCCGCAGATTATGTCGCCGCTGGCCAAGTACCATCGAAGCTCACCAGGTTTAACGGAACGTTTCGAGCTCTTTGTGGCCAAGAAGGAGATCTGCAATGCCTACACCGAGTTAAACGATCCCGTGGTGCAGCGCGAGCGCTTTGAACAGCAGGCCAACGACAAGGCCGCCGGTGATGATGAGGCCCAGTTGGTGGACGAGAACTTCTGCACGGCCTTGGAGTACGGACTGCCGCCCACCGGTGGCTTTGGCATGGGCATCGACCGGTTGGCCATGTTCCTGACCGACTCGAACAATATTAAGGTACATTATCTTTTGATTTTATATTCTGGAAACGTTTTTCAATCAAACTCTGTCTGTCTCTCTTCCAGGAGGTTCTTCTGTTCCCCGCCATGAAGCCAGAGGAGGCCAACCGCACGGCACCTAGTGAGACTCCTGCTTCCAGCCAGCAGTAGAATGTCTCCATCTCTGCATCGTTCACTACTCAACCTTAAACTTAATCCTTGTACTTTGCGCTGGCCCTTCTAACTTATTCATCGCTGAATAAAGCATTATTTTTCCAATAACTATACATGTTTATCTAGCAATTCGTTTTATTAGCAAATTAATTGATAAATTGAACTTAAATCTAGGAAATTTTTATGCTTAACGATAATATGTATGTACATGCTTGGGGGACAGCTACAACGTAAACGTAAACGGAACGTAAACATAAATATTGTATTAGTTTTGTGTTCTTCTTAAATGCCTAACTAGTAACTGGTATATGATTGCTGATTCTCTTACTATTATTTCTAATTGAAATTATTTCAAAACTACCCCGCCTTGAAGGGTAGGTCATGCTACTTTTATGTCCTACATACTACTTTCATCCTACAAATGTATAGTTTTCATTCCGTCTGGAGGATTTGGAAGGGGCTCTTCTAGTGTTAAACGATCTCTTGGCGAATGAGTGCTGTTTGTAAAGTTTTAAATTGGTGTTGGGTCTGCTGGTTTCCGATAGACGCGGCCCTTCTTACGCATGTATTGGTGGATAAAGTCATATGATTTGTGTCTTACAGACTCGGTGCAGGACAGGGCATGTCCAGACTCGTCACAGTAACGCATCTCCTTGGCAGTGATGTGTTGGCTCAACTGGAGGAGGAAAGAGTGACAAGAAGGATAGTGATAAGGATGAACATCGTTTCTGTATTTTTGTTAACATATACATATGTGCGATAAAGTCATAGTCAGTTCGATCTTTTTCCTCCAACTCACCCGCTTTATCAAGAACTTGTAGTCCTCATCGCTGCAAATACGTCCCACTTTGCAGCTTTCCTTGCGATAAGGACGCAGTAGCTCGGCCACAAGGCCGCTGACATCGAAGCGAAACTTCTCCTGGGCCTCACGTAACTTTACGGGCGGCACCGTGCTGTTGAAGAGGTTTCGGTATTCAATTAAAAGATGAAAGAAAAATAACAACGAAGTTCACGTACCCCTTGGTCTTCTTGGTACGATTATCCGAGCGTTGCTTCTTGACCTCCGGCACATGAGGCGGCATCGGTAGCTTGCGCTTGCTGCCTAGCAACGACGATCCACTGGCCAGAGCCGCCAGGGCAGCCTGACTGGTGCTCGGTTCCATGTTCAATGCATCCAATTCGTCGACTTTTGTGGCTTTTGCCACAAGATCACCGACGGGAAGCGGCTCCCCGCCAGCAACAGCAGCCGTTATATCCGCCGCTTCTTCATCGGACGAGTAGAGATAACCCTGTATAGGCAAGGAGTTGCCAGGAGACGCATCTTGGTCTGTCGGGGGCGTAGGAACAACAATTGTTGTGTCATCTGGTTTGCGCCGACGATAGATTTCTTTGCGACGCCGGATCTTCTCCTTATTCTCCTTGTACTTGCGGGACTCCAGCTGGTTGTACAAGCGGTCCTCATCCCGCCTGGGACTGATCACCCGGACGGAGACCAAGCGATTTCGTCGCAGCTCCCGGCGCTCCTTTACCTTGGCCTCAATGTATTGGGCCAGGGATTTGGTACTGAGAGAGCCCACATAGTCTGTGTCCACTTGAATTAGCTCGTTGGCGAGCAGCTCGGGATCGTTCTGAAGCTCATGTAGCGGCTGTTGCGTTGCATCCTCCTCTAACAGAGTCTGGAGGCGCTGCTCAGCGGTCGGTGGTTCCCATTGGGATATGCGCTCACGGAGATGATAGTAGTAGATATCACCATCGGGCGTTATCCGCCAGTTCCAGGATGACGGCAGTGGATCCACACCGGCGGGCAGTTTGTATTCCACAGCTTGAGGAAACGGCGTTCCGTCCTCCGACTCTTCCGGCGAGGCCATTGCTTGCGTCTGCTGCTCCGTACGCTGGGGCGTGGGCACTAGCTTATCCTCACTATTAAACCACTCGCCAGTTTCTGTGTTCTGGTAGAAGGGTAGCTGCTTGGTATCAGTCTTCAGATCGGCGCCAAAGAACTCACAGCGTAGCTCATGCTCCTTCCAATCCTCGCTGCAAACTCGCTTCTCCGCCTCGTCCAGGGCCACCTTAAACGGACACAAAGGTTAGTTGTTTGTGAGGAACCCCTCGATTTCTCTGTACTTACCTTTCGCTCAAACAGGCTACGCCTTAACTCCTTGGACAGCGTTCGTCTTGACTCCGTCGGAGTTCCGCTTATATCGGACCGACGCCGATTATCGTTCCTAACCGTGCTACCGTTGCCGGCTCCGGCGCTACTCTCCGTGGAACCATTACCATTACCCTTCGGTTGTGTGGTGATCGTACAGATGGTATTGTTGCCACTCATGCGAATGGGCTTGCTGATCCGACTGTTGGTTGTGTCCCGACGGAAACGATCCTGCCTGTAGCGGTCGCTGGTGCTCTCACGCTGCTCCCGCTGATCCTCTAGAGCAGTGCTGGCATGCAGGGCATGCTTTTGCTGTCGATCCGCCTCCCGTTCGTGCTCCTTCATCTGTTCGATGCGTTCTCGTTTGGGAATGCGGAAGATCTCAGGCAGAGCTTGCCATTTCTGGAGGAGGGCCACCATGCGCTTGTGAAGGGCAGACTGAGCTTGGTCCATCTCTGCTCCTCCTGAAGGCGGCTGATTCTGCTCCAGGCTACTGCTCCACAGCTGGACACTCTGGTAGACACGACTGTCGTTCAGCATGGTGCGATTGGGTATGGGCAGCGCCTCGAGGGCGTCAAGTAGGGTTTCCCGCAGCTGGTTATCATTGCCATTCTCACTGATCCAGGCATGGAGCAATCTGAGGCCATGATAGTCAAGGAAAAGACGACGGCAGGGCAGCTCTCCGCGTGTGAGCACCACCAGAAGTTGGAGACGGGTCTGCAGTAGCTTGGCTCGCACCATACAGCGCGAGAAGCGGAGCGTGTCCAGTTGGTTCTTCAGCCCGCTGCGACTAAGCAGCGAGAGCTCCTCCAGCACATCGGGATCCTCGAGCATGGCATGGAACTTGCTGACCTTCGGCTTCCGTGAAGCCTTCTCCCCCGATCCTGAGCCACCACCAGCAGCAGCACTGGGCTTCAGCCAGCGTCCGGCCTTGTATTCCCGATCCTTGGGCTTGACCTGCTCCTTGCGTTTCCGTACGGCGGTCGTAGACGACTGCTTAACCTTGACCTTCGACGGAATTTTAGCTTTGGTTATCTTTCGAGACTCCCCAGCATCCTGGTCGGCTGCCTCCGGCTCCAGTTCCAACTCCTCCTCTAGTTCCGCATCGCTGTCGCTGTCCGCATCCAGCTGCTCACCCTCATCGGAGTCCGGCTCACCACCTATCCAGCCACGGCAGTTGGTGGCCTCGCAGTAGCAACGCTGAGCATCCTTGCCGTATCGCTGATACTGATAATCGAACGTTATCTCCTCGCCAGGTTGGATGGGTTTCACGCTGAAGAAACCAATGCGCAGCTCCCCGTTGACAGTCCATTTTTGCGTCTCGGCATTGGGATCGCAACTGTGATTAATGAACCTTGAGATGTTTCCCTTGGAGGTGGCATCTATTATGGCCTCACCGCGCAGAGCCATAAAGTAATAATGTCGCTTTCGGTCCTTCGAGTAGAGATGTTGTCGCCGCTCAAACTCCTCACTATCGATGACTTCGCCAACATATTCCATTATAAATTCACCAGGAGGTATTTGCAACTCTGCTGTAATGCCGCAACCCTTTTTTTCGGTGCGAAAGACTCGACAGGGCCAGCATTTGTGCTGCTGGAAGCGTTTGTTAGTGCAACGATCCCCATTGGTGCACAGTGGGCCGCACTCGATCATCAGCATTCGGTTGATGCACCCAGCGCCGCAGCAAAGGTGTCCCTGTGCCTCTTCGTCACCTGTGAGGAAGCAATCGCACTGCATCTCCGCATTCTCTTGGCTCACCTAGGAAAAGAATAAGGAGGAGAAAGTATTATAAACTAGATTTACTCTCTATTTATTCATTTACCTGTCTGGCACACCGGTAGTAGTTCTCCCTCAAAGCCTGAAACGTGTTGAGTCCTTCGCTGCGCAGGAACTGCTCGTTTATGGCCTCAATGTTGGCCAGCTCGGCCAGTTGCTCATCCATGCTGATTGGAGCTAGGGCCATGCTGGTCACTCCTCTGCCCTGGCTAGCCTTGGGTCCCTGGGGCTTCTGTTTGATGCGATGCGAGCGACGCACACCACCGCCACCGTTGTTGGAGGTCTCCTCGGAGTTGGATTGAGTGGGCGAGGGAGAGAGCGTTGTGTCCGGTGTCTCCATGTTGGCCACCCGCTGCGAAAACTCATCCTCTTCAGTAAGGGGCGTCTGCTCCTGTTGCTTGACCTGCTGCTGCTCCTCCTCCTCCGTTTGTCCCTCTTTCTCTGGCTGAGACTCCTCATCGGCTAGCTTGTAGTCACGCTTGAGAAGATTGACGCCATCCTCAATGAATTTGGCTATATCCTTGAGGGCGTCGGGAGCCTCCAGCTCAGGCGAAGCTTGACCGCTGCTACGCTGCGTCTTGCTGCCCGAAGAGTTGGATTCCGACGACTCTTCGATTTCAAGAAGATGATCCTCCGCAGACTTAACTTTACTCTTCGTACTGGTTTGTCCCTGTGAGGCACTGGAGCTGGAGTCTAGTGAATCTTGGCGGACCTTGGTCGGCTTCCTTCCCCGCTTCTTGCCAGCGGTTTTGTTGATGTCCGGCAAGAGATCCGCCGAGGCCTTGGGATGAAGCGAGAAGCGGCGCTTGACGAGGGGAATCGCTGGACTGGCCCCAGCCTGACGCTCCTCGCATATGGTGTTCCGACGCTCCACTTTGGAGGGTTTGGGGGAGGCGGCCTTATCCTTAATCTTGGCCAAATCAGTCGAGTCTCTCCTCTTCGTGGGATTCCGTTTCGAAGAGGAATCCGAAGATGATAGGGAAGCTGGCGATACCCTTGCCTTTTCACGAACATGAGCTTCTTCGGATATTGTGCTGCGTCTGGAATTCAGGTTGGATTTACTCATTGTTCGCTTGACCTTGCTCATGGGCGTGGAAACACGTATTGGGGCTGTGGTAGAATCGGAGCCAGGCGAGGTTCTCCTTTCCAGCTTGGGTGAGTCCTCGTAGACGGTATTCCTACGGCAACTGTACGTTTTACGTAGCAGCGCCTTCTTTGGTAGACTTGCAGGCGAGGAGGAGAAGGAGAAGGAGGCCGAAGAGGTTAACACCGGGACTGGGGAGTTCACCTTAGGCGGCAGCACTTTCTTGATCTTCTTCTTGGTCTTCTCCTCGAGTCGCATCTGGGCATTTGCCTTATCCATGGCCTTGAACATGGCATCGCACTCGACAAAGTACTTGTCTTTGGATTTATTGGCAGGGGAGCTGTCGCTGGCTGGCTTCTTCGTGCCTATTTCATTCTTAGGAGACTCAGGCTTGGCTGTATCAGTTAAAGAAGTTTCTGTTTGTGAAGAAGAGTTGGGTGACTTACTCGTTTCCTTTTCTTTTCCTGGTGGAGATTGCCGATGTTCTTTCTTCTTGTGTAAACCAACATTTTCTGGCGAGGATTTCTCGCGCTCTCCTGTTTCCCTTTTGGAACCAGCAATGCTCTTTACAGGTTTTGTAGTCTTGGCTGAATTTGCTTCAGATTCCGTTTCCATAGTCCTACCCTTTTTAGTGGTGATCTGTGCCAGTTCCCTGGAGGGTGAGCTCTTCTCCGGCAGCTTTTCCTTCTTTCCTGGCAAACTTTTCTTTGGTTCTCTTCGCTCGAACACTGCTACCGACGGCTTCCTTTCCAGCCCAGACCCAGTTGGCTTCTTGGTCAGGCCTTCCTTCTTGGACTTTTTTATGCTTACATCTGATGCTGGCGACGACGAAGATGGCGACTCTCTGCTGGCTATTTTTATTTCGTCTGGAACTGCTGCTACTGGTACTGGCAGGGAGACCTGCTGCTCGCTGAATGAAGTTTGTTTAGTCTCATCACCCTTTCTGGACTGCTCAGTGGGGGCTTGGGTATCAGATTGTTCATTTGATATCCGATCCGTCGGCTCCACTTCGGAATCAGTTTGTTGTTTACTCTCGACGGTTATTTGCTGAGTCGGATTGGATTCCTCCATTGGCTGTGGCGACTCCTCTGGGGTTTTGGGTGCGGGTGGAGAGGCTTCTTCTTTAGTAACTTCAACTTGGAGCTTAGGCGGAGCTTCTGGTTCGGGCTCCACTTCTGGCTCTACCTCTGTATGGAGCTTTTGCTCTGAGTGTATGATTTCTGGCAGAGATTTGGTTGAGTCTTTAAATATTTCAGTTTGAGGCTGATCCATATCCAAGAGCGGCTTAGACTCGTCTCTAGGTTGCGGATCAGTAGTAGCAGCTTTAGTTTCTACTTCGAATTCAACAATAGCTTTATCATTCGAGTCAGGAACCATTTCCGTCTCCGTCTCCGTCTGATCGGCGCTGGCTGCAACCTTTTCTAACTCCGGCTTGACTTCTGTCTCCTCCTGGGGAAGTTCCTGTTCTTTAGGTTTATCTTCTTTACCCTCAGCTACCTCCTGTACCTCCGGCTCACTCTGGCTATCATCCTCGATGAGATCTATTAGCACATGCTGCTCCTCCTCCTGGCCCTGTGACTCCTCTGATTCCAGTATCTGCTTACTGCTCTCGGCGGCTATCTCGGCAAAGGTCTCCTCAAGCGTTTTGCCCTGACTGCTGCCTCCCCGCGGTGGCATGGATCTCCGGCTGCGCCGCGGAGCTTGAGATAAAGATTCGTTGGATTCTGCTTCCTCTTCAGGCGCCGCTTGCCTTCCTTCCGTCTCCTCTTCGTCTTCATCGTCGGCTGACCAGAGACTGGGTGGCTCACTCAGTACCTCCACCATAATGTCATCGAGATCTTGCTCTGGTGCTGGATTCGAATCCTGCTTGTCGATATCAATTTCGATTTCTTCAACTTCGGCCGGAGGCAGCAGCTCCTGATTTTGATCTTGCTCCTGCAGGTCCTGCCTGTGCTCCTGTTCTTGTTCCTGCTCCTGTTCGTCCTCCTTGCCCGTGTCCGATGTCTCAATTTCGATGAATATGATCTGCGAGTCGGAATCGGAGTTATCCCCGGGCACATGAATTGTGGCTAGCTCCTTTAGTGGCTGCTGCTGTAGCTTTTCCGGCTGCTCATCTAAGGCGTTCTCATCCTGTAACACTAGGGCATCCCCCACTGACGAAGAAGACGACGGCGGAGAGGTGCAGGAGCCCACTACAGTTATATTTAAGGGCGTCTCACCCGAATCCGACGACTCTAGACGCCGTGACAAGTTTAAGCGCTTGACCGAAACGCGTAGCTTGGACTTTCGCTTCATCAAGCCAGCAGGAGCTCCAGTTGCTGTCTCGCCGCCACTGCCGCTGCCTGTGGAGGTGCTTGTGCTTGCGGAATTCGAGTTGGTGTCCGAATCCGAGCAGATGGGAGCGGTAGGAGGAGCAGCAGCAGAGACAACAACTGACAATTCCGGCAGAACACTTTTCCTAGGGCGACCGCGCTTCCGGACAGCCACCACTGGAAGGGCGGCTACCGTCTGGACAGGATTGGCGCTGGGCTCGCTCGTAACCTGGGCCACGATCAGGCTTTGAGTGGGTCTTGGCTTGGCAAAGATCTCCAAAGCGTGAGGCGGCGGCGGTGGAGGCGGCAAGGACTGGTGGCTGCTCTCGAACATGGAGAACAGGCGGTTGCTATTGCTGTTGGCGGCGGATGGTGCCAAGCCAGGTGAAGCCGTGGAGCCGATGATGCTGGGATTGGTATTGGGATTCGAGTCGATGCGCGCCTCAATCTGGATTTTGTGCGCCTTCCTATTCTTACTGAGCAAGTCCCGCACATCGAACTTGATGATTTTTTTGCGGGAGCTACGCCGGCACTCGCTTGGGCTGCCATCCGCATCAGCCTCCAGTGGCGATAGCGGCGTGGGCGATGCAGCCGCTGATGAATTCGCTTTAATAACATGCGCTGTGGACAAGACAGTAGCCCACTTAGGTGGACGACCGCGACCGCGGCCACGTGACGCAACGGCTGGCCGGCTGGAGTAACCCATTGCAGATGCGGGCGACTCCTCCATGGCTGCGTTTCCTGATCGGGAACAACGAAAGAGAACACTGTGATTAGGAAGACAGTCCGTTATCAGCACAGAAATTAATTAAATCAAAACCAACCGATCGGTATATGTGATTATGCACCGGGAATGGCGCGCTTAGGCGACACGATTTCGATTTTTTCTCTTTTCTTTTTCTTTTTTTTCGTTTTCTTTGTAAAATGATCTTCAGTGTGCGGAAAACGAATGAAATAATTTACAGCTAGCTTTTAGGGCGCCAACTTCACCAAAAGTCACATTTTGACACTTACACAGGGCAAAACACAGAATGATCCTGTGATTCTCTGATTCTGTTATTCTCTTTTTCGTTCTGTGTGTTGTTTATACACTTGCATGTAGAGATGGCATAGTGGTGGCCAACCGCGACTATCGATGGGGGCGAAATGGGTCAAGCTATCGGTCGGGTATGTGTGGGTGAGGGGTGGATTTGTATAAATGAACTATTACCTTAAATTAAATTGTATAAAAAATATTTTTAATATTACCCGTATTATGAAGCTTGCTTACTCACAAATAAAACAAAATAAATAAATAATAATAATATAATAAAACAAACTTCGCAAACGCTATTTTACATACATACGTAAAAATCTAATGTAAAAATATCGATAGTTTCAATCCAACGTTTCACTGATATTGGTTTCTCTCGTGTGCGCGTGTGTGTATGTAAACTTTCGTGGAAAGCGGAGAACCAGAAAAATTCAAAAGAAATATTTTAAAAACTTCAATTTTTAATGTCCAGAGTTAACAGCAAAACTATAAAGTTTTCCCACACGATCGATGACAACGATAAAAATTGACGCTACGCACACTAGAACGCAGTACTCCGTTCAAATATGACAGCTGATGGGAAATAGAAAAATCGAAGTGCCGTTAAATGTCAAGGACACGGGAAACCGAATAAAGAGCCACAACAAAAGGGGAAAAGTTACAAAATACCGAAATTAGCAAGAAATTGGGAGGCTCTCAGCAAATATCAAAAGGATTTTAAAAGTAAAGCTCAATAGTATCCGTAAAGATGTCAAATCCGGTGCACGGAAGACCGCCAAATAATACCGGCTCGGCCGGATCCTCCTCCCAGTCCTCTCCCTCCGCAGCGTCGCCGGTTTCGGTGAACATGCAGCAGCCGGCTGGGAACAGCACCTTGTCGGGAAGTGGCACCCTGAAGGATAAGGTGGGGCTGCCACCGGTTTACCTTAACCTTAACGAGGTAAGTGAGCCTGAGGAAGAACCTGTACAAATTGGCAATTCCCTTGGGATTTCTGTCTTGAGCAGCATGCTGGAAAGGATTCGCCGTCACCCCAAGCGTCCTACTCGCCCCTACAGCACTGGGACGATACCCGCACCGCCGACGTCTGGCTATCGTCCCTGCACAGCGTCATCTTTATCATTACCTGCGCCCTGGCAGCTTTTATTCTGTTCCGGAACGTGCTCACCTGGTAATGTCGTCTAGAACTGTGCTCCTCCCTAGACCTAGCTCTATTTCTATCGCTTTCTCTCTTACATGTACCCTAGCAGATGATAACATGATTGCTATCTTTAGTTGAGAAATCTATCTCATTTTATTATCAGTATAAAGATTGCTGTACTGAAAGATACAGTAATTATTCTAACTGAAATCGATATATTTTAATAAGAACTATTGATTTTAAATTTTGAAATCTGAAATCTGTTACTTTTCTGAGGCATTTCTGACATAATTTTTTAAATCCTATCTATTAGTTCAGAGTTCAAAAATATTCCTAGATCTTCAAATAAAAGAAATGATAATTAGTTTTTTAGGAAGATATTATATCTGCAAGGGTATTCCCAGCTTCGGTTTTCGAAGACAGCCTTTCTTTCTTTCCCACTCTTTCTCTTACTCTTACGCTCTCACTCTCTCTCTCTGTGATTTACTCTACGCAAAGCTCAGTTTTGAGCTCTGCTTTTTGTTTATTTTGTGAGCTGGGTTTTATTTTTCTGCTCGATTCGGCGATCAAAAATTGGCCAGTTGCTTTTGCGACGCCCAGCAGCAAAGACAGAACCGTGTGGAAGACACGGCATACAGGGAGAGAGAGTGTGTGAAGAATTGAAGAAATTTCGAGGGGGAAGAATTAGAACGAAGCGCGTAGAAAGTGCCAAAAATGGAGGAGAAATTCATTGAGGTTTCCTATTTGTATGCCAGGCATTTGCAGAGCTTTTGGGGCGCCTCCGGAGATTTCTGGCAGTCGCAATGGGACAAATTCATCGACTCGTTCGGTAAGTACATAAATCTTCCCAAAAGAAGAACAGAAGAATTGCAAAAACAGTATAAAGAATAAAGATAGAAGAAAGATGGATGAACAGGGGCAAAAGGCAGGCTCTAAACTTTTCTCCTCTCTTTGCTGATTATGTGGCTGGTGTAGTGCAAATTGCAATTCTCATAAAGAATCAACAACAAAATGTCAACAGCAACTGTTTTGTTTACTAATTCACGGCACACAAAGCTGCAGATACACAGCCACAGATACAGATACATTTACAGATACAGATACATTTACAGCTACAGATGCAGATACAATCACAGGGCAAAAGTGCTGCCTGCCAATTACGAAAGTGAATCGACGCGGTAACTCATACCACAACTTTCCTAACCAAATATATATTATGAACTCTTCATTTAAGTTCACTTAAATTAAGTCAAAACATTTACATAGCACTTTCTGAACTCTCACTTGTCAGTATTTTCGTTTTTCAATATACTCTGTGCTTTTTATCCAGCCCTTTGGATATATTTTTACATTATTGAGTAAACAAACCAAAGGTTTATCCATAAACTTAAAGTGGTTATATATTATAGATTGATTTTTACTATACTTGAACAAGTTGCACTTTTATGGCTCCATTAAAACCCCAAGTCGTTGCCTAACTTTAAGCTTAACTCTAAGCCAAGATAAAGTCCTAAATTAACTTACACTAACTTAACTAAATTTGTACTTACAACCTAATTTCCCTTCTTGCAGGCGATGAGCCCATGGTGCTATGGGTGTTTGGCACCACCATTTTCACCATGATCGTCTACTGGACAGTGGGCACACTGTACACATTCATGGACCTGACCAATCGACCCGCCTGTCTGCGGAAATACAAAATCCAGCCGGGCACCAATGAGCCGGTGGAAGTTCGTCGGCTCCTAAAGGTATAAATTGATTGATTTAATTGTGAAGAAGTGAACAATCAATTGACCCCCATCCATCTTTATTCCTGTGATAGGTTATCTGGTGCGTGGTTTGCAACCAGATCTTTGTAGGGATACCTTTGGCCTATGCCAGCTATCGTCTGATGGAGATCCGTGGACTCAGCGATATCCGGGATCTGCCCACTTTCCATTGGGTCTGCTTCGAGCTGACCGTATGCATCCTGATGGAGGAGCTGGGCTTTTACTATTCGCACCGTCTGCTCCACCACAAGCACATTTACAAATATATCCACAAGCAGCATCACGAGTGGACGGCCCCTATATCGGTGACGGCCATCTATTGCCATCCCATAGAGCACATCTTTAGCAATCTGTTGCCACCATTCCTGGGCGTCTTTCTGATGGGCAGCCATGTGGCCACCGCTTGGCTATGGTTTGCTCTTGCCATACTCTCCACCCTCAATGCCCATTCCGGCTACCATTTGCCGTTCTTTCCGAGTCCCGAGGCGCATGACTTTCATCATCTAAAGTAAGATCGATTTGATATAGTTTAAAGCTTTTATTTAATCTCGTTTATTGACAGATTCAACAACTGTTTTGGAGTGCTGGGCGTCCTAGATCGTCTGCATGGCACCGATTCTCTGTTTCGGGCCACCAAATCCTATGCTCGACACATCATGATGTTGAGTTTCAAGCCGCCGCGCGATGCTTTCCCAGATTCAACTATGAAGTGAAAAAGCTACTTGACGTAGTTCACTATCTCTCTCTCTACTTCTTATTCTATCTCTCTCTATCTGTGTATACAAAAATTTTAATTGTGATAAAACAGGGCGCGAGGATCCTATTTTGTACACCTCACACACCCACACCCAAACCCATAAACACATGCCTCATGTATTCCTTGTGCGAATCCCACAAAACAAAATGTTAAACAAAATGAATAAAGCATAAATGTAAATTGTAGAGACAAAGGAATTTTAAAAGGAGTTAGTACTAAGATTGTATATCGAAGGATATATCTGAATGTTAACTTTGATATCTGGGTGCAATATACCAATAACAATTTCTCACATATATGGTATATAACGTATCGTTAAAATATTGATTTTTATATTGGGCTTTGGATCAAACATTGATACATTATTGATATTTCTCTGCAATTCATACAAAAACTAAATGGATTTCTTTAACAATCATCACTTTATATACTTTTAATTAAGAGATACATATAATTAACAACTAAGTACTAAATGTATAAGTACTAACATACTACATAAAAAGGAAAAAGGAGTAATTTCACAAATAATTGGATAAATAATAATTATCAAGAGCTACAAAGAAAGGAGATAGATAGGAAGGGTTAGCAGAGTGTTAAAACTAATTGGAATCGAAAAAACAATTATAATTACAAAGTTTATATTAGATATACAATATATTAGAGTAATAAGAGGACAAACAAAAAAAACAGACTGATAATCGGATCTTCGTCTCGGTTGATAACTAAACAAGATTTGTGGACGGACCCAGGGTATGTGGATCCCTTGGCTATTGCTTCACCGCCTGAGCCACACCCTGCTGCCCACTGCCGCTGCCCTTGAGCTTTGTCTCGAACTCATCGAGCACCTCCTTGTAGTGGGGACCCAGCTCTTCGCGCACCGTCTCGTACCAGCGGGCCAACTTGTTGCGATTCTGGAACGTGTTGTACCCAATGGATTCTGGAACACATGGAGAACATATACATGAATATCTATTGAAGGAAAACCCCTTCCAAGATTAAGCACTCACTGGGCTGATCTATTTCGCAAATGGCACTGAGATCCGCATAGGAGATATTGTCACCCATCATGAACTTGCGGGAGTTGAGGAAAAGCTGCTCAAAATCGTTAAGTGTGTGCTCCAGCTGTTTGCTAGCGAGATTCACCTGAAATTAATACAAACAGGATAAGATATATGATTGATAGGTAGCCTTGATTAAACACTTACCGCATTATCCGCAGGTCGTGTCTTCTGCAGGTAAGGCACCAGCCACTTCTGCTGGAAGTACTCTGTGGTGGCCACACCCATATTGGTTTGCTGCCAGGCCAGATACTCATCAATCCGGCTGCGTCCCAGATGGCGACGGGGATACCAGTGCTCCGGCACTAGCTTCTCGCGTGCCAAATGCCGGAAAATGGCCACATTTTCCGACAGCTGATAGCCATGATCTGTGATGGCCGGCAGCTTACGGAATCGGTTTACATTGTCCCGGAATTCGCCAGTCAAGTGCTCACCTGGAAAAGGGAGCAGAAAGGGGCAAAGGGTCAGGTAAATGATTTAAAATAAATATTAATTAAAAAATAAACTAAGACAATAGGTCCTGCAGGATTGGTGAAGCTTACCAATTGCTTCAATGGAAATGCATTCGCATAAAGTCGTTTCTAAATTAATGTTGTGTTTATTCCGCAAAACTCGGTCTGGTAATCAGTTCCGATATTAATAAAATTCTTTAAATATACATTGAATAAGAACAGGTTTCGTTTCTTGGCTGCAATCATCCGATACCTGGTTAGATCGCCTGATCCCATCAAGATATTGCTCTGCTCGGCAACACAGGTGCTGCTGAATCACGACCTGAATTTCGGGAACCAAAATAAAGTAACGATAAGGAGAACAGCGAGCAATGAAAGAATTATTGCCCTCAAAAAAGGGGGGCGTGTCTCTGGGGTGGGCCAAAGTCACTGTCAATGTCAATAGACCGCGATCAAGGTCAGATGGATGTGGAAGTGGGAGTGGCTGGATAGAACGTACAGCACTTGTATGGCCTCCTCCAATCTCTATAAATATAACCCTTTTCTAATGAGTGCACAAGTAAATTGATTTCATGATGACTTCGTGGGCTGCTGGTGTAAATAGAACACACAAATTAACAGCAAATCCCATGGAAACCTAATTGATTACTAAGCAAACTGTGATTCCCGGACATATCAGCTGATTAGATTTAAATAGCAACAGCAACCAGCAGTGGTAGTAGCAATTTTTCAATTTATTTTTTTAATTGCTGTCATTTGGAAAACTGCTGATGATGGACCTATCAGGGAGAAATGGTTCTGAGTAGAGGGCCAGCAACGTGACAGATACGTGATTGACTAATGGAGATCAGAAGATCACCGCCGGAAGCTGATTATTAGATTAAAAATTGTGGGAGAACATCATTCAGGTCAGTTTAATTGCTTATTGTTAATATCAAGAGCCAAATGGGTCTTGAAGTCGTTTCATAGTTAGTTAGGGTTCTGCTATACCTGCTATAATATCAAGATACCTTGACTGGTAGATAGTTTAAGAAAGTGTAAATACTTGATTAAGAAACAAGAAAGTATACTTTTAAAAACCAAACTTTTTATACCCTTGCAGTTGTCAACTGAATAATAGCATCGTATCGGAAAGTGATCATAACCAAGCTTAAAATATCAGCCTTCAAGGAATCAATGTTATCAATGATTTTATATCACCACTTTTTTCGACAAATCAAAATTTAAAAACTTCACAACTAAGCTAAAAATGCACTAATTTCAATTCGGAAAGCTGCCCTATGTTAGTTTTTAACAGGTTAACAAATCTGCATACTTATTTTAAAATGTGAAATTTTTGCCATTTTTTTTAATTTTAACGATGTAACCCCTTATAAAATTTCGAAAAAATTGGTAACATTTTTTTTCTCCCAGACATGGCCAGATCGATTCGGCTGTTGATGCTGATCAAGAATATATATGGTTTATAGGGTCGGAAATGAGCCCATCACTGATTTTGAAGCCTGAGACTAAAATTCTAATACCCTTGCAAGGGTAAAAAAGCACTAATTAATATACCATTTGACCTCTAATAACTTGGCTTACAAGCCGTAGAAAGCTTTAAAAGTTTCTGGAGCCACTCATAGATAATTTTGAAGGGGCCATACCAAATTGGGTTAGGAAATATCAACTTTTATGACGGGGCTAACACAACAATCAAATCGTTTGCTTCCTTCCACTTGATCCCAATTGCAGTTGGCTCGTAAAGTCTTGGCCAGATTAGATTCCTTGCGTCACGTCACGCTCAGACGGCATGAAAGCGACTCAAATGGAGACTGAGAAAACTCTAACGAATAGTTGTAAATGGTTGCCCCCGCATAGGAGTCTTTAACCTCCACAAGGTTGTTGTGTATTCGAATGCAGCGACTCTGTGGTCTCTGATTTCTAAGCACCGATCGCTGCACTCCAATGGGGCAAAGTCCAAGCAGTGGCTTTTTAAAAACCGGGGCCAGTAAACAAATAAAAACGGTGGAATAGAGGACTGGCTTTTCAAATAATAGCAAAAATGGGGAACTGCACTTGGTTAATTAATTAATATGGTTCTTTGTTATGGAGTTGAGAAAACTCTCCTTGGGATTAGCATATATCAGATGCGGATATTAATTTACCAACTGGATTGCACTGCCTGACGTCAACCGAGAAATGCAAACCCGTCACCGGCCAGATATCGCAGGCCAGTAATGGGTCTGGTCTCCATCTGAAATCTGCTGATTACTGCATCCTCTCTTCGCATCAATTCTGCACTTTATGACCACCACCAGAGGCTCCACCAACGGCGGGGGCCAACGATCAACGTTTCCGCCAACCTTGACCAAGTGGAAAAAGAAGAAGACATCGACGACGAGGTGTGAGAGACCCCGTTCCCCTTGCTTTTGAACGATGAAAAAGTGCTAAGCGCACGCGCAGCTTAGCAAATATACAAAATTATAATAATATAGTACTAAAAACATCAACAATAGGTTAAAGTAGCAAACAAATCAGCAGCCAATCTGAATCTAAATTTTGATAAGTGTCCTAGTTTGGCGAGCAGATGATAAAAGCAAACTCAAGATCCATTTGTAGATTTAAGCAGAGTGTAAACACACAGCGATCAAAGTGCAGTCTTTATTAGCTTTTGTTTTATTAATATTCGTACAGTACAGACCAATCAAAACTTTAATTTGCTTTTCATTTCAGTTAGTAAATATTTTATATTGAAATTTTCTATTCTATTCTTCTATGAACATATTTTTTTCTAGCTTTAATTTAATTTCAAGATTGTTGAATTTTAATAGGGAAAGGTAGTATCTTGAATCTTTTCCTATTAAAAATAAATCAACAAATAAGAAGAAATATATATATAAGCTAAAATTTAATGAATTCGCTTAACTTTGTTGCTATTTTCCCAGCTCTTTGTTAAGGGGCTTACCTACCTGTATGCTTGCGATTAAGGTTTGCAGGCAGGTGATAAAAGCCCAAGTCAATGCCACGCCCCAATGGGGTAAGATCAACTGTAAACACGTTCAAAGTGCACCTCGAAAAAATGCCTGAACCTGCTTGCAAGTCATGTTTTTGCACTTGTTTCCCAAAACAAAAATTACAAAAAAAAAATATTAAAAAAAAAATAAAAAAAAAAACATGAAAACCAAAACAAAAAAATCTCACGTTCGCCTCCGATTGCTGATTATTTTTTTCAAAATTGCTTCACACTTGTTTATAATAATTAATATAATTTGTTTTGGGAAGTCATTTTGGGTTAAACAGAGGAAATAGCATTATAACAATATACAAATATATATATTCCAAAATATTTCCTTATCAACTGTCGTCTGCTTTAACAAATTGTTGCTACAATATTTGTTTGTTTTTTGTTATTTTTTGAATTTGTTTGTTGCAACCGCCTCTGCTTTGCTCACTTTCCCCGTTTTGGAAACGTTTTTCAACAACGACCAAGTGGAATTTGTAACGAGCGGAAAATTTTTATATATGTATATATATATATATATATATTTTTTTTTGGAAACTCGATGACGAAAACAAAGGGCCGAAGCATAAATGCATAGAAAATGTGTGACGACCTTTGGAGTCGTGTTGTGCGTGTGCTGTGTGTGTGCCACCGAGCACGTACTCTCACTCACCTTTGAGCATTGAGATGGGTATGGCCTCGAAGGGTATCTTGGAGGCCTCCAGCAGGATATAGAGCGCCCGGCTGGATTGATTCAGGAAATCAAAGTAGAACTTGAGTGGCTGCGACATTTCGGAGGTTATTTCAAATTAAATTTTGTGACTAGTTTTGAATTTGAATTCAAAATTAAAAAAAAAATGTTCAAAAAATCAATCGGAAATTGGTTATTGAGAAGCCGCACTCTCTCTCTATCTCTCTCTACTCCTGGACTCGAGTTGACTTGGGGAACTTTTGCGGCTAGACTGAGCTCGGCGCGCTGCCGCAGCGGCATTTTAAACGCACCAAAGCGCGTCGACGTCGACGGCGCAGCAGCAGCAGTTGTTCATTAAATGCGCCGCAAAAACAAGCCCGGCGTCGTCCAGAGCAGAGCAGAGTGATCACAACAAGATGCGAACGAATACAAAAAAATAAAACAAACTAAAAAAAAAAAGGAAAGATGTATAAAAACAGAGACAAAAAGACCGGCTTCTTGTTAATATGTACATTGCATATGGCCCCCACTTCTGCTGCTCCATCACCCTCTCCCCCTTGCTCGCCACAGCTCCTACGCTCCTATGCTCCTGCTCTCCTGCTCTCCCCCTATTCATCCCCACCCACTCCTCCTCTGCAGCAGCGACATTGTTGCTGGCGCTGAGGCTGATGTTGGAGCTCCTGCTGAGGCTGCTGCTGCTGCTGCTACTTACTCTCTCTCTCGCCGGCGTTGGCACTTTTCGACCCGCAATGCGACACGCAAAAGAGGGTGTGGCCCCCAGAGAGCAACTGCGAGGGATTGATGTGATCGACTCATGATGGTTCTCTCAGGTGCATCGTGATTTAATCAGCCAGACTACCTTTGGTAACTCGGGCCACAGGCATGCTAGAGGCGTGCAAATCGCTGGGATCAGTCACAGCTGATGGGGAAGCTTGTATACTAAATATCTTGGAGGAAAATCGAAAGTATCATATAAATCTTATAAGCTTAACCTATGATAACTAAGGATGTAAGCAAGCTAGGGATATAGAAATTTATAGGCACACTCACATCTCTTAGGGCAGCTCTCATACCAAAAATCAGGAAAAATCCAATAAATGAAAAGTATATCACCACCGGTATCAGACAAAAGTGAGGGTATTTCTTGGTCGCCTTGGTATTCAGTTATTTCTCTGTTTGTTTTGCTTTCAGTATTTTGTTGCCGCTGCGGCTTTTCTTGTTTTTGTTTTGCTGGTTTCCTTTTGCCCCGCTCTTTGAACTGGACTAGTAGAGCTCTGATATTTGGATTCGGTTCGGTATATGGCTGAGGCGTTATCTACTCAGCGATTTCCAATCAGAAAATGCTTAGTGTATTTATAAGTATTTGGAAGATTCCATGTTATCTTGTTTACCGAAATGAAGCCAAGCAATACCCATCCAACGCACCCTCCTCCAATATCGGTCAGAGAATCGCGGAGCTGATAAGGCGAAGGCGGTGGCGGAGGAGGTGGAGGAGGAGGTCTTGTCTTTGCACACCAGTGTGTATCTATGTATCCGCCAGATGCATTCGCTGAGACAAGCGTCGCCGGGTTCGAGTTCGAGTCCGTCCGTTTACAAGGTGGCAAAACGACTTGCACACTCGACCACACTTCACTTTTACCAATGGCAAAATGCACTTAAAGTATGAAAAAAAGAAACAATTAAGTACGAAACTAATAAAGTCAACGATCTGCATCACGGTACAAGTGATACACATGATATACATAGCATTGTCTATAAGATACATTAGGTAAGCTTTATAAACTACCATATAGGAACTATAAATCTATATGGTTAAGATCTGCATACATATATGCATATATACATTTCAAGAAAATGATATTGAAATCAGCCTGTATATTTCTAATATCATAAAATACATATATTAAATTTATTAGATTTTGTTTTTGCTATGTTGACCTAGTTTCATAGTTCGAGTTCAGAAAGAGACTAAACTATAAATAGAACCATACGTATATCCATAGAAATAAGTCAAGAACGAATCAAGTCCTCGATAGTATAGTGGTTAGTATCCCCGCCTGTCACGCGGGAGACCGGGGTTCAATTCCCCGTCGGGGAGAATGCGAAAAGCTTTCTTTTTTTATTTCTAATTTAAATAGTTACTGAAATTTCCAAACAATTAAGTTCAAAAGTCCATTGGATCATTGGATTAAGGAAACCCTTCCTTCTTCCTCCTTGAAAAAAAATAATTTTTTCCGGATATACCTAGATCGACTCGGCTTTTGATGCTGATCAAGAATATATATGGTTTATAGGGTCGGAAATGACTCATCCGTGAGTTAGAAGCTTCTGACTAAAGTTATAATACCATTCCTTGAGTCTATATTTATCAATAATTTTCAATGACAATCTTTTTAACAAATCAAAACTTAAATAATTCATAACTCAGCCAAAACAGCATTAATTTGTATTCGGAAAGCAGTCCAATGTTAGTTTTTACTACAATAATAAATCTGCATACTCAATATAAAATTTAAAAAATTTAAATTTTTATCATTTTTTTTTTTTAATTTTAACGATGTAACCCCTTATAAAATTTTGCAAAAATTTTCAAATTTTTCTTTTCCTCCGGACATGCCTGGATCGATTCGGCTTCTGATGCTGATCAAGAATATATATGGTTTATAGGGTCGGAAATGACTCCTTCGTCTGTTAAAAGCTTCTGACTATAATTTTAATACCCTGGGTATAAGAACTATAAACTAAAGATTATAGAATATATAGCTTATAGATATATCTATATATATTATTATCTTTCCCCTTCCAAGTCGGAAATGTTCGTAACCTACTGCAATAGATGCAATCAGAGTGAGATGGAGGAATGAAACGGAATTTGAGTACCACAGCATCGCCTGACTTGTGGTCGCAGTGGTTTGGATCAGTTTTCTATATAAAAGCGAATCACAGTCTAACCGGTGGCGCAATAAGCAATGGAGCAGCCCAGGGAGAAGGAACAATTGCTGGACGAGGAAGAAGAACACCATAAGAAGAGTACAGGATGTCTGGGGAACCCACAGGAAGGACAACAAGAGAAAAAGGATCAAGAAGGAAAGTTAGAAGAAACGGATCCCAATCGAAATGGAGATGGAGATCTGTTAGGAAATAATAATAAAACGCAGGAGGATGAATGTGTAGACAAGGAAACAGAAAAAACTGATGAGAAGCAAGAAGAGGCTCTGGAAGAAGATCACCGAAAGCCAGAAGAGGAACTTACAATACAGCCTTTATCAGCGGATAAATGTACATCAGAAGATACGCCACCAGTTCCACCAGAGACCCAAAACGGGGAGCTGACCAACAAACCCACAGAAGATATGGATCTGAGAGATATTTTAAAAGAGAACCCAGAAGCAAGTGAGGAAACCTTACATGAGCAGGAGATTCTGGAAGAGAAGGAGAATCAGCAAAAGGACACTAAACTTAGTTTGGATAACGTCTTTACCGAGGAGGATCTGTCCAATGAGCAGGTGACATATTCACAGGAATCCAATGATGAGCAGGAGACTCTGAAAGAGAAGAACAATCAGCAGTCAGCAGAACAAAACAACAACAAACTTGGTCCTAACGGGGAGGAGGATCTGCCCAATGAGCAGGTGACACAGTTCTTAAGGCATTTGATTGCCAAATTGTGGCCAGAACTTGGATCCAATCCTGGCCTTCATTTGGAACGAGCCAGTGCCAAGGGAGACAACTATCTGGGCGTGGTTTGGCGTCTCCAAATTGACGCTGCCATCGCCAATTCCGAGTCAAAGTGCAGCCTGGTGGTCAAGCTTCCGCCACAGAATCGCGTGCGCCGCAAGCAATTCTTTGCACGTCCCTGCTTTCTCCGGGAAACAGCTGCCTACGAAGAGTTCCTGCCCCTGGCCGGGGAACTTCAAGAGAAGTGGCAAATCCCAGCTGAAGATAGATTTCAGCAGCATGCTCGTTGTTATGGCACCCGTCAGGATGAACCCAACGAATGCATCGTGCTGGAGGATTTATCCTGCTCTGGCTTTGAGCTTCACAATCGTTTTGTCGACCTTCCGGAGGATCATGTGCGTCACGTTATCCATTCGTATGCCAAGCTACATGCTCTGTCTTTAGCTGGAAAGCGTCAGTGTCCCGAACGAATGAAGGGACTCCAAGAAATAGTAGACATTTTGAGCAACGACGCGAGGATCATGCTTTAGGTGTGTACTTTGAGAATCTCAAGAGGAGTGCTCTCTCGTCTCTGACTGTGAACGACGAGTCCTATAGGATTCGCCTGGAGAAATACTTCTCGCGGGGTTCGTACTTTGAACTGCTGCTGCCCTTGGTAAGTGGCTCCAATTGTGAACCCTTTGCTGTCATCTGCCATGGAGATTGCTGGAACAACAACATTCTGTACCAAAGAAACGGAGGAGATGGAGAGCTGAAGGATGTGCGCCTCATCGACTAGCAGCTGATGCGTTATGCTTCTCCTATTACCGATTTGGCGTACTTCCTCTTTACTTGCACATCGAGAGACTTCCGGCAGAGGCACCTCAACCAGGTGCTGAAGGATTACTACGAGGAGTTGGGCCAGCACTTGATTAGGTGAGAAGAAGTCCCTTTCCTGTAAGATAATTCATTTATAATTAATATTTCCACAGATTGGGTGAGCAAGTGGAGCAGCTAATGCCCCGCTCTGCCTTTGAGCAACAGGTGGCCACCAAAGCGGCGGTGGGCCTGCTACTCGCCATGATGGTCCTACCCATTGTCACGATGCAGGGCCAGGATGTGCCCGATCTCCAAGCTATCAGTGATCGGATTGAGGCCGGAGCAACCACAGATCTTCAGGGAGCGGGATTCCTGGGCGCGGGTAATGAGGCAACATTTAAGCAGCGCATGCGTGATGTGATCCTCGACTGTGTTGACTTTAACTATATCTGAGGAAGAGCAATGGGTCTTCGGGGTTACAGGTAAGGTTCAGACGGATTCCAGCGCAGTTTCTTGAAGATTTAGCACTTAAATCGTTTGAATGGAAACTGACGCAAGCCAAGATCCAAGATTAATTGAATAAAACATTAAGTGCAATGCGGATTATGCCCTATTATTTTATTTAGATTTGTTTACTTTTTGAGAGCTTTGTTTATCGATGTCGATCGCAATAGTGTGACCAAAAAATGGACACACACCTTTTATTGCGGTCTGCTTGAGAAAAATACTAAACTAGTGACATTTGGCTACTTTTTGGCTAGATCCAGCCATTTCTTTGTACGCTTCCTTATCGTCATGCTCGCTCGCGAGAGGATAAAAGCTCGTTTTCTCCTCGCCCAAAGTTAGAGACGGCAGAAAATGGATGTTTTCCACTATCGATCGATTTTTTTAAGCAATTAAGATCGATAATGTTGATTTTTTATGCCATGTACATATTTTATATATATCGCATTGAAAAATTAATATTATTGTTATAATAAATGTTAGTTAAATAGTACAAAACGAAATGAAATGAATGAAACAAATTCGTGCCTTAATCAAAACATCGATAATTCAAAAAACCGATCTATTGATCGATAGTGTCGATAGTGCCAGCACTATTGTGTGTATACGTTTCGTATGAGGGAGCAACAGGCGAGTAAATAGAGTAAATAGTGGCACAAATTGGGAGTGGGGAGTGCAGCAGGAACTTGTAATCAGCCAGTATCACCATGAGCTGCTTCAGCGCTATGAACGCCCCACTGCTGGGCGAAATGGAGCAGACTATCGGCATGCTGGAGAGGGGCACCATTGTCACCAAGCTGTACGGGAAGCAGCGGCGGCCGGACCGCCGCCACCTGATGCTCATCCGCGAGACGCGCCAGCTGCTGTGGGCAACGGTGGCCGCCCAGACGCCTCGTACGGACTACGAGGGTGCCATCCAGCTGCGCGAGATCAAGGAGATCCGTGTGGGCAAGCACTCCAAGGAGTTTCGCCTCTTCGCCGACGACTGCCAGCGTTTTGAGAGCAGCAAGTGCTTCGTCATTCTGTATGGCAGCCACTTCAAGCTAAAGAGCTTCTCGGTGGTGGCCCTCTCGGAGATCGAGGCGGACAACTGGGTTCGTGGACTACGTTATATGGTCAGGGACACGCTCGGCGCGCCCTATCCGCTACAGATCGATCGGTGGCTGCGACGGGAGTACTACCAAATGGAGAATGTTAACTCGCACTCGACCAAGGCTTCGGAGGCTTCGCCGGCTCAGGTGACCATCAAAGACTTCAAGCTCTTCCTTGCCGGCGTAAGCTGTAAGATGACCACCAGCAAGTTCATGGAGTGCTTCACCGAGGACGTTCGGCGCAAGCATGACCTCAAGTTTGATGATTTCTCGCGGCTCTACCAGAAGCTATTGCTACCCACCAGCTTTCCCAGCGTTATGTGCAACACTGTAGGAGGAGGAGCACTTGCAGGAGCTGCAACTTCATTTCCTTACTCCGAGGATCAGCAGACGGTGAGGCCAGCGGAATTGAAGCGTTTTTTGGAGACGGAACAGCGTGACATTAGTGCCAGCGAGCTTAGTTCCACCGCCATAGCCACCTTCATACGGGATTTCGTGCAGGATGTGGAACGGGATGTGCAAGAACCATATCTGTCGATCTCCGAGTTCATGGACTTTCTATTTTCCAAGCAGAACGACCTGTGGAACAGCAAATACGACTCGGTGTTCATGGATATGAACCAACCGCTCTCCTCATACTGGATTGCCTCTTCGCACAACACCTACCTGACCGGGGATCAGTTCTCCAGCGAGTCCTCCTGCGAGGCTTATGCTCGAGCCCTGCGCATGGGCTGTCGCTGCATCGAGCTGGACTGCTGGAATGGACCGGATAATCTTCCTTACATCTTTCACGGCCACACAATGACCTCAAAGATTAAGTTCATGGATGTGATCAAGACGATTAAGGATCATGCGTTCATCACCTCCGAATATCCGGTGATCTTGTCAATCGAACAGAATTGCTCATTGGAGCAGCAGCGTAACATGGCACAGGCCTTGATCGAGGTGAGTTCTGAGTTCCTGAATCCAATCCAATCGTTAATTAACTCTGGTACCCTCTTTTAGGTCTTTGGGGACATGCTGCTCACACAGCCCTGCGATCGCAATGAGCAGCACTTGCCCTCGCCCTACCAGCTGCGTCGCAAGATCATTCTCAAGCACAAGAAGTTGCCACAGTTTGACGAAATAGGCAATGGTGGCTCCCTGACCCATAGATCCTCATTGGGTGGCGCCGGAGGAGGAGGCGCAGGCGGTGGTCCCGGTGAAGCCGATGGCGAGAACATGCGTAAAGTGGTCAAAGATGGCCTGCTGTACTTCAAGGATCCGGTGGATAAGTCATGGAATCTTTATCAATTTGTACTGACCCAGCAGGAGCTGATATACTCCTCGGAGATCAACGAATCGCGCAATGGAAACTCAGAGGATGATGACTTTGGCCTGTCGTCGTCCTGCTCGCTGAACAACAACATGCAGCAAAAGCAAAAGGACACCTCGGCTAACGATGAGCTGCACTTTGGCGAGAATTGGTTTCATGGCAAACTGGAAGGTGCGTGCGTTTGAGCGGTAATTAAACTTGACTTGGTTACTGATCACTATTTGAGGCTTATCCCAGTCAAAGTGGAAATATTAACTCCTTGTAATCTCCTTCAAGGTGGCCGTAAAGAGGCAGATGATCTGCTAAAGAAATACAACCATCTTGGCGACGGCACATTCCTAGTTCGCGAATCAGCCACCTTTGTGGGTGACTACAGTCTGTCATTTTGGCGGCGCAATCGACCCAACCACTGTCGCATCAAGCTGAAGCATGAGAATGGTTCCATCAAGTATTATTTGGTGGAGAATTTCGTCTTCGATTCGCTGTACTCACTGATCGTCTATTATCGGAATAATATGCTCCGTAGCTCGGAATTTTCCATTATACTGAAGGAACCAGTGCCGCAGCCAAAGAAGCACGAGGATCAGGAGTGGTTCCATCCAAACACTACCAAGGAACAGGCCGAGCAGGGTCTGTTCAAGCTGGATATCGGTTCGTTTCTCGTCCGACCCTCGGTGCAGAGCGTAAATGCGTTCGTCATCTCGTTCACCATCAACCGGAAGATCAAGCACTGCCGGATCATGCAGGAGGGGCGCCTGTATGGCATCGACACAATGAACTTCGAGTCCCTCGTCTCCCTCATACACTATTATACACGAAATCCGCTGTACCGCAATGTCAAGCTCTGTCATCCGGTGTCCCAGGAGCTGTTGCGTCAAGCCCTGGCCGAAGTCAACGATCAGGGCGATCACAGGAGTCATGACGGCGGCAACGGGGCTGCCTCTAACTATATGGGTTCCAATCTGGAGGAGTATGTCACCTGCAAGGCCCTGTATAGCTACAAGGCGAATAAGCCGGACGAGCTGTCGTTCCCTAAGCATGCCATCATTACGAATGTGCAGAGGGACAATTCGATGTGGTGGATCGGAGACTATGGCGGCATGATCAAGAAGCATCTGCCGGCCAACTATGTCAAGGTATATATATCTGTATATTTTAGTTACACATTATAATATGATCTTCGCCAGGTTATTGACTCTGCCACGGAAGACTACAACTCGATCAACGAGGATGGCACCGATGGACGCACCGAATCTATTGAAATATTCGGTGCTGTCGCCTCACTCTTCGAGTCCAACGAGCCCGGCATCATCTTCAAGCTTCAAATCCAAACGCCAACCATGCAGAATCCGTTTGTGATTGGTTTTGATAACCAGGAGACGGCCTACGAGTGGATAAAGGCCATCCAGGATGCGGCACTGTTCGCCAGCCAGCTGGCAACGGAACGACGCAAAAAGGAGCGCACAGCCCGAGTGGCCAAGGAGATGTCCGACTTAATTATCTATTTTCGTAGTGTACCGTTTCGGGAGCACTCGTGGATATTCCAGGAGATGTCTAGCTTTCCGGAAACGAAGGCGGAAAAGCAATTCTTCCAGCAGAACACACAGCTCTTCCTCTCGTACCATCGCAACCAGATCAGCCGTGTGTACCCTAAGGGCCAGAGACTGGACTCCTCCAACTTTAATCCAATGCCGTTCTGGAATATCGGTTCGCAGATGATAGCGCTCAACTATCAGACGGGCGACAGAGCCATGCAGCTGAACCAGGCCAAGTTCAGGAACAACGGACAGTGCGGCTATATCCTAAAGCCGGCATTTATGAAGACTGATAGCTTTAATCCGAACGATCCACTGTCCGATGGCCTCAGCGAGGTGAAGGTCAGCATTCGTCTGATTGCCGCCCGGCATCTGTTTCGGGGCGGCAAGTCAAACAATCCGCAGATTGTTGTGGAAATTGTTGGCGCCAGCTTCGACACGGGCATCAAGTATCGCACAAAGGTCAACGAGAATGGCTTCAATCCGGTGTGGAACGAGATGTGCGAGTTCACCGTTCGCAATCCACAATTCGCCATCCTTCGGTTTGAGGTCCAGGACGAGGATATGTTCGCTGAAACGCACTTTATTGCCCAGGCGTGCTATCCACTGACCTGTGTCCGACCGGGTTACCGCAGCGTTATTCTGCGCAACAAGTTCAGTGAGGAATTGGAGCTGTCGTCCCTGCTGGTCAACGTGAAGATTGCGAGTGTCCCATCCCCATAGGGTTTTCCAAGCATGTTGTTTTCCTTGTTGTTCTATGTGTGTGAGTGTATATTGTAACATTTCCTTTCAAGAGGAGAAAGTGCGTACATCATATGTATTTTTACTATGTATGTTACTACGTTGAGACGTTAGTGCATTTACGAAAACGCAAACGCTGTACAAATTCAATGTACATCAAATCCTCAATGTATGTAGTATGCATGTACATATCGTTTTTATAAACTCCATACATACATATGTTCCACTAGCACCTTTTCATTAAAAAAAAAAACTGAGCTTCCCATTTACAGTGGCTCCAATGCTTATTTGGACACATATCCTATTAACATACATGTTCTCTAAAACTATTTTCAAATTAAACAGTTCTTTTCGTTCTTATTAAAATGTGAATTGTATTTTAAATTAGGCTCATAGGAATCTATTTTTTAGAATGTTTTTAATGTATACCTTGAATAAAAGCAGACAAAAAATTAAAAACAACTTAAATTTTAAAATAGTTCCAAAACTCTGCATCTGATAAAGCGATAATGCCACCTTATATTCTTATTTGAAATGTGTTGTTTGAAGTATTAACTACAAAGCCCTTATTACTAATGGAATGGTTGTGTTGCAATATCCGGAAATGTAAAATATGCTACTATATAATAATGAATTCCCAGTAAAATAAGTATAATGATAAAATATTGGAAAGATTGTAGCAAAAAAGATAAACAGATGTGCCTTTGGTTGTTTTAAAGAAACGCTACTCGCATTCCATTTCCATGTTATTTTCCATATCATTTTCATGCATTTAAAAATAAAGGAGCTCCAATAGTCTACATATATATATATATTGGTCCTTTCCTTGCTTCTTTGATTCTTTTAGTATATCTAACAGATTGTGTCAATCGTTGTTCTTAAAAATGCATATCTTTTACACATTATTTATACTTACATATACATATATATACATGTTTGTTTAATGCCAAATAAAGATTTAACGGCGTTAGCTGTCGATATATATATATATATATAGTTGTTTTTTAATCAATCGGGATTTTTGCTCGGTCTGTTAGTAACTTTATAAGAATGATTTCGAGCAACTCTTGGAGTAACGCAAGTAAACAAAAAATCATATTCAATTTGAGTTGCTTTAATACTTATCATAAAGTATATAGATCTTGCAAAAGTTGTTTATAAACTCCAATCGTTTCGATCGTAACCAAGGATGACCGAAAATGTCCATCTCTTTCTAATCCATACCCTCTGTCTCTTTCTTTTTAAGATCTCATGCATTGTTACTTTTATTATGTGATACTTTTATTGGACAATCGGTGAATGTAAGAAATATGATTTTGAAGCTTTTTTTAAATCTGTTTTTATCTAGAACTCGCGTCTGTGGTACTTGTCGGGATCAAAGTATGAAGTAACCACGACACGATCACTAAACTTTCGTCCAGTAAGTGCCTGCTGGGCCTTTTGACAGTCAAGAACCGAGTTAAATTCGACAAAGACCTTGCCGCACCCGGGAACCTCCACGCCTTCGATGGGACGTGGTATTTCCACGCTTCGCACCACACCGTACTTCGTGCACTCCTCCTTGATGTCCTCCAATATGTCCTCGTACTCCTCCTCGTCACGCAGCTCATCCGGCGTGACCATGTTGAGCAAGCAGAGTACCTCGGTCGGTGGTCCGGATGTTACCACATTCGACAGGCCTGGCACTTGCAGCATCACGGACTGAGTGGTATTGGCTGCATTCTGAGCATTCTTGGCGCCCACGCTAGCCCGTTGAACGATCAGTTTCTTGTCGCCCAGCTGCATGCCATTTAAGCCAGAGATTGACTGAAAAAATTAAAGGGAATAGATATAGTTGTATGTAATATACTAAAGTACATAGCTAATTATAATATTAAATGGTTCTTCCTTGTTTTACCTGATCAGTAATGCTCAGATCCACATATTCACAAAAGGCATAGCCTTTGCTCAAACCAGTTGCCGCATCTTTAACAAGATTAAATGCCCTTAGCTTGCCAAAGGACAACAGCAATTCCTTAACCTTAACAGGGAAATGTATATATTAATATAGCTCTAAAACATAGTCATTACAATCCATTACGCACCTGGTCATCGTTGAGATAGTTGGGCAAACCTCCTATGAAAATTTTGTGGGGAGAGTCTGGAACCACAGTCGAGATAACTCCGCTGGACACTGCAAGGATCGCGTTGCGTTAAATTTGGCAAATCTTTGATAGGGAGAGACTACACTTACCAACAGCTGGCTTAATGGCCGGCGTATCCGTAATGCCAGGCATAGGCTGGTAGTCATGCGGGCGGCGAATCTTCAAGCTCTGCCCCTTCAAATTGATGCCATCGAATGCCATTGCTTGGGTCGTCTCATCTATGGACCTAAACTCCAGGAAGGCAAAGTTTTTGTCCAAATTGATTTGACAGGCCAACACTGGACTGCCTGCCGCCTGTGCCAGGCCAACTAAATGCATTTGTTGATTGAAGAACTCCATCATCTCCTCCTCGGTAACGCCAAACGGAATGTTGCCGACGTAGAGGCGACGGGCCTGTCGAGTGATCGTTGACCCGACCACCGGCACCGCCGTCTGGGGCGTATCTGGCACAACGCTGGCGGGGATCTGGCCGGACGCCTGCATTGCTTTGTACTGCATGGGGGTGATGTGTTCAAATCCCGGTGGAGGCACATCCCAGTATAGCGATGGCTTGCGCCTCGAGTTGCGATGGTGACGTCGGTCCCTGGAGCGGTCGCGATGGCGATCCCGAGAGCGAGAACGATGGCGGCGTCTCTCCCGATCCCGTTCGCGGTCTAAAAGAGCAAAAAATGATGAAAGGAAAATGTATATATGTATGTATATAAATTTCGTTTTAACCCCATTTGTGTTCACTAAATGAACAAATTCAAGTGGTAAGAAATCTTAATGCTCACTAGCAATCTTATGCATACACCTTATGGTTTAAAACCAATTAAATGCATTTAAATATAAGCGGAATTGATAAAACTAAACGCAAAGCCAGCTAGGTTTTGTAGTACATGTATGTATGTATTTACATACATATGCATGTGTTTGTGTATGTATGCCGCCAGAAGGCGAAATTGAACCGGTCAAAATCGAAATGCGAAAACTAAAGTTCATTTGAAACAGTTGAACTATATAATGCATAAATAATTGGTAACATAAAACACATATTTAATCAACAACTCCGCAGTGGCGCAGAAAACATTTTGCACATTTACCCATATTTTTTAACTAGTTTTATATTTGGGTACATATACACATTCATACATATGCATATGCTATGCACACACTAGTGCATCTATAAACTTCAATTTGACGCGTTCAATTCCATTAAACGGATGATTTTCTTGGGCCTTACCATCGTATCCCATTGTCAAATTTGAGTGAACAAAAAAATACTCCTTTAAACGAAAACAATTTTAACTATATGTAAAATGCCGATAAAAAATGTATCCCTCTATTGCGTATAGTAATACAAATATCTGGAAACGACATAAAACAGAACACGTGAAAACTGGAAACAACGGAATGGAACGAACCAAGTACAATCGCTTGAGTTCACAGCTGCATTTTGATAAAATATCGGCTCACGATTAATCAGCATGCTTCGCAATATTGGGGTGGCAAAAATTAAAAATATATTTTCGTTCTTTAACAACTTTAAATCAGTCTAATTAAAATATAGACACAACACAATTAAGAGCTAGAAACTTTTCACTAGATTATATACCAAAGCCTAAAGTTGTGTATTCTGTCTTTCTTCCCCATTCCAGCTTATCTCTCCAAAGCCGACCGCGACGTCGCAGCAAGTTGTGCACCACCTTCTTAGTATTACACCATGGAACGCATTGCACAGATTGTTTTGTTTTGTTATGGAGACACATCGCCGCCGCCATTGCTATTATGAGCATTAAAATATATTTACCGTTTAATTACTTTTACCTTAAGAAACCTATCAATTTATATGGCCAAGTAATAATAACAGAGGACAATGTCGTAGTATATCACATTGTGGAATCTACAGATTTGCAGTTAAGTGGCAGAGCCACGGATCACCTGTCCAGCAATTTGCGATTCCTGGGTTCCATCTTGAACGACGACTTCAATGCGGATCAAAATCAATATTTACAGCTCGATATGCGGCTCTGCTTTACGTACGTTAGCAGTCAGCCCAATATATCGTTAGTCTATATAGGCATTGCTCCAGATTATTTAAAACACATCAAAATAATCCTCTACGAACAACAAACCATACGAAATTGGTTCGTCGACTGCGGAGGCGGCGGAGAAGAGTCATCCAATAAATTAGATGTAGAATATAATGACTGCAAGGATTGTGATTTCCTCGAGCTATTTAAACTAGCCCAGCGACCAGCAGCTGGAGTTCAAAACCCAAAGAACAGTACCAAAAGAAGTGCTCTACGTGCATTAACCGTTATGGTAGCCAACTCTCCAATTGCGATCTTTAGATATATTGCTGAAAACGTGTTTGTCAACAGCATAATAGTGCATACAACTATATATAAGCACTTTAAAGAATGGCAGTCAACTTGTGATAAAAGGTAATTGTAAAGTTCCGACTTCTCATGGCTTCATATATTGCCCATAGCTTATATGGCTTTAAGTACCGGGTATTTAGAATGTAGCTTCTTTACTTGTTTATTAATGCTTTATCTTTATTTGTATGTATAGATCTCGTCCTATAAACATTACCTTGGATAGAATACTGGGTCTGATTTCGATGATAATACTTTTTTCGCTAGCAACACAGCCAGGAGATTTTCTCATACAAACATCTCACGTAAGTAGGACCTATCTTCAACGTATCATAATGTAATATAAATATATAATTGTTTTCATTTAAGGTCGTTATTGATCAATTGTACAGCCTGCTAAAGGTATTGGAGGGCAGCCCCATTGGCCTAAAGCTGAATATACACTTGAATAACTTCTTCCTTGACTGCTTTAAGTATCACATTGAGTTGTGGTCTACTTTCTTGGGTAGCTATATATAACATTTACATATGATGTTAGCATTTAACAATTAACTCCTGATTTTTCCTAATTTAAATAGATTTCATCGAACCGTTGGTGCGACAAGTGTTCTTGGCCATAGGAGTATTTGGTTGCCTTGGTTTCACATTCCAGATTGCCCTCTTAGCAGACTTAATCTCCATAATTGGGATACATTCGCATTGTTTCTACATTTATACAAGAGTGTATGATCTGAATTCAAATTGAGAATACAATTCATCTTACAATTATTATTGTTACAGGCTCTTCAATGTTGAAAAGAAGGGCTTGTCAGTTCTATGGCAAGTGGTCCGAGGAAATCGCTACAATATTTTAAAAGGCATGTGTACACTGTCAGGGATTCCACAAAAAGTGCAATGGATTTAAAATCATTTCAAATGAGACCTTAAAGTATGTTAAAGCACACTTTCTTCGTGCTTTAAATGAATTTTAAATGCTTAGCATTTTTTGTGGCATACCTGCTTATATTTAATTATTAATAATAATTAATATCTTCTGACTTTAAATCAATTTTTAGGACGCATCGAGGCTCATAATTATATGAATCGACAGCTATATCTTGCCACCATATTTTTTTCGACTATTTTGTTTTTGCTACCCACTACTCTTGTCTACTATATTGTTTTTGCTGCTGTAAGTATTTGGCGTTACTAAAAATAATAATATTTTAATATTTGTTTATATTTACGTGTAATTGCAGCTTAAGGCACTCACTCTTGCAACGCTCAGCATATTCGAGTTTTTTAGACGGAAAATGTTGTCCCTTCCCATTGAGGGTTGCATTAAGTGGTTGATAAAAGGATGCAACGAAATAGGTTTGTAGATAATTTAAAGCTACAAATAATATTTTTATAAATCATTTATTAAATGTAGCATTTTATTTTCAGATAGTCTTAAAATCATGGATGTGGTCTTAGAGGAAAACGCTTTTCTAATGCATAAAAATTATCGAATCGACGTATCAGTATATAAGATTCAAACCTAACAAAGCCATCAGATGTATAAATTATACATGAAAATATACTCAAAAGATTGCATTATTGGCGATTTCTTTAAAACATTTCTCCGGTTTTAATAAAATTTGTGAAAGCTCATAAAAAATAAAAATTTGTATTTATAGCTTACAACGATAATTGGATTATTTGAAAGGTTTTGTTCCTAGTTTCCTATACGTTAACCGATTATCCCTATGGCAACCATTATACATAATCCGACTTTAAAAATTGTAATATGTGTGAACATATTACCTAGGTTACGAGGTTTATATTTTATGATAGCCAGAGGGTTATTATGCTGCGAATGAGTCATTTCCGACCCTATAAATCATATATATTTTGATCAGCATCAATAGGGGAATCTTTCTATCCATATCCGAAAACAAAATTTTTTTTTTTAATTTTGTCAAAATTTTTATAATATAATAATAATAGTTTTATAAATTTTATATTTTATTTATATTTTATATCGTGAAAATTTTTAAAAATCGACTAAATTTTAATTTTTTTAAGTTTTATATTGAATATGCAGATTTTTACCCTAATAAAATCTAACATAGGACAGCTTTCCTAATTAAAATTAATGCATTTTGGATGAGTTATGCGATTTTTTAACTTGGATGTGTAAAATAAATTTTCCTTAAAAATTTAAAAAATTTTCCTTAAAAACTTCAATAAACATTTTATAAATATATAACAAAATAAATCTGATATATTCGATATCAGCATCAACAGACAAGTTCTTTCTGTTAAAAAGGTTTACCCACTTTTTAAAATAAAAAATTAAAATATAAAAAAGGTATCAAATTAAAAAAAATTGCTGACTTATTGCACCCTATTTTTTAGTTATATTTTCATAATATTAAATTGCCCTAAGAATGATTAACATAGTTCGGGTATTTTAGGTATTCTCAGTGGCATCTGTGTGGTAATATTACTTATACATATATTTTAATTTGACATTAAAATCTTAAACAATAATGAATAAAATGTTGTGACAAACTTTTCAAAAATATACACAATTTTTTTTCTGTAATTAAACAATTTTTTTTATTAAAATTGTCAAAAATTAATATAAATAATACTCTATCAAAATGTTCAATAAAATATACTGATTTTATACACTTATAGTTTTGCTTTTAATCATATATTCAAATAAATTATATTATATAATATTTGAGAAAATTCTAGAAATTGTATTATATTTCACACCGACATTCATTTTGATCCTATAAGCTCATAATTAAAAACTTCGGCTGGCCGAAGCTAGCTTCCTTTCTAATTTTAATTATAATTATTTTTAAATAAATTATATTATTCAGAATTTGCTAAAGCTATGGAAATTGTATTACATTTCACACCTTCTTCAAAGGAAATACATTGAATTTGTTATCGAAATCTATAAAAAACAGAAATCAGTTCTGATTTTGGCATGTAAGCCAAGGAAATACTTAAAGTATCTTAAATTTAAAATAAATGAATTGTTAATTTAAGTTTTCACAGCTTTTTTTGTACCGATAAATAATTCAATAAATTTTCTACATGCAAAAATGCTAAATGCAGCTGAAGTGGAAACGGTGCACAAAAAATATATCTATACATATGCGTGAGTTTCTGTTCCATTTCAAACGTTCCAGTGTCGTCACGAGCAGCAAAGCAACCCGGCCATTTTTCTTGTCATTGTGCCATTTCCAACTTGACAGTGCATTCAACTTTATTTAGCAGTGCTCCGGTAAATTTTTATAAAACAGTTTGTCGTCAAATATATTACTTGCAATGGAAAGTGCCCCTAAGCTAGATAAGAACACGGCGCCTTTACCGCAAAGGCAGCGCAATCCAGTAAATAAAAATGTCGGCAAGCAAATGGGCCAGAAATTGAATGAGTCCTCCGATGGATCTCCATCTGAAAAGAAGGCACGATTCAGTCAAAATGCCCAGAATGGTGGAGTGACGGGTGGCGCTAACGTTGGTGGCGGTGGCGGTGGCGGTGCTGGTGGTAGTGGCCCGAATCAAAATAAGAACTTTGCCAACAAGGGTGGATTTGGTGGCATGAATCGCAATCGTAACCGCGGCGGCAATCAAAACCGGCCAAATTTCCAAGGCCAGAATAATGCTGGAAACGTAAGTAAACCTATATTTTATCGTCAGTCCTCTGGTCCAAGTACGTTTTTAGTCTATAGTATACAGTATACCTTATGCATTTTTATGTATACATTACTGTATTTCTAATTGCAAATGTACATACATATATACATACATACCCCATATGCTCGCTTGTGCATCGAACTTGCCCACACACACCAATACGAAAAATGTATCGCATTCACTGAGATGTGTATGTATGTTTGTATGTACATACAAATTAACAACTGCTACAACCGCAAAATTCTAACGAAAAGTACACTTTGTACTAGTTAAAATAAAAAGGCAGCGCTATGAAAATGTTAAAAACCGTGCATATGTATGTTTGTATGTGTATGATTATCACATGAAATAAAATGTAAGCCCTCGATATTTAAGATTTGGTAATTGGGCTATATGCTTGACTTTTACAATTTCTACAATTTGATGTACACTCACGGTCAAATGAGTAGGATCTTAACAGACTAACTAAAGTAAATAGCTTAAATTGGTCCATTGTATTTCCCTAGTGTGGATGTATCTACATTTTGTATGTACATATATATGTACATACATACGTCTGTTTTGCTGACTGTTCAATTTTCACCTAAAGCCGGCTGGACTTACAATTGTACAATTACTTATTTGAGAGCTATGGTTTCTAAGGGTGATGCGGGTGTTTATAGGCATATTTAGTACAGTAAATTCTTCAATATTCTTTTATATCTGAATAAAATCTAGTTTTATTTTTTTCTATTCTAACTGGACAAAACGGCATCTGTGTCGTTATGTATCTAATTGAATAACGTTAACTATTAAAAACGGGTCAGTTAATTATAAACTAAGCTCTAATGATTATTTAATTTGTATTTTTTGTGTTAATTCATGGAATATAGATAATTTCTGTTCTCACTTCTTTGTTCTTCTTAGTTGAGGTCTTTCAGTTAAGGTCCTTAACTAACTTCTAAAGGTAATTCAGTTAGACATTTTCATTGGGCTGGGATTTATGTTTATGTTTTATGTTTCTTGTCGGGACTTCAAGCATATTTCTAACCACTTCTACTGTTTATATAATACAAATTATAGCAAAAGCCCGTTAACGATTCGCCAAAGCCGGACGGAGGAAATGCTCCAGCCAAGAACAATGAGTCTGGAAACCAAAACCAAGCGAACCAGAGTCAGAACCAAAATCAGAATCAGAACCAAAATCAGAACCAGAACCAAAATCAGAATCAGAATGCAAATCAAGGACAAGGCCAAGGTGGTCATGGTAATCAAGGCGGACAGCAACAAGGTGCTGGTCAAGGCGGCGGACAGGGATTCAGAGGTCGCGGTGGCAATGCCGGCGGTGGTGGAGGACCAGGAGGCCCTGGCGGACCTCAACAGCATCAGCAGCGGGAGAACAGAAATCGTGGTGGCGGTCAACGATCGGGCGGTCCCGGTGGCATGAACAATGCGTCCATGGGTGGTGGCGGTGGTCCCGGCGGTCCTGGTGGTGGACGCGGTGGCGAAGATTTCTTCATTGCCCAGCGGTTGCGCAGCATTGCTGGACCCACCTTGGAGTTGCCACCCGTCGAAGTGCCGGCTGAGACTAAGTTCTCTGGCCGAAATCGCCTATATGTGGGCAATCTAACTGGAGACATTACCGACGATGAGCTGCGCGAAATGTTTAAGCCGTACGGTGAGATTGGCGAGATCTTCTCTAATCTGGACAAGAACTTTACATTCCTGAAGGTAGACTACCATTTGAATGCCGAGAAGGCCAAGCGCGCTCTCGATGGCTCGATGAGAAAGGGTCGGCAGCTGCGTGTCCGGTTCGCCCCCAATGCGACCATATTGCGTGTCAGTAATCTCACCCAGTATGTAACAAACGAGCTGCTGTACAAGTCCTTTGAGATCTTCGGCCCCATCGAGCGGGCCATCATCACCGTGGACGATCGTGGCCGCCACACTGGCGAGGGTGTCGTTGAGTTTGCAAAGAAGTCGTCCGCTAGCGCCTGCCTTCGACTGTGCAATGAGAAATGCTTCTTCCTGACTGCTTCACTCCGTCCATGCCTGGTCGAACCAATGGATGTGAATGACGACAATGACGGGTTGCCCGAGAAGACAATGAACAAGAAGATGCCGGAGTTTTGCCAGGAGCGTTCAATTGGTCCTCGCTTTGCCGATCACAACTCGTTTGAGCACGAGTATGGATCGCGGTGGAAGCAACTTCACGATCTGTACAAGAGCAAGCAGGACGCACTGAAGCGAGAGCTTAAAATGGAGGAGGACAAGTTGGAGGCTCAGATGGAGTATGCACGCTATGAGCAAGAAACGGAACTGTTGCGTCAAGGTTAGTATATGATCAGTCATCGTAAACCTAGAACAAATCTGTATTATATCTAATAGGATATTTATTTATCACAAAATATTGATTACTTTAGTATCAAATGTTGATATAGTATTAATAAATTCCATATTTTCTACTCTACCTGGTGTAATCTCCTCCTAATGGGATATTACTCACCAGAAATCAGAAGTAGTAATGTTATCTTTTGATAACTCAATAAAATGTGGGCGCTTGGTAAAGATATACAGATAACAGCTTCTCGAGGTGCAGGATAAGGCCCTCATCGGTATGACTAATTTATGTATGTTTGTTTATGTAATTTATACTGATGAATTATATTACATGCAGCCACAATTCAAGATTCAATAGAAGTCCTTTGTTTGCTGTTCCCTTGAAACCGAAAAAAAAAATTTATAACAATTTACAATGATCATTCAAGAATCTAATAGTTGCTTTGTAATTTTTATACGTTTCTAGAATTGAGAAAGCGCGAAGTTGACAACGAGCGCAAGAAGTTGGAGTGGGAGATGCGCGAGAAGCAGGTTGAAGATATGCGCAAGCGCGAGGAGGAGACCATGCGTCGCCATCAGGGCGAGATGCAGAACCACATGATCCGTCAGGAGGAGGATATGCGCCGTCGGCAGCAGGAGAACACACTGTTTATGCAGGCTCAGCAGCTGAATTCAATTCTGGATCAGCAAGAAGGCTTCGGCGGCGGTGGAAACAGCTCCAGCTTTGACAACTTTGGTGGAAACAGCAATTCACCATTCGAAGTGTTCCGAGGTAACATTAACGCATTAACGCATTATAATCAATTATCTAATCTGAATATCTTAATATAGGCAATAACAACAACAATTCTACCATGGTTGGAAATTCTGGTCCCGGCGGTGGACCCAATGCACAGGTATGTTCTTCTAAACCAAACAATTATTACTTGCCTAAAAATGATTCGCTTACCACATTTCTGTGGCAGAGCTTTGTATCTCTGTCTATCGCTTATCTAAATATAACCCAATAGAGATTTTTAACAATTCACCATGGAAGGAAACGGATTTCTTAATCAAGAATATTGTGAGCCGGTTGCAGTTCCTTTCCGGAACTTGACACTCTTTTTTTGTATTCAATGCACTGAAATGGGTCTATTTGGGATGGAAGCTTGATCAGGAGTATTGAGCAGAGCTCGAGAATAACAGATGACACTGTTTTTGGTGCTCTCAATTATTAAACATGAGACAGACAAAGATCACATCTTGAGCCATACTGTTTTCGAAGTACCTGGCTTATTTTTATTGCTTCTATATATTTTTTCCTTTGATCATTTTTAGATCCTTTGTTTATTCTTAATTTAAATTCAAAAATGTGAATTAAATGTGGGCTTATCTTCTTACTGGACTCTCGCATTAGCATTTCATTTCACTTTTTCCATCTTAACAAGAGCACGCGCTTAACTGAATCTTTCTTCAAAAGATTTGGTTCTAAAAGAGCAGCTCAATTGAGAAAATTCAACCAAACGAAGAAGATCTGTTATTTAAGAGCTTTGATTTCAAGTAATGCAACAATCTGGGTGGGATTGGGGAATACTTCTTTCCTTAAAGATATATATATCTTTTAATTAGAGCCTGATTAAACATATTATACGGGTATATATGCTCTAGGGACTGTTCTAGGAAGTGCTACTTTTCTTTCAAAATGTAAGCTGTACATGTTTCTGATCGGTGCATTTATTGCTCCTTTCTTGAATGTGTTTAATTTGTTCTTTTATTTATAAAGGACTTGTATGAAACATCATACTAAATATCCAATAATACCTAATGGATTTTTCGGGGTGTATTTAAATACATGGTTGTACTTTGAAAGTGGTGTTGATTTCTAATCTGATTTGGGATTATTATATGACTCTTTTTCACTCCCCTCTAAATTTGAATTGGGTTACACAGAAACCTCTCCTTAAACAAAAAAAAAAAAAAAAAAAAAAACACTCAATTGAACAACAATTATATTTCATTGCTTGACTAGGACTCCTTCGCTTTTGAATTTGGGGTTAACAATATGAACCAAGGCGGAAATCAACGTGGAAATAATGGCGGAGGAAATAATGCCCCATGGGGACGTCGTCGTTTTTAGACACACTCTGGAGAGCATAAATAAACATACTATATAAGGATGACAAACAAATGCATAACGTATTCTACTCACAGGCAATGATTACGTTGATTTTAACTTGACTTTATCGCTCTCTTTTGTTTGCCTCGTCGAATGATTAAAACAAATAATTATCACAAAAAAAAGAGAGAGCCACGTATCGTATCGTTAAATCCTATGCAATGCTGCACAACCCCAAAACCAATAAATCAAAAAAATATACAATGATTTTGTCTACATGTATCTCAACTATCAAGCAATCCCTCTCAAGAGAAAAAAGGAGACGAGAAATGCAATGAATGCTGAGAACAAAACTTAACAAATAATTATTTCCATCAAGAAAAACAAGAAACAACATCCAACATCTATTTAATCATAACGATACTTTCTTAGATAAATAGTAGTATCTATTTTGCTCCAATAATATGTTCTATATATTTTTTCTTGTCTATCATGCGAATGAAATATATAATGATAATATTAAATACTTAACTTGATAAATTCAAAAGCCCACAATTTAATTTGTTAATTATCTAACAAATGGTGAGTATACGCTGCCGCAGGAGCGAGCGCACGGATGCCTTAGAAGATTCGCCGGTTTTCAATAATCATCATAGCAATTGTAAATAAATCGATTTTTTATCAGTCGAGAGGTTTTTTTTAAAATTAAATTCTAACCCAAGAAAAGACCCAGTCATTTCCATCTCTGGGGTATTCGGACGCTTTTTTGTTTTGTATTTATTTTTTTAACGGTTTTTATTTACTCTATAGTATTATTTAATATTATTTTCTTAAATTTTTCTTGCATCTTAAAAATAATATCAGTACATAACTTACAAAATCATTATTGATTGATCATATGAAAAAAAAAGATACAAAATTACAATTATTAAGAATTCTTTATTTTTAATTCAGTAAACTTATACCCAAGAAATCGGCTTGGAAATTAAAATAATTAAAACTATCCAAGTCCATTTACAAACCAGATCTAATAGAAATAAAAATCGATTTCAGAAATTAGAAATGTTAATTGACTTGGAAACTAACTTCGGCTATCCGATGGATTTCTAACTTTTTCAGTTTTATAAAGTATTTTGGTGTTGAACTTTCTGATTTCTCTAATATTCTAAAAATATATAGCGAAAATCGTTCGGATCGGCATCTTTTACATTGATTATTGTTATAACCTTTTCTCTGGCTACATATAAAATATGGTTGGGGCAATTTTATGTGCATACCTTTAAAGCAAAGATATTATTATTTTATAAAGACTATAGGAGAACAAAGCTTTGTTATATTAACCATATTCCATTGAAATAAACCGAAAAACGGACTGACTGGTTTTATTATTTATCCATATATCTTATGGATATATCCATGCATTTAATAAATGTATCCGCTGTCATATGGACACAAATACAATACTGCGTAAAACCGTGTAAAAATTGTATACACCACTCTATGGCCATCCAGAATCTACAAATCATTGAGACTATAATATCTACAAAAGTTTAAAATATTTTATTATAAACTTGGGCGAAGGGGACTCGAAAGTTAAAAAACTGAACCAGTTCGGTAATTCATTACCAGTTATGTTTCTTAAAGGTTTTTTCTGGGATTTGGTAAGAACTGTGATTCGATATTAATAATACTTTGAAAATTCTGACGCTGGACCTTTGTTTTTGGGAAAGAAAATATTAATTATTTGGTGGGACGAGAGATATAACAAAATCGGGGATATGTGACAATTAATATAGAATGAAAACGATGCCCGCGAACTGGAACAGGTAACGCCTGTCCTTGTACAATTATATACCATTTAAATTTCAAAAAATATTCTCTTAATAACATTTTTTTCACAGGTTTTTCATAGTGAACGTGAGTGATGTCTTGCAGCGTTTTGCATGCATATCGTTGGAGTCGTGTTCGAATATATACCTTTGCACGATTTAAATTGAAGAAAATTTATGGGTATTGATGGGTGTTCAAAAAGAAAAACCAGCATGTTTTTATTACATCTTCCCCTGAAGCCTGGGAATTTATGTCTAGAAAATGTACGTTAAATTAACAAAGATTTCATTTTCATTGGAACAAAATTGTAGCATTTTAACTTATGAAGCAATTTTGTTTATTTTTTTAATTATGAAGATGGTTCCAAATTAGTTTTATCATAGTATTATTTTTTAAAGCTGAAGAAGTTTTAAAATTGTATTATTCCATTTAACGTTTGACAGATAGATAAACTGAGCCTTAATCATGTGGGTGTTTTTTTAACTATGTCAACTTAACCAGTGACCATCTGTTTATTTTGTGACTTAACTTATATTACTTAATTTATGTATTTCTGATTATGTACTTCTTTGTATTTTATCTATATAAAATGTGATATCTCGAGTTGTGAAAGATTTTTTTTAGTTAAACGAATGTAATCAACTCTTATAAACTTTACCAGGTTTTATTTTAAAAACATGTTGATCCGAATATATGGTGATTGGCAACAGAGAGTATAATTTGCTTCGTTTCGACTCAATTTCCAAATTACGCTTTTTCAATAATCGTAAAATAACCAAGTCAAAGGATTCTTCAATAAGATTGCATTGGCTTTAGGTATGTGGACCTATCGCAACTCTTTTATAGCTGAGACTTGTATTTTTTTAGATTTGAAAATGGGAATATTCGATTTACAAGGGCTAATTCGTTTGAAAATGCTGGATTGTTTTGTAAATTTATAATAATAATTTTATTAATTCATTGCATCATTGAATAATAATAAGAGGCATAAATTGTGTGAAGCATTGAACATCGCTTGATGGAACATTGAATTTGTATGTCGTTTCTGGATCAAATATCTACATCGCAAGTCTTCTGTCAAAACTTCTGAATATTATTATGACGCGGCCACCTCTTCACCGTATCATCACATCAAGGCTAGAGATGTGAATGACACCGACCGTGTGCATCCCAGAAACTTATGGACAAGAATTACACCTCTCACCTTGGCCTTCATTGGTGCACGTTAACATTTGCCTTGGAATGTTTTTTCCTCTGTTTTCCGGTAAGGTTTAATGGGACAATGCAGAACCTCATTTGGGTTAAGGTTTTAAACATTGATAAATACATTTTTTTATATATTATATTTTCCGCAATCTTATGCAATTCTATTAACCGTTCATCAACAGGCATTGATTGATTTTAACGGGCAATTTTACAACCTTAAAGGATCTCTCTTTATAATCATAAAAGCTATGGAGAACTTCAACTGGGAATTAAAAAAGGGAATTATTGGTCTAATTGCAAATATCTTAAAAATACTTCTTACTAATCTCCAAACATAGCCCGAACCTTTTCTCTTCTCCATCCTAAATGGTTTCAATTCACAAAGAATTGATAATCCCTATGGAAAAATTTAAAGAATATAAGATACAGGGTATCAAAGACCAGACCATATCTGGTATTATCTATTCTTCCTTTTTTCCCCTTTAACAATCTTTCAGTTTTACAAAATACGACTCCTTAAGTTTAATTTTCAAATAAAGATTTGGGAAATCATGATCTAAGGGGGTTCGACCATAGGGAACTGTTCTTTTATACATAAAACATAAATCTTAAACGGATTTTAATATACTTTTAACTCACATTATAAAAAATATAATTATCGCGACTTAAATTAAAAATATATTATTTGAAATCCAAACTATAAAGATAATATTATCCAAAAATTTTTAAATTAGTCTTTTAAATTTGAAAGCAATAAATTTATATTTTTTATATCATGATTTCAGGTTGCTAATGCTTAGCTGCCTTAATACTATGCTGAATTGTTTAGGCAGCTTAGCATTTAATGCTATAACTCTTTAATTTGGTATATCATTAGCACAGCAAATAATAATTACATAAAATAGGCAGAATAATTGTATCTAGCATGTTTTCAATGTGCTTTTTATGCTCAATATACATTTTTTTGTTTATATAAATTGGAAACCATGAAATATATATATTTTTTTTTTACTTTAAAATAAAATCTACTTGTCACAATAAAGTACACAACCGCCTATAAATATGCCTAGTTGTTAGCACTCAAACAATATAAATTAGACATAAACATACAAAAATCAACATCTAAATATTCAGAAAACAAAATAATGAACTAAACCAACTCTAAGGTCTTACTTTTCTTTACAAATATTAACAAAATAAGAACGAGTAACCCTATCAAGCAAATATTTATCGGTTCTGTAGCGTAAAACCTTTGTTTTACCATAAATTATATCTGCTCCGATTTAAGAGCTAATGTAAAGAGATATCTTTGGAATTTGGACTAAAAAATGGATACCGGAACGGTGCACTTCGAGGAGGTTTTTAAAACGATTAAATTAAGAACAGTCTTAAGTGACTTAAACAGCTAGAAAATTTTCAACTCTACAAAATATGGAGAACGTGCTTCGAAAATAGCGAAACTTTTGACGGAAATGAATCCACAGAAGAAAATTAAACCCGGACAGTCGATAAAAAATATGTACAAGGTAAAAAAAAAATTGAATATCAGCCCTTCGCAATTGAAATGCTTTTTTAAAAAAGCAGTGTATTCCCCTAACCAAATGAATATATATATTTTTATTCAAAATATAGATTATGGGTGAGCAACATGGGGATATTTTTGATATGTTGGCAGTAATTTCCCATCCAAAAAATAACAGACTAACCATTGCTAGTCTCTAGTCTAGTAAATATACCTGGTTTCATAAATAAACATAGTTGTCCTGCCAAAAATGTAAGCATAAAATAATGCAAAATGGGTTCAATAATTAAAATATTTTATTCTAGTTGGCTTTAAATGGATTTTTTACTTATTCCTACTTAGAGCACTAAAAAGCAAGGTCCTGTAGGATGTACAACACGTTTAACACTCGATTGTTATGATTTTTGCAATACCAAAACTCAAAACGAGGCACTGTCCGCCGATGGAATTTATTTAATCAAATTAATATTTCGCAATTCTTATCCACGAGGATTAATTATTTAATGCAAGTTTATTTCTTCAAAATCTACAAAGTTTCCCATCAAATTAATCAATTATTAACAAGATCTTTGATCACTGATGGATTTCTTACCACATTCTAGATATGTATTTTTGTATGAGGAAAAGCAGAAACATTCATTTAAGTTCCCCATATTCTTGCACGCACATAGAATGCCCAGTAAATAACATTATTTATCGATATATTAATCTCCAGATCCATCAGTGATTCTTAAAATTTATGGTATGGAAACAACAATTTGACACATGCAAACTTTTTATAAAAAAAAATTTTATCTTGAAGATTTGTTACTATGAACCAGTTAATTTTTTGTTATATTTTCTTTAATTCTTGTGGTAATTCCCTATAGGTATATTGTATAGAATATGAAGTGAAGGGTTTAGTATATATGTACATACAAGTTGATTAAGATTTAAATCCGAAAGGCTTTTAGTCAAATTTGACCGAAGTTCCTGCGCATGACACAGCCCTAGGAGGGCGGCAATCGATGATTTCGGATTGGACTTTAAAAATCTGATTGAATGAAATCATCTGATGGAAACTAGTATTCGTCTCCTTCCATAACTAACACGCTGTTACTTCGCCAGTACAGTCATTAAAGATTTGGCAGTGATCAGTCTGTAGTATACTATGCCGTCGACAAGGGCACAAAAAGCCCCAAAAGATCGTGCTTGGCTCAGGGCGAACCGCAAAAGAGACCAATTATAGACTTGTTTTATGGATCAGAGTGAGAGATATGATGGTGTGATCTCAGTTCGAAGACTGTTCCCTAATAAACATCGTTGGGGCCAAGCCGTCGGGCGATAAGTCTTTATTTACCGGCGAAACTATAGCTTCTCAAGTCCGCCATTTGTTATCCTTCCTTGCGATAACCTATAATGTGATCAGGTAACCCATGTTTATATGTTTATATAAACACTTCAGAGCTATAGAAGTGTTTCAAATTACTATTGTTCGATCGAAGTTGCTTGGTTTTTGAACCGATCAACGTAAGTTTGTTGCCGGTTTTTTGTGCGGCGATCCCTATGAGCTGCTTTTTTAAATAATCGTTAATAATATAGAATATATGAACTAATCCAAATTATGTTTGCAGGCGATCAAAACTATTGACGATTCCCATCCACAGGACTCTGTAATCGCGAGCAGAGACATCAGGTTTCCAAAAATCTATTCGGATTTCATGGCGTTTTTATTATTCAAACATATCATTGTTATCGTATTACTAGATAAAATTGTTATCCAAAAAGACTTTATTAAAAAAATATCGTTAAAACTTGACCACCTTTATTTGTTTTTCATTTAAATGTAATAAAATACTTGCAAAAATACAAAAACCTTGGTATAGCGTAAGTAATATTGTAGAATTTTAATTCTTTTCAGTCATATGTACATATATACATATTTTAATAATATAATTAATTTATATTAAAATTTTAATCGCAAGCTATGTGGAATAGCCAAGAAAAAGTTCTATAAATATCTTCCTGACGAACATCATCATAACTGCATAATTAATGATCACAACCTTTAATCTTTTATTAATAAATACATGAAATCGTACTTTTTTATTATTTTCTATTTAAAATTGATACAAAGAAAGAATTTGAGAAATATAGAAATAAAAGTCTTTTGGCATTTTGCAATAGACATTGCTAATCAAAAATTGGAATTAATTGATATTTACAATTTTGAAAATTATGTGCTAAAATAAAAACACTAACATAAAAAAAGATATATGTATGTATAACAGCGAAAATTTTAAAGCGTTCTAACTATGTTAATTAAACATTCTCGCTTGTTTTTTATTATTCAATCATTGGGTATAAACCAATCCTATTCTTAATACCAGCTGTATATTTTTTAAAATGATTAATTGATGATAAAAAAAATACAATTTTAATTACATTTAGTTTGATAATTAAATGTGTTTGCGTTTGTTTGTATGTATGCCAGTTCTCATCGGAGCAACCATAACCTGTCCTAACCGCCAATAAATGTTTGATTTGAAGCGGATAATTTAACAAACATTCAAACATTCATATGTATGTATGTAGGTCCCCACATACATAGATGAGCATTGGGAATTGGGGATTTCCTAAATCTAGGCTCCTACACATCCGGACACACACATTGGACGTTTTGGCACGACTAGATTAATTATTTCAGGTCATATGCCTGTATGTATGTATGTACATACATATGTATAAAAGCGGCAAACGCAAATCTCTGCTGCTCGCTATGTGGTATCTCATATTTGAATGTCAGCTCGAAGAGGTTTCATACATACACATATATTTGTATATACAAACATACATATATATAACCGAGTACCCTTGTATGATGTATGTATGCAGCGAGCGTACATCTCGGCTTGTACGAAAGTTTTGTATAGAAACATGTCTTAAGATGTATTTGGCCATACACAGGTACGCTGCACCTATGTATGGGTGCGTACGTAATACTAATTGGTTTGGTTACAGCACGGTTGCGTGTTATGTGTTTGCATTTTGTTTTGTTTTGAAAGCTCCAAAAGCTGTGCTTTCATGAGGTCTTAAATGCACACACTTGCATATATAAATACAAGCGACGATGCCAATATATGTACATACAAACATGTACGTGAGCAGTGTGTTTGTATATGCGGTTAGCACAAATCCAGCGAGAAAGAAACAACTAACGCTGGCTATATGTATTAACTTCAAAATAAAGTTCAGTTTAAGCTGGAGCGCAGTCGAGGTTGCGTCGTTTGTTCGTTCGGTCGCTCGGCTTGGAGTCCGTTCGTTTTCGTTTCGTTCGGCTAGTTCCTATGTACGCATGGTAAGCACGCGTTCTCTTTCGATTCCCAGTCTCAGTCCCAGTTTCAGTTTCAGTCGTTTCGATTGCGTTGATAAAATTAAACCTAAGCCTTAACCAGCCGTGCTAATAACAATGCTGTGATTTATTTTAAAAATGTGACTGTAATAGATCTGTTTCCCTACGTTCATAAAGTCAGAAATAATTTTTGTTGAATCGTCGACGTCGTTGTTGCCAATTTTTATGCTTAGTGATGTAGGTATACAAATACATACAAATGTATGTATGCATTACGTGCAATTGATATGTACATTCATACATATATTTGAAATGGCAAACTCTTACGTAGTGTTATTTATGTGTATAGGAAGTTACAGATACACTTGCAGGTTTGCATTATCAGACGCGTAAAGTGCGAATGTGTGTGTGCTCACCCGCACTTCAAATGAAAGGTGGCTTGGGTCTTAATTGTTGTTACTCGTGTGCAATTAGTGTGAAATTGGTGTCTGCTGTGGAAGATTGGTAATTAAGTGGAGGTGAGCGATTTTATAAATAAGTGATTGAGCCAAATGCACGAACGCGGCTCAACTTCCACAAACACACACATGGTCATGCCAAGATTCGGCAAAGTGAAGTATGTGCACACATACATATGTATGTTTCGTAAACGAATGGCACAGTGAAACAGAAACCGGAATCAATATGTGTGTGATACCGTTGATATGAAACCGTACACAATCTGTTCGAGCCTACTTTTATATGTATGTACGTGAATGTGTGGGCACATGCATAAATTTGTACATACCGTGCATACATATGTACGTGCTGCCCCTTAAAGTACGAAAAAGTGAACCAAACACACCACCACCCCTACCCCTTCCGCTAACCCCTACACCTACCACACCGAAAAACCGTACACAAATTTATCGATAATAAATAGCCTCATGTGCATCAGGCACGTACATAGATTTCCCCTCGCACATACCGTATGTACATGCACGACGCTACATACAGAAGTATGCATACATACATATATCTCAAAAAAACATCCAGTTGGGACGTGAGATTGTGTACCAGGAATATCAAAACGGTTATGTCAGTGCTGCACTTTTTTTTTCTTTCTCTCCAAACATGTATGTATAATCAGGCGCTGCAGGCGAAAGCCGTCAGTATATAACACCCGAGACTACAGGAAACACGGCTTGTGGGTGCGAGTGTGTGTGTGTGTGTGTGTGTGTGGCAAGGTGCGGTGAGGTTACATGTTGCACATTCTGAATATTGAAATAGTTGACAAACAATAGAGTCCAAATTACTCTTCGCTTTGTTTCGCTTTGCAAAGTCTAAATCTCTCCGCGTAGAACGGGAAAAGAGACAAATTGTCTGTGATTTTGAGTTTTTTCCAACCAGCTCTGGGTTTTATTTAAGAAAAATAAGGGTTATTCCAGTGAAAATGGTAACCTTATTATAGTTTTTTCGAAAGAGTTTTAAATTATTCAATTGTCATTATCTCCATTTCGCCTAAGCACCATTTCTTACTATCCCATAATCTTGGAATACGGAAAATTTGATCATGTAGGATAAACAGTAATGCAATTTTACAGCGAACTTACTTCGGCTTTCAATAATACGCCAAAGGGTTCCATGAATATTCATGCATAAACAACTATTTATGGCTGCCGGCGGGCTCATATCTTGTTCAATCAATCCACACTTGGAAGATTACCGAATTTCGATTGGAGAAAGATATGTATGCGATCACAGCAAATTACGTATACGCCATGCGTGTCATAAGTATATATGGCAGAGACCAGTCCCAGTCGCAGTCCCAATCTTCCGGCTGGTTTGACAACTTGCCACTGCGACTGATGGCTCCAAGTTGGTTGTACACATTCCCCTTGGCCAAGTCATTGAGTCATTAATTCAACCCGTAATTCCCCCCAGGGTGATGCTGCACTTCCCCTGTTCTCCGTTCTGGTCTATTCTGTTCTGTTCTGTGGGTTCTGTCTGTTATATCATCAGGAAAACAATGGGTACCCATTAATAAGTAAACACACAAACACATAAGCACTGGGGAAGCACCACAACCGACGTCGGTTGGAGGTGATAAACTCCCCTGAAGTCTTCTTCAATGAGAGAGCTTTGGGGCTATATAAATATAATATATTTCAGTGGGAATATATATATGATTCACGCCGTCCATTTGGCTTAGCGGGCGGTCAACACGTTTAACAGCAGCCCAAGGTTGCATTTGGAGTTGGAGAGCTGAGCTGAGCTCGTTGAGATCTCATCATATTGAGTACAGTGACTGATTTCTTCTCATCTCTTTCCACAGATAAGCCAAACAGCTGAAACGAAAAATAGATACATACATGAGTACGACAACAGGAGAGGAGGAACTCTTTGCCGCAAAAGGACTCTTCAGGAGAATCAAACTACCCTAATACCAACATAGCCTAAACACATTTAGATATGCCGGATGATACAGGGCCCAGCGGAAGCGGTAAAGGAACCATCATTGGCAAAACAGCAGGATATAACGGGAGCACATTGCTCGCCACAGAGAAGGAGAAGGGAAGAACAGGACCCCGCTCGTCCTCTGGTGGCACTCCTGAACTATCTGCCGGAGAGCCGACGTATCGAAAGATCGAACACAGAAAGAGACTCCAACGCCATGAGGCGAAAGCGACAGCAGAAGCGCAGGCGATAGCTACCAGAAAAACTCCAGATGCAAGACTCAATAGGATCTATTTATGTAGATTTAACCGAATGGCACAGAGCTGTATATATTTTGTATTAGTTTTAGTAATCCTAAGCCAACATAGTAGTTGTGCTCTAGGGAGTAACGAAATTGATCACCGCGGCACACAGAACTATGCCGGCGGCGGTGGTATACTCAGCAAAGAGGAGAGCGGAGCAACAGCACCTGTAGCAGCAGCAACCTTGCCCGCTGACCATACTGATAGTGACCCACGCCGCGGTGCAGCGCCGGAAGGCGATGGGGGTCAAGCACAAGCACAGACGACCATTAGTAGAGGCGCCGCCGCACACTTTAATAATTATGAAAATACTCACATAAATGCCAGTGCGAATGATGAACGTGTTGACCCGCATAACCATCATCACCAGCAGCAGCATCATCATCAGTCGCCACATAGCCTCGACCTCGACGGGATCGATATCTTTGGCGCCTACAGTATTCCCGAGGAGGCGATATACACGAATGAGTTTGCTGTCAACATTCCCTCCGGCAAGCACGTAGCTGACTTCATTGCCGCCAAACATGGCTTCATCAACAAAGGACAGGTAAGAAGATATCTCTTATGCAACGCAATTATTCGCTGATTGTGGCTTTCATTATGCTTTGCTTCCTTCTCTAGATTGGAGCCCTCGATGACTATTACCTGTTCCAGCACCACCACGTGTCTAAGCGCTCGCTGCGCTCCAGCGGAAAGCATCAGGGTTTGCTTACGGCCGAGAACGAGGTGGGGAGAGATTGATGCCCTTACATTAAGGATTTCTATTAATTAATATTTTTTATATATTTGTAAAGGTAAAATGGATGCAGCAGCAGCACGAGAAGGTGCGGCAGAAGCGCGACGGTCCTTACCAGAGCCTGCCCACCTATAGTCCGTATAATGTTTTGCGTCCGGGCGGCGAATACGTTGTCGATCCGAATCCGCATCTCTCATTCGCCTCCGACACATCGTCCCTGTCGCTGGACACTCGGCACTCGGGACGCATGGAGTATCGGGATGTTAGTTCGCATTCCATATTTCCGGATCCGTTGTTTAAGGAACAGTGGTATCTGGTGAGTAAAGTATGTGATCATCTCTCACTTAAATGCATGCTTCATACATTCCATAAATATATATACATATGTATGTGGTTAGAGTAGAATTTTCATTTCGAAATTTTAACACTAGCAGTAACTTCAAGAATTTGTATTTATAAACATATAATACTTTAAACATATGTAAAGAAATTACTTAAATTGTTCAATTTAACGATGCATATAATATAATATTGTCCACAAGTCTCTCACTAGTACTAATCATGAAGAACCATAAGATATTCCATCATTGCACTATATACGTAGCCAGATCTTTATTTTGTTTACTTATTCATTGTTTTATATTCACTTGACAAAACAGAACGGTGGCGCTAAAGATGGTCTGGATATGAATGTGGGTCCCGCCTGGCAAAAGGGCTATACGGGCAAGGGTGTGGTCGTGTCCATATTGGACGATGGCATCCAAACCAATCACCCAGATCTGGCGCAGAACTATGTAAGTTTAAAGTTCACATACAGAAGACTATAGATGCTAACAATAACAACAAATTCTCACTCTTCTCAGGATCCAGATGCTTCGTTTGACATAAATGGCAATGATTCGGATCCCACGCCCCAGGACAATGGGGACAACAAGCATGGAACCAGGTGTGCCGGGGAAGTGGCGGCGGTGGCCTTTAATAACTATTGTGGAGTTGGTGTGGCCTACAATGCCAGTATTGGTGGTAAGTATTCCGGCTTAAAGATTAAGAGGAACTCTTTTTTCAAACTATATTTGATTGCAGGAGTTCGAATGCTGGATGGCAAGGTCAATGACGTGGTGGAGGCGCAGGCTTTAAGCTTGAATCCCGCCCACATTGACATTTATAGCGCATCATGGGGCCCGGAGGATGATGGCTCCACAGTCGACGGACCCGGACCGTTGGCCCGCCGAGCATTCATTTATGGTGTAACCAGCGGACGCCAGGGCAAGGGCTCGATCTTCGTGTGGGCCTCAGGCAATGGCGGTCGCTACACCGATTCTTGCAACTGCGACGGCTATACCAATTCTATCTTCACCCTCTCCATATCGAGTGCCACGCAGGCAGGCTTCAAGCCATGGTATTTGGAGGAGTGCTCCTCCACGTTGGCCACCACATACAGCTCTGGAACACCCGGGCATGATAAGAGCGTGGCCACAGTCGACATGGACGGACGCTTGCGGCCTGATCACATCTGCACCGTGGAGCATACTGGTACATCTGCATCGGCGCCTTTGGCGGCTGGTATCTGTGCCCTAGCGTTGGAAGCAAATCCAGACTTGACGTGGCGTGACATGCAATATCTGGTGGTGTACACATCGCGACCGGCGCCCTTGGAAAAGGAGGCTGGATGGACGCTAAACGGTGTGAGGCGCAAGTATAGTCACAAGTTCGGATATGGACTGATGGATGCCGGTGCAATGGTCTCGCTGGCGGAACAGTGGACATCGGTGCCGCCGCAGCACATTTGCAAGTCGCGGGAGAACAACGAGGATCGTAAAATTGATGGTTCCTATGGTTACACGCTCGCCACGCACATGGACGTAAACGGATGCGCCGGCACCATCAACGAGGTGCGATACCTGGAGCATGTTCAGTGCCGTATAACGCTGCGGTTCTTCCCGCGCGGCAACCTGCGGATTTTGCTTACTTCGCCGATGGGAACCACCAGTACCCTGCTGTTCGAACGACCACGCGACATTGTCAAGTCCAACTTCGACGACTGGCCTTTCCTCAGTGTGCACTTCTGGGGCGAGAAGGCGGAGGGACGCTGGACCCTCCAAGTGATCAATGGCGGGCGCCGGCGTGTCAACCAGCCTGGCATTCTTTCCAAATGGCAGCTAATTTTCTATGGCACCTCCAGCCAGCCGATGCGCCTGAAGTCTTCCGAACTGCTCAACAACGGCGGCGGACCCCCTCAGCTGCGCAGCAGCCCCATCGGCTCCCACACGAATCCGTTCCTCTTCCCATCCGCCTCGAACATTGGCCAACCAGCCAACGAAGGCGGCAACTTTAATACGGACAGCTTTGCTAGCTACCTCAATTACCAGAACATCTTCACCAGTGCCGGATCAAATCCAGAGCCAGCCACGGCCACGCTAGATGGCCACAATGTGAACACTTCTTCCGCTGCAGTAGAAGCAGCAGCACCTATCACTTCCGTGACCCAACTGATGTCATCAACCAACGATGCCAGGGCCGGCAGCAAGCTGACGATTTTGCATTCATGCGATGCCGAGTGCGATTCTTCCGGTTGCTATGGCCGTGGTCCCACCCAGTGTGTGGCCTGTAGTCATTACCGGCTGGACAAGTAAGAGAGAGAAGTGTCCAGAGTGAAGGAAATCACTGATTTTGTTTCTTGTTTTCCACAGCACCTGCGTTAGCCGCTGTCCGCCGCGTTCGTTCCCCAACCAAGTGGGCATCTGCTGGCCCTGCCATGATACCTGCGAGACTTGCGCCGGCGCAGGACCCGATAGCTGTCTCACCTGCGCCCCCGCCCATCTGCATGTCATCGATCTGGCGGTTTGCCTGCAAGTCTGCCCCGATGGATATTTTGAAAGTAAGTTGATACCGAGATATATCGACATTTCCTTTCGAAATAGAAAGAGATGGAAGTAAGGTAGTCAATTTCAAAGTAATTCCTATAACTTCCACACAAACAAGTTATAGTTTAAATAAGATTTCGAACTTACCCATCTTCTGCTTTAATTAACACAGATACCCGGAACCGAACATGCGTGCCCTGCGAGCCCAACTGTGCCTCTTGTCAGGATCATCCCGAGTACTGCACCAGCTGCGACCATCATTTGGTTATGCACGAGAACAAATGCTACTCGGCCTGTCCCTTGGATACCTACGAAACGGAGGATAACAAGTGAGTAGCTCCTCAAAGCTAGCAACTTTAAGGAACTAAAGCCAATTTATTCATACACAAGATGTGCCTTCTGCCACTCGACTTGCGCCACTTGCAATGGCCCCACGGACCAACACTGCATCACTTGCCGGCCGAGTCGGTATGCCTGGCAAAATAAATGCCTTAATAGCTGTCCCGACGGTTTCTATGCGGACAAGAAGAGGCTGGAGTGCATGCCCTGCCAGGACGGTTGCAAGACCTGCACCAGCAATGGTGGCGCCTGCTCCGAGTGCCTTGAAAACTGGACGCTGACCAAGAGAGACAAGTGTATTGTGACTGGCAGCGAAGGCTGCCATGAAGGTAAGTGGACGCTGAAACCTCCTTCACCTCATGTTCCTATTTAATCACTCTCTGCTCCTTGCAGCTGAGTACTTTAGCCAAGCCGATGGCGTGTGTCGATCATGCCATGCATCCTGCGAGACGTGCAACGGCAACTTGGAGACGAATTGCATGTCCTGCCCTCCGAATCAGTTGCTGGAACAAAGCCGTTGTGTGAGTGGCTGCCAGGATGGCTTCTTCATGGAAACTGCGGGCGTCTGTTCGCCATGCTTGCACACCTGCAGCCAGTGCGTTTCGCGGACAAACTGCAGCAACTGCTCCAAGGGTTTGGAGCTTCAGAACGGCGAATGCCGCACCACTTGTGCCGATGGGTAAGTTTAAATCGACTTCTGATACCCCTAGAGCCCCATTAATTATCTTTAATTTGGCTTTATAGGTACTACAGCGATCGCGGCATCTGCGCCAAATGCTACCTCAGCTGCCACACCTGCAGCGGGCCAAGGCGCAACCAGTGCGTTCAATGTCCAACTGGCTGGCAACTAGCCGCTGGTGAGTGTCATCCCGAGTGTCCCGAGGGTTTCTACAAGTCGGAGTTTGGTTGCCAGAAGTGCCATCATTATTGCAAGACATGCAACGGTATGGAGAGTTAATTGGATATAGCAAATAGCGTCTATAATTAACTAATATATCTTACCAGATGCCGGACCCTTGGCCTGCACCTCGTGTCCCCCGCACTCGATGCTCGATGGGGGCCTGTGCATGGAATGCCTGAGCTCGCAGTATTACGACTCAACTACAGCCACGTGCAAGACCTGCCACGACTCGTGCCGCTCTTGCTTTGGGCCCGGTCAGTTTGCCTGCAAGGCCTGTGCTCCACCGCTCCACTTGGACCAGCTGAACAGCCAGTGTGTGTCCTGTTGTCCAAATCAGACGGTGAACAATGTAGCTGAGAATTCCTCATCAACGTCGGCGCCAGCTCCCTGCTGCCATTGCGATGCGGAAACTGGTAGGAATTGAATTCTGGTCTGTGTTTGAATATTCATTTACTTATTTCCATATTCCAGGCGAGTGCAAGTCCACCTCAACGAGCGGCAAGCGACGCACTGTTGTGGGTGCCTACAAGAGCGGATACACCTCGGACGCCGCTCGAGCCCTGGGCAGTGAGGGTAATGGCAATGAGTTTGTCCTGCGACTGGACTCGCCGCTGACGGCCATCACGGCCATTGCGGTGGCCATTTGTCTGCTGATCATCACAATATTCTCCATAATATTTGCTGTTTTACAGGTAAGCAATATTATTTAAAGAAGATGTATGTATAATGCTCACCATTATCCCCCCAATTCGCATCCTGCAGCGCAATAGCAACCATGTGACCAGAAACTCGGTGCGGTACAGGAAGATAGCGAGCAAGAAGCGCAAGCGGACCAGCGAGGCTCGATTAATATTCAACAATGGAGGCGGCGAGGAAGATGAGGAGGAGGAGGAGGACAACAACACAGAAGAGGATGATAATTCCGAAGAGGATCGAGTCTACAAGAAAGGCACAATTCATGGAAACGAATTTTACATAGAGAGTACAAATGATATTGATGCGATCGAGTTTCACTGCGCAGGCGCTGCGGCGCCGCCAAGGAGGTCTAGGGGAATGCATGATATTAATCCCAATACAAGAACGGAACACAGAAGTCCGCCAACCACAAGTCGTAGCTGATTGATTCATTGATCGATTAATGAGACGATTTGCTGCAAACACACGTAATGCGTACCAACAAGAACTTTGATCTTGGATTTCTTGCTCTGGACTAAATAGTAAATTTTAAAACTTATTTTGAGGAAGGATATAGCGAAATCGAAATATTTAACATCCGAAAACAAAAATGATAAAAATTTATATGTGATTGTGAATTGTTTTTATATATATATATATTTGTAAATTTAATGTTTGTATTAAATTTTTATGAAAAATGTTATGTCAAGTTGAACTGAACCAGTTGCCTCATAAGTTTCTGTGTTTGTTAGTTTGGGTGTAGTGGCTTATTTATGCAAGACGGGAGTGGGCCGAATTATACCCTAGGAATGTCAGAACATATGTATATATACTGAAGCGAAAGTCGATATATAAATCTACATTTTTTAACTGCGATGTATAGATATTATGTCTTATGCATAATCGGTCTTAATTAAGACAAAATATCTGATTTCTATTATTTTTTAATGTTTTATTATTTATTTATCAGGATTTTAATGGTTAAACTTATTAAATATTAACTTTTAGCAATCATTTGCGTTCTTGCCATTATATGGTTTTAAGATCTCGAATTTTTGGGTCGTAAATAATTTTTTATTTATATTTATCCATATTTTTATGTGATAATTTTCTTTGACAAATCAAAGTTTTAAAATATCATAACTTGGCCAAAATATCATCAATTTCAATTCCGAAAGCTGGTCTTTGCTAGTTTTTGTAAGGCTAACAAAGCTACATACTTAATTTTGAATTTTAATAAATTAAAATTTTTGTCCATTTTTGAAAATTTCAACGACGTAACCCCTTATCATTTTTTTGAAAAAATTTGTAAAAATTGTTTTCTATTAAACATGGTTAGATCGATTCGCCTGTTGACACTGATCAAGAATATGTATGATTTATAGGGTCGGAAATGATTCCTTTAATGATTTAAATTTAATACCCTGCAGGGGTAAAATAAAACTGGAACGATACATTTCTTCCACTATATACTTACTTTTTATTCATATTGATTTCCTTACAATGCATGTTTTTAGAAAGGATTCTATTTTATTTACAAAAAAATCGTATGAATCATCTCTGTTCATGTATACTGAAGCCAAAAGTCAAAACTACAAAACATCGTAGTTGGGATTTGGATTAAATTATTTCGAAATGCTCGTAATGTATAGATACGTGTATATCTTCCATGTAAATCATTATAAATTCGTTAATACTTTATTTTCCTTCGTTTTCTGTGTCTTGTGTTGCAGAGATTATATAGTTATATGCCTAAGTATCAAAAATCAAATATATATATATATGAATTTGTCTTTTTACATAGGTAGTTGAGAGGTATTTTACATGGATCTCGCAGTATTCAAACTCGTTACTCGTTACGAAATCGTACAATCGCAGCACATGAGCGAGTAATACAGACATTTGACAACCTTTTCATCGTCTTCATCATTGCCCTTGGACGAATTGAGTTTGGCCTTGTCATTGATATTGTAGCTGTACAGCTGGCCGTCTAGCTGATCGGCCTCAGACTGCAGACTGCTATCGAGGGTGCCCTTCTTGGACGCCTTCTTACGCTTGTTCTTGTGCATCATCTCGTTGCAGTTGCGCTGCTGCACCATCTCGTCGATCCAATCAAATTCGGTGGCGTTTTCCTGAAAGCGTGGAAAACTGGAAATGCTTTCTATGGAGTTGATATCCTCCTGTTTCAAGAATATTAAGATAATGAGTGAGTTATTAGGACAAAGGCTAAATTAATTATCATAAACTGGTGCTTACCTGATTATTATTATGGTTCTTATATTTAGTCTTCTGTGGCGTGGTCTGCTGAGAATGGGCCGCGTCCTGCGCTCCTTGTGCCAGCGGCGAGGAGGTCGTTGCTATCGAGGCTGTGGTTCCCGCCGAGCTATTTAGCACCACCTCCGTTTCTCCAGCTCCGGCTGGTACTTTTGGCAAGTTTCCGGGATCCATGAAGTTGGGCTGCAAATAAGAAATACCTCAAGTTACTGGTCCGTCTAATGTAACTCTGTGTGCACACAGCTCTTACAAAGTCCTGTATCTCGGCGGTGGTAATGACATTCGGCGAAGTCATGGCCCTGGTGGATGGAGTAGAGGGTGCAATCTCCGATAGAGAGGACGTGGGTCTTAGGTTTGGAGAGTGTGTGGTTACGGGGGTGGCCGGCAGAGTGGCAGTCTCCGAAACGATGGCCGATGAACCATCAGTGGACGAAGCGCATTCGCTTTTGCCGCTTTGAGCGGCCAGTGAGCAAGTGGCCACAAGACTCAGGGATGAGGGTGCATGGATATTACCTTCCCCTGCCAAATCGGACGATGGTCTGAAAGAAAACAATTGTATTATCGTGAATTTTACAAATAAACAGAGAACATTGGCAATAGTTGAGATAAGTAAACGGTATTAGCACACAGCTGTTAACACTTTACATTTTAGTCATAATTGTTTGTACCCCTTTCCTCAATCTCAACAATCCTCCAGAAGCATCTTACTTACAAGTCAATCAGCTCGGACTGTGCCTTGCTGCCGCCCAGGGACCACACCTCGCTTTTCTTTTGCGGACCAGAGTAAGAGATGTGTTTGTTGGTAGTACTAAAGCGACCCTTGGAATGAGACTTTCGGCCCGGTATCCACAACATGCGCATACCAGAGGATTTACTTTTCTTCGTCGAATTGGAAGCCATCTGAAAATCGTTGACTTGTGTAGAATTTAACATTGAAATGGCACAAGGAATACATGCAGGGAATGTGTACGACAGAAGTGGACTTGGTGGGGCTTGGCTTGGTTTGGTTTGTCTTTGTACCCTTTGCTATGCGAGCCACCTAGTGGTGCCTGCAATCTGAGAAATTCAAAGATGCAACTATTGCATTATTACCTATCTATCGCACAAATCCAAATTGTTTCATGTAGAAAATGGATTCTTAGCATAAGCTTGCTTGGAACTACTTTTGTCTTGAAGGCCTTAATATTAGATCGACAATAAATAAATATTTACTCACTTTCTCAATCAAGGCTTACAATTGGGATCCAAAAATATAGATCTTAATTGCCAATACTCCCATGTTACTTTCGGAAATATGAATACGAATATAAAATATGAACGTTTTATCTCGAAATAGGAGCTTGAAAGGTGACTCAAAGAGCAAGGTATTATGATTTAGATAAAATTTAAAATACTACTTTGAAAATATCTACCATAATCTTCCCTCTAAGATATACAATAAATATATATTTTAATGTATCCAAGGCATAACTCTTGCAATCGTACATATAAGCATAACTGTATCTGCTTTACCGCTAAAGAAACTCGTTGGCGGTAGGGATTACGGAATGAATGAACGCGTTGCGGCGATGACGACCTTTAAAATATTTAAATGGGCTTTACCAATACCTAGTCAAGGTTCACACATCACATCAACGCCCGAAAATCGGCGACTATAGCCAAAAAGTTTGATACGAGTGACTTCTTAATAGACAATTAAAACGCAAAGACTAGAAGACTGGGCTCCGAAGCTTGAAATACTCTTGGTAGACAATTAATTCTTATTGGATATAAAGGTTATAATACAACAGATACATTAATAAGAAATTAGCAGCAAAACTAAATTAGTTACTACTTTGGGGTGCTTTCTGCTTTATCTTTGCGATAAGGACCACCCCAATAAGTCGCATTCTTCTTAAAACAACAATTTTAAGTTTATGTTCATACATACATACATACATACATATGTACGGCAGCTACAAGATGAAAGCCATAAAAGAAAACTGGCTCTGTGTAGAGTTTCGGCCAAAAAGCTTCAACAAGAGACAAACACATACGACTAAGACGGGTACGTTAAGCTCGGGATGTGCCGCCTTCACTGCGTTGCGTTATACCCTCAGCAAGGGTATAAGCATTTATTTATTTACTATAGCCCACTACTTTGTATGGATGTACATATGTATGTATGTACATATCCATACAAGTTGGCCGTGACAAACGAACGTAACAGTGTATGTATGTATGTAGGTACATCATACATATATACATATGTACAGGGAAATCGGCTGGAGTAGGTGGTATGTAGATGAAAGCACAACTGGCTTTCGACAATCAATGAGTCTTGTGTTAAAAGCGGTTAAAAGAAAACTTAAGCCATTTATTAAAGCACTCACAATGCACAACAAAGATAAATCGCTCACCTTTTATCCTCAGATGTCGACCTCAATATTACTTATAGAAGTTAAACATTCACTTGGGATTTGTGCAAATAAGGCATGTGCGTACGCAAAATAAGTACATTTATATGTACATTTCAGCAACGCTTTTGGGTTTTCTGTGTGAATTCGGGAAGCGGCTGGGATTGGGTGCCAATATATTCGTAGCGTCGCCGATTTGTTTTGATTTTCTCCGAGAACTTTGCAAATTGACAATAAACTAACACACTCTAGGGTTACAGTGTGCACGCCGCACTTTCCGCTTCCAATGCTAAAGTTTGTCTAAAAAAGATCGGATTTTTCATCCACAGCAGCTGGTCACACCTAAGCCGGCATGAGAAGGGGTGGAGAATCATCGATGTTATTGGGAAGACTATCGACGTTTGTAAACATTACTCAATAAGTTAAATAAACTTTAAAACTATTTCAATTCTGTCCATCTATTTTATAAAATATATTTTACTTTTAAACTATTATGTTTCCCTTACTTTTAGAGCATCGATAAATCATTTTTTAAGCTACCGTCACGATCTTTTCAAAAGGTAGTTACGATATTTACTACCCAAAGAGTTGGCAGCACTGCACAGAGCAAGAGGCTTCGTTCTCCGAAAAGTGAAAAGTTCTAAATATATAACATGTTCTCGAGAGCAGAAAATAGGCAAGCATTGGAGCAGCGAGCGTGTAATATACGGATTACGGACCTGGCCTGGCCCAGTCTCCTCGTGCTCGTGCTGCACTCTGCTATCCGTTATCCGTTGCTCGCGTGTTAGACGTAGGTAATTCACCGCCTGGTTATTTTTATTCATTTATCCGCATACGTTGGGGACCGTCCGCGCTCGTCAGCTTGCTTGTGTGTGTGTGTGGGTTTGCAGGTGCCTGGATGCTAACAGTAAAAGTTAACCGTTGAGATACATAGCAGTAGAATAATATTATCATCCGTACATCTCTATGTACATTTGCATGTACAGATACATCACTCCAAACTTACGCCACGAAAATAGCCATAAGGCATATATGGATGTATATGTGTAGATGTGCACGCAGATATCACAGCTGCGGCGAAGATATTAGAACTGCAAATCAAATGTTTTTGTTTTTTATTTTGTTGTGTACAAAAAAATCAGACATCTCGTCATAGAGATTTGAAAGCATCCAATACAAATGTTTTAAGTGCAACAGTAGAGATTTGAAAAATACTTTAAAAGATTTAAAAGAACTTCCATGACGTGTATATTTCTTAAATCTATCTTATAGTCTAGGAAACTAAATATTTATTCTTACGAAATCTGAACATACTTTTCTGAAAATTGTATAAAAAATAAATAAATAAAAATTGACTGCAGGACAATTGTGGGGGTCTAAGACATTGACCACCACTGTAGATGTGAACCATCCGTTCGTACATGTGTTTGGCCCGACCCGGCGCGCTTCTTTTAACAGCCCTCACCGATTCATTAGCGAAATTTATTTTTGGAGCTGCGGCAAAAACAGCGACAAATTTTATTCGAATTTTTTTTATGTTTCTTCGTCTACATGAAAAACACAATCCGACAACTTTCACATCCATTCTATGCACGGCGCCCGTCCGACTGCAGTTCAATCAGCTAGAAGCATCAATTGAATTTAAAAATCAGACCGCGAATCGTTAGTATCTTCATTCGATGTAAGGGGAGATGTACATAGGATCCTATAGCAAATCAAAGGGCCAAGTAATATCCGTTACACAGTCCCAAAAATGCAAGTGTACATAACTAAGTACCATTAATACTTTTAGAGTACGAAATTACTAGAATTATAATATTAAAAGAGCGCACAGCACCATTATTATGTAACCTACATATGTACATGTACATTATACACAATGGGGGCGATTCGGTAAATTCTTTAGCTCAATATTTTTGGAAATAGCTCAAAATTCCTTTACGGAGAAATGGTCTAAAACTGTTGCAATTTGCACACTCAAATACATTGAATGTGTTTCAGATCTTGATACTATTAGGGTGAAAATAAAAAACAACTCGAAAACTTGGTAAACCATGTCTAGATTGATTCGCAATGTGATTGTACTTAGAAAAATATCACAGCTTTTAAACCAAATACAAATGCAATCTTAAAGGCCAAAACAATATAAATAATTAATATTTCTCTCTTTATTAGATTATCACCCGTGAAGGCAGGACACAAGAAAGGCTGTGATCATGGACCCGGAAGCATTTTTGGACGTGGCCAACCAGGTCATTAAGCTGAAAATGTTTCCATTCTTCGACATTGCGCACAGTCTGCTTGCCGCATTGGCCGTGCGCGAGGATTTGGGAGCAAATGCGCAGGCGTTTTCACGGAAGCATCCGCTCGCCTGTTGGCTCTCAACCATGCTGGTGATCTTTGCCGGTGGCATGGTGGCCAACGGCTTGCTGGGCGAGCCGATTTTGGCTCCGCTTAAGAACACCGGCCAGCTTCTCGTTGGCACTGCCGTGTGGTAAGTGTCTTAAATCGTTGAGGCCTTAATTTCTCAGTGTAACCAACAACTATCCCAACAGGTATGTAGTATTCTACACGCCGTTCGATATTGGTTACAAGGTGGCCAAGTTCCTGCCCGTCAAGATCGTCGCTAGCGCCATGAAGGAGATATACAGGGCAAAGAAGGTGTATGACGGTGTGGGACATGCGGCCAAGCTGTATCCCAATGCGTGGATCATAATGATTATTATTGGCACCCTGAAGGGCAACGGAGCGGGCTTTACCAAGCTAATCGAGCGTCTAATTCGAGGAGCTTGGACCCCGACAGCCATGGAGTTTATGCAGCCAAGCTTGTAAGTATTTCCGTCTGACTGAGACGACATTGATTTAATTCACATTACCTTCCCTATTATCTTTAGTTACACCAAGGCATCGCTGTTGGCGTCTATTATCTTTGTGCTGGACAAGAAGACCGACTGGATCTCAGCACCGCATGCTTTGGTATACTTCGGCATCGTCATATTCCTGGTCTACTTTAAGCTGTCATCGATCCTACTGGGCATCCATGATCCCTTCCTGCCGCTGGAGAATCTATGCTGTGCCATCTTCTTTGGCGGCATTTGGGATAGCCTGGCGAAGATCCTGGGCCGTGGACAGGCCAAGGATGGCGATGGCAAGGATGTGAAGAAGAATAACTAACAAGAAAGCTAAAAAGCAAACAAACAACTATTTGTAGTTAGCCAAAAAAGTACTTAATGCTGCCAACCAAAGCATACATATGCATAAAAACGCACACACATATATACATATATATACTATACTATATATATATAGCATAGATTAGCAATCATAGGCGTCGTCCTGCTTCGGCTTTCCCATTCGCGAGCGGTTTTACGCGCTTCCTAAAAAACAAAAACTACAAATCAAAATGCACAAAATATTTGCACAGTATATAGATCAGGTATGCCAAAAAATTCGCTGTGAAAATGTGAATTGACCCTTAATTAGGGATAGCAGAAAATAATACTTATTCTAGGCCTTATTTAAAGTAGTTTCCAATTAGCATCGATTTCTTTGGCATCCCTCTATAAGCTGCTTGCGAAAATGAAAGCCGGAGCGTGTGCGCCTCTTCGAAAAACAATCGTCAACCGAAAGATCTTCCCGAGCCAAAGACATTTTTGTGAACTTTGTGTGGAAATCGGTCTTGGGGATCAGCTCTTGTGGGTGGGTGTGCCCGTGCCAGTTGGTCCTCGACTCTGATTTCGTGCCAAGTGTTTTGTTCTTAGACCCTTGAAAAATGTTGTATTTTTTTTTAATTGGTAGGATTACAACGATCATAAATAGCACAAACCACAGACATACTTAGAGATGCCATACTTAAGCGTTATAACTAAATCCATCAGCCGATGCCGAAGGAGCACGCCGTCGAGTCAAGACACAAGAGCGGCGGCTTGCTCAACGAACGAAATGTGTAAATATATATATGGGAGGTGTGCAGATCACGCGCGAGGAGGTTTCTTCCTTTTTATTTCTTATATTTTATTTTATCTTTACATTTTTAAAATACATTTTAAGAGTTTTAATTGAAAACTCAATGATAGATCGAATTGGCTAAAATGTAGACTTGTGAACACGCATTCATGCTGGATTAAGGGCTTTTGCAAAAGAAACAGAGGTATGCATGTTTATTGGTTGCAATAAATTTATTTAAACTATATCTGGGTTGCCTTGGTTTTCTCATTTTGGATGGAAAATATGGATAGCAACTAACACAATAAACCAATCGAAAAGTTTCAAAATTTTTATATACTAATTTATTGCATAATAAAACTTAAAATTTCTCAATAAGATCACCTAACGTACTAAAATGTTTTGTCGATATAAAAATGCAAGGATGTAGGACATAAAATGTATCCTTTTACCCTGAAAAGAAGACCAATCCACCAATGTGAGAATGGGCTTTTAAATCTTATAAAATTTAGTTTAAATTAAATGTAGATAGATCCACACACTCTACAACTTCCACTCTCTACACGGTGGTGTAGTGCGCTTTACAGTGAACTGAAACAAGGGTGAAACACAGAAGGAGTTAGAAGAGCAATAATTACAAACATCAAAGCCCTTACAAAACTCACCAATAAACTCGCCCACGGGATCGTTATCACCCTCGCCTCGCATAGTGCCCGTGATCTCTTCATTTTCCACCATTGGCAGGAAGAGCTGCACGAATTCCGGTGAATAGGGATGGGTAATGGTCTCCAGGACCTCGGTGACAAAGTACCGGATGAGGGAGATGTCAGTGTCTTCGATGGCACAGCACTGTTTGATGTATCGGAGGACGGGAACGACGCAGCCACGTGTTAGCAAATTAACCATTCGATCCAATATCATCTTTTTCATCTCCAGCTGGACGAGAATTTCCAGTTCATCCTGCTTGGACTCGAACAAGCGGATAAGCAGGAAAAGGATTTGCTGCTGCAAGGTGGGATGCACAGCGGCCACCTCATCCAGAACAGCCAGGTGAGTGGGACAGCTGTCGGTGGAGAGCTTGAAGTAGGACGGTTCCATGACTACATTTTCGATCCATCGGATAACGCCAACGCCCACCACGGGATACCTGCAAGGAGCGTAGAAATGTATTTGTCTTCGCGGTTTAATCCCTTCATGAACTCACTTGATGCAATTGTAGAGCGTCTGCAGTTCTGCTATCAGCTCCGTAGAGCCCTGGTCGACGTTACAAATCGCATGCGCCTTCTCGATGGCCTGAATTGTGCTCTTCAGCTCCTCCTTGTTCAGTGTCCGCTCCGTCATGGGTCGCTTCTTGGCCGGCTGATCAATCACAGCCGACGCGTAGGCGAGCAAAAACATATACTTTGGCTTATGCTCGGGGTTGATCTTGACGCCGGAACGGAATAGCGCGTCAACTAAAAGCTCCAGGAACTGCGGGTTGCGTATCAGATCGATGGGCGGTGGATCAGAGCCCGAGTAGTTGCGGAACAGCACAGTGATGTCGGCGGGATTGAGTGTGTTGCGGGTCAGCATGGAAGTTAAAGCCTGGCACGCCTGCGGATAGACCGCCGAGCCGTTCAGGGCCATCGTTATGGGCGTGACATTCTGATTGCTGAGGGGAGGGAGAACGAGAACCCATCATCAGAGCTCAGAGCTTGAAAATAATCTCAAGAAAATACTTACTTTTGTAGAGCGTACTTGATAATTTCCTGAGAAAGACGTTTCATGTTAAAGCCACCCTTCTGCTCCTGACTGAGCACTTGAATCAGTACCTGGGAGTAGACATACGTGTGCTGGCCGTGACACACCATGCGGGCGCACTCCTGAATGGCGCCGTGCACATCATCCGGATTGTTGAGAAACTTTACAATAGAGGTCTTGAGCACGCGCGAGAAGACCTCGATCTGCTGAGCCGCCGTCGAAATGGAGGTGATTTCGCTCTGGAAGCCCGCGTCTGAGATCAGCTTGATGGTGAAGTTGAGCATAAGGCAGTCGGGATACTCCTCAGCCAGCCTGTAGATCAGCGAACGCCACGTGTAATGGTCAATCATTTCGGTGAGCCAGTCGGGTGTCTCACCCTCCTCGGTGAATATGGTGTCGGCCTTCTTCGGATCGAAGGACTTGAGTATCATCTCCTTCAAATGATTCTCCACCATTGCCTGCACCTCGGTCACCTTGACGCCGGCCAGAATGAGCCACTCGGCCAGCAGGTTGGCCATCTGGGCCACCGCCTTGTAGTTCTCCGAGAGCATCGATATCACCTCCTCGGGTGAACCGCCCGACTGGAAGTAGCGCTTTAGCTGTGTGAATATGCCCGGCTCCATGATGTAGTCGGGCGTCAGGAACTTCTCCAGGCACTCCTGGATCGTCTTTTGTGGGTTGTCCTCCTGCATTTCCTTTAATTAAAGAATACATAACATTATTTTCGTTTAAATATGTTTTTTAGCCGAAGGCTTAAACAAACAAGAATACAAAACAAAGTTTGCTTTGCGGTTTTGTGCCCACTCTTACTTCCGTGTTAGACTGGGCCTTGGCGCGGCTTTGCCAGGCGGAGTCCTCGTATTCTACTTCCATTTCCTTGCAAAAACTGATTTACATAAACAAACTATAATATTTAATAATTTTCTGTTTCTACTACTTTTTTTGTTGTTTCCAAAATTTAGTGTGGGCTTAAACTGATGTTTACAAAATAAAGTAGACAAAGACATTGGTATTTACTAGATTTATGCCACGTTTCCACCGCCGATATCGATAAAAACACCAAAATGAAATGGTATTTGTAAAATTGAACGCGGCGGGCACACTGTTGCCGGTCAAAATATTCTTCCTCGCGCTTTTTTTTTGTTTTGATTAATTTTGTTTTTAATTTGATTAAATTTGATTTAAAAAATATATAACGCGATGTCGAACCAACGGAAAGACATGTGGAAGCTGCTGTATAACCATGTCAATCGGAACGGTGCCAACTTGGCCCAAGTGTACACCGTGATCGAGGACATACTGTGCCAAGAACCGAGCCTGATCAGTTGCTCTCTAGTGCGGGAGCTGAACAACAAATTCCAGGACACCTTCCTCCTGTGGCTGCTTAACAAGCTGGCCAGATGCCTAAGCGAGGCTGGAGATGGCAGGTGAGCGTGGAGGACCATTTCTTAACGCCTAATAATGTTCCTCTGGTCTGCAGTCAGTGCATCAATCTTCAAAGGAAAATTCTCAGCTCCTGTTGCTCCAATCATCCTAAACTGTACGAGCGCCTTGTCCTGGCCTACATCGAGGCCCTGCAGGAGTTGCATCTGCAACTATGCGGAGTGGATTTCAGGCGCGAGCAGAACCACAGCCTGTGTCTGGCTATTTTCAAATGCGATGTAACCTGCCTCCAAGAATTTGATCCACACTGTGCCTTCGAAGAGGTCCAGCTGCCGCTGGAAAAGGCCGACTCGTACGCCAAGAGCCTGTTGTTGGTGCTCCAGCACGCCCATCTTATCGGTCACGCCACGCACCCTGGCATCTTCTCGGGCAGCCTGCGGCAGGCCCTGCAAATCCTAAAGGAGTGCGACATGGAGGCAAAAGTGGTAAGCCTGAACTACTGTCACAGCGTCCTGCAGTCCCAGTCGGCCAGCAGCTGGCTAACAGATCCAGATGTGGCCCATTATGCCCAACTAACGCTTGAAGCTCTAACTATAATGTGGTCCATGGTGGCCAAGTGGCTGGAGGTGGGCTGTATGACGCGGCAGGAGCTCAATCAGCTTAAGGTGGCCACCGGCCAACTGCTAGTCGTTCTACAGCAGAATCTTCGAGGTCAGCAAGCTCTGAAGATGGGCTATCTCCTCTTGAATGAGCTTCTCAGCTTGACGGCCAGCCAGGAACTAGAGGATCTGATGGAGAGTGTGAGTCACTATATACAGAGCCAGCTAGAGCACGCGTCAGTCTCGCTGGAGCAACTGGAACACCTGCATCAGCTTGTGCTAACCCATTGGCGCGCCCATCCTGACTATTTACTGCCCTTGTTGGCCCTGCTGGCTCTCAAGCATCAGGGCATGCGGACAGCAACGATTCAGGCCCTGATCCGAGAGGGTCTCGTTCCGATCATGCCGGAAAAGGCAGCCGCAGCCCAGACGGCCGATGAGCGACGAACAATGGTGGCCATTTTGCGGGTTCTCAAGCAGCTGGAACAGCTCATCCTGGCCCAGAGCCAGCTTAAGATAGCAGAACAGGAAGGCTCTCCACTCAGTGCTGCCGTATTGGCCAAGATGCCGCTACAGTGTGAGTTGCCCAAGACGACGGACATCAACTGGAACAGCCTGGGCATGCAGATGGTTGAAAAGCAGACTACATTGTCCCCCTCCGAGATGGAAGTATACCTGGAGATCTGTTCGCTTCTGATGCAAGTTTGCAGCATTCGACACTCTATGAAGTCGCCCACGCAACACCAGTTGTTAGCTTTCCTGCAGAGCCGCCTGGAGTTTGACAAGGTGCTGGCCTACCTCAAAGGCCGCGTGCCGCTGAACCAGTTGTGCGCCATACGCCTGGAGGCAACGCCATCGAGCGCCCACACGCAAATGCAGTCATTCTATGCCCAGCACTACATGAGTCTCTTTGAGCAGGAAACCTTCTTCGACCACATTCCCCAGCTGTACATAGCGGGCTACATCAAGTCGGAGCAACTTGTCAGGGCCCTGCCCACGATACAAAAACACAAGGGGCGCAACCAAGTGCTTCGCCTGCTGCTCTGCTCCTCCCATTTCGCCTTCAGGGTCCGGGATCGCATTGAGTTGTATTGTCCGAAGTGTAGACCCTTGCCCGAGCGCCTTCCGACGGGGATTTACCTTGGCAAGTGCAAGCAACAACCGGTCAAGCTGGAGTTCTCACCGTCCACACTAGAAACAATTGCCAGGGATTTGCTGTTCCAACCGGATTTCTCGTTCGTTTCCCAACACCTGGATAGGCTGAGCATAGAGCCAAGCCTGATAATGCGGCTGCTTAAGGAGGATGCGAAGGCACTGGAGGCTCTCAATGCGAACAGCCTTCGTCTCCTGGTGCCAGCAATGCCCGATGTCATGCATCAGTTGGCCAGCTTTATCCTGGACGCCATTAAGGCTATGCTGGTACGGCCATTAGCAGAACAGAGCGTCACCTGGCAGCGAAATATGCTGCGCATCATCATAGCCTCGGCTGCTAATCCGAAAATTGAGGAAATCTGGCTGTTCCATTGGTTTAAGATGACCTTCTTCTTCCTGGTGCACACCCATTCGCTGGTGGCCCAGGAGGCAGTACTGGCGGCCAGCGAGATGTGTGCCAGCCATGGCGTGCAGACGATCAATCTGTGGAACTGGTACCGACGCGATGCCCTGGATCTGGCCATACGCCTGGCCCTGGCCGCGTATATCGCGGAGGGAGTTCGCTTTACCAGATCTCTCAGAGCGGTGAGTAGCAGTCTCCAGCTCTCCGGTTCTGCGTATCTAATAAGAGTCGTTGTCTTTTGTAGCTCACCAAAATGCTAGGCTTTTCGTGCGTGCAAGAGTTTACCTGCAAGTATCATCGATTCCTGACCGCCATGGTTCTGCCGCACTGCATTGTAGAACCGCGCTGCAAGGGAGTCCTGGTGTTGATAGCCAAGCAGCTGCGTAAGCCCATTGCCACGTTGTTTTCCACCTCTTTCCTGCGCATCTACACACATGTCTACCTTACGGAAGAGCCAGAGTTGGCCAATAGCTGCATAGAGCTGGTGGTTAGCTGCACGCAGTCCAGCTTGCAGCAGCTAATGAATGCCGATGTCAAGGTGAGGTCTTCATAATCTATAAAATCTACAAATCAATTTACATTGTTCTTTCTCGTTGCCAGCAAACTGTGGCCGAACTGCTTATTTACTTCAATCGCAATCCCACCTTCGTCATGCGCTCCTTCCAGAGCCTTCTGCAGTTTACTGGAGGAGGAGGTGGCCCCTCCGAGCTGTCCAGTCAAGCGGCCAATGCCGAGTTTGCCACCTTTATTGCCGAGCGTTTCCTGGGCGTTATCACCTACTTCGAGAGCTGTCTGAGTGAGCCATCTTTTGAGAAGCCTCTCAAGGAGGAGACCCTGTACAGCCTGGGTCAGATCATGCGCTTTGTGGGCGCCCAGCATGTCACCCAGTTCCGCTTCAAGATCATTGCCATGCTCAGTTTTGTGCATACGCTAAATGAACCGCGTTTGCAGAGAATTTGCCTGAAGATCTGGCACATCTTCCTGCATGTGGTGAATGTCCAGGAGTTGGGGCCATCGCTGGGCAGGATTGTGGCCACCTTGCAGCCGCTGCTGGCGGACAGCGAGAGCGTGGCGCAAGTGAATGATTTATACGAGTTTGTAATCCTTCATAATGCCTCGATGCTCGGGAACTACATCACGGACTTGTACTTCTTGGAGCGCATGGAGCAGGTTTCGCCGGCCATAAGGAAGTGCATACGCAGGCACACGGCTCATTTGGTGTTGAATGGAGGTGGTGGAGGAGGAGGGCCTGAAGAGGAGGAAACACCAGCACAACTCCGCGATCAGCTTCGTTTCTTGCACAAGCACATCGTGGATGAGTGTCTGCAGGTTCGGATCTATGCCCTGCAGCATCTCGGCGAGCTGTTCGGTCGGCGGCGTCCCCAGCTGAACCGCATGATCCTCAACGAACAGCCGCTGGAACCTATGTTGGAGCAGATTGTGAATATCCTGATGACAGGCTGCCAGCACGATGACCGTCAGCTGCAGATGGCCTCGGCCAAGTGCCTGGGAGAACTGGGCGCCATCGATGCCAGCTACCTGCCCTCGAACTACAACTTTGCCAGCTCCAAGCCCATGCCGCTGAGTGTCCTCTCCGATGATTTTGCCGTTCTCGCGTTGACCGCTTTGTGTCGTGGCTATCAGTTCCAGCAGAAGACCAAGCACGTGGACAGCTTCTCGCTGGCCATCCAGGAGACGCTGGCGGTCTGCGGTATATCGCCCAAGGAGCAGAAGAAGGTACAGCTGTGGCAGTCGCTGCCCGAGCGAATGCGCCAGGTGATGGAACCCCTGCTTCACTCCTGCTACACGAGTTGCCAGCGGCCGAGCTCCCTGTTGCAGCAACAACAACAGCCGCTTTTTGGCAGTCACTACTTCTACGAGGAGTGGGCCTTCCTTTGGGCCGCCCGACTGATAGATTACATCCAGACCTCTTCAGACACGCGGCATCTCCTGAACTCATACAAGCCGTGCATCAAACGGGATGGCAACATGCTGAGCACCTTTTATCCTTACATACTGCTACACGCCCTGCTCGAGTGCACGGTGGAGCAGCGGCGGCACATCCTCGACGAGTTCATGACAGTGCTCAGGGCCAATGAGAAGAGGAGTTCGAGTTCCCAGCAGGAGTTGGGTGAGATTAAGGAGAATGCCTTCAAGCAGTTCGAGTCGCGGAAATATGGCGCTGGGACAAAACAGCCACAGAAACCAACGGCGGATGGTTCCTTCCAGCAGCGGAGTGCCGCAGACGCCAGTCATGTGCCCCGGCTAGCCGGTAAGCTGTGCGCCGAACTCTTGGACTTCCTGCAGCGATGGCTCAGGGAATGGCAGCGTATGCATGGACGGAGTACCAACGGCAAGCCTCCACAGACCATCGATGCTAACTACCGGAAGATATATGAATTTCTCGCCGAGATTCCCAAGCTATTGGTCTCACGGGCCAGCTACAACTGTGGCGAATATGCCCGAGCTTTGAGCTACCTGGAGAGCTATCTGGAGGAGGGCGAGGAGGAGGATGGCAAACCGAAACGCCTGCTCGAACAGTTCACCTTCCTCGTTGAGGTCTATGGCTCGCTGATGGACTCCGATTCGGTGGAGGGAGCAGTGCAGGCGCGCAGCTACGACAGCGTCAGCGTCGCCCAGGATATTGTAGTGAACCGTTTGGTGGAGCGGCAGCAGGACATGATCACCTGCTACGAGCAGCTTCTCTCCAGCCGGGACCAGCTGCAGCCGGAGCATGTGCGCGCCATGATCGATGCGTATTTGCGGGACACTCCACGAACGGCCCAGCTCATAGCCGACGGACTGTGGCAACGTCTGTCCGAGGAGCAATATTCGGAGCAGTGCTTCGCCGAGTGCAAGTCGGAGCTGCTGTGGCGCCTGGGCAGCTACGATGAGCTGGAGCAGTTGCCGCTGGACGAGCTTAAGTCAAACTGGCCGGCTCAGTGCTCCCAGGGCTGTTTGGCGCTGCGACGACCCCTAACCACGCGGCCACAATTCGATGGTCTGCTAGATGGGATGCGGGGATCAGTGCTGGAGCAGCTGCGCAGCTGCTCGGCCGTCCAGCAGCACTCCTATGCCAATGCCTACGATTCGGTGTTGAAGCTGCACCTGGTCCACGAGCTACAGTGCAGCCAGCAGTTGGTGGAGCAGCTGGAACAAGGTGATCACGCTCCCAATGCGGATAACCAGGAGAAGATTATGCTGAGGTACTTTGAGGACTGGCAGTATCGTCTTGAGATTGTCCAGCCACAGGTTCGCGTCCAAGAGCCCATCTACAGCTTCCGCCGCAATCTGCTGAATGAGTTCCAGCACCGGCTCTCCGGTCGCACCCACCTTCTGCCGCATCTGCGGACGGAGCTGGCACGGCTTTGGCTAAACAGTGCCCAGATCAATCGGAATGCCGGCCAGCTGCAACGGGCCCAACTGTGCATCCTGAAGGCAGCGGACTATAAGCCGCCGGGTCTCTTCATCGAACGTGCCAAGCTTCTGTGGCAAAAGGGCGACCAGGTGATGGCCATCAATTACCTGGAGGAGCAGCTCTCCAGCATGCGCGTGGCCTGCCAGGGAAATGTCAAGAGTATGCCAGAGGATCAGCGACAATTGTACTTCCAGGGGAAGTATCTGCAGGCCGTCTACAATGCCGAATCGATGCACCTGTGCGCAGACGTCGTGCTCCGGCAGTTTGACGACGCCATTGCCGTGCACAAGCAGTCCGAGAGCTGTCACGTTCAGCTTGCCCAGTTCCTCGAAAAGATGCGCGAGGCCAAGCTGGGCGGCCAGGGCCAGGGGCAGGGCCAGGGCAAAATTTCGACTTCATCACACGAATCGGACGAAATGCTCATCCAGATCCTGCTCAATTACGCCCGATCCCTGCGCTACGGCAGTGAGCATGTCTACCAATCGATGCCCCGCGTAATCAGCCTGTGGCTGGACACTGCGGAGAACGCACCGAACGAGGTCCAGCAGGTGCGCAAGATGAACGATCTGCTGAGCAACTGCTGCACCGCCCTGCCCGCCTCAGTCTTCTATACGGTCTACTCCCAGATGCTGAGCCGTTTGTGCCATCCCAATGCCGACGCCTTTGCCGTGCTGAGGAACGTGATTGTGCGTCTGGTGGAGGAATATCCGCAGCAGTCGCTGTGGATGCTCTTGCCGCACTTCAAGTCGGCCACCGCCAACAGGATCAAGCGATGCAAGCTGGTGCTCACCGATCGGCGGCTGCAGAACGCCACCTTCCAGAAGCTCCTCAGCGACTTTAACTCCCTAACGGAGCGTTTGATGGAGCTGACCAACAAGGAGGTGGCTCTAGATCGAACCTACAAGCTGAGCGATCTGGACCGACGTCTCACCAAGCTCTGCAATCAGGCGGACTTCTCCAACATCCTTCTGCCCTTCGAGAAGTATATGCAACCTACGCTGCCACTGAGTTCGGATGCAACGACGACGCTGTCGCCTCTGCCCGGGAACAACAGCTCCATCGCAAGCTCAAGCTCGAGCTCCAAGGGCAACTGGTTCCCTTACCAGCAGATCTACATTAGTGGCTTCCAGGAATCGGTGCAGATCCTACGCTCGGCGGCCAAGCCCAAGAAGCTAACAATTCGGTGTAGTGACGGCCAGGACTACGATGTGCTGGTCAAGCCCAAGGATGACCTGCGTCGCGACGCCCGTCTGATGGAGTTCAATGGTTTGGTGAAGCGGTATCTGCATCAATCAGCGCCGGCCCGGCACCGTCGTCTCCATATCCGCACCTATGCCGTGCTGCCCTTCAACGAGGAGTGCGGTCTGGTCGAGTGGCTGCCCAATCTGTCGTCGTACCGCAGCATCTGTATGAGTCTGTATGCGCAGCGTGGCCAGGTGATGTCCAGCCGGATGCTGCACCAGCTGGCCGTGCCGCTGCACGAGCCTTTGGAGCGGAAGCGTGAGGTCTTCATCAAGCATCTATTGCCTGCCCATCCGCCGGTGTTCCAGGAGTGGCTGCGTCAACGCTTTGCCACCCTGCACAGTTGGTATGAGGCGAGGAACACCTACATTCGCACCGTGGCCGTCATGTCGATGGTGGGCTACATTTTGGGCTTGGGTGACCGGCATGGCGAGAATATTCTGTTCGATGAACGCAATGGAGATGCTGTCCACGTCGACTTCAACTGCCTGTTTAATCAGGGCGAACTGCTGGCCTTCCCGGAGGTGGTACCCTTCCGTCTCACCCAGAACATGATCGCGGCCATGGGGCCGCTGGGCGTGGAGGGCAGCTATCGTAAGTGCTGTGAGATCACGCTGCGACTGCTCAGGCAGGAGGCCAAGACCCTGATGTCGATCCTGCGACCGTTCGTCTACGATGTGGGAGCCCAGATAAGGAATGGCAGCGCCGCCGCCAAGATCACCAATGATGTCCGGCTCATAGCAGATCGGTTGCAGGGACATGTGAGTGTATTTACATTTATATATATACCCTTTGCAGGGTATTATAATTAGTCAGAAGCTTTGAAAGCAGTGAAGGAGTCATTCCCGACCCTATAAATCATATATATTATTGATCAGCGTTGAAAGCCAAGTCGATCTAGCTATGCTCGGAACAATTTTCAAAAATTGATAAAAATTTAAAATTTGTACAATTTTTTATTGAGCATGCAGATTTTTGAAGCTAATTAAAACTAACATAGGAAAGCTTTCCGAATTAAAATTAATGAATTTTCAGCTGAGTTATGACTTTTTTAAATATTTGATTTGCCATATAAAAATATCGAATCGGATAATATTAATTTTTTAAGCTTAGATACGATCCTTTTCCGTTACGATTCTATAATTAAATTGAACACTACAAGGGTATATAAATTTCTGCTTTTAGAAGTTAATTTTCTTTCTCGTTTTTATATAATATCGTTATGCTTATATCGTTATATTGCTTTCGATCGGGTATTAACTAATACTAATTACTATTAATTCTTAATTTTGTATTCTTAATTTTCCAGGTCAAGCGTCAGGCCAACAGTATTCCCTTGTCCACTGAGGGACAAGTGAACTTTCTGATCAATGAAGCCACAAAATTGGACAACTTGGCTGTAATGTACATTGGTTGGGGAGCTTTCCTTTAGAGCTCTTTGTTCCTCACGCACAGAGTCTTTAAATACTCATTAATTTTCATATGCCTTTGTTTTTATATGTGTAAGTCGAAAAAATTAATAATAATTAGTAATCTATTTTCAATATATTCTTATATTCTTGATACAATAATCACAAAATGGGTAAATTTAAAAATTAGAATATCTAAAAATTAGCAAATTAAAAATTCAGAAAATTCAAGAATCCATTAAACTTGGGAAAGTATAAAATCAGAAATTATACAAACTTAATTTTAACCCACAAAAGCTTTAAGTACCGGGTTACTTATAATAGGGAACACTGTGGCTTGACTTGTAATTTTCGTACTTGTTGGTATTTATTATTTATTTACAAATTCTGTTATTTATCCATCGCAGCTTTTTTAATTTATTGAGGATCTAAAAGGAGAACCTATTCTCATTCCGGTGACTTCTCCAAAGCCCTCGGACCTCGAAACATATCGTTGACGATCTTGATGACAAAATCGGGCAGCAGGCAGGCCGCCGAGCAGATGATCGAGTAGAGCCAAAGGGGCAACGAGGCCAGGAACTGGTTGTAGACATCATAGAGCTCACCACTCGTGTCCAGGTTATAGAGGTATGTGGTCAGCATGAAGGCGAGGATCGAGGCAAGGATCATGGCCAAGTTCAGATAGGTGAGATACCGGGCCACCAGGAGGAGCTTCAGATTGCCCACGATCACAATGACGGTGATGAGCATGGTGCCGAATGTCTGGAAACTGGCAGTTTGTCCCACATTGTGGACAACGTTCTCATCGTTGAGCATGCAGTATGCAAAATAGAAGATGATGAAGCACTGCAGGAATCCGTTGAGAATCCACAACGTGAAGACGCCCATGGAAGCCTGTCGATTGTGGGCAAGGGTCTTGTAGAGCTCCGGATGGCTGGAAGAGATGGAAAATGGAGGCGAATCAATATTAGAGTTCTTGACCTCTCCTGGAGAAGATATACACCCACCTGAGAAGCTTCTCCTCGCTGTAGTGCTTGTCGGATATGGCCAAGTACGTGAAGCTGAACGAGATGTAGACAATGTCAAAGAGCCAGAGGTACAGCGAATTGTAGACATTGGTGGCAGAGAAGAGATCGTAGACCTGGAACAGGGCCATGCATCCGGTGATGATGATGTTCTTGTAGCAATAAAACAGCACCAAGAACGCCAATCGCTGTGAGTTATAGTGACCATGGACAAGGAGTAGCCTGCGCAGCATCTCAAAGCGGGCTATGGCAAAGTCTGCACAACGGGAAGCCTGTTTACCCTCGCGACCAGCTATCCCGATGCCAATGTGCGCCTCCTGGATCATGGACACATCGTTGGCACCATCCCCTATGGCCGCCGTAATGTGCTTCTTCCGCTTCTTCACCAGCGTCACAATCTCACACTTCTGGAGCGGACTCAGGCGGCAGCAGAGTACGGCCCGGCAGCGCAGGGCAAGATCGGCGAACTCGCGAGGCAAATGGGTAAGTAGGGCAGCAATTGTGATTCCATCAATCACCAGAACTTCCGCCCCGGCGGCTTCAAGCTCCTGCAGACGTGCTCGCAACTCCGAAGGCTCTGTCAGATCGACTATGAAGTGGGGCTTGGATCCAGGCGGTATATGACGACAGGCTAGACCTATATTGAAGGCCGTTTCCACTTTGTCGCCGGTCAGAACCCAGATTTTCAGTCCAGCTCGTTGCAGAGCTTCCAGCGTCTCGCCCACATTCTCCTGCAGAGCATCCTCCAGGGCAGTGGCTCCAAGGAGATCAAGGTCTGAAAAGTACAAGAGAAACTTAGATTATCAAAGGCAGAAAATTCTCAAAACAAAAAACTCACCCATCTCCACTGCTTCGTAGCACTTGGCAATGAGTTCCGAGCGATTGCTCAGCTGTATGTTGGCATTTCGGTACTCCGCCTCGAAGGTGGCCAATTCCTCCTCGGTGAGAATGCGCCGGGCCACGGCCAGGGTGCGAAGTCCCTCCTTGGCATACTTGGTAATCTGCTCGTCGGTCTGCTCCAAACGCGGACTTGGCTTGCACCGCGGAAAGATGATATTCTCCGCTCCCTTGCTGTACAGCCAGATGGTGCCACTCTGGCACTCCCTTAGTATGACACTCATACGCTTCCGTTCCGAGCTGAACTCTAGGACATGTAGCCGTTCGAAACTTAGCTCCTCGGTGCTTGTGCCGCCGCCTCCCCAAGGATACCGACGAATGTATAGAATGTCTTTGTCCAGTCCCTCGAAGACGAGACCCAAACTGGCGCAGCCCTCGAGCAGGGCCTTTTCATCGGGACTGGAGGCCTGATAGCGGCCAACGATGTCACCATCCATCAGGCGGCTTCGTTCGGATGTGGACTCTGGAGACTTCTCGCCTGCTGCTCCCTGGAGCACTTCCACGGTGTGGCATACGGTCAGAGCCTCGAAGAAGACGCTAGCCTCGGCCTAAATAGTTAAGGAATTCAGTGCTAACTTCCAGAATGCTTCCAAGGATACTCACATCGAGTTTGCCCAACTCCAGCTGCTCGCCAGTGTCCTGGCAGACAAGTTGGGTCTTCTGCAGACGAAAGTTTCTCCCAGACACATAGCAATTGACGAACTTCATGAGGTTCTTGGTGAGGGTGCCCGTCTTGTCGGAGAACAATATGTTGACTTGGCCCAACTCCTCATTCAGGTTGGAGGCGTTAACTCGGCACGGTTGGTCGGTTTCCTCGTCATACAGATGGAGATCATTGTGCATGAAGTGCATGCCAAAGATGCGATAGAGCTCGATGTTCATGTAGGCGGATATGGGAACCATGTAGTTGAAGAGCAGCAGGAACGAGAGGAAGTCCTCAAAGATTTGCCACGCTGAGTTGAAGTTGGTGGGAGGACCCAAGTATGGCATAGTGGGCACAATCTTGGCTTCCTTGTGACTGCACCGGAAGGGATTAAGATATATTAATAAGAGTAACTTCTATTAATCTAATTTCCTCTTACCGCTGGATGAGATACAGTACAACCACCACCACCACCATGCCGACGATGAGAGCCACCATGAACTTGTTGATATACTTCTCGCTGGAGGCGGACTTGTTGCCCGTGTACCGGCTATTCAGCTGCAGCTTCGTATGCATGCCCGTGTAGATGGCACAGCCCATCGCCCGGTCCGTTCCCTTGAGTCGGACGCCACGGAGCAGCAGGTTATCAATAGTCAGCGGCAAGGCGGCTTCACCAGAGTTGAGCTCCAGACGTCCATTGAAGCTGTATAGATCCGGTGTGGCAGCCTCACACACAATATAGCCCTGGCCAACTCCGGCGCTAAGCTCATAGTTATGTGGCGTCAATATAGTCTTCAGGTTGGTCTCTCCATCCAGATTGGCCGTGGTCACATGGCACTTGGAGGATCCAGGCGAAGACTGCAGCAGCACGAGATCACAGGGCACATCTCCATCGTTTCGTACCACCACAAGATCGCCGGGTATAACAAACTGAGAGGCTATGACTTCTTCCTTGCCGTTACGGATGACAGTCACTGGAATATAAGGTTGGACATGATTAAATTTATTTCAGCAACATTCTATCTTTAAATTAAATTTATTTATTAATTTAAATTAGTTAAAAGCTATATATTTTATTCTTGAACTAAGGGCAATAGTATGTAGAAGATTTCGGCAAGATCCATTTCCAAAGCAATCCTCACATCGTAACTCCAAAACGCCTTCCTCTGCGATTCTCACACCCTGTACCTAAGACGGGCCTCGGTCCCACGAAGTATGAAAATTGCCTAAATAGGCTTTGCTTAAGTGTAAGGTATGAGAATCGCATAGAAGGGCGCTCTACGTACATAATTTTTACTATTCTCATATTTGGTACCTGGGGCGCCCTCCTCTGCGATTCTCAAGTCGTATACCTAAGCAAGGCCCTAGCTAAAAGAAATTTAGTTTTCTTCTTCTTCTTTTTTTATATAAATTATTAATTTAATGTTTGGTGGCTTTAATCAAGTGGAAGTTTAATCAAGTGAGTTTAGTTTTCTAAATTTAAGTAACACCTGGTAATAGTATATCTTAAAAGTTTGAACCAAAACAAGGCCCACATAAGTCGACATAATTGAGAATATGGTTTATATTAAATTATTATTTAATTACTATACCTTACCCTTGGCCGTGTTGACTAGCTTATCGCTCTTTGATCTCGAGAAGTCTTCCAAGCCCTCTTTAAGAGCCGTGATAATCATGACGAAGAGCAAAGGCAGCAGCGAGACGAGCGGAGATATGGTGTCATCTATTTGTTTATTGTGAAGTATAGTTAACTCCAGATGTCCAGAAAATGGTTTATTCAACACGAGAACTTACTTACGAAGAACGAGACAATGGTGATGATTAGAAAGTAAAAGTAGACGGCCCGTCGGAACTGCTCATAGAAGTTGAGGGGCAGAAACGTAAGCCAATTGTACTTGGTGGTCGTCACCCGGTTGAGGCTTTGCTTTCGGTGACCTTCGATACCGCCAATCTTAATACGCAAAGGCGGATCGACTTTTGTCTTTTTCTTGCCCTCTGCCCCCATGGTGTCTAACTTATTCTTTGATATTAATTCGAGTTAAATTCATGGAGAGAGTACCTCCTTATAACTCTCGTCGCGAGACCTTTCCGAGCAGAAGTAAGACTGACTTTCGGTAGCGTTCCAAATTGCGCAAAAGTGCTAACTAAATTGGCGTCTGATAAGGATGATAATCACACACACCATTGCTTTGTAAGTGGGCCTGTCAAAGAGAGAGGTATCCCATCCAAAAATAAGATATGTTTTTATTGTAATTCCATGGGTAATAATCACTAAGATTAGGAGAATTCCTATTTCCGGCGGGTTTACCGATGATAGATTAGTGGAAACATCAAAGTCGAGGGTTCTAAAAGAATACATAGAGAGAAATTATACTGTACAAAGATCTTTCTTTTTAAGTTTCTTGGATTAAATTAACCAACCTTGGGTGATCAATTATTTTCCACAAAGTGCTCAAGTGTATATCTTTATTTTTCAATTAGAGTTATATATTCTCTTACTTTAAATATATTTTCTCTGGGTGTAGATATAAGCAAACCAGATTAAATTTACTGTTTCCACTTTGATATTAGATTAAAAATCAATTTGTAGTTTAATGTGAACATTTACAACTATGAAAATAAGTACTTATTACACAATTATAATGTATGTTTATGTACATATGTTTGTCGTGTTGAAACCTCTTCAGAAATTATATCAGCGTTGGGTTCACTTTCGTATATAGATTAATATTATCGGCTATTTAAAATTCCAATATCAAATCCACCTGATATTTGTATACCTGCACCACAACAATACCTAATCGCTGGTCTAATCGTGTATTTCGAATACCCCATGAGGGCACTTTGAGCGTTATTTTCTTTTTATTTTTTTAAATGGTCTTTATGTTTTTGGCTAATACTAGGCCATGAACAGTGGTCTTAATTTAGTATAAACTACTTATTTTTCTACAAAAATTATGATAAATATGAATGTTAGTCACATTTCTGAATGTGTTCCTTTGGGACTCCAATTGAATTTTTGATATTACAACTCTTGTTGAGAGATTTTAATCAAGCTTAGATTCAATTATTTATTAGACTTTTGGAATCATTGTTATATTTTTTATATTTTGTCAAATTTTGTTGTGTCTTTATATTTGTGAATTGATTAACAGATAAGAAGAACGGTCAGGTATTTAATCATTAAAAGCTTGAAAGGCTGGAATAATATTCAAAGAACAATACTTTTCAGCACACTTTTGGGCTGAAACATATATGTTATTTATATTTAATACACATAGAATTGTGATAAAAATTATGATACTAGTATAAGTTTACTGAACGGATGCAGGAGTTAAAAGACTCATACCTAAATTAATTATATACACATGTAATAATAGCATCTAGAGTTCTATAAAACACCTTGAGTATTTTTATTTTTTGAATGGAGATTTGAAAAATGTACATATCTTCATAAGGACTGTTCCTCTAAATAACTTATTAATATCTTTTATTATTTCCCCTTTTAGTTTTGAGCTAATTTACATATATTTAATTGTTTATCAACCATAATATTTGGGTTTTTCTTAATGATCATTTGATCGAGTCGGAATTGATTGAATAGACTTTAAGCTCCAAATTCTATTTCCGGCAGCCATTTATATTTTAGTTTACTCATTTTTAACTGATCGATGACATCGGGTTTGGGTCAGAAATCCCAAAGGTGAGTCACCAAACGATGATAACCGTCCATAAATGTGACTTAACTAACTAAATAAATTATATGAAACGAGCATTTATTTATTATATATGTGTTAAGCTAATATCTTAAGTACTAAGATACTTTACAATTGCAATTAATTCATTTAATCACAGTACACTTTTTGATTTCCAATTTATTTACAATTGTTGACAATTGCTTTTTGTCGAATGTAATAATTGATTGCATAACTAATAATGAAAGTTACGCAAATGTCCATTTAGATAATGTATAAGCATGTAAACAATAGGGTAGCGTAGGAGGTTGTGTCAATAATTTAAAGATTTGAGATAATGTTGATACATTTACAATTCTTTAAAGATTTCTTTGATGATTTATAGATTTTAAATAAATGAAACAATGATCCATTTAAATCCTGTTTTTGAGATATGCCCTAAGATTTGAAATATCTTTTAAAGGGCTTATAAAAATATTTAATGCAATCTCTCAGTTAGGCAAATATTTATGTTGTTTAATTTTTTTTTTTAAAGGATTTCCCCGTATATTCGCTCTTGATTGATACATTGGACCAAACTTCATGCCATTTCCCGGGGGCAAGAACCAATCTCTGGGTTAAATGAGTCACAAACCATCGACGCACGCCTCCAGCTCCGAATCCGATTCCGACTCCGGATAGGGCGACGACGACGACGACTAGGAGGACGGATATGTGTGTGTCCATGTGATTCAATGCCTCACGATAAGATATTGTTATCGACTTTATCTCTTCGGCTAATGGCAAATCGCGAACAGCAAACAGTTCGGAGCGGCTAAGAGAGAACCAGCTGAGCTGCACCCAAGAGCGAGTCCGTGGGAACCCCCCATTGCGATGAGAAGTGTGCCTCCAGGAGAGAATGGTCTTTCGATGGCTCCCAATCCGTATGTATCCGATTCCTAAGCATAATTATAATTCGTTTGCCGATTTCACCATAGTTTTCGGGTGCAACGCACTTGTTTTATATTATTTATTTTTTTGCACTCATTTGGCAATATCTATAAGTCGTTAAGACCCTGCCTGGGTTCAGGTGTGGACTGGGGCTGGGGGCTGGGGTTGGGGTTGGGGTGCGGTCTATGGGCTATGGGCCCATGGGTGTAAATATATGGGAACATACATGCAAAGTCCGACTGGCGAGTAGCATATAGGAGGTACGCATGGGTTTGTTAGTGGTATCGCTATCAACAATTCTTCGACAGTTTGCCGATAGATCAGTTTGCGCGTGGAAGGCTTCTCTTTCCATCGTGTACTCCAGTGTACAAATAATAATATTATATATATATATATAGAATTTAACTCTTTTTGTTTTTTCCTGTGGCTTTTCGCAATTTGTTTGTCGTATTTTTGTCGTATTTGCTTTGGCCACGTTAAGCGAACTGGTGGCTTTGTCACCCGATATTTGTTTTGTCAGGAGGACCTCCCGCCGCACAAACGACAACGACCCGCAAGCATTGGGATAAAATACTCCTGGAAGAATCCTTCATAACAGTATGGTATGTTTAATCAAGGATCGATCTGAACCGTATAGAAACCAAACTTCTCCAGATCACTTACCTGCGAAGCATTTAATATAAGGGTTTAAAAATTACCTTTTAGTGCTTGTGCAATCAAGACTGGATATTTCTTGTATTATTTATTATTTATTTATGAAATCAAAATTTCGAATAATATATAAATTATGTTAATAAGTGGAAGGATCTTTTGCAAATAAACCCAATCTTTGCCCCAAAGTGTGAGCTATGAAAACTGAGCTTTTCTGTAGTGAAACTCTGGCCGATCATTAAGATTATATATTGTATTTAAAGTGTTATTTTAAATTGTGTAATAGAATCACTCAAGTTCTGCGCTAAAAAGCTTTATTATTATGGTGAAATCCAAGACAGTAAATCCGTTTGACACAACTGTGATACTGGCACGCGTCCCCATGTCGATCTCCAGGTGTTATCGCTGTGTTTATGGACTCTCAAGTGACTTGTCGAGATGCTTGTTTCAAGCAAAAAAACTGCCTCAATCATGGTGATACTCACGCTCCGTGTCGATCAGATAAAATTTGGTTCTAGCGCCCCTTTAAAGATATATAAGTCATATAATGTAACCGAAAACGAAACGAACCAAACTGAACCGAACCCAACCCAGTGCCAGGCCGGGCTCCTCTAACGCTGTTGATAAGCGGCTGCAGTTGCTCCGATGTCCGCTCTGTCCGCTGTCCGCTCTGTCCGCTGACACCGTCGATTAGTCAGCTGAGGTGCTCCGGCACTTAGATATCCCCGCAATCTTATCAGCATTTTGGCAGTTTACTCTATATATGTATACATATATTCGAGATATGGCCAAGCCCCGACTAAGAGAGACTGTTACTAGAAATGAACCCAAAGGGGGATACCGGATTATGTGGGCCCGGGTTCTCTTGCACGGATGTTTCAGTTCGTTCGGGAAGTGCGCTTTGAGTGGCGGAATCGTCTCAACTGTCTGTTTTATAAGTACTATTATTATTTGTATTATCATTTTTATTATTTTTTGAGTGTTAGAGCCTTGAATATGTCGGTGGAAAGCAAGTTACGTTGAGCTAACCACGTTAAAGGGCTGATAAAACGGGGTGTAACCCATAAAGATAACGCATTTGTGCACGTTCATGACGTCTCCGTAATTGCATTGATTGAAAATAGTGTGCCGTTCTCTCTCTCTCTCTCGGACTCTCTGTCTATCTCTCTCTCTCTCTCTAAATAACCGGGTCTAAAATCAAAGAGTGTCTGTGCTTCGACTAAACCAAAGAGTGGGACTATTGGTTACCAAAAAGTTAGTTCCCGATAAGCAATACGACCAATTCGAAGGCAACGAGCTATTTCGACGTGAGAGATATACTGAAATCGGTCAGTTGTAGTTATGCTATTGTTTCGCGTCGGTGCCGCATTGTCCCCAGAAAGCCCATCCGTATATATATGAGAACTTGGAGAGGATACACTTAGGATACACCCCAAAACGCAGCGTGCATCATGGATAAGTTCTTCGAGAGGCTTCTTCGCAAAAGGGTGAGTCTCTCGGGTGTTACTGGAATTCGATTGAACGATTGACAGGAACAAACAGTGTGAATTCTTTCAAGTATTAGGTCATAGCCATGTCCCAACTGAGTGTGTGTTTATCCGGAAAGCAATCTATATTCGTGAAATAAACAGTCCAAAAAAGTTCCGACACTTGATACTGCCAACGGTTGGTAGCTGGTATCATGCTTCTATAATCTTCAAAATCCTTCATTTAGCTTCAAGGTTTTATGGTTGTATTTACCTAAAATAAAGGAGATCTTGTATTTAATTGAAATGGCAGCCGAAAAAATGGTAGTAAATAAGATTTTAATTTTGTTTACCAATATATATACTTGAAGATTACAAAGTGAAGGAAGCGTTTATAATCCCTTGAAGTATATGAGATTGAAATGTTAAACTTTACATGAATCGCAGAAAGTTTGTAAATGATTTTTTTACTCATGTTTTGCCTTGATAAATATATTTTAACTAACTAATTTTTAACAAAATCATAATACGTATCTGTAATCCGTATATTACGTATACGCATTACGTATACGCAATATGTATACGCATTAAGTATACGCATTACGTATACGCAATGTTGTTTTGATCTTTAATATTTTGTTACATGCGTATATACATATATAAATTTGATTGAAATTTGAACACAATCAATTTTATACGGTTAGAACATGTATGTTTTAACAATATTTTGCACAATTGTTATATCCTTGTAGGGTATTATAATTTTGTTTAGAAGCATTTAACGCAGTGAAGGAGTCATTTCCGACCCTATGAATTATATATATTCTTGATCAGCATCAAAAGCTGAACCGATCTAGCTATGTCTGGCAAAAATTAAATTTTTTAAAAAATTTGAACATTTTATAAGGGGTAACATTGTTAAAATTTTTAAAAATTGATAAAAATTTTCATTTTTCAAAATTTTATGTTGAGTATGCAGATTTATTAACATATTAAAAACTTACATAGGAATGCTTTCCAAATTGAAATTTATGCATTTTTGGCTTAGTTATGATTGATTTCAAATTGGAGTTTCTGAGGGTAAGCAACTCCAGATTTTTTGTTAAAATTATCTTAAAATAATAGTAAATATTTATAAATAATAAGAAATTACGTATGAAAAGCACAAGGAACTTCTTAAAAAGTGTTTTTAGATATTGGTAGCTTTGGGAAACGTAAAGTTTCTGTTTACCAAACATTTCATGCGGTAACATTTTCTACAGATTTAGTTTACTCTTTACACTCAATGGTTTTTTATGTGTGATTTTATTTAAATATAAATAGTGTGGGGAAACGACGACGTCATCAATATGCCAAATTAACTATGCACTTTGAACCTATCAGCTACCGAACTGGCCTGGGACTTGTGTGTATCGGGAACTTTTACTCGACGACGTCAATAAGATTCGAGCTTTTATTGGCTGCTCCCCCGTGGGTCTGCTCTGCTCTGGGTCTACGTTCAATTTTCGAGGCTGTGAATCCGAATGGGAATGGGGGAATGGGGTAAAGGGGATTGGGGATTGGGGAATGGGTATCGGGGAGTGGGACTTGGAGGTGGAAGCGCCGCAGACCTCCCATTCTCAGTGTGAGAACGGCTTTCCAGTGGCGCACATCGCCTCATACTCGTCGCACATCGCACATTGCTCATCACGCGGTGGCTTACCGATCGTTAGATTTCTCGTAGTTATTGTTGTTGTTTTTCCGTGCAATCTATCGTTGCCTATCGAAAGTCCTGCAAGGACATTGATTTATCGATCAAAGCAGGAGTATAGAATGGCTGACATATCGGAAAAGCCTTTGAGTGCATAGAAGCCGGCATAAGGTTTAGGCCTTAATGTTACGTGACGAGAGTGTGTGTGTGTATATTTATGTGTGCTAAGAGCCATGTAAATACAAAAGGCAAATATATGTACCACGCACCGATACATACAGTGTAGAGCGCACTTACGTTTGCACAATGATCATAGAACCTTTCAATTGAAGTGTTAAAATTGACCACTTAACATCGCTTTAAGGTTATACGTTTAGACGTTTTTATACGCTTCCTAAGTGTGCTGAGAAAAATCGGACTCTCTATGTACAAATATAAATAAATATAACAATAGATAAATAGCAGCAAACAAGCAGATGCTTCCCGGAGCACGGGAACATCAGCTGCAAAGTTTGTGGAAATTTGTGGCAAACCCTCAAGAGATGAAACCAAAGCCCAAGACAAAGCCAAATGCCCGGCGCCAGGTGTCCTTGTCCGTGTCCATGTCCATGTCAGTGTTCGCTTTGGATGTCCATGTTAGACAATGAATTTCTTTGGCCATGACTATCTGAGCGGATTTCGACGCATCGATCGCATTGGTTCCACCTATCGGCCACCGGTCTGGGCCGAACAGGAGTCGTATCATCTCAAGGAGGCACTCCTATGGAATAGGCGTAAGGTAAATGTGATCTTTGAGAGAAGTCTTACAAAAAAGAAGCTAATAATGTCAAGGAATTCTTAAAACATGACTAAAACTATGAAACACACTCTTTATAAACATTTTCTGTGGAAAGCCCATTGATTTATATAGTTGTAGTGATTGTTTAAGACCTTTAAAAAAAACTTAAATTAGCAAGATCTCTAAGAAACATTACCATTATAGTTTAAGTTACTTCAATTAAAGGGAATATCGTAATGAAAGAGAACAAAAACTTCAAAATTATATATACATATGTATGTATATATAAAAGTCTTTGTTTATAATCTAATCAGTATCTGTCAGCTTGTAGTTATCATTTGATTTCCAGTCCCTTCCCCTTTAAATTGTGCTTCTCCCCCAGACAGTATTAGTTTTCTATACAAATGATATGAGAGCAGGGTTTTATAACTATTTATAGACTTATAACCCCAATATTCCAATACTTGTTTCTGGGAAGAACCAAGATACCAAGTTTAAGTCAAGTATAAAGAATCAGACATATTATAGTTAAGGGTTGTAAGTTCTTATTCGATTGATTGATAGGTACTTTACAAAATTCTAGAGTGGAACTATAAAACTAACTTACTATAACAGCTCTCGAAATATATTTTAACATGATCTTCATACATGATCTTCAAATAATAAAAGATTTTGCCATATTCAGATGCATATATGCTTTGCATAGTAACCTTCTTCCGCACTCTCTCTCGGTGCGATTCGTCACTTAATTAACCCCATTAACCCCATAGCCCAAACTCATTCATATTGATGTTCGAAAAAGATTGTCAGCATTGCTTTAATAGGTAAACACTCGTAGACATGCATATATGAGTGATTTCTTGTCTTTTATTTAGTTTTTAGTTTTCAAATTTAACTAGGAACTTCCGTGGGTTATAGTTCATGTCTTCTGATTCGCAGCCAGCAGGTAGTATCTGATAAGTAAAGTTCCCTGACAGGTTGCGAGCGCCTATCTATATTTACGACTATATCTAAATATATTAACAGGGATCCAGAGTTAGTACCATAAATGACTGGCTTCAAATACAAATCGGTGGCACCGAGGATGTCAAGAAGAAAAGGGCCAAGGGCCAGAATCGCATCAAGTCCACGAAATACACATTGATCACATTCCTGCCACAGAATCTGTTGGAGCAATTCCGGCGGATAGCGAACTTTTACTTTCTGGTTATGACCATAATATCCCTTTTGATCGGTAAGTGATCCTGAGACTCCAAATAGTATATAATTTATATATTTCTGTATCCTATAGACAGTCCTGTGTCCCCTATGACCTCGCTTCTGCCCTTGGTCTTTGTGATCGCCGTGACCGCAGCTAAACAGGGTTATGAAGATGTCCTTCGTTATAGGACGGACAATGTGGTCAATGCCTCACCGGTGACGGTCATCCGGGATGGCAAAGAGGCCATTATCAAATCCGAGGATGTCGGTCCCGGGGATCTTGTTGTGGTCGAGCGTGACTGCGATGTTCCTTGCGATTTGGTTCTATTACGCTCCACGGATCCGCATGGCAAGTGCTTTATAACCACGGCCAATTTAGATGGTGAGTCCAATCTTAAGACCCTTCTGGTGCCACGCGACCTGCCCACCGTGGATCTGTCCGAGATGCACAAGCTGGGCATGATCGAGTGCGAGAGTCCCACCACGGATCTGTACAGTTTCAATGGCAAGATCGAGCTGAAGGGCAGCGAGGGTCGGGTGCTGCCCCTCTCCGCCGAGAATGTCCTGCTGCGCGGTTCAAGGGTCAAGAACACCGAGTGCGTCATTGGCTGTGCCGTCTATACCGGAATGATCACCAAGCTGCAGCTAAACAGCAGGCTCACAAGGAACAAGAATGCCTCCAGCGAGACGTACATCAATCGCTTCCTGATTGTCATTCTGGTGGCCCTGATTGCGATAGTTACGCTGCTGTACTTCCTGAAGCGGTGAGTAGTCTCCCGGAAAGAGGAGAGTGCATATTTTAAAATATTTCCTTCTTGATCCGCAGCTACAATGAGCTCTTTGTGATACCTAAGCTGACCTATTTGGGCGATGCCACGGACAGCTACAGTGTGAAGCAATTCCTGCAGGACTACCTGTCCTTCTTGATTCTCTTCAATTATTTGATACCCATCTCCCTGTACGTGACCATTGAGCTGCAGCGCGTCATTGGCAGCCTTTTTATGGAGTGGGACCAGGAGCTATACGAGAGCGAAACCGATCAGCCGTGCGTGGTGAACACCTCGAACCTGAACGAGGAGCTGGGACAGATCAACATACTCTTCTCGGACAAGACGGGCACGCTGACCAAGAACGAGATGAACTTCCAGCAGTGCTCGATAGCCGGCAGCAAGTTCCTCTTCAAGAAAACGCGTCTGGAGGATGAGGAGACCAAGGCCCTTTTGGACATTAACAAGTTTAATGTGAGTCTTGAAAGATATTCTAGATATGATATCCCTGCTAATGGAATTCCTCTCCCTGCAGGCAAACCAGCGCATCTTCTTTCAGGCCTTGAGCATCTGTCACACCGTTCAGGTGGCTTCCGGCTCCTTGGAGGAGGCCGATGCCAGCAATAATAAGAAGGAGCCTGCGGCAGGCACAGCGGCGGCGACCATCAAGTCTGGTCCACCCGAGATGTACTCCATTTCGGACATCACCGAGGAGAGCCACAATTCTAGTCAGCAGAGCGAGCTCAATGTGAGTCACACCATTGAGAATTCAGTGTCGTCGCATCCCAACAATGGCAACTTCACGGCCACCTCCTCGGACGTGAATCCTCTCCTGGTCTCCGGCGATGGCTATGGCGTGGAGCGCCGCAAGCGTCCGGTTGTGGTCAAACGGAGCCCGAATTTTGCCCGGGCCAACCGTGTGCACATTGCCGACTCGCCATCGATCCCGACTGAGCTAAATGGCAGTGGTGCCACTAACGGCATCAGTTCCCAGCCCAACATACGTCCCATTTCCTTACAATTCCAACGCTCTACCTCGGAGCGAGATCTGCCGCAGTTCGAGGAGGCCAACGCGGGGCCGGCCCTTGGACATCGACGGGCCCACTCCTATGGGGCGCCCAATGCCTACCTCTCTAACCCCTTGGCGGTACCTAGCAGTCCGCCTGCGGGCGTCCTCTTCCGCTCACCCAGCACCGCATCGCGCGAGTCCTATGCGGCGCCCACCTTCACACGGCAGCCCACCATGCTGGTGAGGGCCGAGTCACAACGCCGGAAGAACGAGATTCGTGATTTCATATTGTAAGTACGCTCCTTATACTTTTAAAGACTGGCTGCAACTATAATAACAAACGTAATCTTACCTTTCAGCACCCTTGATTATCAGGCCTCCAGTCCGGATGAGAAGGCTCTGGTAGAGGCTTGTGCCAACCTGGGCATGGTCTATACCGGTGACGATGACGAGGTGCTCCGCGTGCGTATCGTGCCACCGCACATGGACTACAAGCGACCGTTTACCAATGCCAAGCCCAAAGAGGAAACCTTCCATCGTCTCCATGTCCTCGAGTTTACCTCGGATCGCAAACGTATGAGCGTCATTGTTAAGGATGCAGAGGGTCGGAAATGGATCTACACGAAGGGTGCCGAGAGCTATGTGTTCCCGCTGTGCGCAAACAGTTCAGCGGATCTAGTGACCAAGACGGATGCTCACATCAGTGACTTTGCCCGTCTCGGGTTGCGTACACTGGCCATTGCTCGGCGCCAGATAGGGGAGGCGGAGTACCAGGACTTCCTCACGGAGTTGGCTCAGGCCAATAGTTCGCTGGAGAACAGGAAGCAGCTCAGCGAGGAGTGTTACGCCAAGATCGAAAGCAGTGAGTCATCATCCTTAATTATTCTATGGTTCTGTGGATATATTTGCTACTTGTTTCTCTTCAAGATCTTGATCTGCTGGGAGCCACAGCTGTGGAGGATGCCCTGCAGGATGATGTGGCCGATACCCTGGTCTCGCTGCAGGCGGCGGGTATCAAAATCTGGGTGCTCACCGGCGACAAGGTGGAGACGGCCCTGAACATAGCGCTATCCTGCGGTCACATACCGCCCGATGCCAAGAAGTACTTCATCATTGATTGCAAGAACCGAGAGGAGATGCTGCTGCACCTGAACGCCCTGGACAGGGAGATTATATTCGGCATTGGCCAGGAGTGTGCCCTGCTCATCGATGGCAAGAGTTTGGGTGTGGCTTTGGCTGAGGTCAGCTCTGAGTTCCGGGACGTGGCTGTCAAGTGTACGGCAGTACTCTGCTGTCGCCTTAGTCCGCTGCAGAAGAGCGAGGTGGTGTCACTGATCAAGTCCTCCAATGAGAACTATAACACGGCCTCCATTGGTGATGGGGCCAACGATGTGTCCATGATCCAGGAGGCGCATGTGGGCATTGGGATCATGGGTCGCGAGGGAAGGCAGGCGGCACGCTGCGCGGACTTTGCCTTTGCCAAGTTCTGTATGCTGAAGCGGTTGCTCCTGGTCCATGGTCACTATCACAGCGTCCGGCTGTGCCTGCTGGTGCTGTACTTCTTCTACAAGAACATTGTCTTTATGGGCATCATGTTCCTGTTCCAGTTCCATACGCTGTTCTCTTCATCCTCCGTGTACGACTCGCTCTTCCTCACCCTGTACAATGTGATATATACCTCGCTGCCCATCCTGTTCATAGCCATCACCGAAAAGCCCTACACCGAGGAGAAGCTGATGCAGTAAGTGTTGGTCAAGGATCTTCTTAATCTTAATAATTAATAAATTAATTGTAATTCCATAGAACGCCGCAGCTGTACAAGAAGAACACGGACAACAAGCAGCTCCATTGGCCATTCTTCCTCATGTGGATGCTGTTCGCCATCTACCATTCGGTGATCATCTTCTACTTCGCCTTCTGCCTGTTCTCGTACAACAATGTGATCCTGAACTATGGCCAGACGGTGGCGTTTTCCTGCTTCGGTACCCTGCTCATGTGGACCGTGGTGGTTGTGGTGAACCTCAAGCTCTGGCTGGAGTCCATGTACCTATCCTTCTGGTACATATTCACCATTGTCATTTCCATTTTGGGCTTTGTGATCACCACGGTTATCTACAACGTTATCAACCTGTGAGTATATATGTGTATATCTTGGGGTATATCTTATAATCTAAAACAAATGGCTTTTGCAGGGACTACGACACTGATATCTACTGGGCCTACAACAATTTGCTGGCCTCGTTGCCGGTCTGGCTGTGGATATTGCTGACAAGTGTGGCCTGCCTGGTGCCTGACTTCACCATCCGGATGCTGCAGAGGGCTCTGAACATCAAGCACTTTAGTATCTTTCCCGGCAAACAGCGAAAGATGAAGATGCGCGAAAAGGCCGAGAATACGTACTTGTAGAACCCTCTAGGCTATAGTTTTTATACTGCTAATTTATTTATTTCCTTTCTATGTGTACATATTACTTTTTTTTTAAGAAAATCGTTTTTTTTTGGAAAAAATTAATTTCTTGGCTTTGAATATTACCAAAAATTGGGTTAATGATAAAGAAAAGTAAGTAAACCCAAGTAAAATTATTATTACTGCTAATAAATCCGGGGTTTTAGTAATCACACAAAGCTGTGTGGCTTTCAGCCACTTAAATTCCCTTTTCATTGAGGCAATTTTTTTAAATCTAAAAATTCTGAGAGATATATTTGTGGAAACCTTTGAAATCAACCAAAAACCTATCAAAACCCTTACTCGAAACAGCCTCAAAAAATTATTATTATTAGGTTAAGAAAAATGTAATTATTTACTTTCCGCTGACTAGTTTTTAGTATTTAGATTTAGATAAACCCAGCAAGGTTAGTACGGCGTTTAAAGAATGATATGTGAAGGGACCTGATCACGTCGACCAGAATCAGAGAACCTACTTCCAATACATACTACCAACCCCATTATGACGTTATCTGGTTGATGGCGTCGGTCCCATTCGCATTGCTGGGGCAATACCAAAAACACTTTGATTGTGAGGCCTTTTTTTCGATGATAATGATATCTCCACAGCCGTTCACACACGGCAGTCTATGGGTGTATTTCGTATTCGTAGGTACAAAGATAACACCCACTCTTTCGAGGCACATTCGCAGCAACATTCTGGCAGAGATCCAGAGCACGGTGCGCGGTGTGGCTCATTATTATTACTATTATTATTACATAGTAGACCCTTCTGGCTAGCTGCGTTTTATGGAGAGCCGGCGAAGAGTTCGCTGGGTTAGTACCACTCAATATAGTTCGGTTCGCTGCCAGTGGGGCAATGTGTGTTCGCTATCGCACATAGATTTCACGGCCGCCTAAAGCTGGGAGAGGTGGAGGAGGAGGAGCAGTATCTAAACTGAGTCCATGTCCATGATGTGTAATCAGCGGGCAAAAGTGCCCAAGTGTGCGAGTATGACTACCATGGCGAGGAAGGCTCTTAATCATTTCCAACGTTCCGCGTTCAGTGTGTGTTTAGGGCGGTGTACTGGCAGCACCAAGAAAAGAATCCGCTGACCACCAACACAACACACAGTTTCCCAATTTTCAATACCCTCTCTCTCTGTCTCTCTTACCATGTCCTTCACAAAGGCTTTGTCACGGGAGATCATACCGGATCAGCCAGAGGAACAGGAGACGGGAAAGTCCACGACCATAGTCAAGTATGAGAAGTCGTCGTGTCTGTTTTGCAACGAATGGTTTGACGCTCAAACTTTTACGGTGAGTGTAACCTTATGCACATTCTTCCACCTTTCTCAATCTTCCTCACTCTCCCCTCAGGAGCACTTGATCCACTGTGGCCAGGTTCTGGAGGAGTGCCCCAAGGGCTGCCTGGCTTTTATACCGCGCATCCGCATGCGCTCCCATTTGAAGGAGTGTCCTCGGGCCAAGCAGCAGCTTTCCAACGGCCAGCGACTAAGTGCCAGCATGGACAGGCTGGACCAGCAGCAGTCCGATCATCGCCTGCAGGCCCTGGAGCAGGATGTGGGCACCATTCGCTCGGTGCTGAACGAGGAGATCCGTCAGCGCCTGCACCTCATCACCGACGTGGGCAACATCCGGAAGCAGAACCAAGTGGTCGAGGACTGGAACCGTGACACCGACGAGGTGGTAAGCGGTCTCCGACGTCAGATCGAAGAGGAGGCCTCCCAGAGAGCCTATGCCATTGAACAGAACCAGCTGGACTTTCAATACTGCTGCAATATCACTCAGGTGGGTTGGAATAATCGTATATAATATATATATATATTCTTGCTGACCCTTTATCCACCGCAGTCCCTTAAGGAGCAAGTGGAATCCAGGCTGGACGAGGCCCAGAAGCTGGTGAATCAGCTCTCACTGGACGTGACCTTCCACCAGAATCAGCTGAACGACAACATCCTTAAGCTGGAGGAGCTGATCTTCGAGAATGAGCGCCAGAATCGGTGAGTGAGGCTGAAGTGGCACCCTGGCATCTCGGCTTGAAAACATTGCTGAAGCAACCTGCAGCGACAAGTTCTTCCAGATTGAGGAGTTCATGCAGCAGATCAACGAGGACATCAAGACCAAGCTGGGCAACAGCGATTATGTCACCACGAAGCAGGCCACACTGGACTACGAGGTTAAGAACGTGAAGAACATTGTCTGCGAGACGGAGGAACGCTGCGACAAGCTGGATAGAGCTCTCCACCAGACCATGCAGAATCTATCGGATCTGGAGAATCAAATGGCCATGCAGCAACGCATAGCCAGTGTGCAGAACATCAGGGGTATGGTATCCATGGTATCCCAGGACTAGACTCAAAACCAGTGCTCCTTTCAGGTCATTTGATATGGCGCATCAAGGACTACTCAAAGAAGTTGGATGAGGCTAAGCAGTATGATACCATTCTGCATAGCGCCATGTTCTCGAACAAGGCCTTTGGTTATGCTTTAAGGGTGAGTATCTCTGGCAATCCAATCCAATCTGAACGAGAAGTAATGATCCGCATTATCCCCTCCAGCTGGACATTTACCTGAACGGCAAGGGCACCTGGAAGGGTCGGAATATGATAGCTTGCCTTAATGTCCTTTCCGGTGAGTATGATCCCCTGTTGGCCTGGCCCTGCCGCCTCCAAGCCGAGATCGTGATCCGTGACCAGTGCTCGAATATGGCCGAGGCCCAGGACTATGTAAAGACAATATTTGTGCGAAAGAAGAGCGATGACTTTATTCAGAGCAACCAGTACTTCCACATACCCCACAAGGTGATCACCAGTCGCAATTATCTAAGGAATGATGCCATGTTCATCGAGGTTCGCGTTCTCAAGTTATGATGGAGTCTACTTTTGGGATCACTCTGGTATATTCCCCAGAAATCCAGAAGAAAACACAAACACGCTTTCCGATTACTGAGAACAACAACATATGTAATAATTTATTTCATTGAGAGCAAACTAGAAGTTTGAATTGTTTAATAAACACCATTATGTATAGTATATGTAATTGTATAAAATCTTTGTCGCTTCAAAATGCACACATATATAGTATATTTATATATATATATAGTTCGGTGTATGTTCGCTGGTTTAAATGCTTATTTAGCGTTAGGCAATAGAGTTACATTTGAGGCACAAGTTGAGATGAATAATAGATTTTTTAATACAACATTTCATGTATATGTGTGTGTGTGTGTAGGTGTGTGGGAACTAGGTTTTAGATTGTGGATGTAAAGTATCAATATCATACTCCTGTACATTCTAACGGGGAGAGGGGCAGGCTTTTACCCTAATCAGATCAGGTTCTAAAATTGACAAAGTTCGATAATCAGGTATTATCTGTGAGCTCTTAGATTCTACGAAGTGTGTGGTGTGTGTGTATTTCGATCATTAATAGTTGTCCTTACACCATCTCGGCATGTGTCGTATGTGTATGAATATGTAAATTATAGAATACAAGAAAAGGTCGAGAAGAGTACATATTCGAATAATTGATTTCTGTGCTTCGCTCTGCTTTTGAATAAAATAAACGGGGAGATTCTTAAGATGAGCGCTGTTCACCCACCAGGGCGTAGAGAGCGTGCTTATAATGGCCGGAAGTATCACCCTGAAAGTAAGAAATATTATAAGATTATAAGATTAAGTACTTTAAATAGTTAACATAGGGAATGTATATTCGAGGGGTAAATACCTTAATCCAGCTCTTCAGGGACTTGCCGTATAAACGCTCGAAAGCCACCTTGATTTCTGTCATATCAATCTGAAAATAAGAATCGAATATATAATCAAGAAATTGGAAATGATAGAGACTAGCTCCTAGATGTTACCTCGCAACGTGTGATGATGACACGAATCAGCTGAGTGTCATTGGTGCCGATGCCGGCCATGGACTTGTGCAGTCGCGAGGCAAAGTACTCGGCCTTGTTCGTGACACACTTGTAGATGGCAATCAATCCCTCCATAATGTCACCGGAGAACTCCTTTTTGATGGCCTTCTCCAGCGAGTGCCCAGTGATGCTCTCGTACTCTTGGAATATCTGCCAAGGAAACAAGGATGTAAGTAACAAGAAAGCTCAAGGCTTCAAGTTTGTAATCCTCTTTACCATTTTCAGCTGCTGATAGTTTCTCTGACAAAGGATCATGTTGAACATGCTCTCGTCGGTGCCGACACGCAGCTCGCCGGCCTTGAGCAGCTCCCGGGCATCATCCTTGGCTGCAATGGGATCCACGCGTCCGCTCTCGTCCCGCGCCGCCGTGCACAGCGAGGTAAGGAGACGCTTGAAGTTGCCGGAGGTCTCCGATTTTAGCTCGGACTCCAGGTGAGCGCCGTACACTGGACAGAGAATCGAAAATTAATATGTTTCGGTCGATGGAAAAGCCCGGATCACCTACAGCGTAAGTACTGGTTTTTGATGGTATAGATCTCCATGTTGGACAGGGTGCACAGGATCTCGATGAGGACCGTCTCGTCGGTGCCAATGCCAGCCATAGCGTCGTTCAACTCGGCGCAGTAAAAGTCCACAATGGAACGGAGCAGGCCGACGAGAAGCTTCTCAAAGTTGCCGCTCGTCTCCGATTTGATATCCTCGATGAGGTCCTTGCCAAAGTGCGTCTTGTACTGGCGCTGGATCTCCTGGCGCTGCTCGTTCGTCCGCCGGCAGATGATGTTGATCAGGGCATTCTCGTCTGTGCCGAAGCCCTTCATGGCCTTACGTAAGTCTTGGGCATCCTTGACAGGATTGAAATCCTGCGCTGGCAACACAGTTGGAGTTCCCTAAAAGTAGAGCGACGAAAGAGATTGGCTAGAATCATTGAATGGTTGATCCTTTTGGATGATAATGGACTATGGAATGATGGAAATTTTGTATAATGAGGAAACCCGCCCGAAAGGTAGGTAGATGCTGTTTTATGGCCAATTAACTGATGACCAACCTCTCTGTGAGCTGGAGGGAAAGACCGATGAGCGTGCTCCTGACCATGCCATGCCCTTGTCCATGCCCATATCCCTGCCCATGACCATGCCCCTGTCCCTGCCACTGTCCCTGCCCTTGCCCATGTCCGTATCCTTGTCCGAACGCTTGTCCATGGCCCGCATCATAGCCGGCTGTCATGGCCGGGGTAAATCCACGATCAATGGGATAAGGACTGTTCGAGACTGGTTGGTATTGGTGGTGGTGGTGCTGCTGCGGCGGTTGTGATGATGCAGATGAATATGGGTGGTTTGAGGTGGGATAGGGAGCTGGAGCAGCTGGATAGGGAGCCGGTGCAGCCGGATATGGAGCCGATATTGGCGGATATGGAGCATGCTGTTGGGTGGCAGTGGGTGGTGGGTATGGTGAGTTCTGCTGCATCGGTGGCACCCAACCAGCTCCAAAGGGTGCTCGCGGTGGCTCGCTAGAGGAGGTGGGGGATACTGCTGTGGATATCCTGCTCCAGAACCCTATAAGAGATCATATTTATACAAATTATAATTTAGAGCTTGGACAGTCAAGCCTTGATGGAATTTAGAAAACGACATAAAATATTTAAGCTGAAATTTGAGCAGGAATGGCCGAAAGATATTAGGTATATAAAAGCCCCTCTAATATGGTATAATTTATTATAATTTGGAAGTCTAGAATATACACTTTTAATGCTAGTTTTAATATATTTCATATATGACTTTAATTTAGATTAATTTTTTCTTATCTATGATAAAGTTGGACATGCTAACATCTCTAGTTCGGAGGGTGCATGCTCTTATTCCATTTTGATTATAATTGGTACAAAATATTTGATAATTTATGGAATTTATATACAGAAAATGTGTTTAAATAAGAGTTTGGTGAGTGGAGAATGTTTTTAAATCTAAGTCTTAAGGTTAGGCTAAAAAGGATTGGCAACTTACGAAGGGATACATTATGAGGGAGATTCTACTCTTTGGGTTTTCCTGTGTTTGAGATTCAGCTACTGGAAAAATTTACAACGGAGAAAAAGTTAGAATTTGAACCAAAATATTTAACTTAACAAAACAAATACAAGTGTTTCTGAATTTTGTTCCATGTTCAAGGTGACACGACACAACAGCCAAAGCAACTATGATATAGTTTTTTATTTTTTCAGAGCTTTAATATAACTCTGTAGATTTAGGCTACTAAGGTTACACACAAATATCACGCAGCTTAATTTGTATGCTAATTATAAAAACCTTGGTATTCTGCGTACAGCCGAAATTATTTGCCCTACTTGTATAAAAAATATATATATAAACAATGAATCAGTCAAGGAACAACTACTTATGGGTGCGATGTTTTACTTAAAATATGAATTGTTTTAGACCTTTTCTAAGGAATCAAGTAATATTAATAATTCAATATCTGCTTTGGGAATTTTATTAAAGCCAACAGGTATTTTTCAAAGAATCCGCTTTAATAATTTAAAGCTACTCAACCTTTCTACGTCATTGTGAAAGTTGGCACACGCCTTTTGTATTCGTTGTTTGTAATTTCCCAGCAGCGTCAAAGCTTGTACCACGTTTTTATACATACAAGCCAAATGCGAATGATGAGTCAGCCCTTAGGGCCAAGTTTATTGCTTATGAGCCTTGTTTGTTTGTATGATGTCGTGTATATACTTTCAGACACGTAGGCGCCGAAGTCATTAGAGGAATAACAAAAGTCAGAAACGAAAGTTCATACGGGCTTACTACAGTAGATTCTATTTATTATCATATCTATTTTTTAATATCAATTTCAATATAGAACAAAACTCCCATCACAGTCATGACCCTCACACAACTTGCGAGAAAACGATCTTCATGTGCGTCGTAAGACCCATTAAATTCGTTGTTGTAATCCAAATTTTAAATGTATTTAATAACATATTTAATTTCTAGAAATTATAGAAAAATGTTAAATCAAAACACGATTGTTAATAATGAAGAAAGTCATTATTGGTGCATCTACTTGTGTGTTGACTGTAAGCCCTGTGGAGTATATACAGTGTATGAAATTTAATCAGTTGGGTTTGCCGAAGAATTATGTTTTCGCTAGTCGTCGATTTTAGCTTTTGTACATACATACATATGTATATATAAGTACATATGTATGCTTTGTTTATGAACTTTCTCATTTTATAGTGGATAACCCTGCACATATTTAATAATTATATACACTTGTGTTTTTTTTTGTACTAGACTTGCGTGCAAAGAAATCGTACGAAGGGGTAAAGAAATTAGTTATTCAAATAATTACTTTAAAAATGTACAAGTTTTCTAGATCAGAGAAATGTCTATAGATTTTCTGTAAAATATAAACTCCCTTAAAACTTAAGTCAGGACCAACTTGACATTTAAAGACCTATCAGTTATTTATGCATTATCTTGAAACTATTAAAACAATTCTTTATAATACGTAAGCTTTATTCTTGTCGCATCTTTGGTGGGGAGACAGAAAATGCCAGAACTTGACTCACTATCTGCATGGGAAATGTATTTCATGATATACATTTGTTTTTCAACAAGAGCCGGAGCCAATTGCTCACTTCGTGGATATCACCATCCCAAGATGATTCATCTTACACTCAACCACATTTCTCTGCCGCCGGACCCAAGGAAAAGGTACCCCCCGCTGACCCACACGAGTATATAGACACAAGCCTGTGTGGCACATTATCAGATATCTGATGTGCAACTGCCATCGGCATTATCACAGGGTTCTAAATAGTAATTATTTCGTTGCAAGGTCGCAAATCAACAGATGGGAATGGCGCACACACTCACACCCCCTGTCGGTGTGTGGACAGGCGTCTAGCTTGGAGATACAATTGTATCTTAAAGATACGAATCGAGTGCTTCCAATGCTGTAACACAGACGCCAACGTCGTACGATACACGTCTTGCCCAGTAGATACACACGTCTGCGTACATAAATATGTATGCCTCTCGAAGATTAGATGGGCACACACAGAGTTTGTTTTATAAATTAAAGCAGATCTCGTTTTATGGCACACACGTCCTAGGTTTCTCAAAGCAGAATCCGAGTGCCATAGGGCAAGGAAGTCGAGCAGTCGCTGGCTAAGACCATGGCTAATTCGCACTATATAAATATGCATACACTTATAATTACTTTAAGTATCTTGAACACCCGACGACGCGACGACTTTCTCGAGTATTTTACAATGTCGAGGCTTTTTATCAATTGACCTACCACCAGGGCGGGACAACAACCTGTTGCCGTTTGATAACTCGATTGCGCGCAGCTCTAGTCGATATCAGCCGGTAAAGAAATCGGAAATCGGCTCCGAAAATACTAAAAGAGCGCAAAATACCAAACATTCCAAAAGCCTGCAGTATCTAGTATAAAATATAAAAAATACCAGGTCTATCGATTTTTTTTAGTGTTAACTGTTAAATCAGAACTCGGTCTCATTTGAATTTGAAAATACTAAGTATAAATAATAACTATGTGTTCTAAGTGTTTCGGTTTTTATGTGTCTTCCGTACACGGTCACTCTGATTCCACTATTCGAAGTGCGGTCACACAGGCGGAAAGCTGTACTTTTTTTTAAATAAAAAGGAGTTTCATCGCTGGCTTTACACTATAATAAAACGATGACAACGTAAATCAGGACTAAGATCTCCACGTCATGTTCATTAGGATAACCCTGAACAGCCGTGTAGCATCCATCATCATTGTCGTCCTGGCTGTGTACTGGTACCGGCTTCCTGGAAGATGTGGTAAGTTGTGCGAAAGTTTAACTGTTTCCAATTACCCAACACCTTGTGGCCGCAGCCAAGCAAAAGGTGGCCAGGAGACCACCGCCAGATTGTAAGGATCCTTTGCCTTCGCCACTGCTCCAATTTTCCCGTTCGGCTATATGCTCCGACTACAATAAGTGCAGCTTTTTGGCGCGAAACGCCCTGGAAAAAGGCGGCTGCACCGTGGATGCTGCCCTTGCGTCCCTCCTTTGCACGGGACTCGGTGGCGGCATGCTAATGAACATATATGTGCCCGAAGAAGATAAGTCGTATTGCATCCTGGCGCGTGAAATAGCTCCGCTATTGCTGCGCGCAGGCTATTTCTCCGCCTTTCGTGACGAGCAGGAGTTCAGAGAGTCCAGCTGGCCCATGGCCGTGTCCGCCGAGTTGGCTGGCTATGCCCAGGCCCATCAACGATTCGGGAAGCTGCCGTAGTCGGAGCTGGTCTAACCAACGGTAAAGCTTTGCCACAGTGGCTATCGGCTGTACAAGCATCAGTACGATGCCCTTGTCCTAAACCAGGACATGGTTAAGGGCGACTTCCCCCACTTCGGGAAATGTTCATCGATCCTGATTCGGATACTGGGCAGTTCTGGCCAATCGGTCATCTCATCAAGCCGCCGGCTCAATTGTGCTCCACCTATGAACGGTTAGCCCGGGAAGGACCGCTTAGTTTCTACAATGCACCTGACCCCGCCACCGGGCAGTGGTCACATTCTGGGCTTCATCATGAGCATTCTGCGCGAATTCCGAACGGATTTTGCAAGCAACCCGAAAATGGGAGCCAGGGATATACATCGGATGGTGGAGGCCATGAAGTTTGGCTTCGTCAAGCGCTGGCAGCTGGACGAATCGGCCGACAGAGAGGTGAGTACAGGTGGGACTCTGTTCTTTCTGATTTTCCGTCTCTTTCGAATTCAGACAGTTAATAAGAATAACTTTTTCTAGCTCCTGGCCAACCTGAGCAGTCCTGAATTGGCCCAATTGGTGGCAGCACAAATAAGTGACTTACAGACCTTTAATACCTCTCAGTTCTATGGAGACCTCCTGGGGATACAGACACGGGATGAACACGGCACCGCACATACCTCGGTGCTCCATGGCAACGATGCCGTTTCGGTCACCAGCTCCATTAACTCTTAGTAAGTTTTTGCTGATATATGCCTTACATTTAAATTGAATTCCTCTCCCGCTTGCAGCTTTGGCAGTGGACTATGAGCAAAGCTATGACCAACGTGGATCAGGTATTTGCGGCATCACACAACAGAATAACACCTTTTGGGTGAACTCTGACTTCCGAAAACCAGGAGGAGTTGCGGGCTTCTGAGGAAGCAGATTTTGTTGGGTATGTACCAAATTTAATTTAAAGCTTTATGCTCTCCAAATTGATCTACTTAAACTTAAGTATTAAACGAGTCACTCTTTCGTGACCGTTTCCACCTTAATTTATATAATTCCGAGCTAGATAAATACAGTCAGGTTAGCTAGTACAAAGCTTTAAATTACTAGACAGAACTAGAACTTGAATTTCTTTGATATATCGAAACAAAGTTATAGAAGGATATAAATCAAGTCGAATATATTGAAAAGCATTTAGCAATTTTTTCGGTAATATTTATATTTTAACACTGAGTGCGATTATTTCCAATCAGAAGCTTGCAAAGCATTAAAAGAATCACTTCCGAAACCATAAATCATATATATTCTTGATCAGCATAAAAAGCTAAGTCGATCTAGGCAAGTCCGGTAGAAAAAACATATCAATTTGTTCTAAATTTTATAAGGGGTTACATCGTTAAAATTTTCAAAATTTCAACAAAAATTTCTAATGTTAAAAATGTTAAATTAGTATGTAGATTTGTTAACCTTACAAAAACTAGCAAGAAGCTGTTTAATTAATGCCATTTTGGTCATTATGGCACACATGTCCTCAAAGCGCAATTCGAGTGCCATTCGGCAAGGGAGTCGAGCAGTCGCTGGCTAATACCATGGCAAATTCGCACTATATAAATATTTTAATTACTAGAAGTATCTTGAACACCTGACGACGCGACGACTTTCTCGAGTATTTTACAATGTCGAGCCTTTTTTTTATCAATTGACCTACCACCAGGGCGGGACAGCAACCTGTTGTCGTTTGATAACTCGATTGCGTGCAGCTCTAGTCGATATCAGGCGGTAAAGAAATCGGAAATCGGCTCCGAAAATACTAAAAGAACGAAAAATACCAAACATTCCAATAGCCTGCAGTATCTAGTATAAAATAAAAAAATACCAGGTCTATCGATTTTTTTACTGTAAACGTTTAAAATCGGAACTCGGTCTCATTTGAATTTGGCCCCGTAAATACTAAAATAGCGCAAACATTCTAATTGCCTGCAGTATCTAGTATAGAACATAAAAAATACCAGGCTTATCGATTTTTTCTATTGTGAACTTTTGGGCGGACGGCTACTGTCCTAAATGTTCAGGATTTTATGTGTTTTTCTTACACGGTCACTCTTATTCCGGTATTTGAAGTACGGTCACACTGGCGGTCAGCTGTACTTTTAAATAAAAAGGACATTCATTGCTAGCTTTACACTATAATAAAACGATGACAACGTAAATCAGGACTAAGATCTCCACGTCATGTTCATTAGGATAACCCTGAACAGCCTTGTAGCATCGATCATCATTGTCGTCCTGGCTGTGTACTGGTACCGGCTTCCTGGAAGAGGTGGTAAGTTGTGCGAAAGTTTAACTATTTCCAATTACCCATCCAATTACCCTTGTGGCCGCAGCCAAGCCAAAGGTGGCCAGGAGACCACCGCCAGATCCTGAGGATCCTTTGCCGCCTTCCAATTCGCCACTGCACCAATTTTCTCGTTCGGCTATATGCTCCGACCACAATGTGTGCAGCTTTTTGGCGCGAAACGCCCTGGAAAAGGGCGGCAGCGCCGTGGATGCTGCCCTTGCGGCCCTCCTTTGCAACGGTCTCGTCGGGATGCAAAGCATGGGACTCGGCGGCGGCATGCTAATGAACATCTATGTTCACGAAGAACGTAAGTCCTATTGCATCCTGGCGCGTGAAATAGCTCCGCTATTGCTGCGCGCAGGCAATTTCTCCGCCTTTCGTGACGAGCAGGAATTCAGGCAGTCTAGCTGGTCCGTCGCCGTGCCCGCCGAGTTGGCTGGCTATGCCCAGGCCCATCAACGATTCGGGAGGCTGCCGTGGTCTGAGCTGGTCCAGCCAACGGTAAAGCTTTGCCACAGTGGCTATCGGCTGTACAAGCATCAGTACGATGCCCTTGTCCTAAACCAGGACATGGTTAAGGGCGATCCCCGGCTTCGGGAAATGTTCATCGATCCCGATTCGGATACTGGGCAGTTCTGGCCGATCGGTCATCTCATCAAGCCGCCGGCTCAATTGTGCGCCACCTATGAACGGTTAGCCCGGGAAGGACCGCTTAGTTTCTACAACGGATCGATTGCCGAAGATCTACTAGCTGACTTGGCGGATGTTGGGAGTGCTATTACACGGAAAGACCTAAACCACGCCGATGCAAAGCTAAGCAGGGCAATTGTGATGCCGCTGGATGAGTACGATCTGCACCTGACCCCGCCACCGGGCAGTGGTCATATTCTGGGCTTTATCATGAACATTCTGCGCGAATTCCGAACGGATTTTGCAAGCAACCCGAATATGGGAGCCAGGGATATACATCGGATGGTGGAGGCCATGAAGTTTGGCTTCGTCAAGCGCTGGCAGCTGGACGAATCGGCCGACAGAGAGGTGAGTACAGGTGGGACTCTGTTCTTTCTGATTTTCCGTCTCTTTCGAATTCAGACAGTAAATAAGAATAACTTTTTCTAGCTCCTGGCCAACCTGAGCAGCCCTGAATTGGCCCAATTGGTGGCAGCACAAATAAGTGACTTGCAGACCTTTAATACCTCTGAGTTCTATGGAGACCTCCTGGGGATACAGACACGGGATGAACACGGCACCGCACATACCTCGGTGCTCCATGGCAACGATGCCGTTTCGGTCACCAGCTCCATTAACTTTTAGTAAGTTTTTTGCTGATATATGCCTTACATTTAAATTTAATTCCTCTCCCGCTTGCAGCTTTGGCAGTGGACGCACTGGAAGGCGCACAGGTGTGCTCTTTAACAATGCCATGTCGGATTTTTCCTTTGAGCAACTTAAAAATTATTTCGATTTACCCTTTGTGCCCGGCACAAATGGTATTGCTCCCTCGGCTCGTCCCATGTCCTCGATGTCTCCCGTTATTGTCACGGAACGCTCATCGGGCCAAGTCCGTTTAGTTGTGGGTGCCGCAGGTGGAACCAAGATCATATCCTCCCTGCTACCCCTGCTCGTGCGCACTCTTTGGCAGCGAGCAAACATTAAGACTGCCATCGATGCCAGTCGCATCCACCACCAGATGCAGCCGAACCTTCTGTTCTACGAATATGGGCTAGTGCAGAGCCATGTCCAGAGCCTGCAGGCCAAAGGCCACCGCTGCGAGCGCTATGAGCAACGTGGATCGGTTATTTGCGGTATCACACAGCAGAATAACACCGTTTGGGTGAACTCTGACTTCCGAAAACCAGGAGGAGTTGCGGGATTCTGAGGAGGCAGATTTTGATGGGTATGTACCAAATTTAATTTAATGTTTTATGCTCTCAAAATTGCTCTACTTAAACTTAAGTATTAAACGAGTCACTCTTTCGTGACCGTTTCCAGATTAATTTATATAATTCCGAGCTAGATAAATACAGTCAGGTTAGCTAGTACAAAGCTTTAAATTACTAGGCATTGAAGTTTTCTGATATATCGAAACAAAGTTATAAAAGGTTATTAATAATTTGATTATACCCGTAAAAACATTAAGCAATTTAAAGTTCATGTGTATTCACTTTTTACCCTAAAAATCATATATATTCTTGATCAGCATAAAAGACGAGTCAATTTGGCCCTGTTCCTAGAAAAAAATTGTTTTTTTTTTTAATTTAAAAATTAAATTAATGCATTTCTTGCTTAGGTTTTGATAGATTCGAGATTGGTTGGGGTTTTTTTGTGATACTTTTCAATATATTAAACTATTGAGTGATTATTCTGTCGATACTTTTTCTCTCGGAATGCATCCCTACTATAAATACATGTTAAAAACCTATTCTGAACTCGTTTCGGCACAACATCGACAATCAATCATTGAGGGACTTTTATCTGTCTCCGCCAGCACATGATAATTACATGCGTTGTGTGTAATTATGATGATAATGGTAATTTAGCTGAGTTTGAACTTGAAGTACTTTTTACCCAAATTTATCTATTATTAATTAAGTATTTAATCTCCAAAACATACATCAGAAGCAAATCCATGAAATCAATTGAATGTCAATGAGAATCCATATCGAAAAGGGAGAAAGTTTCAAAATGTTGTCCAAGTTCTGACGAAAGCGAAAATTCAATAACAATATGTGGCCATAAAATGAGCTCTACGTGCTGACTTTCTCCTCGATTTTCTCCATTTTTGCCAGCAATGTCTCAAGCATGCCTGGTTTATTTATTTGTTTTTAAACATAGGGTGTTGCATTAACTTAATAATATTTAAATACTATACCTAAGTGCAAACTCTCTCTCTCTCTCTTAGACAGACGTGTAAAAGTGTTTCCTATTGTTGCTGCGACAACAAATAAATAGCGTAATATATAAGAATGTTGCAACTATGCCCAATGTGTTAAGAGCCATCGAGAAGGCCAGTAGATACTTCCATTTCACCCGAATCGCTCCGCAACCCTCGCTGCTGCAAAGGAATGAATGTATATATTTTTATATAGAAAGTGCAATTAGAACTTTGTAGCTTACTCGCTCTGGACATTCACATCCTCTAGGGCAAGGGCTGCTGAAGTTGTTACATCCTCGTTGCCTTCCGAAAAGCAGGTACAGTTCTGGTAGCTCAAGAGCGAGCTGGTCGCCGGTCCGCATGCTCCCTCCCCGGACGGGGACGAGGTCAGCTCTGCGAACTCTATGGCCGCACAGACCAGGGCCAAGCAGCAGAAGATCAGTGTCAGGGCAGAGAACACATAGGACTCGGCCAGAAGGACCTTGTAGCAGCTATTGCCTGGCCTGTGCTGTTCGCTCTTTGTATTTCTTCGGTGCAGTATGAGACCCGCAATGCTGGCCAAGAGAAGCTAAGGTGTCGAAGGTTAGATGGTTAGAAGTATATTCCTTAACAATATATACACGAATAACTCACAGACAAACCGCTCAGATAGGGATTAATCAATATGGATGCATTGGGTGCCAGGATGAGTATCCAAATGGCCAGTCCAGTGATTAGTAGTCCCACAGCCAGTTGCATTATCAGCAGCTGTCGCGAAATGTTTAGATTTCGGATGTGCCTCGAGTAAGCAGCTTGAAGGCCTGCAAGTAGAAATGAGAAATTAACAATAGCTTTCTATATATTTTATTTTAAATATTTATTGTATTACATTTTGTTGTATAGATTTATTTTGCTTGCTTGTTAGACTCATGAACGATGGCTCATGTTTGGGGCTCAATTTACACAAATTAGTTAATCAGTTGTACTGTTGTTTTGGCAAAACATATGTATCATTTACAATTGCCAGAAAGCCCTAGTTTATATACCTTAGCAGATTAAAAAAGAATTATAGGATCGAATCGGAAGTCGATCATAACTAACTATTTTAACGATGTAAAATTTTGAAAAAATGTACATGTCTAGAAAGATTATATTATAGGGCCGGAAACGACTCCTTCACATGAGCTTCTGACTAAAATTATAATACCATTCTTTTAGTAGATAATTAGATACATTTTTATATGATAATTTGTTCCACAAATCAAAGTTTAAAAACCTCATAACTTTGTCAAAAAGGCACTAATTTTGATTCGGAAAGCTTTCCTATGTAAGTTTTTATTAGGTTAACAAAACTGCATACTCAATTTAAAATTACAAAAAATTCAAATTTTTATCAATTTTTTTTTTTAATTTTAACGATGTAACCCCTTATAAAATTGTGAAAAAAAATGGTAAATTTTTTTTCCCCCCAGACATGGTCAGATCGATTCGTCTGTTGATGCTGATCAAGAATATATATGATTTATAGGGTCGGAAACAACTCCTTCGAGAGTTACAAGCTTCTGACTAAAAGTATAATACCCAAGAAAGGGTATAAAAATATCACTTTTAACGGATAAATATCGCTATTATCGTGAAATATCCGAAGAATGTTATTAATTTTGTCTCATTTTCTGATTATATTGGTCTGATTTACCTGTTTATTTGTTCGCTGTATGCTTAAATAAAATCTAAGCTACAGGATAAGTATTAGCCATACCTGCAGTGGCTTTTGTTTATCAAAAAGAACATTTCATTTATCACAACACAAGAATATCGATTTATATCCTTTGACGTAAAATCCTGCACTTGTCTTTTGATTTATATGTTTTAATATAAGGTTCTTGTTTTAAAGTTAAAGCTTGAAAAAGAATTAGCTTACTGTCGTGGTTTTGTGATTCACCACAATCATCCGGCTGTGCCTTAAGCTGTTCCTGGTCGGCGTATGTCGTCCAGCTATCTTCATACCTTTCATGTTCTGCGGAACCGTGGTGCTCATATAGACAGCCTAGGGAAGAACGAATGATTATTGATCCAGGATGATAGCCTAATGATGATAGATAACTCACCTGCGATGGCTGTGGAGCGTCCAAGTCGCTGAGAGGAATCTGCTCATAGGTGGTGACATACTGCAGCGGTGCCTCATCACTGGCAGCAGTACTGGAAGCAGGCACGATCGCTGGAACTGGAGCAGCTTTCACCGCAAGGTGCTCATCCCGGTGAGGATCATGCTGAAGCAGATTCTGATACATGGGTTCCGATTTAATGGCCGGCACGTGCTCCGACGTTGACGCCGCCGGTGACTCATAATTGTTTATGCCAAAGAACTTGGACTTGGCGTCATTCAGGGCTGCCTTCACAGCGGCTATGCTGTGACTGGTGCCGCTGCCATTTGGTTCCGGCTCCAGCTCCAGCGCGGATTGGTGTTGCTGCTGCTGCTGCCTCTGCTGGGCGACGCCCAGGTTGTCATAGGTGCTAACGGGACGGATTGTTGATGACTGCATGGCTGCTAAGCGGCCTAGGGCATGCTGAAGAAGCAAGTTAACGCTGGAAAGCCAATAGGGTCAGGCGGCTGCACCGCTTGAGGTGTTAGGGACATTTTTCCACTGATAGCATACCCTGCAAAAGAGGAAGGATAAGAATGTATAAATGTTTCTTGACAATGTTATAGCCTTTGGTGAAAGTATCAATGAAACTTGAATTCAAACTCCCTACATATGATCATAAAAGGTTTTAAAAAACCCTAGAACTAGGCCTGCAGGTGTATGCTCTATGCATTCAGTCCTGTTATTTGTTGTAGAAAGTTGCCTTAAATCGCGGTACTATCTTTAACAAATACCAAATCTTTGCTGTAAGTAATTGTCATTTTTCCCGTACTCTCAGATCTCAGGTCTCTCGTCTCTCGGGTCTGTTTATCCGGTTTCTCAAATAGGTCGTTGGCATCACCGTCCCCGAGTGAGTGGTGGAAATTGTTAGTTGTTATTCACAAATTCCAGAGAACGACCAGGTTCGCTTGGTGCGCCTAGTGGTTGTGTTTTTGTCAAGTCAATGGAATTTCAGAATATCTAAATTATGGACTCTCTGTTATGGGCCGGTGAGCAGGCTTCCGTTCCGTTCATTTGGGACACAGATAAACAATTATATAGAATGATATATATCCGAATCTGTGATTGCCAAACTATGCTTTTGATCTATTTAGAGAGACGGTGGCCTCGCGGCAGTGCCAACAAACTGTGTGTTACAACTTTATAAAAGAGCTGAGCAGAATTCGTACCGCCACAAAGTGAAAAAGCCAAAAGTTGGAATGGAATCTCTTCTCCTCTCTTCGATGGCGTTGGATTGGATTGAATTGGACTGGAGTGGAGTGGAGTGGTGTGGAGTGTTGTGGAGTGTTGTTGGAGTGGATTGCACCACAGTGGCGGCGGGCAGCAAAACGGGAAAAGAACGAAATAAAAATGAAAACAAAGCAAAGGCAATGCCAAAGCCAAAGCAAAAGCAAACGCGATCCGCACCGAACACTGCCCACTACAACTGTACGCACCAAGAGGCGAAAACAAACTAAAAATAATTCTCACCAGCACGCCGTCCGTCGATCGAGCGCTTAAAGCGAACCATTTCCATTTCCATTTATCCGTCGCTACTCTCCTAAAAAGTATAAAAAACACGGTCGCCTGCTTACCTGCGCTGGCCAAGAGCATGGCACACAGGTAACTTACTCGCAGACATACACACATGCCGCTCCCACAGATACATCTAAGCCGCTCACAGATGCACGCCTCCATTCTCTCCAGAAGCCAGAAGCGGAGAAAGAAGCCGTCTGAGGCTGAGATCGGGAGAGCAAAAAATTTAGATACTTTTCTACCCCGTGTTTGTGGAGAGCTAAAGGTATGCTGTGATCGCGCAAAACGAACACATCGGGGAATGAATTAACAACTGAGTGAACATTCAAAGAAGTGAACACTACTATGAAAATGAAAATGAATAACTGAGTGAATAATAGGGCCATCCATCTATGAGCAAATGAATGGATAATTTGGTTAAGAGTTCAGAACATGGTAAATCATTGAATGAATAACTGATACAACAAATGTAATTATAACTCAACTGAGTAAATAAGTTATCAACTAGCAAACACATAATTAAGAAACTACATGAACAAAAATAACAATTGCATTACAAACTGAATTGACCTGAGCAAAGGAACAAGGAACAACTAAGCTGTTGTCTTATCTGGCTATAATTTATAATAATTTGAGTAAGTTACTTATGCAGAAATGAATTTAAGAACTATGTGAGCAATAGAGTAAATAACTTTTGAGAACACAATAGGATAAACTACAGATAAAATTTAACTGACCTGAGCAATGAAACAAAGCAAATGAATTTGTAAACCAAAATGTAAGGATCCAAGCTGCGATCTACTCTAAAAGGCAATAAGCTATAATTAAATATAGCTAAATAGCTAAGTGAACAATTCAAATTATAAATGAGTGAACAAATGAAACTGGCCTGAACAAATGATGCAAGCTAAGTCAATAACTTGGTTCATTACCTAAAAAGAGAGCAGCTGAATTGTAATCTGGTCAAATAGATATATACATCTGACGATACTTTAGCAATCAATACGCCAATTAATAAACGAATTGAGTGGGTAAACCTCTAATAAACAAATAAAAGAAAAATAAACTGGTTAAGACTAGAGTGAACAAAAACAAACTCAATAAGTTTGTGGACATCTGAATTCGCTTACTCAAGTGATTCTTTTTAACCATTCACCAGCAAGGATAAATTATAGAACTCAATAGATGTAATTCAAAAAGAAATACCTATAGAGAGACTAAGGGCCTGGGAATGAAAGCCTTTGCGACCCAATAAAGTTAGGAAACGTGCCTTAGAACCGACCTCCGAATGGTGGTAAATGCCACAAAGGTGTTAAAAAATCAACTGTTTTTTTGTTTTTTGCACAGTTCAACGTTTTACTTACTAAGTAAATGATTCATTTCGCTGTCTTTCACACCGGTTTCTTAGCTTTATGGTTGCTAATTTTAGAGAACAAATTCCAAAAAGGGTTTGCTCATATATGGTATTCCAAAAAATGAGCACATTTCTAATCCAAGAATCTCTACAGAGATATATACTACCCTTTAAATTGGGAAATATTAACCTAAGGCATTAATTAGAGCCATGATTGAAAGGCTTAAACTTTTGTTTTAAAGATCCGAAAGGGTATAGTAGGATTTAATATGCCTCTGCTTACATATATTGTATTTAAATCAATACCAAAATAAATTAAATGCTCATCGGAGGTACTTAAAAGTGGTGTGTAAACTTATATATTCCACTTGTCCATTTATTTATAGATTTCACTTCCTCAGACATGTATTTGCATAGCTCACTATATAAATATATATATATATATATATATATATTGCATTGACGATAGCGGATCTGGCTCAGAAAAACTTGATTGAGGAAAACTGAAAGATTAGTTTACGTTCGCAGGCGGAAGTGTCAAGTCGCCGGTAGTTTGATCTCTTGGTTGTATTCACATCTGCAGACGCTCACCCAAGCTTTAATGAGCCGCAACGGTTGCAGATATTTATGACTCAATATACATTCATATATATATATATAATAATATATCAATAAAACTAGCAGATGAATAGCTTTGACAAATGTATTTTATATATATTTTTAAGACAAGTTTTGAAGGAAAGAAGTCTCATCAGCTGAATAACTTCCCCTTCAACTTGCTGCAAGATCCTTTTAAGAATTCTTAGGCAATGCATGCTGCACACATGCTCTTTATATGCTTTGGTCTAGCATTTTTACCAAGCTTAATAATTATTATATTTAGATTTAACTTGCAAGCTTAACATGTTCATTTTCACATAATGATCATCATTTATTTTTCGCTGTTAACTAGGAAATATGAGCAACTAAATGCAATCTTAAATAACTATGTAACACCTGTAAATATGTTTTATTAGAACCTCTTTCATTGTTTATTGTTATAGCTTCAGTTTAGTTTATGGCCCGCTCTTCTTTGGGCCGTTGAGCGTTGCGAGACCCTCAAAATGTTGCTTTCAGCCGCCTTTTGCCTTTTGCTCATTGTTTTTCGCTCGGCAGCTACTTATTTTAGTTATTTCATTAGTAAAAAGTAAACAAAAACAAAATAATATAACGTTAAATAATATTTGCCAACTGAAGCATTACAAAGCTGGTGGTTCAAATAACCATAACTGACAATCAGCACCGAAGAAGACGACTGCGTTGACGATGAAGATGGTGGCGACGACGACGACGACGATGATGATGATGACGGCGGGGCATCGGACCAATGCACTTTGCAAGACGATGGACGGCATTACGGCATAATGGATTGTCAATCGTGGGTAAACCTTATACATTATAAACATATATATATATATATTATATAGATGTATATTGTCCATGATTGCATCAGGTTACTGGGAAGAAGAAACGAAAGGTAGCAGCAATCGAACTCAGATTCTCAGGAGGTCACTGACAGGACTTTCGCTGAGGCGACACTATCAAAACTTGAGATAAACTTCCTCCTTCCGGCCTGCCACCTGCACCGTGAGCCAGAGTGAGCCATCAGTGGGATCTTCGTGGACTTTCAAAACCCCCTTTGTCAGGTGGAGAGATACGAGATGCCGTTGCCGAAATCTGGCATTGCGAATGGCTCAAGCTCAGGCCGAGGCTCCAACTCCGATTCCGTCTCTGTGTAGTGGCTAGCGGAGCAGCCATTGTCTCGTCATTGCGGTACGTGGACCTTAAATTGGAGCAGCGATATATGTATGGGAACGCGATCGAGTAGTACTTGTGTAAGTACCTTGTTCTATTTGCCATAGTTGATGGCTTAAACCGCTCCCGCTCCCGGCCATGCCAATTAACGGACTTAAACAGAACACGACGGCTCCGATCGGCTCTCACTGTACTCCAGTCTATTTCGGGGGCTTTGTTGTCGTCGTCTGTCGCATTTCCCTCCCTGACTTGCACTCGGACTCGGACTCGGGTTTGGGTTTGGGTTTTGGGTTCGGGCAGCGAACTATGTTGCCTGCACAATTACAGCAAAAGACGCGAAACACGAAAAAAGTAACTTAAAAGTAGAAAAAATAGAAGAAACTAGCCAGGCTATTTTACGTCAACACTGTAAGCCAGCCAGTGGTCGCTCCACCGAGGGTCTTTTGAGAAATTATTCCAAGAGTATGGGAATTCATGCAGGGCAGGCAACGGGTATACATATGTGCATGTTGTTTTCCTGGATATACTAACAAAAAGACCTAAATATGGTCTTTAAATAGTTATTTTTAGATGATAATATTTTTGGTCAAATCTAAGTTTTCGAAATATCATAACCAAGTGAAAAATGCATTAAATTCAATTCGGAAAGCGGCTCTATGCTAGTTTTTCTAAGGTTAATAAATCTGCGTACTTAATTAAAAATTCAATTTTTTTTCAAAATTTAAAAATTTTAACGATGTAACCCCTTATCTTTTTTTTTTCAAAAAATTTAAAAAAAAAAATTTTCGGCCGGACATTGCTCTTTCGATTCAGCTTTTAATGCTGATCAAGAATATATATGACATATGGGGTCGGAAATGTCTCCTTCACTGTTTTTTAAGCAGTGGTACCTATTGATTTAACAACAATAATCAGTTTTATTTTATCGAAACTAGCTACACATTCGCATAGGGCCCTTTTAAAATGGGGAAGGCATAAATCCACCCTCGGTGGGGGATTGTGTAAGGCGTACGATTGCGCAGATTGTGTTTCGCGTCGGCAACAATGCCACCATGACAAACAGCCCAGCGACCAGCCAAATAAACCAAACCGCCGCCCGCCAACCGCCAAGCGGTAAATGAGTCTAGTACACTCAAAAAAAATCTGTATACCTAAATTATGAACCGAAGAATGCGAACTTATTATCTAGACTAAGACTAACAAGCCTTCGGCAAGCTTCTTTTAATTCGAGAAGTCAGGGTCCTATGGCTGACCAGCTCTGCTTTTGCATAATTTAGGATAATTTTTATTTATTTAGCACACTATTTTCTTTTGTTTAGAGATTTTAGCATTGATCTTTTAAAAAAGAAACGGTCATTCGCACCGGAAACATTTTCTAAATTTGGAATACCATGAGGGACAGATAATTAAAAAATGTTTGTTTGCTTTTTTTCGGGTTGGTGTTGATGCTGATGGCAGCACATGGCCATTGATGTAAACAAGAATCATGAAACAGAACTGTATGGTATCAGAAATATATGTAAATATATGTTTATATATAGTGCCCCTTTAAGTGCAGAGGGAATTGGTTTTCTGATAAACTTGACAGCTTGGGATTTATAAACATATTTCCGTTGATATCCTGAAATTGAGTGTATCTATTATTGACTTCATAATTGGACTGTACTTTAAAGTATTTCAAATAAAACAATAAATACAATTGAAGATTAAGAATAGAAAGTGGTATAAACAAACAGTTTTTTAAATATTTTAATGATGAGAGAAGACATTACCTCAAAGCGAAACATTCATATTTAACCTGATAAAAAGTCCCTCCAAATTTTAGATTTTTGAAGTCAAAATTCTGCTAACTTGATATTGTTTTAAGCTGATGAACTTTACATCTTATAACTCCTTCTTATTTCCAGTGTATGCGGCGAACAGTGGCCAGGCTAGAGCGATCATCCAAGCAGGCAAACCGACCAATCAACCCCACGGTGGCTTCGGTGGCAGCGGAGGCTCCGGCGTCTCTGTTTCGGGAGCAGACTCGGATTCGGACTCGGAGTCCACATCGTGCTCGGGCCGGAGCCGTTGCACATGCGCAGTAAGTGAGTAGCAACCAGCAAAACCCAGTACTCGGTTCGTGTTGGCTCGGCTCGGCTCTTGGCTGGCTCGGCTCGGCGCTTAACTTTTCTGGGCTCGAAGTGGCCAAGTGGAAAACCAGTTATAAGTCAACTTTCATTCCAAGCGGACGTGCCAAGAGAGTACGGATCGGATTGGAGCGCGGCGCGGTTTTTGTTTTGGCCGTTGCAGCAGCAGCAGCAACCACGTTAAGCGTTAATGTTAGCACCATAAGAGAGCGCAGCCTGCCTGCAGTTAGCCAGGTCACATAAGCGAGTCTAATAACTCGTAAGTTCAGCCTTCCTTCTGTTATTTTTGTTTTTGTGCCTGTAGTTTTTGTTTAGTGACTTTGTTTTGCGAGTGAGTTCACACAACACACAACTCCCACCCGTAGTCAGAACGGAGCTGTGTATGCAAAGCAGCCCCGGAATCTGTATCTGTATCTGAATCATTCCGAGAGTGCGCGACTCGCGTTCGTAAATGTAAAAAACGGGCACAAGTCTTTCGATCGCACGAATTAAATTCTGTCAAATTTGCCATCGTTCGGCAACGTCGTGTACTTTCCCACACGGTTCCAATTAGCACCATCGATCCGATCGATCGATATCGATCGAAACTTTCCTAACCCAGCCATCCATCCGTCGCTGGTTGATAATTAGTGAAAGATATATACATATACGCTCTAATGAAAGTTGTCTGTGATACGCACACCGGATGGTGCCCAGCTCGGTTCCCAGTCTTCCATCCATCCTCGGGCGAAGTGAAACCGCCAAAAATTGCTGTGGTTCTCTCTTTTATTAGTTTTTGTGTCCAAGTTTCTTTGGTCATAATTCCGATTCCGAGTCCGAGTCGAAGTCCGATCTAAATGCATGAAGGTATATACCACTCGCCGCTTGGCTCTATGCAACTGCCGAGGGAATTGGTTGTGGGCAACCTTGAAAGCGATACCAAAAAGCACTTCACCCTCAGGCGATTCCATTCTGTTTGGCTTTATTTTTTCTTGACTTTTTTTTCCGTTCGTTGAATATTCATGGCAGCCCGAAAAAGGGAAGCCGTTTTTAAAGTTTAACTTTTACTTTTGCAATCGAAGCCGTATCAAATCGAGACAGTGGCGAGCATGAGTGTAAGGAAAGCCAACGTAGTAGAGACAGGTGTATCTATGTATCTATGTGGGAGTCAATGGCCGACTCAAGTGATTTTGCAGATAATTTTCAAATATGATTATTATGATTATTTTTATGCTCCTTGTTTTATTTTTTTTTTCCTTTAAATTAACACAATGTTACAATGTGCGCGCAGAGTAATGTAATCATAATTATGCACTGGAAATTCAATGTGAATGCAAAGTGAAAACGCAAGACGACGACGAAGACGACGACTCACGCCATATCGTGCTCCAACTTCAACTCCGGCATAATCCCATGTGTGTGTGCAGTGTGTGTGCATAAATTAATCGCCGGCGATACAACAACAACATCAACAACAACACCACCCCAAGCTAATCAACGGCATCAACACCAAAAACCAAAAACCAAAGTCAACACACACATAATAATAATTCAACATCTGCAGCAGCCGCACAGCAGCTTTGAAAATTAACAGCTGCCCGCGGCAAACAATGTTTCGCTGCAAGTTATTGTTTGGAGCAGCATCACCAGTGTCCCAGCATCGTCATCATCACCATCATCAGCATCAGCTTCGGTTGGAAAGAGCCATGACTTCTTTGAGGAAACCAATGCCCCCCATTATGAAGGGGCTGCCGCTGCTACCACTACTGCTGCTGCTGGCACTATGCCCAGCCGGAAACTGCCAAAGTAAGTTGAAGTTCATCCACTCCCGGTGGATTCCAGATCATATCCCGGTTCCCATGCTTTTCATTTTCTCCGTTCTTTCCACTTAGCAAGTGGCCAGCGAAACGGGGTCACTCGGAGAACGAGAATCTCTCGCATCTCTGTGGGTCTTGGGATAACTAATTGCACCTGCTTACTAACTGTTTATGACAACGAGAGCTATTTAAGCACTCGGATCGCTATGGTTTTTCTCTTTTCTGGGACACCTTTTGAGCCATATTGATAGTTTCCCACAAATATTTACAAATATACCTTCTCGTTCATATTTCTTTCTAATGATTTGAAAATAAACAAAATGCAAGCTTATAAATACATTTCCTCAGCTTACGTGTGACTATTCAGGTTTATTTATTTTTTTTATATTTATTTTGCAACGCCTTCAAGTGACGGACTTTGAATTTAAAGCGACATTATGTTGCTAAGTAAATAATAATAAATCAAACAAAGTAATAAACGGGAAACAAGTTAGTGTAACTGAACAATGTTTTGATCCTATTAAAAATAGAGTAATTATTATAACATATATTAAAACATACTGGAATATACCATATATTGGTATTGTATTGTATTCTCTTAACAATAACCAATCATTTCTTGAGAGTATTTATAGAATCTAAAGTGATGTGAGTAGGTATAAATAAAGAAACCGGCATTTGGACAAGTTTAATGGCAACAGCTTTTAAATTGAGCAAGTAAATCAATCACACGGAAAACAAATAGATATAGACTGAAAAGACAGATTGCATCTCCTCAATTAATGATCTTAATTGAAAATAATTAACACATTTTAAACTCCTTTATTTTCATTTCAAAACGTAACTTACAAAGAATGAAATATGAATGAAAATTAGGTCAAAAGCTGTCCCTAGGGAACTTTCACCTCAATTTTATTTGAAATGTTTTTAAAAAAATGGGAATGGGAAAGTCTATAGAAACCTATCTGAATGCTTTGATTGGAATAAGAAAAGAAATATTCCATTAAGTAACTTAAATTAACAGATTTTGAGTAAATACTTCTGTGTCTAGGAACCTAATCAATGAACTAGACCTCAATTTAAGCTGCAAGTACATCGATGTCAATAATTTATAATCAAGCAATTACAAATTGTTTAACATAATTGCACTTTTTAAAACGATCTCTGAGCATTCCATATATATTGAATATTATTCCAAAGCCATAAATACTTTAATTTCTGAACTACTATGTCCGTCCGATTTATAATCCTAAAGCAGTGACCTTTAATGCCTTGTATTTGTTTCTTGATATTTATTTGTATTAAATTTGACTCGCTAGGCACCCGTAATATTATTTTTTAGTCTCTTGTTTATTATGCTTATCGGGTATCTTATTTCTTTTATAAAAATGATATCCACTTTGTCGCAACTTATCAATTTCTGAACATAATAATGTTCTGAAAAAACCCTGAAACGTGTTGGAAAGTTTTTACTTTCTTCTTTACAATCCACATGAAATCATTGTTTAAATAATTAGCATTTTAGAAATGTTTGTCGATTTGTTTAATTATAATTATTAATGTACCACAAGCCCCTTTCCAAAAGGCGTCTTCTATTCTGTCTGTTGAATTGAACACTTGGACAGCGGCACAGACAATGCCTCCAAGACCCCAATTGCCTCCACATTTCTTGTTGTTGTTGTTGTTGTGTGTGTGGTGTGTGTATTTCGAAAGGAATCCAAGGGGGGTGAGAGGGGTCGGAAAGAGAGAACAACCAGCTGGAGTGGAGCAGTGAAAGTTGCCGAGATCTGTCAGAGCGGCACAGTGGTCACTCTGTAATGGTTTATGATGGTCAAAAGTGGTTGGTTAATATTATTCCAATGAGAGGTTCTTCTTAATACTTTTGGCTAAAATCGCACTTTATAAGTTCTCAAATTGCTTGTCTTCTAAGGGTTTAATTTTAGACATTTGCAAGGGATTTAAAAAGGATAAAAAATATGTTTCAACCAGCATAAAACTTGAAATATTGTAAGAGAAATGCTTGAAATATCTTTATATTTTATGAAAAGTATATAGTTATCTCTTTTATATCTTTTCCCCATTAGAAATGTATTTGTTTGAGTAAGATAGAGAAGGAAGAGACATATTCAGAGTCGCAGTTGCGAGTCCTTGCCTTGGGCACTGCATCTCTGAAGCATTCCCTTTCGCCAACTCTTCAGAAATTTGTTATTCAAGATTTATTATGTCTAATACCCTTTCTTTAGTCATTTTGTGACCACTGTCCAACCCGTTTTGAGGCTACACTTCTGGGCTAATGCGAACGACGACTCTCGGACTTGTCAACTCGCTGGGCCACTTTGCTTGTGACATTCTTACTTCACAAGTTTCACAAGTTCATGTCGGTGCGGCACAACTTGGTACGTGATTGAGTTTGGACATCTTGCGGCTTGCGTTACGAGCCCTCCTACGATACGTGCACTAAATCCCAATCCCGCTGGGCGTTATATGCATTTGGCTGTTGACATAACGGCACTCAGGAGGACACCTTTCTATCGCCGGTTACCTGCAGTGCCGCAGAAACTGAACTCGAATCGAACCCATCTGCGAGTCCATCGCCCTAGTTACCCAAATGTGCAGCTAATTTGGCATTCCGCGCGGCAAATAAGAGCTGTTTTTTACTGCCATTTAAGCCACGCCCGCCCAGAAGACACCCTTCTCGGAGGAGAATGGTTGCCTGCCTGCCTGGCTGCCAGTGGTGTGTGGTGTGTGTGTAGGAACATCCATGCCCTCGCTCAAAAAACCGGATGAATGCGATCGCAAAAAAAAACTCATAACAATAACAGCTTTTCGGTCTCTGGAGCCTCTGACTGGGCTGAAATAACATCATCGTGGCGGCACTGCCGCGCCTGACGTCAACAGCTGCAGCCGAGCACCCAGAAAATATATCGCCAGCATAGTTGTAGTTCCAAGTTCCAAGTTCCCAGTTCCAAGCCCAAAGCCCAAGGCACCGAAAGCCAATTCCGGTTCGAGCAGAAAACGTGCATATGCAAAAAATTCCCGCGCAAAGCGTTTACTTTACTATAGAGTAGGAATAGGGAGAAAAGTGTGAAAGATCCGATGCTTCGAATACCCTTAGAGAAAAGTATTTACCTTTTTCTTAATATTACCTAGCTGAAAATGTAATATATAATCATGCTTTTTGGTACCCTTTATGGTATTGTAGTTTCAGTCAGAAGCATGTAATCCAGTGAAGGAGTCATTTCCGACCCTATAAATCATATATATTCTTGATCGGCATCAACAGCGGAATCTTTTAAGCCATCTCCGACAGAAAACAATTTTTTTCAGAAATTTTCCATTTAAGAAAAAAAAAGAAAAGGGGTTACATCATGAAAATTTGCAAAAATCGGCCAAAAATTCACGTTTTAAATGGAGTATGCAGTTTTGTTAACCTACTAAAAATTAGCATACGGCCGCTTTCCGAATTGAAATTAATGCGTTTTTGGCTTAGTTATGAGATTTTTAAATTTTGATTTGTCGAAAAATTTCATATAATAATATCGTTAATATCGGTACAAAAATGGTAATGGACCTTCAATCAGAAGCTTAAAAGAAAGTGAAGGAGTCATTTCCGACCCTATAAAACATATATATTCTTGATCAGCATCAACAGGCAAATCTTTTAAGCCATCTCCGGTCGAAAAAAATTTTTCCCGAAATTTCCCATTTTTCGGAAAAAAATTTGCGAAAATCGGCCAAAAATTCACATTTTAAATGGAGTATGCAGTTTTGTCAACCTACTAAAAATTAGCATACGGCCGCTTTTCGAATTGAAATTAATGCGTTTTTGGCTTAGTTTTGAGATTTTTAAATTTTGATTTGTCGAAAAATTTCATATAATAATATCGTTAATATCGGTACAAAAATGGTAATGGACCTTCAATCAGAAGCTTAAAAGAAAGTGAAGGAGTCATTTCCGACCCTATAAAACATATATATTCTTGATCAGCATCAACAGGCAAATCTTTTAAGCCATCTCCGGCTGAAAAAAATGTTTCCCGAAATTTTCCATTTTTTTTTAAATGAAAATTTGCAAAAATCGGCCAAAAATTCACGTTTTAAATGGAGTATGCAGTTTTGTTAACCTACTAAAAATTAGCATACAGCCGCTTTCCGAATTGAAATTAATGCGTTTTTGGCTTAGGTTTGAGATTTTTAAAATTTCATTTGTCGAAATTTGACAATAAATTTAATTTTAATTTAAGTATACAGATTTGTTAACCTTACAAAAATTAATCCATTTTTCGCTTACTTATGAATGCGAATATTTTTAGCCAAGATCCATTTCCGATTAAATCCTATAATTTAATTACAAGCTGCAAGGATATATAATCTTCGGCTTTTTGAAGTTAATTTCCTTTATTGTCAAATGTGCACTTTAATATTATGATTAATATCTATCATTGCTTACCTTACGGAAGATATTTTATTGAGCTTGTAATTATAGCACAACAAGAATATAAACACTAGTTAATACATATGTAGCACCCAAGGCGGAAGCTTAAGCTGCAAGTTTTCGAATGAAAATTAAAAGAAATGGGAGGGTATTACGACGAGAACTGAACAAAGGTATATATATATATATGTATATATATATATTCAGAGAGACACTTTAAGCTCGAAACGAGGCCACAGCCCCCGCGCTTTGCCTCGATCTCCGCTTCTCACTCCTCGCCGGCTGTTGCTGTGTCTCCTTGGAGAGACAGATGGCGATGCCGTTTGGTTTCCTGCCCTTTAGCCCGGCCTGGCCTGGCCTGGTCTGGGCCAAACTGGTTTGGGCCTGGGACGACTGACTACGCTTCTCCTCACTCTTGACCCGGCGCCCATTAATTGCCTCTTTATTCTCGACGCTAACTATGTAGACTTTTTTCGAAACTACTTATGCTCACGAACAATTGTGAGAAAGTTGTATATAGTATTCTTGAAATTGTGCAAAATAAAAGGGGGTGCGAGGAAAGAATGAAACATGGGCGCAGTCCATTGCATATTTATGATGGGAAAATGCAAAATATCTTTTTAGTAAAAAGTTTTTACACAACAAGTTCTAAGCCTAAGTTGTTCGTTTAGAGAACGGCAATTCTTCGCTGGAAGGGGTCAGGGGTCAAAGCGATAACAAAGGTGGAAGATCGGGGAAAATATTCACTCAAGACAACAGACCTGCCACTTCCCACTCCCAGGCCCACAATTTGAATAATCGGAGTGCGAATGAACTATTTATGTAAATGTATGCCTGAAAGAGTCGGTATCAAGATTAGTACACTGTTACCACACTATATTTACTTGCCTAATAACTATATGTAGTTTATGCAGTTTTACTTGACAATATTTATAGATTTCTTTCCAGAATATCGGAGTTAGGAAGGTCTTTGTAATATGCATATTTTACTTAAGATGCTTAAGATACTTTTGTAACTCACCAGACAGAAACCTTTATTTAATTATTCCGACACCAATGTTCTTATCTGGCTACTCATAAACATTACTTAAATTAAATCCTAACTGCAACATAATAAGGTTCATTAGAATAAACTTTAAAGCCGTAGCAGGAATCTGGGAAAAATTTTAAAATATAGTATCCATAATAATTGTTATAAGTATGGTTGTATTTATTCACTTCTTAAAGTTTTCCATTCTCTAAATCTTTACAAAGAATAAAAATCGTGTATTGCTTCCTTAACTTACTAACTAATTGGTTAGTTAATCTATTTTGTAAGGCAATGTTCAGTAATGTGTATATATTGTTTACTTATATGCATTTATTTATATATGTTTATGCTTATTTGTTATATTTCTATCTTTTTTCGGTTGATTTATGTGGTCATTTCAATATTTCTTTGCAAATTCTCTACAAATGGGCGTCTACAACTTGCAAATTGATGTTTAATAACTTTTGTTTTCGTTTTTTTGTGCTGTTTTAATGCTGTCCACCTTGAACTTTTAACCGATTTGTCAACACATTTTAGCCTTTGGTTGTCAACTCTTGCAAAAATATACAATAAATATCAAGCTTGGGATTATAAGCAATCATCAGCTGTATGCATTTACAATAAAACGGAATGTCTTCTTTGAAAAATGTTAGCTGATGATATTAAAAAACCCTGATGATACATTCGAGGCCAGAATAATAGAACAACAAAAATAGAAATTACACTTTTTGACCATTACACGTTTTAAGAACTATTCTTTTTTGGTTACTTACATCAAAAGCATCACTTTTATTACAGTTTATTATGGTAATTTATACTGTTAAATATTAGAAATTGTATACATTTTTGACAATTTTCATGATGTTACCCTTTACAAAGTTTTGGAAAAATGCAGTTAAATTCTGTGTGTTCTTTCTTGATCAAGATTTTTATTGCAAATTCAAAAATAAAAATGACTTTTAGCTTTTTGGCCTTCGTATACCTACAGAAAACTTAAAATATTATTTAGTTTAGGTATATTAAATCGATAGTTTTATATGCTGAATTTTTTGGGTACATTAAGGTTTTTCAAATATCATAACTAAGCCAAAAATGCATTTATTTTCATTCGGAAAGCTTTCCTATGCTTGTTTTTATTAGGTACATAAACCTGCATACTTAATTTAGAATTTCAACAAAAGTCGAATTTTTGTAGATTTTTGCAAATTTTAATGATGTCACCCCTTATCATTTTTTGAAAAAATGCCAAATAAAATTGTTTTCCTCCCGACATGGTTAGAAAGATTTGCCTGTTAATGCTGATCAAGAATATATATGATTTATGGGGTCGGAAATGACTCCTTCAGTGATTAAAATTATATTTTCCTCTGCAAGATTCTTAAAATCGAAATTTGTATTTCATATTTTTTTAATATTTTGTTGGGACAATCAAAGTTTAGAAATCGCATAACTAAGTCAAAAATGCAATAATTTCAATTCGGAAAGCGAGCCTGAGTTAGGTTTTTTAGGCTTAATAAATCTACATACCCCAAAGATAATATTTGTGAAAATAAAAGTGTTTTTTAGATTATTGAAAATGTTACGATGAAACCCCTTAAAAATTATTTATGATATTTTTTGGGAAAAATCAAGGTTTACAAATTGCATAACTAAGTCAAAAATGCATCAACTTCAATTCGGAAAGCAATTCTGTTTTAGTTTTTTAAAGGTTTATAAATCTGCATACTTGATATAAAATTTTAAAAAATCTAAATTTTTGTCGATTTTTGCAAATTTTAATGATGTAACCCCTTATCATTTTTTGAAAAAATGGCAAAAAAAATTGTTTTCCTCCCGACATGGCTAGAAAGATTCGCCTGTTAATGCTGATCAAGAATATATATGATTTATGGGGTCGGAAATGACTCCTTCACCGTTTTTTAAGCTTCTGACTGAAATTATAATACCCTGCGAGGGTATAATAATGAAAACTGAGTATTGGTAATAAGTGCAACTTTAAATTTAAAAACATGTTTATCTTAATATGTATGTCTTAAAATATATCATTTGTTTAAAGAAAAAGAGATTCAATAACAATAATAATAATACGAATGTAGATAGCCCTGTAATTAAGCCTGTAATTATTTGTAGAGACTAAGGCTAAGTATCGAAAGATAAGGTTGCTTCTAATTAGCCATTTTCATTCCCCCTTTTCTCACTCAGCCAAATAGCTTAGCATTTTGACTGTAACAGTTATGATTTAATAGCCTGGCAAGACAATTTTTGTTCGTTTTTAATCTGAATGTGAAATTTGTGCGAGTTTGGCGGCTTGCGAAATAAAAATGTTAATCATCTGTGTGTGCTTGTGTTTATTGTTTCCAGTTTGCGGTCCCCCGGCGGTGCCGCTGAATGCCAAAGTGCGAACCGTGACGGCCGACACCGGGATTGCGGAGGCGCACTACGAGTGCGATGCTGGCTACGAGCTGTTCGGCCCCGCGTCGGTCAAGTGCGACGCCCGCAAGGGCTGGGAGCGGGATCTGCCCTTCTGTGGCGTCAATGTGGCCTACCGCAAGCCAGTTAACCAGAGCTCCTACACGCGCAGCGGTCCTGCCAGCTATGCGAATGACGGCAAGCCTGGGAACAAGGTGAGCTCGGAGTCATTTCTCTTCACTTTCTTCTCTAGAAGATTATATATATTTCCCCCCCCCCCCTAGAATCCCGATGGACAGGAGTGCTCGGAAACACAAAAGGAGCCCTCGCCCTGGTGGCGTGTCGATCTCCTCACTCCGCAGGCGGTGCACGTGGTCAGGATAACGACGCGCGGCTGCTGTGGCCACCAACCGCTGCAGGACCTGGAGATCCGTGTGGGCAACAGCAGCGCCGATCTACAGCGCAATCCGCTGTGCGCCTGGTATCCGGGCACCCTCGACGAGGGCGTAGTGAAGACCTTCACCTGCGCCCGTCCCCTGGTCGGCCAGTATGTGGCCATACAGCTGGTTGGCGTCGAGGGCAGCCTCAGCCTGTGCGAGGTGGAGACATTTACCAACGACGAGTTCTCCGTGGACCGATGCCTGAGTCCCAAGATCGGGGTGGAGACCGTGGTGACAACATTCTCCAAAACCTGCTATGACTTTCATATCACAAAAGGAGAAAGCTTCGACAATGCCCAGACCATTTGCAAGCAAACGGGTGAGTGTCCGCGGAGCAGAGCGGCGATATCTAATGATTAACATACCTAACTCCCTCCCTCCCTCTGACACGATGCATAGGCGGCGACTTGGTCCATGACTTTCGAGGCGCCACCAGCCAGTACATCCTGTCGGAGCTGGAGCGTCGCAAGACCGAGCTGAAGCCGCAGCTTGTTTGGATCGGGGCCCAGAAGGAGCCGGGCATCACCTCTCGCACCTGGAAGTGGGTCAACGGTGGGTTGATGTGATATGATCCTTAAGGGAGTAATATATTCATGAGCTTAATGGGCTTTACTTATCCAGGAGACGTAGTACAAAAGCCCACCTGGGGCAAGGACCAGCCCAACAATTACAACGGCGAACAGAACTGCGTGGTCCTCGATGGCGGTCGCAACTGGCTGTGGAACGACGTGGGCTGCAACCTGGACTATCTGCACTTTATCTGTCAGCACTGTAAGATCTTCCCAGTCAGAGTCAGTGTCAGTTGCTCACCTTTCTTCTCCTTTTGTACTCTTCCGGCAGCTCCATTGTCTTGCGGGTCGCCCGATGCCCAGCAAAACACCACTGTCATGGGCAAGAAGTTCACTCTGGGCGAGAAGATCCAATACGACTGCCCCAAGGGCCATTCGCTGCTCGGTCAGGCGGAACGTGAATGCAAACCTGACGGCACCTGGAGCGGATCTTCACCGACCTGCAAATGTAAGCGATATTATGCAACCTGTGAGCAGGGATTCCACTTATATAGAGGAAACCCATTGAAGGTGCATGAAGAGCAGATTGTTCACGATCCAATATGGTTACTACTTACAGATGTGGACTGCGGCAACCTGCCCGAGCTCAAGTTTGGGTCGATTCACCTCTCTGAGAAGCGGACCAGCTTTGGTGTGGTGGCCACGTACAGCTGCCACGAGAACTACACACTGATCGGCAACGAGAACCGCACCTGCGCCGTGGATGGCTGGAGCGGCAAGCAGCCTGAGTGCCTGGTGGACTGGTGTCCAGATCCGCTGCGGATTACTGGTGGAAATGTGCGCTTCAGTGACAAGCGAGCCGGCTCCACCGCGACCTATGTGTGCGAGCCGGGCTACGTGCTCGTCGGCGAAGCGGTAGGTTACCCTGTTTAACGTTCTGCCTCTATGACCTGCTCCTGATCGCATTACTTTCGTCTCTTCAACAGGTAATCTCGTGTGGTTTGGGTGGCGAGTGGTCCAGCAAGACGCCTTCATGCAGATTCGTTGATTGCGGTGCGCCGGCACGACCCGATCGCGGTATTTCCATCCTGCTGAATGGCACCACCACCGTTGATTCGGTGGTCAAGTACGAGTGCGATGAGGATCACTGGTTGGACGGTCCCGCAGAGCTGTACTGCACCCGGGATGGCAAGTGGTCGGGCGAAGCGCCCGTCTGTGAGCTGGTCACCTGCGAAACGCCAGCGGTGCCGGCCGGCTCTTTTGTCATTGGCTATGACTACAATGTGCACTCGAAGATTCAGTATAACTGCGATCCAGGACATATCATGCATGGCACGTCAGTGCTCGAGTGTCTGGACAGCGGGGAGTGGAGCTCAGATGCTCCTTACTGCGAGTGTGAGTAAAGCTAAACCTATAGTAGCTTTACAATGAATTGACATTATTATCTCCTTCTTCCAGACATCGATTGCGGTCAGATCCTGCCCATCCCCTATGGCAGTCACAAGTACGTGACCAACACCACCTACGTGGGTTCTGAGGTGGTCTTTACCTGCTCCCAGTCCCACAAGCTCAGCGGTGTGGTGAAGCGCCAGTGCCTGGAATCGGCTGTCTGGAGCGATGTCTCACCGAAGTGTGAAGGTAGGGATACACAAATTTATATAAGATGAAGATGCTTAATGTACTCCCTCAGAGATTCGTTGTCCGGAGCCGAAGCTGGCCGCCCACAGTCTGCTGTCCGTCACGGGCAATGACCGCATGTACGGACGTACCCTTATCCGTACCGCCGAGTCAACCCAGAACACTGCCCAGACCTACAAGTAAGTGGGCACACCCCAACCTCTGTTCTTGAACTTTTGTCTCATATTCAATCCCGTGGGTTTACCTTTTAGGATCGGTGCCTTGGCCAAGTACCGATGCGAACGTGGCTACAAGATGGTGGGCGAGGCTCTGGCCACCTGCATGGACAGTGGTCAGTGGAGCGGAGTGATTCCAGAGTGTGTCTGTAAGTATAGAAGACGAGTTGAGCCGATCTGGAACGGAACTGAATGAATTGATTTTACCAGATGTGGAGTGCGGTGGGCCCGAGAACATCACCAATGGCAAGGTGACCCTGGCCACCAATGCCACCTATTATGGCGCCGCTGTTCTCTACGAATGCAACGCCAACTTCAAGCTGAATGGAGTCTCGCGCCGCTTGTGCACAGAGCACGGCAACTGGAGCCACGAGACGCCCGAGTGCGTGGAGGTGGTGTGCGACATGCCCAACATCAGTGACAACCTAATCGTTGAGGCCGGCAGCAGAGCCGTCGGCTCAGTGGTCACCTTCAAGTGCGCCAAGGGTCGGATCATGATGGGCAACGATACGCGCATCTGCCAGAAGAACGGCAAATGGGCGGGCAAGAGTCCTACATGCAGACGTAAGAAACCATCTCAACCATACAGCCTTGGCTTAAGTTTAGTTAATAACTTGCTGCATTATTTATTTAAATAGCTGTCGATTGCGGACGACCGCTGGCTATCGATAACGGACGCGTGATCGTTGTCAACGACTCAACGCTGTATGGTGGCTCGGCGGAGTACCACTGCATTCCCAACTACAACCGGATAGGACAGTATCTGCGCAAGTGCACCGAAGACGGGGCCTGGTCCGGTAAGCAGCCGCACTGCGAACTGGCCACAGTGGAGGGCCACGAGAGCTCACGGTTGGGCACAGGCGTTGGGATTGGGGCCACGATCATTGTAGCCATGCTGGTTATCTTTGGCTTGATCTTCCTGTATCGCAATAAGGCGCGGCCTGTCAAGAACACCGAGAATGTGCAGGCGGCGGAAACGAAGGACGAACGAAATGCCGCAGTCATGTCATACTCCACACTGGAAGCAAACAACCGGATGCACATGGACAACAATAATCCCTCAGCGACATTCAACACGTTCCAGGGTGGAGCGGGACGGAATGGAGGTGGGGGAAGTGCCGGAGCAGGCGGAGGCGCCGAAAGGATGAACAATAATCGTTCGGGTAAGTCGGAAACGAAAGTCCTTGACCTGAGTGCCAAGCTAATCTGCTTGCCTTGGCAGAGAACATCTATGACCAGATACCGAACGAGCAGTTCTATGACGCTCCTTACGAGATGCGGACCAACGACGAGGTGTACGAGCCGGAGCCGGTGGCCAGTAATGTCATCACCATTAACGGAATTTCCGTGAGATAGGTGGCGTGAGATGTTGTTTACGTTAGTTTTGTGTTAATAAATCCTGTACATAGTAATCGTTTAAGGAAGGGATGTGTGAGGAGAGTTACTTGTAGCTAAGCCTAGGGCCATGGACACAGGGCCATCCATATCGCATTAACGTTAACCCTATATATATATACTTACCATATCTATTACCTATGTGTATCCGTACGTACTGAAGCAGGACCTGTCTGTGCGCAGGAGGAACCCCGCCCCGATACCGATCCTGATGACTCCCAGCTCCTATTCTTACTCGTATTTTTTTCGTGTGTTGCTTAAATTATTTTAAATATGTAGAATGTTAATCAGAGTGTACAATGTTTGTTATGCAATGTGTAAGAGCTCGCCGAGTGTGTGTAAATTAAACAAAATGTGGTTAACTTAAATTACTGTATTTTATAATTGCTTATTGTTTGAAAACAGAGATCCAGTAGCAGCCAATGGATAGCCATAACTCCGCTTAGGAGAGGTGGAAAGTGGGAGGCATTATATTGTTAAATCAATAGTTTCATGGAAACAAACTCACTTTCTCCCTGACATCAAGCTAGGAAACATGTTAACCAAATTCGAAAGCAACTCATAAATTCTTTTTCGGGAATCTTTTGATATCTAAATTCGTAGGCAGGGATGGCGAAGAAGGCCGGAGCGCAACAGCTGCAGGCGGACCTGCAAACCGACGAGGAACTCGAACGCTTTATTGAACGGCCTGGGTTACTTGGTAAGTGCTGTCATGAGCCATATTATTTTTGCCATTTCATAATTCCTAAAAACGTTTAAACCCTAAATGTGCAGTGCTGGATATCTACTCGGAATGGTGTGGCCCTGTTTGGGATTGGTTGGCTCTCTGCGTAAGATGAAGCTGGAGTTTGGCGGCGACAATATGCAACTGGCCATTGTGCGTTGAGATAGCGTAAGTTTACTACTGGATCCCGCTTCACTAATCAGAGTATCTCTTAGTGCAAGTCGGACACCATTTCGGCATTAAAGCGCTTCAACAAAAGAAGTGAACCCACCTGGCTGTTTGTGACCGTAAGTCCAAGATTTTAATTTCAAATACGCAAATGAGAGAATATCAACATCTTCCTTACTAAAGAAGTAAAGGAAGAGTTAGTTTTAAGGAAACACCCCGGTTTAAATTGGATTTCTGCTACCCTATGTATGTTGTATCGATATGTGCAAACAAGTTGGCAGCATCAAACATCGATAAAATCACGAAGCCTAATAGATGAGTTGGTTTCCTCCCTAGCTCAAGTATCGGTGATGCTGACTGGCTTATTTACATTTACCGTTGCAGCGATAAAATTTTCACATTCTCCATTTTTAATTATAATTAGTAACTCTATACATATACAATAATGTCTGCAGGGAGGCAAAGCTGTCAACATCATGTTTGGCTCGGATGTGCCCAAGCTCATGAACCTGCTAACCAAAGAGCTAGAAAAGATGCTGCAGAAGACACCGCGCACCCACTACAGGCTGGACGAGTTGCAACCGATCGAGGTAGAGCAGCAGCGCCTCAAAATGGAGGCCATCGACAGGGCAGAGCGCGCGGAGCGTGAGATCAGGCACAAAAAGCAGGTTGACTACCTAACCGTGGTGACGGACTCCATCATGGAGAATATGCCGGACATCGGTGTGACGGTGTTTGGGCCGCAGGTTAATCGCGACATGTTCAAGAAACTCACCGAGCCGGCCGAGGCCCTCAAGATGCAGTGCAAGGAGCGCAAGGTTGTACAGGTGTCCAGCGATCAGTTCGAGGTGGTGAACTTCGCCTGCAAGAACCCATTGTCGGCGGACGTCATCGAGCAGCTGGACCAGAAGGAGCTGCTCATCTGCTTCTGGAAGATAGACGAGAGCATCGGCACCGTGCCGAATGTGCTAATGACGTATGCTCACGAGTTGACCAGAGAGCGCGAGGAGGACGGCGACGAATTCCACGAGGATCGTGTTTTACCGCCCATCATCACCACCATGAAGGTCAAGGTCGAGGTAGAGCTAAAGGAGGGTGAGGTGTGGGTCGAGGAGGTGAGCTCCGAGGAGGAAGTGAAGGTGGCTAAGAACAAGGCCAAGACTAGGGCCAAATCGGTAGTCCAGGAAGAACTGCATGCCGAGGACGACGAGGCAATTGCCGCAGAGGAGGAAGAGGAAGCCAGCGAGGAGGACGCAGCTGATCCGGGTGGCGATCTCATGGCTGGCTTCCCAAACATGCCCGACTTTGACATGGACTTGGACGGCGACGAGGAGGCACCCGCCGAGGACGAGGAGAAGGTGCAGGAGCCCAAGGAGGAGGAGATAGCAAAGCCGCCCACGCGTATCAAGACGGTGAAGGTGCCGCCGATCTGGGTGCCCAACAACCGCCGCACCCACGCCGCCCTTGTCTACGTCTTCTTCCGCGGTCAAACAAGTGGCTTCCTACCGCCGGATCCCAAGCCGGAGCAGCCGCACATCATCATGGCCTTCGATGCTTCAAAACGCAAGGAGATTTTAAACGTGGTCGAGCGCCACAAGGACGAGGTGCCGCTTTTTGGCTACTTCTCCAGCGCGGATCCCGACGCTACGGAACTGATCGCGAATTCAACGGACAAATACGAGTCCGGGCCGCACCAGGAGTACGTGTTCCAGCCAAGCTTACCCTCCTTTCATTACATTTTCCTTTCTTGTTCTTTTCAGCTCCGACAAGATCGTGCTAAAGGTGAACAAGGTGCAGTCGTACATGATGTTATCGCTGGTGTACTACGGACCCAGTTACGTCAGTCCCAACGTTATTGTCGGCAAGGACGAGGCCCTCAAGTTCTTCCCCGAGGACTACAAGCAGCAGGAGGAGGAAGTCGTGGTCGAGCCGGAAAAGAAGAAGAAAAAGGTGAGCTTATTTGTATTCAATGTCCCAGATCCAGAAATTGTATCTCAGCTTCAGTCACAGAGCAAGAAGGCTGGAGATATGCGTGAATCGACGGAACCCGAGGCAGCCACAGCACCACCAGTGGCGGCCGCGGCGGCCGCAGCGGAAGCAGCAGCCCCTACGTCGGAAGCGGCGGGTGGCGCATCGGAAGCCGGAGAGGCTGCAGCAGCCGAAGGAGAAGGAGCTCCTGTGGCAGACGGCGAAGGAGCACCAGCCGCCGAGGGAGAAGGAGCAGCTGTTCCACAAGCAACCGCCGATACGGGAGTAGCGGCCGATGGAGCTGTCCCTGAAGCAGCACCGGAGGTACCAGCTTCCGCGGAGGCGCCACCGCCAGAGGCCGACGCCCCAGCACCAGTGCCGGCCGAAGCCCCAGCCGAAGCCCCCGCAGAAGCCCCTGCCGAAGCACCCGCAGAACCCCAGCTGAAGCTGCGCCGGCGACCGAGTAGAGGATGCACCGCTGTCCCTGCAGCATCTATCTATATATATCTATAAGGTTTTTCTTTTTGTTAAAGTATTTTAATGTAATAAATAAAAAATCAACCAACACTTGCAACAGAAGTCGGCAGCGAGCGACTGCGACCTACTTGCAAGCGTTGCCGGACCGCCTGAATTATCGAGAATAATCGAACAATATCGCCATACCGACTAAATTCCGCCGGTCCGGCAACCTTTGCAAAAAAGTAATCGATTATTTCCGCGGTCTGGCAACCTTTGAAAATATTCGTTCGGCGTTGCCAGTCAGTCGAAAGTCCACTGATCCGGCAACTCCCCAGCCAATAATCGATTTATTCATCAGTCCGGCAATATAGGCCGATAATTCCGCCGGTCTGGCAACGCTTGCAACCAGGTCGCAGTCGCTTGCTGCTGCTTTCTGTTCGCCTGGTATTTCATGTGGAAAAATGGAAAATTTGCATGCAGATTTAAGAGAATTCGGGCAGGACAAGAGTTGTTGTTGTTGTAAATATGAACCACGTGGAATATTGCATCTCCCTTAAATTAGAAATCCAATCTATTTATATTGCAGTATTGACAGAAAAACACAAATTATTTGTTTTTTGTTTAATTATTTGTTTTTTGTTTTATTATTAAATTATTGATTTATTGCATTAAAATACGTTTACAAAAAAAGATAAACCGCCGCTTCCGTCGCAGAGGCTGCTGCTTCCGCTGCGGCCACCGCCTCTGGTACTGCTCCCTACAGCGGTAGCCGGTACTTCCGGAGCTGCTTCAGGGACAGCCGGCTAGTGCAGCATATCTGCTTCAGGTACGCCGCCCGCCGCTTCCGACCTAGTGGCTGCTGCTTCCGCTGCGGCCACCGCCTCTGGTGCTGCTCCCTTCTGTGGTGGCTGGTACCTCCAGAGCTGCTTCAGGGACAGCCGGCTGGTGCAGCCTTTCCGGTTCCGCTTCCAGTACGCCGCCCGGTACAGCCGGCTGGTGCAGCATATCCGCTTCAGGTACGCCGCCCGCCGCTTCCGTCCTAGGGGCTGCTGCTTCCGCTGCGGCCACCGCCTCTGGTGCTGCTCCCTACAGCGGTAGCTGGTACCTCCGGAGCTGCTTCAGGGACAGCCGGCTGGTGCAGCATATCTGCTTCAGGTACGCCGCCCGCCGCTTCCGACCTAGTGGCTGCTGCTTCCGCTGCGGCCACCGCCTCTGGTGCTGCTCCCTACAGCGGAAGCAGGTACCTCCGGAGCTGCTTCAGGGACAGCCGGCTGGTGCAGCATATCTGCTTCAGGTACGCCGCCCGCCGCTTCCGACCTAGTGGCTGCTGCTTCCGCTGCGGCCACCGCCTCTGGTGCTGCTCCCTTCTGTGGTGGCTGGTACCTCCAGAGCTGCTTCAGGGACAGCCGGCTGGTGCAGCCTTTCCGGTTCCGCTTCCAGTACGCCGCCCGGTATAGCCGGCTGGTGCAGCATATCCGCTTCAGGTACGCCGCCCGCCGCTTCCGTCCTAGGGGCTGCTGCTTCCGCTGCGGCCACCGCCTCTGGTGCTGCTCCCTACAGCGGTAGCTGGTACCTCCGGAGCTGCTTCAGGGACAGCCGGCTGGTGCAGCATATCTGCTTCAGGTACGCCGCCCGCCGCTTCCGACCTAGTGGCTGCTGCTCCCGCTGCGGCCACCGCCTCTGGTGCTGCTCCCTACAGCGGAAGCTGGTACCTCCGGAGCTGCTTCAGGGACAGCCGGCTGGTGCAGCATATCTGCTTCAGGTACGCCGCCCGCCGCTTCCGTCCTAGGGCTGCTGCTTCCGCTGCGGACACCGCCTCTGATTCTGCTCCCTACAGCGGTAGCTGGTACCTCCGGAGCTGCTTCAGGGACAGCCGGCTGGTGCAGCCTTTCCGGTTCCGCTTCCAGTACGCCGCCCGGTACAGCCGCCCGCCGGCTGGTGCAGCATATCCGCTTCAGGTACGCCGCCCGCCGCTTCCGTCCTAGGGGCTGCTGCTTCCGCTGCGGCCACCGCCTCTGGTGCTGCTCCCTACAGCGGTAGCTGGTACCTCCGGAGCTGCTTCAGGGACAGCCGGCTGGTGCAGCATATCCGCTTCAGGTACGCCGCCCGCCGCTTCCGTCCTAGGGGCTGCTGCTTCCGCTGCGGCCACCGCCTCTGGTGCTGCTCCCTACAGCGGAAGCTGGTACCTCCGGAGCTGCTTCAGGGACAGCCGGCTGGTGCAGCATATCCGCTTCAGGTACGCCGCCCGCCGCTTCCATCCTAGGGGCTGCTGCTTCCGCTGCGGCCACCGCCTCTGGTGCTGCTCCCTACAGCGGTAGCTGGTACCTCCGGAGCTGCTTCAGGGACAGCCGGCTGGTGCAGCATATCCGCTTCAGGTACGCCGCCCGCCGCTTCCGTCCTAGGGGCTGCTGCTTCCGCTGCGGCCACCGCCTCTGGTGCTGCTCCCTTCTGTGGTGGCTGGTACCTCCAGAGCTGCTTCAGGGACAGCCGGCTGGTGCAGCCTTTCCGGTTCCGCTTCCAGTACGCCGCCCGGTACAGCCGGCTGGTGCAGCATATCCGCTTCAGGTACGCCGCCCGCCGCTTCCGTCCTAGGGGCTGCTGCTTCCGCTGCGGCCACCGCCTCTGGTGCTGCTCCCTACAGCGGTAGCTGCTACCTCCGGAGCTGCTTCAGGACAGCCGGCTGGTGCAGCATATCCGCTTCAGGTACGCCGCCCGCCGCTTCCGTCCTAGGGGCTGCTGCTTCCGCTGCGGCCACCGCCTCTGGTGCTGCTTCCTACAGCGGTAGCTGGTACCTCCGAAGCTGCTTCAGGGATAGCTGGCTGGTCCAGCCTTTCCGCTCCCTGTACGCCGCCCGGTACAGCCGGCTGGTGCAGCCTTTTCGCTTTAGGTACGCCGCTTCCGCCGTAGGGGCTGCTGCTTTCGCTGTGGCCACCGCCATTGGTGCTGCTCCCTTCCGTGGTGGCTGGTACCTCCGGAGCTGCTTCAGAGACAGCCGGCTGGAGCATCCTCTCCGCTTCCGGTACGCCGCCCGGTACAGCCGGCTGGTGCAGCCTTTCCGCTTCCAGTACGCCGCCCGGTACAGCCGGCTGGTGCAGCCGCTTCAGGTACGCCGCCCGCCGCTTTCGCCGTAGGGGCTGCTTCTTCCGCTGCGGCCACCGCCTCTGGTGCTGCTCCCTATAGTGGTGGCTGGTACATCCGGAGCTGCTTCAGGGACAGCCGGCTGGTGCAGCCTTTCCGCTTTAGGTACGCCGCCCGCCGCTTCCGCCGTAGGGGCGCTGCTTCCACCGCGGCCATTGCCTCTGGTGCTGTTCCCTACAGCGGTAGCTGGTACCTCCGGAGCTGCCTCAGGGACAGCCGGCTGGTGCAGCCTTTCCGGTTCCGCTTCCAGTACGCCGCCCGGTACAGCCGGCTGGTGCAGCCTTTCCGCTTCAGGTACGCCGCTTCCGTCCTAGTGGCTGCTGCTTCCGCTGCGGCCACCGCCTCTGGTGCTGCTCCCTACAACGGTAGCTGGTACCTCCGGAGCTGCTTCAGGGACAGCCGGCTGGTGCAGCCTTTCCGCTTCCGTCGTAAGGGCTGCTGCTTCCACCGCGGCCATTGCCTCTGGTGCTGCTCCCTATAGTGGTGGCTGGTACATCCGGAGCTGCTTCAGGGACAGCCGGCTGGTGCAGCCTTTCCGCTTTAGGTACGCCGCCCGCCGCTTTCGCCGTAGGGGCTGCTTCTTCCGCTGCGGCCACCGCCTCTGGTGCTGCTCCCTATAGTGGTGGCTGGTACATCCGGAGCTGCTTCAGGGACAGCCGGCTGGTGCAGCCTTTCCGCTTTAGGTACGCCGCCCGCCGCTTCCGCCGTAGGGGCGCTGCTTCCACCGCGGCCATTGCCTCTGGTGCTGTTCCCTACAGCGGTAGCTGGTACCTCCGGAGCTGCCTCAGGGACAGCCGGCTGGTGCAGCCTTTCCGGTTCCGCTTCCAGTACGCCGCCCGGTACAGCCGGCTGGTGCAGCATATCCGCTTCAGGTACGCCGCCCGCCGCTTCCATCCTAGGGGCTGCTGCTTCCGCTGCGGCCACCGCCTCTGGTGCTGCTCCCTACAGCGGTAGCTGCTACCTCCGGAGCTGCTTCAGGGACAGCCGGCTAGTCCAGTCTTTCCGCTTCCTGTACGCCGCCCGGTGCAGCCTTTTCGCTTTAGGTACGCCGCTTCCGCCGTAGGGGCTGCTGCTTTCGCTGTGGCCACCGCCTTTGGTGCTGCTCCCTTCTGTGATGGCTGGTACCTCCGGAGCTGCTTCAGAGACAGCCGGCTGGAGCATCCTCTCCGCTTCCGGTACGCCGCCCGGTACAGCCGGCTAGTGCAGCCTTTCCGCTTAATGTATGCCGCCCGCCGCTTCCGCCGTAGGAGCTGCTGCTTCCGCTGCGGCCACCGCCTCTGGTGCTGCTCCCTACAGTAGTTGCTGGTACCTCCGGAGCTGCTTCAGGGACAGCCGGCTAGTCCAGCCTTTCCGCTTTAGGTACGCCGCCCGCCGCTTAGGCCGTAGGGGCTGCTGCTTCCGCTGTGGCCACCGCCTCTGGTGCTGCTCCCTACTGTGGTGGCTGGTACCTCCGGAGCTGCTTCAGGGACAGCCGGCTGGTGCAGCCTTTCCGCTTTAGGTACGCCGCCCGCCGCTTAGGCCGTAGGGGCTGCTGCTTCCGCTGTGGCCACCGCCTCTGGTGCTGCTCCCTACTGTGGTGGCTGGTACCTCCGGAGCTGCATCAGGGATAGATGGCTGGTCCAGCCTTTCCGCTCCCTGTACGCCGCCCGGTACAGCCGACTGGTGCAGCCTTTTCGCTTTAGGTACGCCGCTTCCGCCGTAGGGGCTGCTGCTTCCGCAGTGGCCACCGCCTCTGGTGCTGCTCCCTACTGTGGTGGCTGGTACCTCCGGAGCTGCTTCAGGGACAGCCGGCTGGTGCAGCCTTTCCGCTTTAGGTACGCCGCCCGCCGCTTAGGCCGTAGGGGCTGCTGCTTCCGCTGTGGCCACCGCCTCTGGTGCTGCTCCCTACTGTGGTGGCTGGTACCTCCGGAGCTGCATCAGGGATAGCTGGCTGGTCCAGCCTTTCCGCTCCCTGTACGCCACCCGGTACAGCCGACTGGTGCAGCCTTTTCGCTTTAGGTACGCCGCTTCCGCCGTAGGGGCTGCTGCTTCCGCTGTGGCCACCGCCTCTGGTGCTGCTCCCCACTGTGGTGGCTGGTACCTTCGGAGCTGCTTCAGGGACAGCCGGCTGGTCCAGCCTTCCCGTTTCCGGTACGCCGCCCGCCGCTTCCGTCCTAGGGGCTGCTGCTTCCGCTGCGGCCACCGCCTCTGGTGGTGGTGCTTACAGCGGTAGCTGGTACTTCCGGAGCTGCTTCAGGGACAGCCGGCTGGTGCAGCCTTTCCGCTTCCGTCGTAAGGGCTGCTGCTTCCACCGCGGCCACCGCCTCTGGTGCTGCTCCCTACAGTGGTGGCTGGTACATCCGGAGCTGCTTCAGGGACAGCCGGCTGGTGCAGCCTTTTCGCTTTAGGTACGCCGCCCGCCGCTTCCGCCGTAGGGGCTGCTGCTTTCGCTGTGGCCACCGCCTCTGGTGCTGCTCCCCACTGTGGTGGCTGGTACCTTCGGAGCTGCTTCAGGGATAGCTGGCTGGTCCAGCCTTTCCGCTTCCAGTACGCCGCCCAGTACAGCAGGCTGGTGCAGCCTTTCCGCTTTAGGTACGCCGCCCGCCGCCTCCGTCCTAGGGGCTGCTGCTTCCGCTTCGACCACCGCCTCTGGTGCTGCTCACTCCTGTGGTGACTGGTACCTCCGGAGCTGCTTCAGGTACAGCCGGCTGGTCCAGCCTTTCCGCTTCCTGTACGCCGCCCGGTACAGCAGGCTGGTGCAGCCTTTCCGCTTTAGGTCCGCCGCTTACGCCGTAGGGACTGCTGCTTCCGCTGCGGCCACCGCCTCTGGTGGTGGTGCTTACAGCGGTAGCTGGTACTTCCGGAGCTGGTTCAGGGACAGCCGGCTGGTGCAGCCTTTCCGCTTCCGTCGTAAGGGCTGCTGCTTCCACCGCGGCCACCGCCTCTGGTGCTGCTCCCTACAGTGGTGGCTGGTACATCCGGAGCTGCTTCAGGGACAGCCGGCTGGTGCAGCCTTTTCGCTTTAGGTACGCCGCTTCCGCCGTAGGGGCTGCTGCTTCCGCTGTGGCCACCGCCGTAGGGGCTGCTTCTTCCGCTGTGGCCACCGCCTCTGGTGCTGCTCCCCACTGTGGTGGCTGGTACCTTCGGAGCTGCTTCAGGGACAGCCGGCTGGTCCAGCCTTTCCGCTTCCTGTACGCCGCCCGGTACAGCCGGCTGGTCCAGCCTTTCCGCTTTAGGTACGCCGTACGCCGCTTCCGTCCTAGGGGCTGCTGCTTCCGCTGCGGCCATTGCCTGTGGTGCTGCTCCCTACAGTGGTGGCTGGTACCTTCGGAGCTGCTTCAGGGACGGCCGGCTGGTCCAGCCTTCCCGTTTCCGGTACGCCGCCCGCCGCTTCCGTCCTAGGGGCTGCTGCTTCCGCTGCGGCCACCGCCTCTGGTGGTGGTGCTTACAGCGGTAGCTGGTACTTCCGGAGCTGCTTCAGGGACAGCCGGCTGGTGCAGCCTTTCCGCTTCCGTCGTAAGGGCTGCTGCTTCCACCGCGGCCACCGCCTCTGGTGCTGCTCCCTACAGTGGTGGCTGGTACATCCGGAGCTGCTTCAGGGACAGCCGGCTGGTGCAGCCTTTTCGCTTTAGGTACGCCGCTTCCGCCGTAGGGGCTGCTGCTTCCGCTGTGGCCACCGCCTCTGGTGCTGCTCCCCACTGTGGTGGCTGGTACCTTCGGAGCTGCTTCAGGGACAGCCGGCTGGTCCAGCCTTCCCGTTTCCGGTACGCCGCCCGCCGCTTCCGTCCTAGGGGCTGCTGCTTCCGCTGCGGCCACCGCCTCTGTTGGTGGTGCTTACAGCGGTAGCTGGTACATCCGGAGCTGCTTCAGGGACAGCCGGCTGGTGCAGCCTTTTCGCTTTAGGTACGCCGCTTCCGCCGTAGGGGCTGCTGCTTCCGCTGTGGCCACCGCCTCTGGTGCTGCTCCCCACTGTGGTGGCTGGTACCTTCGGAGCTGCTTCAGGGATAGCTGGCTGGTCCAGCCTTTCCGCTTCCAGTACGCCGCCCAGTACAGCAGGCTGGTGCAGCCTTTCCGCTTTAGGTACGCCGCCCGCCACCTCCGTCCTAGGGGCTGCTGCTCCCGCTTCGACCACCGCCTCTGGTGCTGCTCACTCCTGTGGTGACTGGTACCTCCGCAGCTGCTTCAGGTACAGCCGGCTGGTCCAGCCTTTCCGCTTCCTGTACGCCGCCCGGTACAGCCGGCTGGTCCAGCCTTTCCGCTTTAGGTACGCCGTACGCCGCTTCCGTCCTAGGGGCTGCTGCTTCCGCTGCGGCCATTGCCTGTGGTGCTGCTCCCTACTGTGGTGGCTGGTACCTCCGGAGCTGCTTCAGGGATAGCTGGTTGGTCAAGCTTTTCCGCTTCCTGTACGTTGCCCGGTACAGCAGGCTGGTGCAGCCTTTCCGCTTTAGGTACGCCGCCCGCCGCTTCCGTCCTAGGGGCTGCTGCTTCCGCTGCGGCCACCGCCTCTGGTGGTGGTGCTTACAGCGGTAGCTGGTACTTCCGAAGCTGCTTCAGGGACAGCCGGCTGGTGCAGCCTTTCCGCTTCCGTCGTAAGGGCTGCTGCTTCCGCCGCGGCCACCGCCTCTGGTGCTGCTCCCTACAGTGGTGGCTGGTACATCCGGAGCTGCTTCAGGGACAGCCGGCTGGTGCAGCCTTTCCGCTTTAGGTACGCCGCCCGCCGCTTCCGTCCTAGGGGCTGCTGCTTCCGCTGCGGCCACCGCCTCTGGTGGTGGTGCTTACAGCGGTAGCTGGTACTTCCGGAGCTGCTTCAGGGACAGCCGGCTGGTGCAGCCTTTCCGCTTCCGTCGTAAGGCCTGCTGCTTCCACCGCGGCCACCGCCTCTGGTGCTGCTCCCTACAGTGGTGGCTGGTACATCCGGAGCTCCTTCAGGGACAGCCGGCTGGAGCAGCCTTTCCGCTTTAGGTACGCCGCCCGCCGCTTCCGCCGTAGGGGCTGCTGCTTCCACCGCGGCCACCGCCTCTGGTGCTGCTTCCTACAGTGGTGGCTGGTACATCCGGAGCTGCTTCAGGGACAGCCGGCTGGTGCAGCCTTTCCGCTTCCGTCGTAAGGGCTGCTGCTTCCACCGCGGCCACCGCCTCTGGTGCTGCTCCTTACAGTGGTGGCTGGTACATCCGGAGCTGCTTCAGGGACAGCCGGCTGGTGCAGCCTTTCCCCTTTCGTCGTAAGGGCTGCTGCTTCCACCGCGGCCACCGCCTCTGGTGCTGCACCCTACTGTGGTGGCTGGTACCTCCGGAGCTGCTTCAGGGACAGCCGGCTGGTGCAGCCTTTCCGCTTTAGGTACGCCGCCCGCCGCTTCCGCCGTAGGGGCTGCTGCTTCCGCTTCGACCACCGCCTCTGGTGCTGCTCCCTCCTGTGGTGACTGGTACCTCCGGAGCTGCTTCAGGGACAGCCGGCTGGTCCAGCCTTTCCGCTTCCTGTACGCCGCCCGGTACAGCCGACTGGTGCAGCATTTCCGCTTTAGGTACGCCGCCCGCCGCCTCCGTCCTAGGGGCTGCTGCTTCCGCTTTGACCACCGCCTCTGGTGCTGCTCCCTCCTGTGGTGACTGGTACTTCCGGAGCTGCTTCAGGGACAGCCGGCTGGTGCAGCCTTTCCGCTTCCGTCGTAAGGGCTGCTGCTTCCGCCGCGGCCACCGCCTCTGGTGCTGCTCCCTACAGTGGTGGCTGGTACATCCGGAGCTGCTTCAGGGACAGCCGGCTGGTGCAGCCTTTCCCTTTCGTCGTAAGGGCTGCTGCTTCCACCGCGGCCACCGCCTCTGGTGCTGCTCCCTACAGTGGTGGCTGGTACCTCCACAGCTGCTTCAGGGACAGCCGGCTGGTGCAGCCTTTTCGCTTTAGGTACGCCGCCCGCCGCTTCCGCCGTAGGGGCTGCTGCTTCCGCTGCGGCCACCGCCTCTGGTGGTGGTGCTAACAGCGGTAGCTGGTACTTCCGGAGCTGCTTCAGGGACAGCCGGCTGGTGCAGCCTTTCCGCTTCCGTCGTAAGGCCTGCTGCTTCCACCGCGGCCACCGCCTCTGGTGCTGCTCCCTACATTGGTGGCTGGTACATCCGGAGCTGCTTCAGGGACAGCCGGCTGGTGCAGCCTTTCCCCTTTCGTCGTAAGGGCTGCTGCTTCCACCGCGGCCACCGCCTCTGGTGCTGCACCCTACTGTGGTGGCTGGTACCTCCGGAGCTGCTTCAGGGACAGCCGGCTGGTGCAGCCTTTCCGCTTTAGGTACGCCGCCCGCCGCTTCCGCCGTAGGGGCTGCTGCTTCCGCTTCGACCACCGCCTCTGGTGCTGCTCCCTCCTGTGGTGACTGGTACCTCCGGAGCTGCTTCAGGGACAGCCGGCTGGTCCAGCCTTTCCGCTTCCAGTACGCCGCCCAGTACAGCAGGCTGGTGCAGCCTTTCCGCTTTAGGTACGCCGCCCGCCACCTCCGTCCTAGGGGCTGCTGCTCCCGCTTCGACCACCGCCTCTGGTGCTGCTCACTCCTGTGGTGACTGGTACCTCCGCAGCTGCTTCAGGTACAGCCGGCTGGTCCAGCCTTTCCGCTTCCTGTACGCCGCCCGGTACAGCCGGCTGGTCCAGCCTTTCCGCTTTAGGTACGCCGTACGCCGCTTCCGTCCTAGGGGCTGCTGCTTCCGCTGCGGCCATTGCCTGTGGTGCTGCTCCCTACTGTGGTGGCTGGTACCTCCGGAGCTGCTTCAGGGATAGCTGGTTGGTCAAGCTTTTCCGCTTCCTGTACGTTGCCCGGTACAGCAGGCTGGTGCAGCCTTTCCGCTTTAGGTCCGCCGCTTACGCCGTAGGGACTGCTGCTTCCGCTGCGGCCACCGCCTCTGGTGGTGGTGCTTACAGCGGTAGCTGGTACTTCCGGAGCTGGTTCAGGGACAGCCGGCTGGTGCAGCCTTTCCGCTTCCGTCGTAAGGGCTGCTGCTTCCACCGCGGCCACCGCCTCTGGTGCTGCTCCCTACAGTGGTGGCTGGTACATCCGGAGCTGCTTCAGGGACAGCCGGCTGGTGCAGCCTTTTCGCTTTAGGTACGCCGCTTCCGCCGTAGGTGCTGCTGCTTCCGCTGTGGCCACCGCCTCTGGTGCTGCTCCCCACTGTGGTGGCTGGTACCTTCGGAGCTGCTTCAGGGACAGCCGGCTGGTCCAGCCTTTCCGCTTCCGTCGTAAGGGCTGCTGCTTCCACCGCGGCCACCGCCTCTGGTGCTGCTCCCTACTGTGGTGGCTGGTACCTCCGCAGCTGCTTCAGGGACAGCCGGCTGGTCCAGCCTTTCCGCTTCCTGTACGCCGCCCGGTACAGCCGGCTGGTCCAGCCTTTCCGCTTTAGGTACGCCGTACGCCGCTTCCGTCCTAGGGGCTGCTGCTTCCGCTGCGGCCATTGCCTGTGGTGCTGCTCCCTACTGTGGTGGCTGGTACCTCCGGAGCTGCTTCAGGGATAGCTGGTTGGTCAAGCTTTTCCGCTTCCTGTACGTTGCCCGGTACAGCAGGCTGGTGCAGCCTTTTCATCTTTAGGTACGCCGCCCGCCGCTTCCGTCCTAGGGGCTGCTGCTTCCGCTGCGGCCACCGCCTCTGGTGGTGGTGCTTACAGCGGTAGCTGGTACATCCGGAGCTGCTTCAGGGACAGCCGGCTGGTGCAGCCTTTTCGCTTTAGGTACGCCGCTTCCGCCGTAGGGGCTGCTGCTTCCGCTGTGGCCACCGCCTCTGGTGCTGCTCCCCACTGTGGTGGCTGGTACCTTCGGAGCTGCTTCAGGGATAGCTGGCTGGTCCAGCCTTTCCGCTTCCAGTACGCCGCCCAGTACAGCAGGCTGGTGCAGCCTTTCCGCTTTAGGTACGCCGCCCGCCACCTCCGTCCTAGGGGCTGCTGCTCCCGCTTCGACCACCGCCTCTGGTGCTGCTCACTCCTGTGGTGACTGGTACCTCCGCAGCTGCTTCAGGTACAGCCGGCTGGTCCAGCCTTTCCGCTTCCTGTACGCCGCCCGGTACAGCCGGCTGGTCCAGCCTTTCCGCTTTAGGTACGCCGTACGCCGCTTCCGTCCTAGGGGCTGCTGCTTCCGCTGCGGCCATTGCCTGTGGTGCTGCTCCCTACTGTGGTGGCTGGTACCTCCGGAGCTGCTTCAGGGATAGCTGGTTGGTCAAGCTTTTCCGCTTCCTGTACGTTGCCCGGTACAGCAGGCTGGTGCAGCCTTTCCGCTTTAGGTACGCCGCCCGCCGCTTCCGTCCTAGGGGCTGCTGCTTCCGCTGCGGCCACCGCCTCTGGTGGTGGTGCTTACAGCGGTAGCTGGTACTTCCGAAGCTGCTTCAGGGACAGCCGGCTGGTGCAGCCTTTCCGCTTCCGTCGTAAGGGCTGCTGCTTCCGCCGCGGCCACCGCCTCTGGTGCTGCTCCCTACAGTGGTGGCTGGTACATCCGGAGCTGCTTCAGGGACAGCCGGCTGGTGCAGCCTTTCCGCTTTAGGTACGCCGCCCGCCGCTTCCGTCCTAGGGGCTGCTGCTTCCGCTGCGGCCACCGCCTCTGGTGGTGGTGCTTACAGCGGTAGCTGGTACTTCCGGAGCTGCTTCAGGACAGCCGGCTGGTGCAGCCTTTCCGCTTCCGTCGTAAGGCCTGCTGCTTCCACCGCGGCCACCGCCTCTGGTGCTGCTCCCTACAGTGGTGGCTGGTACATCCGGAGCTCCTTCAGGGACAGCCGGCTGGAGCAGCCTTTCCGCTTTAGGTACGCCGCCCGCCGCTTCCGCCGTAGGGGCTGCTGCTTCCACCGCGGCCACCGCCTCTGGTGCTGCTTCCTACAGTGGTGGCTGGTACATCCGGAGCTGCTTCAGGGACAGCCGGCTGGTGCAGCCTTTCCGCTTCCGTCGTAAGGGCTGCTGCTTCCACCGCGGCCACCGCCTCTGGTGCTGCTCCTTACAGTGGTGGCTGGTACATCCGGAGCTGCTTCAGGGACAGCCGGCTGGTGCAGCCTTTCCCCTTTCGTCGTAAGGGCTGCTGCTTCCACCGCGGCCACCGCCTCTGGTGCTGCACCCTACTGTGGTGGCTGGTACCTCCGGAGCTGCTTCAGGGACAGCCGGCTGGTGCAGCCTTTCCGCTTTAGGTACGCCGCCCGCCGCTTCCGCCGTAGGGGCTGCTGCTTCCGCTTCGACCACCGCCTCTGTTGCTGCTCCCTCCTGTGGTGACTGGTACCTCCGGAGCTGCTTCAGGGACAGCCGGCTGGTCCAGCCTTTCCGCTTCCTGTACGCCGCCCGGTACAGCCGACTGGTGCAGCATTTCCGCTTTAGGTACGCCGCCCGCCGCCTCCGTCCTAGGGGCTGCTGCTTCCGCTTTGACCACCGCCTCTGGTGCTGCTCCCTCCTGTGGTGACTGGTACTTCCGGAGCTGCTTCAGGGACAGCCGGCTGGTGCAGCCTTTCCGCTTCCGTCGTAAGGGCTGCTGCTTCCGCCGCGGCCACCGCCTCTGGTGCTGCTCCCTACAGTGGTGGCTGGTACATCCGGAGCTGCTTCAGGGACAGCCGGCTGGTGCAGCCTTTCCCCTTTCGTCGTAAGGGCTGCTGCTTCCACCGCGGCCACCGCCTCTGGTGCTGCTCCCTACAGTGGTGGCTGGTACCTCCGCAGCTGCTTCAGGGACAGCCGGCTGGTGCAGCCTTTTCGCTTTAGGTACGCCGCCCGCCGCTTCCGCCGTAGGGGCTGCTGCTTCCGCTGCGGCCACCGCCTCTGGTGGTGGTGCTAACAGCGGTAGCTGGTACTTCCGGAGCTGCTTCAGGGACAGCCGGCTGGTGCAGCCTTTCCGCTTCCGTCGTAAGGCCTGCTGCTTCCACCGCGGCCACCGCCTCTGGTGCTGCTCCCTACATTGGTGGCTGGTACATCCGGAGCTGCTTCAGGGACAGCCGGCTGGTGCAGCCTTTCCCCTTTCGTCGTAAGGGCTGCTGCTTCCACCGCGGCCACCGCCTCTGGTGCTGCACCCTACTGTGGTGGCTGGTACCTCCGGAGCTGCTTCAGGGACAGCCGGCTGGTGCAGCCTTTCCGCTTTAGGTACGCCGCCCGCCGCTTCCGCCGTAGGGGCTGCTGCTTCCGCTTCGACCACCGCCTCTGGTGCTGCTCCCTCCTGTGGTGACTGGTACCTCCGGAGCTGCTTCAGGGACAGCCGGCTGGTCCAGCCTTTCCGCTTCCAGTACGCCGCCCAGTACAGCAGGCTGGTGCAGCCTTTCCGCTTTAGGTACGCCGCCCGCCACCTCCGTCCTAGGGGCTGCTGCTCCCGCTTCGACCACCGCCTCTGGTGCTGCTCACTCCTGTGGTGACTGGTACCTCCGCAGCTGCTTCAGGTACAGCCGGCTGGTCCAGCCTTTCCGCTTCCTGTACGCCGCCCGGTACAGCCGGCTGGTCCAGCCTTTCCGCTTTAGGTACGCCGTACGCCGCTTCCGTCCTAGGGGCTGCTGCTTCCGCTGCGGCCATTGCCTGTGGTGCTGCTCCCTACTGTGGTGGCTGGTACCTCCGGAGCTGCTTCAGGGATAGCTGGTTGGTCAAGCTTTTCCGCTTCCTGTACGTTGCCCGGTACAGCAGGCTGGTGCAGCCTTTTCATCTTTAGGTACGCCGCCCGCCGCTTCCGTCCTAGGGGCTGCTGCTTCCGCTGCGGCCACCGCCTCTGGTGGTGGTGCTTACAGCGGTAGCTGGTACTTCCGAAGCTGCTTCAGGGACAGCCGGCTGGTGCAGCCTTTCCGCTTCCGTCGTAAGGGCTGCTGCTTCCGCCGCGGCCACCGCCTCTGGTGCTGCTCCCTACAGTGGTGGCTGGTACATCCGGAGCTGCTTCAGGGACAGCCGGCTGGTGCAGCCTTTCCGCTTTAGGTACGCCGCCCGCCGCTTCCGTCCTAGGGGCTGCTGCTTCCGCTGCGGCCACCGCCTCTGGTGGTGGTGCTTACAGCGGTAGCTGGTACTTCCGGAGCTGCTTCAGGGACAGCCGGCTGGTGCAGCCTTTCCGCTTCCGTCGTAAGGCCTGCTGCTTCCACCGCGGCCACCGCCTCTGGTGCTGCTCCCTACAGTGGTGGCTGGTACATCCGGAGCTCCTTCAGGGACAGCCGGCTGGAGCAGCCTTTCCGCTTTAGGTACGCCGCCCGCCGCTTCCGCCGTAGGGGCTGCTGCTTCCACCGCGGCCACCGCCTCTGGTGCTGCTTCCTACAGTGGTGGCTGGTACATCCGGAGCTGCTTCAGGGACAGCCGGCTGGTGCAGCCTTTCCGCTTCCGTCGTAAGGGCTGCTGCTTCCACCGCGGCCACCGCCTCTGGTGCTGCTCCTTACAGTGGTGGCTGGTACATCCGGAGCTGCTTCAGGGACAGCCGGCTGGTGCAGCCTTTCCCCTTTCGTCGTAAGGGCTGCTGCTTCCACCGCGGCCACCGCCTCTGGTGCTGCACCCTACTGTGGTGGCTGGTACCTCCGGAGCTGCTTCAGGGACAGCCGGCTGGTGCAGCCTTTCCGCTTTAGGTACGCCGCCCGCCGCTTCCGCCGTAGGGGCTGCTGCTTCCGCTTCGACCACCGCCTCTGGTGCTGCTCCCTCCTGTGGTGACTGGTACCTCCGGAGCTGCTTCAGGGACAGCCGGCTGGTCCAGCCTTTCCGCTTTCTGTACGCCGCCCGGTACAGCCGACTGGTGCAGCACTTCCGCTTTAGGTACGCCGCCCGCCGCCTCCGTCCTAGGGGCTGCTGCTTCCGCTTTGACCACCGCCTCTGGTGCTGCTCCCTCCTGTGGTGACTGGTACTTCCGGAGCTGCTTCAGGGACAGCCGGCTGGTGCAGCCTTTCCGCTTCCGTCGTAAGGGCTGCTGCTTCCGCCGCGGCCACCGCCTCTGGTGCTGCTCCCTACAGTGGTGGCTGGTACATCCGGAGCTGCTTCAGGGACAGCCGGCTGGTGCAGCCTTTCCCCTTTCGTCGTAAGGGCTGCTGCTTCCACCGCGGCCACCGCCTCTGGTGCTGCTCCCTACAGTGGTGGCTGGTACCTCCGCAGCTGCTTCAGGGACAGCCGGCTGGTGCAGCCTTTTCGCTTTAGGTACGCCGCCCGCCGCTTCCGCCGTAGGGGCTGCTGCTTCCGCTGCGGCCACCGCCTCTGGTGGTGGTGCTAACAGCGGTAGCTGGTACTTCCGGAGCTGCTTCAGGGACAGCCGGCTGGTGCAGCCTTTCCGCTTCCGTCGTAAGGCCTGCTGCTTCCACCGCGGCCACCGCCTCTGGTGCTGCTCCCTACATTGGTGGCTGGTACATCCGGAGCTGCTTCAGGGACAGCCGGCTGGTGCAGCCTTTCCGCTTTCGTCGTAAGGGCTGCTGCTTCCACCGCGGCCACCGCCTCTGGTGCTGCACCCTACTGTGGTGGCTGGTACTTCCGGAGCTGCTTCAGGGACAGCCGGCTGGTGCAGCCTTTCCGCTTTAGGTACGCCGCCCGCCGCTTCCGCCGTAGGGGCTGCTGCTTCCGCTGTGGCCACCGCCTCTGGTGCTGCTCCCTACTGTGGTGGCTGGTACCTCCGGAGCTGCTTCAGGGACAGCCGGCTGGTGCAGCCTTGCCGCTTCCAGTACGCCGCCCGGTACAGCCGGCTGGTGCAGCATTTCCGCTTCAAGTACGCCGCCCGCCGCTTCCGTCCTAGGGGCTGCTGCTTCGGCTGCGGCCACCGCCTCTACTGTGGTGGCTGGTACCTCCGGAGCTGCTTCAGGGACAGCCGGCTGGTCCAGCCTTTCCGATTCCTGTACGGCGCCCGGTACAGCAGGCTGGTGCAGCCTTTCCGCTTTAGGTACGCCGCCCGCCGCTTCCGTCCTAGGGGCTGCTGCTGCCGCTGCGGCCACCGCCTCTGGTGCTGCTCCCTACAATGGTGGCTGGTACCTCCGGACCTGCTTCAGGGACAGCCGGCTGGTGCAGCCTTTCCGCTGCTCCTTTTCCTTCTGCCACAGGAGCTCCATTTCCGCCTTCCGGTACGCCGCCCGCCGCTTCAGTCGTAGGGGCTGCTGCTTCCCCTGCGGCGACCGCTGTGATGCTGATGCCTACAACGGAAGTTGTTACCTCCGGTACTGCTTCAAGGACAGCTCGATCGGCCGCTACAGCCGTATCGGCGGTTGCTGCTTCAGGGACAGCTCCATCGAACGCTACTGCAGTATCGGCGGTTGCTTGTGGCACTGTTGCTCCTTCTCCCTCGGCGGTTGGTGATTCTTCTCCTTGTGCTACAGGAGCTTCTCTGCCTTCCGGTACGCCGCCCGTCGCTTCCGTCGTAGAGGCCGCTGTGATACAGTTTCTGGATCCGGGACATTGAATACAAATAAGCTCACCTTTTTCTTATTTTCCGGCACGACCACGACTTCCATCTCCGGCTGCTTGTAGTCTTCGGGGAAGAACTTGAGGGCCTCATCCTTGCCGACAATAACGTTGGGACTGCCGCAACCGGGTCCATAGTACACCAGCAATAGAATCACGTACGACTGCACCTTGTTGACCTTTAGCACGATCTTGTCGCAGCTGAAAAGAACAAGAAAGGAAAATGTAATGAAAGGAGGATAAGATCGGCTAGAACACGTACGCCTGGTGCGGCCCGGACTCGTAGTTGTCCGTTGAATTCGCAATCAGCTCCATAGCGTCGGGATCCGCGCTGGAAAAGAAGCCATGCACTAGTCATGCAGTTCTTCCTGGACTACCGATTTGACCCTAGGCTCGGCCTTGTTCTTAGCCACCTTAACTTCCTTCTTGGAGCTCACTTTCTCGACCCACACCTCACCCTTCTGGTCCAGCTGCTCGATGACGTCCTCCGACAATTGGTTCTTGCAGGCGAAGTTCACCACCTCGAACTGATCGCTGGACTTCTTACAACCTTGTGGTCCTTGCACTGCATCTTAAGGGCCTCGGCCGGCACGGTGAGCTTCTTGAACATGTTGCGATTAACCTGCGGCCCAAACACCGTCACACCCATGTCCGTTACTATGGTTAGGTAGTCAACCTGCTTCTTGTTCCTGATCTCACGCCCCGCGCGCTCTGCACTGTCGATGGCCTCCATCTTGAAGCGCTGCTGCTCAACCTCGATCGGCTGCAGCATCTTTTCAAGCTCTTTGGTTACCAGGTTCATGAGCTTGGGCACATCCGAGCCAAACATGATGTTGACAGTTTTGCCTCCCTGCAGACATTATGGTATACGTATAATGTTACTATTTTTAATTAAAAATTGCAAGAATGGAAAATTTTATCTCTGCAACGGTAAATGTAATGCACCGATATTTGAGCTAGGGAGGAAACCAACTCATCTATTAGGCTTCGTGATTTTATCGATGTTTGATGCTGCCAACTTGTTTGCACATATCGATACAACATACATTTGAAAAAGCTTTTGCGCGGTCATTTCTTGCACCAGTTAATATTTGAATATGAAAGCTGATACAATTTCTGGACCCGGGACATTAAATACAAATAAGCTCACCTTTTCCTTCTTCTTTTCCGGCTCGACCACGACTTCCTTCTCCTGCTGCTTGTAGTCTTCGAGGAAGAACTTGAGGGCCTTGTCCTTGCCGACAATAAGGTTGGAACTGACGTAACTGTGTTCGTAGTACACCAGCGATAGCATCATATACGACTGCAGCTGCTCGGCTGGAACACGTATTTGTGCGTTGATCAGCTCTATAGCGTCGGAGTCCGTGTTGGAAAAGTAGCCAATGTGTGGCTGCTTCGGTTTGGTATCCGGCGGTAGGAAGCCACTTGTTTGCCCGCGGAAGAAGACGTAGACAAGGGCGGCGTGGGTGCGACGGTTGTTGGGCTCCCAGATCGGCGGCACCTTCACCATCTTGATCCGCGCAGGCGGCTTTGCCATCTTCTCATCCTCGGCGGGGGCCTCCTTGTCGCCGTCCAGCTTCATCGGCCGCTACTGCAGTATCGGCGGTTGCTTGTGGAACTGCTGCTCCGTCCCCCTCGACGGTTGGTGCTTCTTCTCCTTCTGCTACAGGAGCTCCTTCTCCGCCTTCTACAGGTGCAGCCTCTCGGCCTTCCGGTACGCCGCCCGCCGCTTCCGTCGTAGGGCTGCTGCTTCTGCTGCAGCCGCCGCTGCTGCTGGTGCTGTGGCTGCCTCGGGTTCCGTCAATTCGCGCATATCTCCAGCCTCTTGCCCTGTGACTGAAGCTGAGATACAATTTCTGAACCCGGGACATTGAATACAAAAAGGCTCACCTTTTTCTTCTTTTCCGGCTCGACCATTGGTTCCGCCGAAAATTGGTTCTTGCAGGCGAAGTTCACCACCTCGAACTGATCGCTGGACTTCTTACAACCTTGTGTTCCTTGCACTGCATCTTAAGGGCCTCGGCCGGCACGGTGAGCTTCTTGAACATGTTGCGATTAACCTGCGGCCCAAACACCGTCACACCCATGTCCGTTACCATGGTTAGGTAGTCAACCTGCTTCTTGTGCCTGATCTCACGCCCCGCGCGCTCTGCACTGTCGATGGCCTCCATCTTGAAGCGCTGCTGCTCAACCTCGATCGGCTGCAGCATCTTTTCAAGCTCTTTGGTTACCAGGTTCATGAGCTTGGGCACATCCGAGCCAAACATGATGTTGACAGTTTTGCTTCCCTGCAGACATTATGGTATACGTATAATGTTACTATTTTTAATTAAAAATTGCAAGAATGGAAAATTTTATCTCTGCAACGGTAAATGTAATGCACCGATATTTGCGCTAGGGAGGAAACTAACTCATCTATTAGGCTTCGTGATTTTATCGATGTTTGATGCTGCCAACTTGTTTGCACATATCGATACAACATACATTTGAAAAAGCTTTTGCGCGGTCATTTCTTGCACCAGTTAATATTTGAATATGAAAGCTGATACAATTTCTGGACCCGGGACATTAAATACAAATAAGCTCACCTTTTCCTTCTTCTTTTCCGGCTCGACCACGACTTCCTTCTCCTGCTGCTTGTAGTCTTCGAGGAAGAACTTGAGGGCCTTGTCCTTGCCGACAATAAGGTTGGAACTGACGTAACTGTGTTCGTAGTACACCAGCGATAGCATCATATACGACTGCAGCTGCTAGGCTGGAACACGTATTTGTGCGTTGATCAGCTCTATAGCGTCGGAGTCCGTGTTGGAAAAGTAGCCAATGTGTGGCTGCTTCGGTTTGGTATCCGGCGGTAGGAAGCCACTTGTTTGACCGCGGAAGAAGACGTAGACAAGGGCGGCGTGGGTGCGACGGTTGTTGGGCTCCCAGATCGGCGGCACCTTCACCATCTTGATCCGCGCGGGCGGCTTTGCCATCTTCTCATCCTCGGCGGGGGCCTCCTTGTCGCCATCCAGCTCCATCGGCCGCTACTGCAGTATCGGCGGTTGCTTGTGGAACTGCTGCTCCGTCCCCCTCGACGGTTGGTGCTTCTTCTCCTTCTGCTACAGGAGCTCCTTCTCCGCCTTCTACAGGTGCAGCCTCTCGGCCTTCCGGTACGCCGCCCGCCGCTTCCGTCGTAGGGCTGCTGCTTCTGCTGCAGCCGCCGCTGCTACTGGTGCTTTGGCTGCCTCGGGTTCCGTCAATTCGCGCATATCTCCAGCCTCTTGCCCTGTGACTGAAGCTGAGATACAATTTCTGAACCCGGGACATTGAAAACAAAAAGGCTCACCTCTTTCTTCTTTTCCGGCTCGACCATTGGTTCCGCCGACAATTGGTTCTTGCAGGCGAAGTTCACCACCTCGAACTGATCGCTGGACTTCTTACAACCTTGTGGTCCTTGCACTGCATCTTAAGGGCCTCGGCCGGCACGGTGAGCTTCTTGAACATGTTGCGATTAACCTGCGGCCCAAACACCGTCACACCCATGTCCGTTACTATGGTTAGGTAGTCAACCTGCTTCTTGTTCCTGATCTCACGCCCCGCGCGCTCTGCACTGTCGATGGCCTCCATCTTGAAGCGCTGCTGCTCAACCTCGATCGGCTGCAGCATCTTTTCAAGCTCTTTGGTTACCAGGTTCATGAGCTTGGGCACATCCGAGCCAAACATGATGTTGACAGTTTTGCTTCCCTGCAGACATTATGGTATACGTATAATGTTACTATTTTTAATTAAAAATTGCAAGAATGGAAAATTTTATCTCTGCAACGGTAAATGTAATGCACCGATATTTGAGCTAGGGAGGAAACTAACTCATCTATTAGGCTTCGTGATTTTATCGATGTTTGATGCTGCCAACTTGTTTGCACATATCGATACAACATACATTTGAAAAAGCTTTTGCGCGGTCATTTCTTGCACCAGTTAATATTTGAATATGAAAGCTGATACAATTTCTGGACCCGGGACATTAAATACAAATAAGCTCACCTTTTCCTTCTTCTTTTCCGGCTCGACCACGACTTCCTTCTCCTGCTGCTTGTAGTCTTCGAGGAAGAACTTGAGGGCCTCGTCCTTGCCGACAATAAGGTCGGAACTGACGTAACTGTGTTCGTAGTACACCAGCGATAGCATCATATACGACTGCAGCTGCTCGGCTGGAACACGTATTTGTGCGTTGATCAGCTCTATAACGTCGGAGTCCGTGTTGGAAAAGTAGCCAATGTGTGGCTGCTTCGGTTTGGTATCCGGCGGTAGGAAGCCACTTGTTTGACCGCGGAAGAAGACGTAGACAAGGGCGGCGTGGGTGCGACGGTTGTTGGGCTCCCAGATCGGCGGCACCTTCACCATCTTGATCCGCGCGGGCGGCTTTGCCATCTTCTCATCCTCGGCGGGGGCCTCCTTGTCGCCGTCCAGCTCCATCGGCCGCTACTGCAGTATCGGCGGTTGCTTGTGGAACTGCTGCTCCGTCCCCCTCGACGGTTGGTGCTTCTTCTCCTTCTGCTACAGGAGCTCCTTCTCCGCCTTCTACAGGTGCAGCCTCTCGGCCTTCCGGTACGCCGCCCGCCGCTTCCGTCGTAGGGCTGCTGCTTCTGCTGCAGCCGCCGCTGCTGCTGCTGCTGCTGGTGCTGTGGCTGCCTCGGGTTCCGTCAATTCGCGCATATCTGCAGCCTCTTGCCCTGTGACTGAAGCTGAGATACAATTTCTGAACCCGGGACATTGAATACAAAAAGGCTCACCTTTTTCTTCTTTTCCGGCTCGACCATTGGTTCCGCCGAAAATTGGTTCTTGCAGGCGAAGTTCACCACCTCGAACTGATCGCTGGACTTCTTACAACCTTGTGTTCCTTGCACTGCATCTTAAGGGCCTCGGCCGGCACGGTGAGCTTCTTGAACATGTTGCGATTAACCTGCGGCCCAAACACCGTCACACCCATGTCCGTTACTATGGTTAGGTAGTCAACCTGCTTCTTGTGCCTGATCTCACGCTCAGCACCCTCTGCACTGTCGATGGCCTCCATCTTGAAGCGCTGCTGCTCAACCTCGATCGGCTGCAGCATCTTTTCTAGCTCTTTGGTTACCAGGTTCATGAGCTTGGGCACATCCGAGCCAAACATGATGTTGACAGTTTTGCTTCCCTGCAGACATTATGGTATACGTATAATGTTACTATTTTTAATTAAAAATTGCAAGAATGGAAAATTTTATCTCTGCAACGGTAAATGTAATGCACCGATATTTGAGCTAGGGAGGAAACTAACTCATCTATTAGGCTTCGTGATTTTATCGATGTTTGATGCTGCCAACTTGTTTGCACATATCGATACAACATACATTTGAAAAAGCTTTTGCGCGGTCATTTCTTGCACCAGTTAATATTTGAATATGAAAGCTGATACAATTTCTGGACCCGGGACATTAAATACAAATAAGCTCACCTTTTCCTTCTTCTTTTCCGGCTCGACCACGACTTCCTTCTCCTGCTGCTTGTAGTCTTCGAGGAAGAACTTGAGGGCCTTGTCCTTGCCGACAATAAGGTTGGAACTGACGTAACTGTGTTCGTAGTACACCAGCGATAGCATCATATACGACTGCAGCTGCTAGGCTGGAACACGTATTTGTGCGTTGATCAGCTCTATAGCGTCGGAGTCCGTGTTGGAAAAGTAGCCAATGTGTGGCTGCTTCGGTTTGGTATCCGGCGGTAGGAAGCCACTTGTTTGACCGCGGAAGAAGACGTAGACAAGGGCGGCGTGGGTGCGACGGTTGTTGGGCTCCCAGATCGGCGGCACCTTCACCATCTTGATCCGCGCGGGCGGCTTTGCCATCTTCTCATCCTCGGCGGGGGCCTCCTTGTCGCCATCCAGCTCCATCGGCCGCTACTGCAGTATCGGCGGTTGCTTGTGGAACTGCTGCTCCGTCCCCCTCGACGGTTGGTGCTTCTTCTCCTTCTGCTACAGGAGCTCCTTCTCCGCCTTCTACAGGTGCAGCCTCTCGGCCTTCCGGTACGCCGCCCGCCGCTTCCGTCGTAGGGCTGCTGCTTCTGCTGCAGCCGCCGCTGCTACTGGTGCTTTGGCTGCCTCGGGTTCCGTCAATTCGCGCATATCTCCAGCCTCTTGCCCTGTAACTGAAGCTGAGATACAATTTCTGAACCCGGGACATTGAAAACAAAAAGGCTCACCTCTTTCTTCTTTTCCGGCTCGACCATTGGTTCCGCCGACAATTGGTTCTTGCAGGCGAAGTTCACCACCTCGAACTGATCGCTGGACTTCTTACAACCTTGTGGTCCTTGCACTGCATCTTAAGGGCCTCGGCCGGCACGGTGAGCTTCTTGAACATGTTGCGATTAACCTGCGGCCCAAACACCGTCACACCCATGTCCGTTACTATGGTTAGGTAGTCAACCTGCTTCTTGTTCCTGATCTCACGCCCCGCGCGCTCTGCACTGTCGATGGCCTCCATCTTGAAGCGCTGCTGCTCAACCTCGATCGGCTGCAGCATCTTTTCAAGCTCTTTGGTTACCAGGTTCATGAGCTTGGGCACATCCGAGCCAAACATGATGTTGACAGTTTTGCTTCCCTGCAGACATTATGGTATACGTATAATGTTACTATTTTTAATTAAAAATTGCAAGAATGGAAAATTTTATCTCTGCAACGGTAAATGTAATGCACCGATATTTGAGCTAGGGAGGAAACTAACTCATCTATTAGGCTTCGTGATTTTATCGATGTTTGATGCTGCCAACTTGTTTGCACATATCGATACAACATACATTTGAAAAAGCTTTTGCGCGGTCATTTCTTGCACCAGTTAATATTTGAATATGAAAGCTGATACAATTTCTGGACCCGGGACATTAAATACAAATAAGCTCACCTTTTCCTTCTTCTTTTCCGGCTCGACCACGACTTCCTTCTCCTGCTGCTTGTAGTCTTCGAGGAAGAACTTGAGGGCCTCGTCCTTGCCGACAATAAGGTCGGAACTGACGTAACTGTGTTCGTAGTACACCAGCGATAGCATCATATACGACTGCAGCTGCTCGGCTGGAACACGTATTTGTGCGTTGATCAGCTCTATAACGTCGGAGTCCGTGTTGGAAAAGTAGCCAATGTGTGGCTGCTTCGGTTTGGTATCCGGCGGTAGGAAGCCACTTGTTTGACCGCGGAAGAAGACGTAGACAAGGGCGGCGTGGGTGCGACGGTTGTTGGGCTCCCAGATCGGCGGCACCTTCACCATCTTGATCCGCGCGGGCGGCTTTGCCATCTTCTCATCCTCGGCGGGGGCCTCCTTGTCGCCGTCCAGCTCCATCGGCCGCTACTGCAGTATCGGCGGTTGCTTGTGGAACTGCTGCTCCGTCCCCTCGACGGTTGGTGCTTCTTCTCCTTCTGCTACAGGAGCTCCTTCTCCGCCTTCTACAGGTGCAGCCTCTCGGCCTTCCGGTACGCCGCCCGCCGCTTCCGTCGTAGGGCTGCTGCTTCTGCTGCAGCCGCCGCTGCTGCTGCTGCTGCTGGTGCTGTGGCTGCCTCGGGTTCCGTCAATTCGCGCATATCTGCAGCCTCTTGCCCTGTGACTGAAGCTGAGATACAATTTCTGAACCCGGGACATTGAATACAAAAGGCTCACCTTTTTCTTCTTTTCCGGCTCGACCATTGGTTCCGCCGAAAATTGGTTCTTGCAGGCGAAGTTCACCACCTCGAACTGATCGCTGGACTTCTTACAACCTTGTGTTCCTTGCACTGCATCTTAAGGGCCTCGGCCGGCACGGTGAGCTTCTTGAACATGTTGCGATTAACCTGCGGCCCAAACACCGTCACACCCATGTCCGTTACTATGGTTAGGTAGTCAACCTGCTTCTTGTGCCTGATCTCACGCTCAGCACCCTCTGCACTGTCGATGGCCTCCATCTTGAAGCGCTGCTGCTCAACCTCGATCGGCTGCAGCATCTTTTCTAGCTCTTTGGTTACCAGGTTCATGAGCTTGGGCACATCCGAGCCAAACATGATGTTGACAGTTTTGCTTCCCTGCAGACATTATGGTATACGTATAATGTTACTATTTTTAATTAAAAATTGCAAGAATGGAAAATTTTATCTCTGCAACGGTAAATGTAATGCACCGATATTTGAGCTAGGGAGGAAACTAACTCATCTATTAGGCTTCGTGATTTTATCGATGTTTGATGCTGCCAACTTGTTTGCACATATCGATACAACATACATTTGAAAAAGCTTTTGCGCGGTCATTTCTTGCACCAGTTAATATTTGAATATGAAAGCTGATACAATTTCTGGACCCGGGACATTAAATACAAATAAGCTCACCTTTTCCTTCTTCTTTTCCGGCTCGACCACGACTTCCTTCTCCTGCTGCTTGTAGTCTTCGAGGAAGAACTTGAGGGCCTTGTCCTTGCCGACAATAAGGTTGGAACTGACGTAACTGTGTTCGTAGTACACCAGCGATAGCATCATATACGACTGCAGCTGCTAGGCTGGAACACGTATTTGTGCGTTGATCAGCTCTATAGCGTCGGAGTCCGTGTTGGAAAAGTAGCCAATGTGTGGCTGCTTCGGTTTGGTATCCGGCGGTAGGAAGCCACTTGTTTGACCGCGGAAGAAGACGTAGACAAGGGCGGCGTGGGTGCGACGGTTGTTGGGCTCCCAGATCGGCGGCACCTTCACCATCTTGATCCGCGCGGGCGGCTTTGCCATCTTCTCATCCTCGGCGGGGGCCTCCTTGTCGCCATCCAGCTCCATCGGCCGCTACTGCAGTATCGGCGGTTGCTTGTGGAACTGCTGCTCCGTCCCCCTCGACGGTTGGTGCTTCTTCTCCTTCTGCTACAGGAGCTCCTTCTCCGCCTTCTACAGGTGCAGCCTCTCGGCCTTCCGGTACGCCGCCCGCCGCTTCCGTCGTAGGGCTGCTGCTTCTGCTGCAGCCGCCGCTGCTACTGGTGCTTTGGCTGCCTCGGGTTCCGTCAATTCGCGCATATCTCCAGCCTCTTGCCCTGTGACTGAAGCTGAGATACAATTTCTGAACCCGGGACATTGAAAACAAAAAGGCTCACCTCTTTCTTCTTTTCCGGCTCGACCATTGGTTCCGCCGACAATTGGTTCTTGCAGGCGAAGTTCACCACCTCGAACTGATCGCTGGACTTCTTACAACCTTGTGTTCCTTGCACTGCATCTTAAGGGCCTCGGCCGGCACGGTGAGCTTCTTGAACATGTTGCGATTAACCTGCGGCCCAAACACCGTCACACCCATGTCCGTTACTATGGTTAGGTAGTCAACCTGCTTCTTGTGCCTGATCTCACGCCCCGCGCGCTCTGCACTGTCGATGGCCTCCATCTTGAAGCGCTGCTGCTCAACCTCGATCGGCTGCAGCATCTTTTCAAGCTCTTTGGTTACCAGGTTCATGAGCTTGGGCACATCCGAGCCAAACATGATGTTGACAGTTTTGCTTCCCTGCAGACATTATGGTATACGTATAATGTTACTATTTTTAATTAAAAATTGCAAGAATGGAAAATTTTATCTCTGCAACGGTAAATGTAATGCACCGATATTTGAGCTAGGGAGGAAACCAACTCATCTATTAGGCTTCGTGATTTTATCGATGTTTGATGCTGCCAACTTGTTTGCACATATCGATACAACATACATTTGAAAAAGCTTTTGCGCGGTCATTTCTTGCACCAGTTAATATTTGAATATGAAAGCTGATACAATTTCTGGACCCGGGACATTAAATACAAATAAGCTCACCTTTTCCTTCTTCTTTTCCGGCTCGACCACGACTTCCTTCTCCTGCTGCTTGTAGTCTTCGAGGAAGAACTTGAGGGCCTCGTCCTTGCCGACAATAAGGTTGGAACTGACGTAACTGTGTTCGTAGTACACCAGCGATAGCATCATATACGACTGCAGCTGCTCGGCTGGAACACGTATTTGTGCGTTGATCAGCTCTATAACGTCGGAGTCCGTGTTGGAAAAGTAGCCAATGTGTGGCTGCTTCGGTTTGGTATCCGGCGGTAGGAAGCCACTTGTTTGACCGCGGAAGAAGACGTAGACAAGGGCGGCGTGGGTGCGACGGTTGTTGGGCTCCCAGATCGGCGGCACCTTCACCATCTTGATCCGCGCGGGCGGCTTTGCCATCTTCTCATCCTCGGCGGGGGCCTCCTTGTCGCCGTCCAGCTCCATCGGCCGCTACTGCAGTATCGGCGGTTGCTTGTGGAACTGCTGCTCCGTCCCCCTCGACGGTTGGTGCTTCTTCTCCTTCTGCTACAGGAGCTCCTTCTCCGCCTTCTACAGGTGCAGCCTCTCGGCCTTCCGGTACGCCGCCCGCCGCTTCCGTCGTAGGGCTGCTGCTTCTGCTGCAGCCGCCGCTGCAGCTGGTGCTGTGGCTGCCTCGGGTTCCGTCAATTCGCGCATATCTGCAGCCTCTTGCCCTGTGACTGAAGCTGAGATACAATTTCTGAACCCGGGACATTGAATACAAAAAGGCTCACCTTTTTCTTCTTTTCCGGCTCGACCATTGGTTCCGCCGAAAATTGGTTCTTGCAGGCGAAGTTCACCACCTCGAACTGATCGCTGGACTTCTTACAACCTTGTGTTCCTTGCACTGCATCTTAAGGGCCTCGGCCGGCACGGTGAGCTTCTTGAACATGTTGCGATTAACCTGCGGCCCAAACACCGTCACACCCATGTCCGTTACTATGGTTAGGTAGTCAACCTGCTTCTTGTGCCTGATCTCACGCTCAGCACCCTCTGCACTGTCGATGGCCTCCATCTTGAAGCGCTGCTGCTCAACCTCGATCGGCTGCAGCATCTTTTCTAGCTCTTTGGTTACCAGGTTCATGAGCTTGGGCACATCCGAGCCAAACATGATGTTGACAGTTTTGCTTCCCTGCAGACATTATGGTATACGTATAATGTTACTATTTTTAATTAAAAATTGCAAGAATGGAAAATTTTATCTCTGCAACGGTAAATGTAATGCACCGATATTTGAGCTAGGGAGGAAACTAACTCATCTATTAGGCTTCGTGATTTTATCGATGTTTGATGCTGCCAACTTGTTTGCACATATCGATACAACATACATTTGAAAAGCTTTTGCGCGGTCATTTCTTGCACCAGTTAATATTTGAATATGAAAGCTGATACAATTTCTGGACCCGGGACATTAAATACAAATAAGCTCACCTTTTCCTTCTTCTTTTCCGGCTCGACCACGACTTCCTTCTCCTGCTGCTTGTAGTCTTCGAGGAAGAACTTGAGGGCCTTGTCCTTGCCGACAATAAGGTTGGAACTGACGTAACTGTGTTCGTAGTACACCAGCGATAGCATCATATACGACTGCAGCTGCTAGGCTGGAACACGTATTTGTGCGTTGATCAGCTCTATAGCGTCGGAGTCCGTGTTGGAAAAGTAGCCAATGTGTGGCTGCTTCGGTTTGGTATCCGGCGGTAGGAAGCCACTTGTTTGACCGCGGAAGAAGACGTAGACAAGGGCGGCGTGGGTGCGACGGTTGTTGGGCTCCCAGATCGGCGGCACCTTCACCATCTTGATCCGCGCGGGCGGCTTTGCCATCTTCTCATCCTCGGCGGGGGCCTCCTTGTCGCCATCCAGCTCCATCGGCCGCTACTGCAGTATCGGCGGTTGCTTGTGGAACTGCTGCTCCGTCCCCCTCGACGGTTGGTGCTTCTTCTCCTTCTGCTACAGGAGCTCCTTCTCCGCCTTCTACAGGTGCAGCCTCTCGGCCTTCCGGTACGCCGCCCGCCGCTTCCGTCGTAGGGCTGCTGCTTCTGCTGCAGCCGCCGCTGCTACTGGTGCTTTGGCTGCCTCGGGTTCCGTCAATTCGCGCATATCTCCAGCCTCTTGCCCTGTGACTGAAGCTGAGATACAATTTCTGAACCCGGGACATTGAAAACAAAAAGGCTCACCTCTTTCTTCTTTTCCGGCTCGACCATTGGTTCCGCCGACAATTGGTTCTTGCAGGCGAAGTTCACCACCTCGAACTGATCGCTGGACTTCTTACAACCTTGTGGTCCTTGCACTGCATCTTAAGGGCCTCGGCCGGCACGGTGAGCTTCTTGAACATGTTGCGATTAACCTGCGGCCCAAACACCGTCACACCCATGTCCGTTACTATGGTTAGGTAGTCAACCTGCTTCTTGTGCCTGATCTCACGCCCCGCGCGCTCTGCACTGTCGATGGCCTCCATCTTGAAGCGCTGCTGCTCAACCTCGATCGGCTGCAGCATCTTTTCAAGCTCTTTGGTTACCAGGTTCATGAGCTTGGGCACATCCGAGCCAAACATGATGTTGACAGTTTTGCTTCCCTGCAGACATTATGGTATACGTATAATGTTACTATTTTTAATTAAAAATTGCAAGAATGGAAAATTTTATCTCTGCAACGGTAAATGTAATGCACCGATATTTGAGCTAGGGAGGAAACCAACTCATCTATTAGGCTTCGTGATTTTATCGATGTTTGATGCTGCCAACTTGTTTGCACATATCGATACAACATACATTTGAAAAAGCTTTTGCGCGGTCATTTCTTGCACCAGTTAATATTTGAATATGAAAGCTGATACAATTTCTGGACCCGGGACATTAAATACAAATAAGCTCACCTTTTCCTTCTTCTTTTCCGGCTCGACCACGACTTCCTTCTCCTGCTGCTTGTAGTCTTCGAGGAAGAACTTGAGGGCCTCGTCCTTGCCGACAATAAGGTCGGAACTGACGTAACTGTGTTCGTAGTACACCAGCGATAGCATCATATACGACTGCAGCTGCTCGGCTGAACACGTATTTGTGCGTTGATCAGCTCTATAACGTCGGAGTCCGTGTTGGAAAAGTAGCCAATGTGTGGCTGCTTCGGTTTGGTATCCGGCGGTAGGAAGCCACTTGTTTGACCGCGGAAGAAGACGTAGACAAGGGCGGCGTGGGTGCGACGGTTGTTGGGCTCCCAGATCGGCGGCACCTTCACCATCTTGATCCGCGCGGGCGGCTTTGCCATCTTCTCATCCTCGGCGGGGGCCTCCTTGTCGCCGTCCAGCTTCATCGGCCGCTACTGCAGTATCGGCGGTTGCTTGTGGAACTGCTGCTCCGTCCCCCTCGACGGTTGGTGCTTCTTCTCCTTCTGCTACAGGAGCTCCTTCTCCGCCTTCTACAGGTGCAGCCTCTCGGCCTTCCGGTACGCCGCCCGCCGCTTCCGTCGTAGGGCTGCTGCTTCTGCTGCAGCCGCCGCTGCAGCTGGTGCTGTGGCTGCCTCGGGTTCCGTCAATTCGCGCATATCTGCAGCCTCTTGCCCTGTGACTGAAGCTGAGATACAATTTCTGAACCCGGGACATTGAATACAAAAGGCTCACCTTTTTCTTCTTTTCCGGCTCGACCATTGGTTCCGCCGAAAATTGGTTCTTGCAGGCGAAGTTCACCACCTCGAACTGATCGCTGGACTTCTTACAACCTTGTGTTCCTTGCACTGCATCTTAAGGGCCTCGGCCGGCACGGTGAGCTTCTTGAACATGTTGCGATTAACCTGCGGCCCAAACACCGTCACACCCATGTCCGTTACTATGGTTAGGTAGTCAACCTGCTTCTTGTGCCTGATCTCACGCTCAGCACCCTCTGCACTGTCGATGGCCTCCATCTTGAAGCGCTGCTGCTCAACCTCGATCGGCTGCAGCATCTTTCTAGCTCTTTGGTTACCAGGTTCATGAGCTTGGGCACATCCGAGCCAAACATGATGTTGACAGTTTTGCTTCCCTGCAGACATTATGGTATACGTATAATGTTACTATTTTTAATTAAAAATTGCAAGAATGGAAAATTTTATCTCTGCAACGGTAAATGTAATGCACCGATATTTGAGCTAGGGAGGAAACTAACTCATCTATTAGGCTTCGTGATTTTATCGATGTTTGATGCTGCCAACTTGTTTGCACATATCGATACAACATACATTTGAAAAAGCTTTTGCGCGGTCATTTCTTGCACCAGTTAATATTTGAATATGAAAGCTGATACAATTTCTGGACCCGGGACATTAAATACAAATAAGCTCACCTTTTCCTTCTTCTTTTCCGGCTCGACCACGACTTCCTTCTCCTGCTGCTTGTAGTCTTCGAGGAAGAACTTGAGGGCCTTGTCCTTGCCGACAATAAGGTTGGAACTGACGTAACTGTGTTCGTAGTACACCAGCGATAGCATCATATACGACTGCAGCTGCTAGGCTGGAACACGTATTTGTGCGTTGATCAGCTCTATAGCGTCGGAGTCCGTGTTGGAAAAGTAGCCAATGTGTGGCTGCTTCGGTTTGGTATCCGGCGGTAGGAAGCCACTTGTTTGACCGCGGAAGAAGACGTAGACAAGGGCGGCGTGGGTGCGACGGTTGTTGGGCTCCCAGATCGGCGGCACCTTCACCATCTTGATCCGCGCGGGCGGCTTTGCCATCTTCTCATCCTCGGCGGGGGCCTCCTTGTCGCCATCCAGCTCCATCGGCCGCTACTGCAGTATCGGCGGTTGCTTGTGGAACTGCTGCTCCGTCCCCCTCGACGGTTGGTGCTTCTTCTCCTTCTGCTACAGGAGCTCCTTCTCCGCCTTCTACAGGTGCAGCCTCTCGGCCTTCCGGTACGCCGCCCGCCGCTTCCGTCGTAGGGCTGCTGCTTCTGCTGCAGCCGCCGCTGCTACTGGTGCTTTGGCTGCCTCGGGTTCCGTCAATTCGCGCATATCTCCAGCCTCTTGCCCTGTGACTGAAGCTGAGATACAATTTCTGAACCCGGGACATTGAAAACAAAAAGGCTCACCTCTTTCTTCTTTTCCGGCTCGACCATTGGTTCCGCCGACAATTGGTTCTTGCAGGCGAAGTTCACCACCTCGAACTGATCGCTGGACTTCTTACAACCTTGTGGTCCTTGCACTGCATCTTAAGGGCCTCGGCCGGCACGGTGAGCTTCTTGAACATGTTGCGATTAACCTGCGGCCCAAACACCGTCACACCCATGTCCGTTACTATGGTTAGGTAGTCAACCTGCTTCTTGTGCCTGATCTCACGCCCCGCGCGCTCTGCACTGTCGATGGCCTCCATCTTGAAGCGCTGCTGCTCAACCTCGATCGGCTGCAGCATCTTTTCAAGCTCTTTGGTTACCAGGTTCATGAGCTTGGGCACATCCGAGCCAAACATGATGTTGACAGTTTTGCTTCCCTGCAGACATTATGGTATACGTATAATGTTACTATTTTTAATTAAAAATTGCAAGAATGGAAAATTTTATCTCTGCAACGGTAAATGTAATGCACCGATATTTGAGCTAGGGAGGAAACCAACTCATCTATTAGGCTTCGTGATTTTATCGATGTTTGATGCTGCCAACTTGTTTGCACATATCGATACAACATACATTTGAAAAAGCTTTTGCGCGGTCATTTCTTGCACCAGTTAATATTTGAATATGAAAGCTGATACAATTTCTGGACCCGGGACATTAAATACAAATAAGCTCACCTTTTCCTTCTTCTTTTCCGGCTCGACCACGACTTCCTTCTCCTGCTGCTTGTAGTCTTCGAGGAAGAACTTGAGGGCCTCGTCCTTGCCGACAATAAGGTCGGAACTGACGTAACTGTGTTCGTAGTACACCAGCGATAGCATCATATACGACTGCAGCTGCTCGGCTGGAACACGTATTTGTGCGTTGATCAGCTCTATAACGTCGGAGTCCGTGTTGGAAAAGTAGCCAATGTGTGGCTGCTTCGGTTTGGTATCCGGCGGTAGGAAGCCACTTGTTTGACCGCGGAAGAAGACGTAGACAAGGGCGGCGTGGGTGCGACGGTTGTTGGGCTCCCAGATCGGCGGCACCTTCACCATCTTGATCCGCGCGGGCGGCTTTGCCATCTTCTCATCCTCGGCGGGGGCCTCCTTGTCGCCGTCCAGCTTCATCGGCCGCTACTGCAGTATCGGCGGTTGCTTGTGGAACTGCTGCTCCGTCCCCCTCGACGGTTGGTGCTTCTTCTCCTTCTGCTACAGGAGCTCCTTCTCCGCCTTCTACAGGTGCAGCCTCTCGGCCTTCCGGTACGCCGCCCGCCGCTTCCGTCGTAGGGCTGCTGCTTCTGCTGCAGCCGCCGCTGCTGCTGGTGCTGTGGCTGCCTCGGGTTCCGTCAATTTGCGCATATCTGCAGCCTCTTGCCCTGTGACTGAAGCTGAGATACAATTTCTGAACCCGGGACATTGAATACAAAAAGGCTCACCTTTTTCTTCTTTTCCGGCTCGACCATTGGTTCCGCCGAAAATTGGTTCTTGCAGGCGAAGTTCACCACCTCGAACTGATCGCTGGACTTCTTAAAACCTTGTGTTCCTTGCACTGCATCTTAATGGCCTCGGCCGGCACGGTGAGCTTCTTGAACATGTTGCGATTAACCTGCGGCCCAAACACCGTCACACCCATGTCCGTTACTATGGTTAGGTAGTCAACCTGCTTCTTGTGCCTGATCTCACGCTCCGCGCCCTCTGCACTGTCGATGGCCTCCATCTTGAAGCGCTGCTGCTCAACCTCGATCGGCTGCAGCATCTTTTCAAGCTCTTTGGTTACCAGGTTCATGAGCTTGGGCACATCCGAGCCAAACATGATGTTGACAGTTTTGCCTCCCTGCAGACATTATGGTATACGTATAATGTTACTATTTTTAATTAAAAATTGCAAGAATGGAAAATTTTATCTCTGCAACGGTAAATGTAATGCACCGATATTTGAGCTAGGGAGGAAACCAACTCATCTATTAGGCTTCGTGATTTTATCGATGTTTGATGCTGCCAACTTGTTTGCACATATCGATACAACATACATTTGAAAAAGCTTTTGCGCGGTCATTTCTTGCACCAGTTAATATTTGAATATGAAAGCTGATACAATTTCTGGACCCGGGACATTAAATACAAATAAGCTCACCTTTTCCTTCTTCTTTTCCGGCTCGACCACGACTTCCTTCTCCTGCTGCTTGTAGTCTTCGAGGAAGAACTTGAGGGCCTCGTCCTTGCCGACAATAAGGTTGGAACTGACGTAACTGTGTTCGTAGTACACCAGCGATAGCATCATATACGACTGCAGCTGCTCGGCTGGAACACGTATTTGTGCGTTGATCAGCTCTATAACGTCGGAGTCCGTGTTGGAAAAGTAGCCAATGTGTGGCTGCTTCGGTTTGGTATCCGGCGGTAGGAAGCCACTTGTTTGACCGCGGAAGAAGACGTAGACAAGGGCGGCGTGGGTGCGACGGTTGTTGGGCTCCCAGATCGGCGGCACCTTCACCATCTTGATCCGCGCGGGCGGCTTTGCCATCTTCTCATCCTCGGCGGGGGCCTCCTTGTCGCCGTCCAGCTCCATCGGCCGCTACTGCAGTATCGGCGGTTGCTTGTGGAACTGCTGCTCCGTCCCCCTCGACGGTTGGTGCTTCTTCTCCTTCTGCTACAGGAGCTCCTTCTCCGCCTTCTACAGGTGCAGCCTCTCGGCCTTCCGGTACGCCGCCCGCCGCTTCCGTCGTAGGGCTGCTGCTTCTGCTGCAGCCGCCGCTGCTACTGGTGCTTTGGCTGCCTCGGGTTCCGTCAATTCGCGCATATCTCCAGCCTCTTGCCCTGTGACTGAAGCTGAGATACAATTTCTGAACCCGGGACATTGAAAACAAAAAGGCTCACCTCTTTCTTCTTTTCCGGCTCGACCATTGGTTCCGCCGACAATTGGTTCTTACAGGCGAAGTTCACCACCTCGAACTGATCGCTGGACTTCTTACAACCTTGTGGTCCTTGCACTGCATCTTAAGGGCCTCGGCCGGCACGGTGAGCTTCTTGAACATGTTGCGATTAACCTGCGGCCCAAACACCGTCACACCCATGTCCGTTACCATGGTTAGGTAGTCAACCTGCTTCTTGTGCCTGATCTCACGCCCCGCGCGCTCTGCACTGTCGATGGCCTCGATCTTGAAGCGCTGCTGCTCAACCTCGATCGGCTGCAGCATCTTTTCAAGCTCTTTGGTTACCAGGTTCATGAGCTTGGGCACATCCGAGCCAAACATGATGTTGACAGTTTTGCCTCCCTGCAGACATTATGGTATACGTATAATGTTACTATTTTTAATTAAAAATTGCAAGAATGGAAAATTTTATCTCTGCAACGGTAAATGTAATGCACCGATATTTGAGCTAGGGAGGAAACCAACTCATCTATTAGGCTTCGTGATTTTATCGATGTTTGATGCTGCCAACTTGTTTGCACATATCGATACAACATACATTTGAAAAAGCTTTTGCGCGGTCATTTCTTGCGCCAGTTAATATTTGAATATGAAAGCTGATACAATTTCTGGACCCGGGACATTAAATACAAATAAGCTCACCTTTTCCTTCTTCTTTTCCGGCTCGACCACGACTTCCTTCTCCTGCTGCTTGTAGTCTTCGAGGAAGAACTTGAGGGCCTTGTCCTTGCCGACAATAAGGTTGGAACTGACGTAACTGTGTTCGTAGTACACCAGCGATAGCATCATATACGACTGCAGCTGCTAGGCTGGAACACGTATTTGTGCGTTGATCAGCTCTATAGCGTCGGAGTCCGTGTTGGAAAAGTAGCCAATGTGTGGCTGCTTCGGTTTGGTATCCGGCGGTAGGAAGCCACTTGTTTGACCGCGGAAGAAGACGTAGACAAGGGCGGCGTGGGTGCGACGGTTGTTGGGCTCCCAGATCGGCGGCACCTTCACCATCTTGATCCGCGCGGGCGGCTTTGCCATCTTCTCATCCTCGGCGGGGGCCTCCTTGTCGCCATCCAGCTCCATCGGCCGCTACTGCAGTATCGGCGGTTGCTTGTGGAACTGCTGCTCCGTCCCCTCGACGGTTGGTGCTTCTTCTCCTTCTGCTACAGGAGCTCCTTCTCCGCCTTCTACAGGTGCAGCCTCTCGGCCTTCCGGTACGCCGCCCGCCGCTTCCGTCGTAGGGCTGCTGCTTCTGCTGCAGCCGCCGCTGCTACTGGTGCTTTGGCTGCCTCGGGTTCCGTCAATTCGCGCATATCTCCAGCCTCTTGCCCTGTGACTGAAGCTGAGATACAATTTCTGAACCCGGGACATTGAAAACAAAAAGGCTCACCTCTTTCTTCTTTTCCGGCTCGACCATTGGTTCCGCCGACAATTGGTTCTTACAGGCGAAGTTCACCACCTCGAACTGATCGCTGGACTTCTTACAACCTTGTGTTCCTTGCACTGCATCTTAAGGGCCGCGGCCGCGACGGTGAGCTTCTTGAACATGTTGCGATTAACCTGCGGCCCAAACACCGTCACACCCACGTCCGTTACCATGGTTAGGTAGTCAACCTGCTTCTTGTGCCTGATCTTACGCTCCGCGCGCTCAGCACTGTCGATGGCCTCCATCTTGAAGCGCTGCTGCTCAACCTCGATCGGCTGCAGCATCTTTTCTAGCTCGTTGGTTACCAGGCTCATGAGCTTGGGCACATCCGAGCCAAACATGATGTTGACAGTTTTGCCTCCCTGCAGACATTATGGTATACGTATAATGTTACTATTTTTAATTAAAATTGCAAGAATGGAAAATTGTATCTCTGCAACGGTAAATGTAAAAAAGCCAGTCAGTAGCACCGATATTTGAGCTAGGGAGGAAACCAACTCATCTATTAGGCTTCGTGATTTTATCGATGTTTGATGCTGCCAACTTGTTTGCACATATCGATTCAACATACATTTGAAAAAGCTTTTGCGCGGTCTTTTCACCAGTATTATTTGAATATGAATTAATAGAATAACCCAAAACACATTTTCTTCAGGTCTGCGGTCGCGCCATAACATTTCTCGATTACCCTAAAGACAGAAACACATTTTAATGATTTGGTTTGTAATTTTTCTGGAAATTTTTGTTCATTTTTTGTTGTTTTCTTTATTATTATTATTAATATTAATATTATTATGTAATTCCTTTACTTTATATGTAAAATAAGAAAGTATTAATGGTTTTTATTAACAAATTTTGTTGAAGGCAGGTATTTATGTTATTTTTATATGTTTATGTATGTATATGTCTTGTATATAAATTACAAGTCGTCTTTATAATTACATAATTAAATATTAAACGTAGTTCAATTACTCTAGCGTCCCTTAAACATAATTATTTAAACTGCTTTATTACCTTAGTGTATATTCAGTTAAGATATATTTAGTGTAATTTGTTTTCTGTTTTGTTTTTCTGATATATGTATTTATGTATATGCATTATCAATACATCCTTTTAGCTGTACTAGTTTTAAATTGTTCTAGTTTTATATATATGTATATCATGTTATTTTCCTTTGCATATCATATCATAACCCTATGTCCCTATATCCCTATATATATTCCTATATCCGGTGTTGCTTATCCTTGTTGCCTTGTAAATAATTCAGAGCTACTTGTAGGTATGTACTTCCTATGTGACCTTTTTTTTGTTTCAAAACCAGACAGTGTAAGCAGTTAAGTTAGGCTAACGAAATGCACAATCGAATCGTAAGGTTCAAGATTATTAAGTATATGTGTATATGGTTTTAGAAAGAGTATGCCTCGACTCGGGACAAAATGAACACAGGATCTTATAGTCATCTATTTCGACTATCTCGTCTCCAAGCGAGCGTATCTATGTGTCTCAGGGGCGGGTTTTAGTTCAAGAACTCGATGCGAACTCGAGGAGGTGGACGCCGATGGAGTTAGCAATGGGGATCTAATGCGTATCTGATCTGAGTATTGAGGAAGCCTGGAAGAACAATCGATGGTTATCTATCGATCTATGTATTTATACAAAGGATACTTCAGCTTTGGCATCATCTAGCTGGGGTAGATGGAGGGACTACTCTTAACCCCAAGTATCACAGTTGATCGCGATCGGATCGATCCCTGCATAAGCCACGTGGGGTTCTCTAAGCAAAGTTGAGTTCGCAATTGGACAGCCGAGTGTGTTGCCAAGTGTAAGGCCAAGCCGTAGAAGCAATGAGGAGGCTTATGGTGGACTTTAACAAAGCTAATTACATGAATTACATTCTATATGGTTCCTCGAGAGTAATGCCAATTAATTGCAAACTAAATACAGGCAATATCAAAACGAGACTCTTAACTAATCTTCTTAGTATTTTGTACTCATTTATCTTATTTGTTTTCCGTTTTTAATTTACTTATTAGGTTTATGTTTTTTGGCATTGAGGCAATGATTGACTTCGTATTTTAGCAATTAAATTAATTAGTTTCAGCTATCCAGCTGCGAACTCTGCCGTCTCGAGGATGTTAAAGCAAAAGCAAGCTACGAGAAAGAAAATGCTTAGTCTAAAACAGAGAGAAGAGGAGAGAAGTTCGAATGAGGATGAGGGACATCAAAAATATGGACAAATCTTTTGTGGAAGCAGTCAAAAAGGTGATATATAACCTCGTCAGCCAGTACGGATTTCTATATGGATTTGACACACTATAGTTTAGTTATGAACTATTGTTTATCTATGCATTTATGCCATGTACGAGTCCGTAATTAAGATTATACTATTCCAAAATGATGACACTCCATCCCATGTCTGTGTTTCTTGCTAGTATTGCTTAGTATTAATATTTAAGTATCGTACATATGTAGCTGTGAAGTTGGTTTCGGTTTCGGTTTCGGTTTCGTTTCGATTTCGGTTTCTAGTCGTAATTGGTAATCGTAATTGGTAAGTACATTTTGCGTGTAAAATCTCATACTTAAGTTTTATGGATTTTCATTTCGTTCATATTTAAATTACAATATTTGTGCGCTCTTCGATATCCATGCCGAATCGAACGATTCGTCGTCTATCTATTACACTAATTGGTTTGATTTTCATAGGATCTTACTAGTCACTTGTGAGTGCATACGAGAGCATAACGAGAACAAAACATACACAATCTCGACTGGCTGGGCGGGCAGGCTAGCTGGACTGGAGGAGAATATGTGCTGTGGTGTGGTGTGACTTTACTGGACTTGATTTATCTACACAATGTCATCGCACAAGAGCCTTCTAAACGCTAGCAACCGATTGGCATAAATATTTGGGAAAAGCTAAAGCCACGGAGGAAAATCGAAAGATATAATATACAGGAAAAACGTATATCTCTAATGTACAAATTAAATAGAGGTTAAACAGGTCTTATAATGAAGCAGATGCGTAACAGGCTATTACACAAAATAATTATTAAAGTTTGATGAGATTTAAGGTTAAACTTTAATAACTATCTCCCTTAGGAGCCTGGCGTTCCGAATCTGATTCATTATAAGGTCTTTCGTTAGCTACCTCTTCTACGAAATAAAAGAGATGCTCTCACGAATATTATACACGAATGGAATCCCTGCTTAATTTTCGGAGATTATGGCTGTTGTCGGTTGAAATATATATAAGTATAATCGTAATTACATACAAAAATTTGTTATCTACATTAATTAATCTGTTATGTACATCGAATAAATACATATAATTTCGCGTTTAAATTTACATAATTGAGTTGAGTAAAGTTTAAATACAAACAAGACAAAAACGCTTGCAGATTACCGACTGACTCCTCCTCCCCTCGAGCTATGTTACCGTCTACGTTCTAGAGATAAACCTAAGATGTAAGTGTATGCGTGGTACCTATTAACTCTCTGTATTAACTACCTAACGACTTACTTAACCGACACCTACTATGTTGTGTGTGTGTGTGTGAGTTGTGAAGAGTTTATCTATATTCATTTTGCTGTTGTGTGTCCTAGGCTTTGTCCCTAACATTATAGAAAAAAGTACAATTACAATACGCTCCTCCGCCGCCCTATATGTATATCATATCGACTGATGGATACCCTTAAGCCTACACATATAGCATATAGCCCTATATAGTCTGCGTTTACTACATCTATTTCTTACTCTTTCATCTTCCGTCTCTTGGGTATATCCCTTTACAGCTGGCTTTCGTTCCTGGTTCTCTGCTTCTGGTTGTCTCTGGTTCTGGCTCCTTTCTATGGCCCTGTGTGTCCTCGTCTGTCATGTCCCTCTCATAGCGTATGATACGAATACAGCGAGTGTTGGTGATGAGGCTGATGGAGCTGGAGTTCTGGCTGCTCCTCTTCGGCTATCTCTATTTTAACTTTCTCTAGATCGGTATTATTATAATTAATGTCGTTATCTGAATATATCTTTTTAATAGCTAATGGGGACGTTGTTATTTTAATTGGTACGCTTAATATCATTGCTTCGTTTTTGTTAGTTGTTGTTGTCCTTGGTGTTGCTGTTGTTCTAGTAGTTCTCGCAATGAACTCGATATCGGAGTGGGGCGACGTGGCTCTGGTCTCGGGCAGCGAGTAGGCCATCGTTGCGGCAGCGGACTCGTATGGCCCCAGCCGGAGCCACTGTTGCTGATGCATATCTAGTGGTAGTGGTTGCTGTAGTTGTAGTTGTTGCTGTAGTAGTTGTAGTTGCGATTGCGATGGTCGATTCGGTACTGATTCCTGCTGTAAGCCGTCGTCGTCTCTGGCCAATTTGATGTCAGTTGGATGCGGGGCATACCTTCTTCGGTGCGGAAGGTACATCACATGTTGATGGTGATGGAGATGGAGGGGATGTGAATACGGTTGCGGATATGGATGGGGGTGTAGGTGTGGGTGTGGCTGTGGCTGTGGCTGTGGGTGTGCCAGTGGATGTGGATGGTGCTGCTGCTGGTATCCGTGTTGTATCGTATCAAAATTGTGATCCAAGTTCGGTGCTGACAGTGATGAGCATATGGCCGAATGCTATACCCAGATCTGATCCTTTCGATTACGCGATCGCAATCAAAGCCTTTGCTAGCACCAATCCTCCTCATCCGAATCGGAGTGTCGAGTATTCAGGCCGCTCTTTGGCTTGAACCCATTCAGGACTGGAGATGGCAGTACACGGCCTGTTCGGCCCATAGCCAGCGCTTGCTCGAACGACAGCGGTGCTATATATTCCAGTCTGCAAATAATACGGTTAGCGTTAAAGATTATGGATTATTGTTATTATTCGACTGACCTTTCTCTTTCGACCTCCCGTTCGCGATCCCGCTCGCGCTCGTACAGCTCCCGTTCACGATCACGGTACTCGAATCGCAGGTCGTACTCGTGCAAGCGCTCTCGATCCCGATCTCGATCTCGGTCCCGGTCCCTAAGGCGCTCCCGATCCCGCTCGCGATCCCTGCTGCTGTAGTACATGTCTCTGGGATCACGCAGCAGGTCGCGGTGGTGTGGCAGCGAGTGAACACTGTGGGGCGTCGAGTGGTGCGTCTAGATGAGGAGGAGAGAGAGTCCAGATTAGGGATGTATATAGCGATATTAGATGCCTTCTTACGTGGGTCGGACTCGCGTTAAGCTTGGGGAAGTTGATGTTGGTCGGCTTCAGCTGCAGCGTCGACGGCTTACTGGGAGTCGGCGGTAGACGGCGGCCGATCCCGGCACGCCGGGATGCCAACGTTGGGTAGCTGTGCTGGACGTGCGCGCCACCTGCGGGAACGGGAACAGGAACACAGGACACTGGGGTTACACTTGTCTCGTAAACAGGGAAAACTTTGTTGTTATAATACATTATACATAATGATATTATGATACTGAGCGGAGAGTAGTGTGCCTGAGAGGTTGTACTTAATTGACAATAAACAAGGACAATATGCTCCAAAGAAATACATGAAAACACTTGTAACGAATGTGAATGAGATCTGTTCGAACTGAAAGACTATCTCTGCGTTGGAGAGTTCGCTTACATTTTATTACAATTAAATATTCGATTTTCTATGGCCTCCAGGCAAAGTAAAAAGGGAAGAAATCTTCATCTTGTGCCGGAGTTGTCTAACCAGAGCCCTTGAATTACTCTCTACAGAAATAATCTCCAATCGAACATGTCCCGTTCAGAACTTATTGTATGATTACTTGAACTTGTATGATGTCTCCGAGAAATGCTCTCTTGAAATTAAAAGCATTCACTACAATCTATAATCAATACAAGCGTGTGCAATCGTACAGAAATACTTTATATAGATACTATATTCAACGGTTAAGAACGGTGCTAGATAATGTATTCAGAATATTAATATTATAATGTACACAAGAGTTGGATGATTTGTGGCAACATGCATGACTGTCCGATTTGATATATATATTTACATACTATATACGAGTATATAGCACTTATGCAGAGACAGAGAGAGAGAGACAAAACGGATGAAACAAGGATCAACGTAATGGTGCAAACACGGCTAAATATACGCACATTGACAGATAGGTAAGATAGATACTGAACCCAAAACTTCATCCCAAATTATGTTTCTAGTAATATATATATATATATATAGATAGAGAGAGAGAGCTCAATCGCCGAATTTTCACCGACCCCAAGTCGTATTATTTATTGGGAAATTCTGGAAACTTTACTGGTTGCTGGACTTACATACAATAAGTACGAGTATGTTAACGTAACGGGTGTGTGTAGTTTTGGAACGAGAAGCAGGCTTTATTTAATAGAGATTCTTGGTCAGTGATCAGAGGTCTGACAGAGGTCGTCGTTATCACAGAGTAAAATAACAACAAAAAATATGTATATATATTTATAAAATAGAAACTACGCTATGGCTTTACGAACTTCACCTTCTTGGCTAGACATCAGGCAGGTAAATGGCAAATGATGTTCACTTTTCTCCCCTGTCAAAGACAATGCATATAAAGAACGAGATGGGTAACGCCATTTGGAAAAGGTGTTCTAAATGGATTGCGTTCTCCAATTTTCCAATCACGTTACTCAGCTTATTCTATATGTATATATTCGTTGCCCCTCTACTAGAAACGTGTGTAATATATAGTATGTTTGGTAGATATAGTAGGTGTACCTATAAATGCAGTATCTCTCTCGTAATATCGCTTCGAGTCCATAGAAACTATAAGCCCTGACTTTGATTTTGAAATTAGTTTGCGTAAATTGCGAACTTGGGAAATTGCGTAAATAAACCATTCATTATTGGCCAGAGATTCAGTGTGGTTAGTTTTTTGGGATGAGAATGAATGTCTATATATGTTTGTACATGGCAGAACCATACATACATACGAGATGTGATTATAATATAGGTGGGGTGTACGAGTACGAGTATGATGGCATCTAGAGAAATGAAAACATGAACGCTGCTAGAGTAGTAACAAGAGTACGAGTACGAGTACGAACAGTGGAGTACGGATATTATGATGGACCCTGGGGCAGGGCCGTCGTGTGGGATGTATATGAGAGATAAACTTCAACTTAATTGAGGCTGATTAATTGACTGATTGATTGAACAATACATGTATGTACATGTTAAGCATGTTCGGCAACTATGTATGTACGAATACGAATAGTTTGTTACGAGTTACGAGTAAGTAAGCATGTCTGATCTGAGATGTTTTGTAAAAGTTGAGATGAAGTCGAGGAAATTTGTGTAGAAGAAAATACTAGCATATTATAGAAAACAAGTTGAGTTGTTGAATTTGATTTAAGTTTAAGTTTGAGTGGAGTTGATTTGAGTTTGAGTTGGAGTTAAGTTTGAGTTTGAGTTTGAGTTTGATTTGATTCGATATCTTTTGTTTTGGACTTTAGTTAACAATGTGCTAAAGAGATGTACCCATATCAATCCCATAACCAAGTCTGTCTCGTTCACGCATCTCCTGAAGTCGAGCGGGACTCGGCGATCGTGACCTTTGACATAGACTGGTTGTCCCATATGTGGGATAAGGCAGTTGAGTGCGTTTACTGCGAGACAAATGACCACCATAACGAGAAGGCGAAGGCGAACGGGCCGGACTTGTCGATGCTGACCATGAACCTATATTGTACATATAACAACAATAATAAAGAAAACGTAATAATTAAGGATGTCGGGGCACAACAGTTTACGTATTTGATTTTGGTATTTGTTTTCGGTTATCAGTTGGCTTCTTTGTTTTAATTTATAAAAATATAACACAAAAAGGAAGACTTGACCAACTTAACCAGAAAACGAAAACGTATTTTTTGTATATACTTTGTTTTTGTTTTTTTTTTGTAGTAAAAGATTTTGTTTATAGCTATGGAATTGTAGACATATATATATATCTGTATATATAACTAAGATACTACAAAATAGATAAGAAAATCCCCGGTTAGCCGAGTTAGTTGCCAGAGATTGTGCGCCGATTGCAAGTCCTTGGAGATACTCGAGTAGTAAAAGGTCTAGGGGAAGGATACAGACAAACAGGATACATCATGGATTTAGTTTCCTCTAGGAATTATCACTCGACGCACAACCCAGGCAGCAGTAGGAGTAGAATTAGTCTGTGTGGTGGCAATCTCTCTCTCGCAGAGCCAATAATAAATACCTCTTGGATACCGCGGATGACTGTTGCCATGCCTAGGATGACGCGTCTCCTTGACCATCTCTACAACATTAGATACGGTATCGGAGAACCCGATATCATGATGTATGTATTGATGGCCACGTCGTCGAGGACTGGGAGATCTCGCCAAAGGAGAGCCGTTGTGCCTGCGGAGTAAAAATAATTAATAAGGACAGAAATAATTAATTCTAAGAGCAGCTGTACCTCAGACTAGGCGATCGCCTGTGTCCATTCATGTACGAATGTCCAGGATGTAGATGGCCAGCATCGGCGCCGGTTAGTGATTCCTGGGAGGGATGCCTCGACGCATCCTGCAGCTCCAGCATCTAGTTGGAAAATAATTTAGCAACACACAAGCATTATTAACAACGATTGAACGGTGCACCATGAATGCCACCCACGCGAAATCAGTCTGAAAAGAGATCTTGAGAACCGGGCACAGGGAGGCGCAGGGAAGTTGGTAGGGACGAGACCATTCTACTTGGGGCTGGGACCAATTGTTAAGATACTTTTGTAGGAATTTCGAATTTTGGGTATATCGTTTTATCATCGATATGATTATTGTTCCCCTGGACCGATTTCTTGTGGATTCATTCATTGCTTTCGAATACGTGGATATACTTGGATACGGTTATAAGTGTATCTGCGTTGTGTTTACATTAAGAACTACGGATGTCCTATGCCACACATAAAGGAGCAAGGGCAATATATATATATATCTATATTTATATATTTATATATATTTATATATTTATATATATATATATATTGGATATATACCTGTTGTGTGGATAAGCCGCAAAATAAACATACATATCACACATATGTTTGTTTAAGTTGCATTACATATATGTATATATAGGGGGTAGGTATGGGTTATATACTATATATTGAACATAAATAAAAGCAATTAAGGTAATACTTCACTGCAACAAAATACGTACGTACATATTCAAATGCGGTTTTAATAGTTCTATATATTGAAGTATATATATATATATTGAGAGAGGTTCTTGAATGCGGGATATTGTAATTGGATAGCCTAGAGTCTATATAGGGGGCAAGTAAACATTTAAACAATTCCATACACTACTCGGGAGTATACACATACATATATACTTGAACACTTCCTTTTTTTAAATTTTTTCAATGTATTTAAGCTTTAATTGTATTACTTATATATCTCAGTCTGCACACTAATTGAGCTATATTTCGGACTCGGTTACTGGTTTTGTACTGCCTCAATAATGCCAATTGTTTGTTTACCAAGTTGTAGCTACATACATATTTATTGTTTTGTTTTTTCGATTATAGTCCTATATTTTTTTTTGTTTTTCTTAACATAAAACGTTAAACTAAAAATACGTAGAAATAATAAATCGATCGTTGGTGTGGTCTCTAGAAATGTAAGTGGATATGTGTCTAAATCTAGGTGGTTCGCTAGGCGCTAGAGATATCTACACTATCTACACTAGTTGTCCAAGGATATTTACAAGGCTGTACCGTACTGTATGGTTGTTTAAGCAGTGCTAGAGATCGGCGCAAGCAGTGTGAAGCAAGGCAAAGCGAAACAGAAAAAGGATAAAGCTTAAAAGAATACGAAAATGACGAGTAAAAGCTAACTAGAGTGGGCATGCACTAGGCGAGGATTATCTGAATAAAAAGTATGGTATGGTGTTATGGAAGGATCTCGGTGGAGTGAAGTGGAGTGGAGTGGTCAATTCCTTTTTCGAGTGCCGAACTTACTTACCACTTCGAACTCGTGTGGGATTAAAACTTAATAAGTACATTTAAACAATTACTATGTACACATAAAGCCGTCGCCGTCTATGTTCAAAACTTAACTAGAGGGATATATCGCTAGAAATCAAGAATTTTAAGAAACAACCTCAATCGTTAGCGTCACTTGTTAGTGTCTTCCGTTACCGTCACACATTTGTCGGCTGGTCTGTGTCTCTAAACTTTAGCTTAACTCTAATAACTCAGATCTAGGTAAGCTAAAAACAAAAAAAAACACTAGATAAATCTATTAAGATAACGTAACGTAAGAAGAAACTGGGAAAAGGGGTTCCCTTGGGCATTCCTGCGCATATCTCCTGGCTTTATGTGTACGTAGGAAAGTCATTATTAAACAAAATTCATGGCCAAGAGTTTGAGTTAGAACCGCCAACTTGCTTCACCTACGTATGAAGTTGATTCTTGCACAAAAAGCAAGAGAAGTGGTTCGTGTGAAAGGAAAATCGCTCGAGAAGACGTGATCTATGTGTGTCGAGATGAGGATGTCTCGGTATCGGTATCGTTATCGGTATCGGTATGGTATGTCTAGGTCGCAACTGTACTGGGATTGGCGTTAGTTAATCCTACATTGCATTGCTGGTGTATACATGTGTGCGTGTTAGTTTGTTAATTACGTGAGAACAAAAGGATTTCATTAGCATTTGTGGCTAACTTTCCTACTACTTTTTCAACTAGAGACCTCAAAAATAACCAGCTCTGGGCCTGGGCATCCTTCACTCAACATATTGGGATATAGTACGGACTAAGGGGAGTAGACTTTGTGACCGGAGGAGGACTTATTCGTGAGTGGAGCGATGCCAGGAAGATCTCAACCCATTGCCACACACTCTAAACACACTTTTGCCCAAGGAACGAACAAAGCCGAAGCCTACGTACATAGGAGTACATATTTAGTGGTTACAGAAACGATCAAATTACAACATTGAGTACGAGTACGAGTACGAAACTAAGCCAAAATTTGCGTTTCTAATTGTTATTATAGTTTTTTGTTTTTTCCAAAAATTGCTATGCAACATTTAAATGGGTTTGAGTACGAGTACGAGTATTTAGTGTACTATTTGTATTGAATAAACGCAAATTTTGTAGACTTGTGTATATTTACCCGGTTGGTTACGCACCCACTGTACGCACCTGTGTACTATGCGGACAGGTACACGGGTACACTGCTACCTATAGGTACACAATCTGTACAGTGGACAAATAACATCCGGTGGTATATATACTTATATACTTATGAGTGAATATATGTATTCAAAAGGTACTAGTGTTTTTTTTTACTTCGACTTAATTTGGGTTTTGTGAACAACATTTATATCGGAAACGGAGAGTATGGACACAAAGAGTATTCACATATATATTTATATAATACACAATTATGTAGTTATTGTTTTTTGTTGTTAGGTTTTAGTAGTAAAGTTCTTGATAATTTCATTTTGGTTTACCGGTTGGAGTTTATCAAACATATTCACCTTTTTGTTTCTGAAATATTTAAAAATTAGAAGAAAACAATTTACTTATGTCAATGTTGAAATGTACAGAAAAGCACAAGAGGTACTTGTAGTTAGTTGCTGGTTGTGTGTGTTAGTATATGTGCAATTAGTAGTTTGTTAATATTGTTTATATATTGTTTTAGACTGTGTTGTGTGTTTTTTGGTGAAGCGAAAGTTGTCGAAAATCTTTAAAAATACCGATATAGTATATATAGTTAAATGGGTATCATGGGTGTGTTTGTGAATGAGGATGCCATGGATCTAGAATGATCGAACAGAAATGTACCCAAGCTCCATTGTAGTACTTAGTAGTCTTTGGGATATAGTTATAAGAAGGGGATTTGAATCCAAGGATTTGTAGAATAAGATTTGTGGAAGAAAGCTCTTGATTGTAAAAAGGTCTTTTGGAAATGAGCGATATTCTCTTTCTTCGTTTAAGGAGTGTTTTGTTTTGTTAATAATATATATAGTGAAAGTATAAAGATGGATCTCCACTTAATTTATATTTATATTGCTGACAGACATTAAATACAAAAAAAGATTATATTGAGGCTGTTAGCTGAGCTTAGTATAAACAGAATTTGAGGACTTCCAGAGGGAAAACTTGGACGCAATCGTAGACTCAGACTGTCGAGCGGACAATACTTGAATTGGGAGCATTGAGGGCTACTTGGTGGAAACTATAGCATAGTTTTTGGGGTCCAAATTAGGAGCAAAAAGTGCTCTTTTTTATCTTAATATTAAACGAGACTGGCGATCGTAATGAATATGAAATATGACTGATGGCAAATGGCTAATGGCTAATGGCTGATGGCTAATGGCTGATGGCAGATGATGTACTTTGGCACTGTACGGATTATGATTAAGATTGAAGCTGTTCAAATTACCTAACTGATCGCTTTCTGATCGTACTCCGCCGTGCCAGTGTTGCCAAACTGTTGTTGTGTTCGGCATCACCGTTCGCGTGGTGATGGTGCGTGCTGGCTAACAACAGTGTCTGTGAGTTGGCGGCTCCTTCCCCATTCGGCTCAAAACTTATGGAGCCCTGACGCGATCCTCCTTTGTCGAGGGCGGCCATGTCGAGCAAACAGTTAAAGAATGATTGTTTCTACGGATCGAATCGAATCGGATCGGATCGAATCGGATTCGTTTGCCATGGCAATCGATTGATAGTTCGTGATTCGTGATATTCGGTTGATAGTAGGAGTAGTAGTAGTAGTAGTAGTAGTAGACAGGTGGTAGTAGTAGTAGACAGGACAGTGCAGTGGATTTCGTTTTGATTTTGATATTTTGATTTTGATTTGCCATTCCGTTCCGTTTTCAGTTTCGTTTTGTTTCGTTTCGTTTTCGGTTTCGTTTTGTGTATTTTTTATATATTTGAATTGTTGTTTTTAGTTTAGTTGTTGTTGTTGAAACACAGATTTCAGATATTGTTGTATTTCAGATATGGTAAATTGTAGTTTGTTGTAGACACAGTTGTTAAAGTTGGGTGAGTGGTGAGTATATTGATGTGGTAACATTGCAACGCATTAGGATTGGTTTTTGTTTTGGTTTTTTTTTAAATATTTTTTTTTGTATTTTGTAAAAGCATTGAAAATGGAATGTAAGAATTAATATAGTAGTAGTAATTAAAAAACGGTATGAGGAGAACAGAAATCATAATCGAAAATATTGTTTTTGCCGCATATATATATATGTATATGTACATACATACGTGTATATACATATGTACTATTTTCGATAATGGGGCAAATATATCGCTTGCTTAGTCAATTCCTTTATATAAAATATATATAAGAGTATATAATATGGTATAGTATATAGCATTTCAAGATATGTGTCAAGCTCTAGGCGGATCGTGTCGGTATTATGTGGAGAGTAAAAAGAAGGTTATATACTGTATGTACTGGATGCTTTCGCACAGAATGTATATATTAAAGGTAGCTTAAAAAGAGAGTCTTGCTTTTGATACGGTCAAAACATGCGCAAACATTTTTACAACTCACTAGGACTGGAAGAAAATCTAAGAAGTACCGCTATATGAGTTATTTATTACAATTGTTTTTAATTATTTATTTTATATTGATTCAATTGAATGTGTGCCAATTTATATATATAAAAATGCTGGACGAAACAAGTGAGTTTGAATTGTATTGAAGTTTTACTAAATCGAAAATCAAACTGTGGTGTGAATACAAAAATAAAAATAAAACAAGAAACTTGTATACGTATGGCATCTAATTATAAATATTGCATTTATTCTTAAGCTTTAATACCCATATGACATTTGGCCAAAATAGAGTCCAAATACAAGACTAGAAATTAATTAAAGACTTGATAAATAAATGTCATATGTGCATATAGATATTATCGTTTCAGTTCTCGGATTCATTTAGATTTCGATTTTATATTTTACATGCTTTCGATTCGGCTTGGTTTTAGATTTAGTTGGTGTCATTATTAGCATGATGCGTTTGCTTGCCTAGACTTAAGCTTTTGAGCACTAAAGATTGCGGGAAACTCAACAGCAAATCGACAGAACTAAACACAAAGTAATATTAAATATAGGACATTGGCCTGATCTCACTCCGATCCTTTCTTGGTTTATCGTTATAATTTATATAATTGTTTATACGATCTACCACCTAGTCACTCATCGTGTTCTAAGGGTTAAGTATATACATATCGAACTCGAGACTATGGCATTGTCGGTTGTCGGTTGGTTGGATCTATTGGTATGCAGTGTCTGGTATTATGGTGCAAAATTCGATCCAAAAAAGTGCTCTCTATTCGAACGAAAACCATAAATAATAAGAAAAGTTTGTAATAAAACAAAAGACAACAACTCATCGTTCAACAGGCGCAAATGCAGATTAACGTATACGTTTCCTATTGGTTCTGTTTAGAAATATATAAAGTCCTAATAGTAATTATTATTCGAAATTTTCTTATGCCCACTTTAAGGTACTTTAGAGTATTAAGTATTTGTTTAAATATATCTTCTTTTTTTCCCCTGAGAGAACTGGGCTGCTGGGAATTGTTATTATCTTTAAGTTTTGTACATTCTCTCTGAGGTCGTGAGACTGAAACTGTCAGCACTCTATTATTATTATTATTTTTAACTTATTTATAATTATTATTATTCCCTTTAAGTATTGCCTTGCTTCTAATTAAACTGAGAACGGGAATTCTTCGGAAGAGAGGCAAAATAGCGATAGGATCTAAAATGGGGAACCTTCTAAAAAAGCAATGGGGAAGAACCGCTTCCGATTGGACCCCCCATTCCAAAGTATATAAGGTGTGATTGTGATTGGCTATCTATCTAGTGAGTTAAGCGAAACATGACCGTGGCATTGCAGTTGCTGTGTTCATCTACAGACGGATACGAAGTATGGGGTTACTGGAGTTACTTAGTTTAGTATTTTATTTTTGCACTTTTTGTTGTTGTAGTTGTTGTTGTGTGGTGGGTTTTTTGCGGGCTTATTATGCAGGCTTATTTATGCTGGATCCTAGATATACATATGCTCATTCCTAGGCGAGTATTATGTACACATGCCTCTAGCCGAGAGAGAGAATAGTAGTGGTGGTGTTGATAAGTGGTACAAGAGTAGTTAGTAGCAGACGGCAAAACATGTGAGAGAGAGATGAGGAGGAGCTTAAAAGGCGGAAAGCAAAATCAAGCGAGAGATAGATAGGTATTAATATAGTTAAGTATATTATATACCGGCTCCTCGACTGCCGTCGGGCTATATTTACGCTCGTCATCGTCATCTGGCTTCTTCCGCTATCATTGCCCATTTCATTTATGTATTGTTTTACGGAACCACCATATCATAATATTGAATCAATTTACAATTTCAGAGTTTCAAGTTTCGTATTCGGATTCGGATTCGGATTCAGATTCAAAAATGGTCATAAACAGCCAATTGATCGTTTGTGTGTGTTGTGCACAGAAACAGGATAACAGATAAAACATTTGATTATTAATTACTTGGGTGTACTTCGGTGTGTAGACTCGATCGCTAAGTGTAGTAGATAATGGAGAGATTATGGATGAGCCCCTGACTCTGCCTCGTTTTATATGCAAATAGTATTTCGCTAAATCTTAACCTGACACTTTGAGATTTCGATTTGCGGTTCGGTTCGATGACGTTGTGTTAAATCAAATTGCAAACCTCTAAATATATATATATATATATGTATGTATATATGTATGACTAGGAATCAATACTTACAGAATATCAGAGTATCAAGAGTGTAAGAATCTCTTTTGTTTTGTTCGAAACTACTAAGAACGCACATACGCAAACACTCGAGAAATAAAATACGAACTGGTTTCAATTCTACCGATATTGTGTATATATAGGAGTATAGATAATACGTAGGTACTCGACTTCTACTGTCATTACTCTTTATAGTAGTATATTTGTAACTTTGGAGAACACTGAATTTCGAATGCAAATGCGAGTCAGACTTCATCCCAATTTGGGTGGATTCCAATTGAATTCTTCCAATTGGGGATGTCTATCGAGGCAGAAAGTCCAATATGATATATCGACATAAATAACGTGCACAATATCCTGTTGAAATCTTCGAAAAGTTTGATATATCAAACATGGGAATTATTGAAAGGTATTTTTTTATGTTTTACTTACTTTCATACCATTTCAATGCCAAAATAATGAAGGAGCCATTTCCGACCCTATAAATCATATATATTCTTGATCAGCATCAACAGCCGAACAAATCCAGCCATGTCCGGCAGAAAAAAAATTTTTTACTATTTTTTTCAAAATTTTATAAGGGGTTACATCGTTAAAATGTGCAAAAATTCATAAAAATGTTGAATTATTTAAAATGTTTTTCTCAGTATGCAGATTTGTAAACATTTTAAAAGCTGTCACAGGAAAGCTTTCCAAATTGAAATTAATGCATTTTTGGCTCAGTTATGATTATTTTAAGATTTGATTTGACAGCAAAATTAGAAAATAAAAAATATTGATTTATAGATCATAGAATTCGAATATCTACGATGTTCTTGGGATATAAATGGCCAAAAAGAAACAGATAATTAAAGGCATATATTTTTTTTTAATAATAAAATATTCTGAAATTTGTATTTCAATAACCTCTTTTAAGACAAAAATTGGATTTGATATATCAAACAAAATATCGACTTATCGCACATTTGTATATTGCAAAACGCTAAAATGTCGATATATATAAAGGTCTTTACAGCAAATATAAATACCGAATCGATATTGATCCCTACTTCCAATTCAATTATATTTTGAATGCAGCTTGAGAAACTTAGGCATTCCCCATCTGATGGAAATTTCGAATTTCGATTGATTCCGAGAAGAGCTATCGCCAGGATATCGCATCGGATCAGATTGGATAGGATCGGATCTCTGATTGAATTTATAGTGTTTACTATGTGAATATACTTGAGTATGCAAGGTGGTGTGTTTTAGCTAATTCTGGTTACTTGTCTCACATACAAACGGGCATGTATGTGCTCAACATAAATAAGGTATTATTATTAGGTATTGGTATATACAAATGTGATAAACATGAGGTTGCATATAAAATTAATTATATACCTCCTTCCAGTTCTGCGCGTATTTTTGTTCGATTATTTTAATAACAGTACAGTTTTTTTTTGTTGTTGTTATTAATTATTATTTTTGTTTGTTGTGTTATTCATATTCAATCGTATGAGAAGAGAAATCATAATATCACATATTTATTTCATGTCATATAAATGTTATTAGATTATTTTATGGTAAGAGTGTTTTGTTTTAGGTTTATGGCATTCGCTTACATTGTGTGTGCAATTATTAATCTGAATAAACTACTCAGATACCCTTCTCCCAGTCTGTTTAAATTTAGCTTAGAGTTTCCAATTGATCGATGCGGAAGAGATTGATTGAAATAGAACCGATAGATAGACAGGTGTCTAGACTTAGGCTTAGTGCTAGGTAATAAATACACACAAAACATTGAATCAAAAGAAAAGGTTAAATCAAAGAAAATGTAACGTCTGCCTGCTGTTTCCTAACTCCTGACTAACTTTAACTGGCACAGATCTTTGAGCTGAGCTCCTGAGCTGCTCTCTGCTTCTGGGGATTAACCCATCTGGGACTCCTCCTACTCAACTGGAGAGTATTTGGTAGTCGCAATAGTAGTAATTAAAGTACTGTGTAGGGGACAAAATAATATGCAATGATTGGGTGGCTTACCGGCATTCCCGAGTCAATCTGGCCGAATCGCGTGCTCCGCCACGATTCCAGGATGAGGAAACCTGCATAGATTTTACCAACTGACAGCTTGCCCTTGTTCAGCTGATCGCTCGGCGGTACCAGCAGGTTGAGCATCTTCTTTGCCTGTAGTGGCCAAATGTTGGTGATCGTCTCCCGCAGTTCCATGTCCGCCTGATCCATCTCCTCAGCTGTTTACACAGGATATATATATAGTATAAGTTATAAGTTATATATATCAATTCCTTGTCCCATTTCCGATTGCTGATGTTAATACTAAATAACTTCAACTCAAGAATATCAAGCAACCTGCTCTCTAGTCGGAAATGGGATCAGAAATCATAAAAACTTACGCGCTCGCATTTTAATGCTAAGATTTTCCCGAATCAGAGCGAACAACGTTGTGGTAAACTGGACTCTCAGCTCGTCATCCAATGGCATATTCATGCGGATCAGCTTCTTGTAGGCCAGTCGGTTGGGACACTTGTTGCCGAATCCCAGCGGGGGATCCATATTCTTCAGCATGTCGTACATTTCGGTATAGTGTATCTTTCCACTAGTTTTATATATTTAATGTTTGCCCCAAGAACACACAGTTAGAATTAATTTGGTGCTGTGGTGCTCAGATGGATCAGACCAATCCGAGATCTCTTGAGATAATCGATATAGTCGAAACGAGTCGCCGACCATGAGGCAGCGCCCCGGCAATCGGAAATCTCCGCTTGCCGGGTGCTTCATTTCGTGTACATCATCGGTCACGCCGAGGACATGCATGGGTTTTGACATAAAACGGATAAATCTGGGGCAAGGTAACTCCATGCATGGACAAATATACAAAATATATATACATATATAAAATAAGAAGATATCATCCTTCCGGGCTTCTTTTAAGGCTCAAGTATGAGTCAAATACGACCAAATAATAATCGTTTAATATAAGGACTTGCTCTTTGATTTAGTTGTTCGAATGCGACGGCAAGGAAGGAAAATGAAATCGATAAAGAAATCATAATCGAAATAAAAACGGTTCGGAAACGTGACTATTGGTGTGTTCTGTGATTACAACATATATTAAACAGATAATTACGTCGCATTTGGATCATATTCCGCCCATATGCGCACAAACTCGTCCAAGTGATGGGCACCCAATATGCTGGAGTCCCTCGTTAGATAATCAAAGTTATCCATGATGACGGCGACGAACAGATTCAGCATCAGGAAGGAGCAAAAGAATATAAACGATACGAAGTAGGCGTAGGCCAGCGTCGATCCGCAGTATTCGCCAGGTGCCTTCTCGGCGTCCTCGTCACAGGCCTTGCCCTTCAGGCAGGCCAGCATGATGTTTGGCCAGGCCTCGCCAGTTGCACACCTGATCCAGGTCCAGGTGATAGGGTGTTGGTGGATTGGTGGGTGCAATAAACAATAGCATTAATTAATCAATTATAGCGCGGATCCAGTGGATCTTTTCTTCTACATTTAGCTTGTTTATAAAGTAATGTTAAATAGCTCTAACTCTAGACATGGACGATGTGTGCACTTGATGAGTATGAAGGTGTATGGATTGGGATTGGGTTCTATAGGTATTTACAAATAGTACAAATCGTACCAAAAGTACAGATTGTACAAGTGTATATACATAACATACATATATAGAGGGTAAGAGGGAGAGATTGGTATTGAATATAATAGGTAGATATGCTTGATATGTTTAAATGATTCTTCTTTCTGTTTTTATTTTTATATATTTTCTATGAAAAACTACATTGCTTTTGTTTTAAGAATATAAAATTATTAATTAACCAATTCTAAATCAAGATATTATTTCAAATTAACCTGTTTTCGATTGTGCAGCATTTGCATTACCAAATACAACTTAGGGAGTAAGATGCGTAACGCTGAGCTGGCTCAATCTCTTTTGAAATATTAATGAAAAACCAGAAAAGTGATCGATACGCATCTTACTCCATATATTCTATATACTCTATTACTATTTTAAGGAACTAAAATACTCTTGCGATTACTGCACAATCGAAACCATTTTACTGGACTACTAACTCTATAAATATATGTAGTTACGTTCGGTTAGCCCGGACAGATATATAGTTATACCAATTCGTTTACGGACTATAATCTATACCTAGAGGCATGTAGCTAGTAAGATGAGGGGGAAATGCGATGATGGGGTGGCTGATCGAGACCACAGATTGAATTACATATACATACAGACATACATCAACCGGCAGTTCTATTAACTTAACTATCTGATAACTTGTATATATGATAAGTATATAGAGATATATATATAGAGTATAGAGTATACATCGTTTCTAGATCTATATTGTATATAAACTATGGCATTAATAGTCAGGAATACTGTATGGAACGGTTGAACACTTTCATTGAACTTTCTCAACTGATTAACTGCATTAACGAAAAGTGCACAACTTTGGCAAATCAAGCTTCGCTCAAATGTAAGTTTTAGTTTAAGATATATGTATGTAGTTCTACAGGTTGGTAAATACATAGGTAATACATATATATAGTATATCATACGTATGTATATGCCGGTTTTGTTGCAACATATGGTGTCCACACAACGCTAGAACTCAATCTACGCTTACACCAAAGGTACCAAAAAAATGTATGTAACTATTGTTAAGCAAAACGAATAAATGTACGAGTACGAGTACGAGAACGAGAGTATGTATGCTTGAAGTCGATTTGAGTCACGGATTTACCACAACACATATGTATTCCGATCTAGCTCGGTGATATCAGCTTGGTGGGACCTCGAAACAAAGTGCTATATATCGAACTAGAAATCAATACAGATTTAACTGGGAACATTAATAAGAACTTAGGACTATCTCTAAAGGACAACCGAGTATCCAGTTGGGCCTAAAAAGTTCTAAGTAACTCTAGGTGGTAGTATTCCCTTCCACAGGTGCTAGTCACCCCTCTAAAGAGACCCGGATCATCGCTAGGCTAAGTATATAGTATGTATATAGAGAGTTCTAGATCGCGCGGAGAAGAGCTATATGGATAGTGGTATAAGTTAAATTAGTCTAACTTGAATTATATTATTATGTAGTAGTATTAACTATTAAACTTAATTACTGAGAGAGTCGAAACAATATGCATAAGGCTGTAGATTTCTAGGTGGTGGGTGTTACGTACCTGAATAGCAACATGACGCCTTGAATAAATGATTGGAAGTTGTTGTGCCTAGTAATGGAATTTTCCACTGTACCTAGTTTGATATTCCCGAACACCTATTCACGGATTCAAATACATATTCGGGTGGTAAAGAATGCATTTTGATTATTGGTTCATTTTTTGATATTTTGGAGCCTGAAATGTTTACACAATATAGATCGGTAATACACAATACACACATTCGCCTCTTCATCTGGTGATCTCCTTAAAAAAAAACCTGAGACCCCATATAAATGTCCCTGAAAGTTACTCCTGACACCGCCAGAATCCGGATGATGATGTGGTCTTATACATGTTAGTGGTTATTTGTTTTGGGGATTTTTGCAATGCTAAAACTCTATGACAGGCCAAACACAGAAACGCCTAATTCTTCTTTTGGTTTTAAAGTGAAAATTAGCTGGAAATCATAAGGAAAGCTTACGAAACTCGAGATATACCAATTATCAGTGGGTAAAATTTGCATTTTCATGTCGGTTACCATTGAAAATAATTTATAGTTAGCTTAAAACTGGATTATATATATCTTATGCAACTAGCATTGATTAAATATAAAAGATGGAACATATTTAACAATAAGTTTTTCTATCAAGAAACTCTTAAAGTGCATTAGAACAGCAAACACGGCATATGAGTATATGTTTAAATAACATCTTTTAAGCAGTAATTGGGTAAATAATTTTGTTTTTGCTATATTTTAGTTAGTCCCTGATCTTTAAAGACCTTTTTAAAAACAGAATCATACTGAAACAATTAACCAAACAAATACTTTGTTTGTTTGAAAGACCAATTAGGGAACCTAAAAGATTCTTGTATTTTAAATTCAGAACCATTTTGAGAATTAGTAGATTAACATTTCATCTTATTCTTTCCTAAACACAGAGTTCCACTTTTTAGTTTTGATAACCGACTGGAACACAAACATCCAAAGACAAAAAATACTTAAGATAAGCGCATCTATATACAACATTTAAAAAGAAATGGGCTAAGCTACGTTATAAATCCAGCCAGAACATGGAAATGGATATTACTGAAACCAAAATATGTACGAATTTCAAGTCTCAACTAATACGTTTCAAAAATAATTATGTATAACTTTAAGTAACTTGCTAACGCATTTACGGATTCCTTCATAATATAAAAATAGATTGCGACCATGGATTCTTAATGATTGAAATGCTTTTTAAGAGATATATAAATGAAATCCCTGGGGTGTAATTACGAGTTATGTTACAACAAATGCATCGCATCCAGTGGGGGCTTGCACGAGCAGGAAGCTGGGAGTAACTTCCACTTCTCGTGAGAGCCCACTCCCATTCGATGTGATACTTTGGGTTTCCAATAACTATAGTATGTTATTTAGTTAATATATATATGATGCATAGTATAGAGGTGACTGTAGGCTGTGCCAGCTGTTTGGAGTTAACTATTATATGGGCTAACTAGAGGTTACTTTTCACTTTTACCGAAAGAGCAGCATAATTCCACCGGAGAACGACTGGAAGTTATTGTGGCGGTTGAGTTGCGTGTCCGGATCATACTTTATGTTGCCGAAAACCTTTGGTTTGGTTTGATGTAAATTGAATTGCATTGCATTAAAGTCCATTAAAGTCTAGGAATAATCATGGAGTGTCCTCTCCTCCCCAACTACAATATTTACTGACCCAAAAAACGAGCTAGGATAACTACATGAACACCCATTAGGCTCCAAGCCCATCTTTCCCTAACTCAAGTCCACACTCTATGTGGATCTTCTGATACTTAATTGTTGTGTGTTTTTTTTTTTGGTCGTGTGTTAACCGAGGGGACTTACCTGCATGCCAATAATGGCGTATATAAAAAATAGCATGGCTATAAGCAAACAGACATAGGGGAGTGCTTTGAATGATTGTACAAATGTCCACAGGAGGATGCGTATTGTGTAGCCTTGACGGAGTAATTTGATAAGACGCGCCGCACGAAACAGGCGCAGGAAGCCGACGTTGATTGAGTTCGACTGTAAAATATTATTGGCCAAAGTTGGTTGGTGTCGGAGTTGGTCGATAGAGTTCGAGTTGTTGGAGTTTGAGTTGTCAAGTTTGGAATAGAGTCAAAAGAAACAAAAGAGAGAGAGAAAACAGAACAGATAAGGATACGGAATTAGAGTGATTGCGTTGGTCCTCCCGTCTTAAGATACGGGGGAGATCCGATGGAGCTCGGCTTCGGATACGGCTTCGCCATCGATCTACGGATTCGATGCATTCCAATCTAAACTATCGGTTAGTATAGCACGTTCCGTTAGTACTTGGTTAGTAGTAAGTAGTAGGTAGTTAGTAGTGCAGTAGTTAGGCACAGTAGTAAGTAGTAGTAGTAGTAAGTAGTAGGTAGTAGTAGTACTAGTAGTAGCAAAGGTAGAGGAGGTACATACATACAGAGTAATGACAGAGGTTCTGTTAGTTAGTTGTATAAATTTACCGATATACATAATGTTTTTAACTGGCAAAAACTATTTTCGCTCTATCAAAAAAGTAAAATAAATGGATGGCGATCCAAATGGAATTATACTTAATTACTATACAGTTGCGAAACGAAATGCTAAACAAAAACTTTTGTCATTTTTATTCAACCATTTGTACAATAAATGCAAATAATCGAGTTTCTGGTCAACAAAAATGTAGTCAAAAACTATTTTTTATGTATATATTGTTAGTATTGTTGGTAATCTTTTCTGTGCGTTGCGTTCTTGTATTGATTTTTTTTGTTTCGGTGTTGTGTCTGTTTTCAGTGTTTTTAGTGGTGATTTTTAGCTATCGATATTATCACATCAAAAGATAATGATTTGTGCCAAAATACTAATTGATCAAAAATGTACATAATTTGAAAAATCGAATTTTTATCCTCTAAGATGGAAATTTTTGAAAGCAATTTGGACGTGCGTTTTTTTTTTTTTTGGCTAAACTAAACTTTTTTTATTAATGGTTGCAAGCGCAGGTTGCCAGGTTTCGTGTTCTAGGTACACAATTCGTTCCTAGGTACACGCGCAAGTACAACAGTTGTAAGGTAGGTACTTTTTCAATTTTGATTCGTTTCAAAATCAATTTGGACAATATTACTCAATGTGCTTGGCGTGCCGTGATTTATTTTAGCAGTCAGTGGTGGAGGTACAGGTACGGTTATAAGGGTACAGGTACAGTAACAGTTACACGGGTACAGTTAACCGTAACACACGGCGCCTTCACCGATCCGTCACCGCTTCGAAGATGAGATCTTTGGCCAAAATATTTTACACATCAGCTATTGTTGCATATATAAAATACACTTTACATATCTTTTTTTAGGCGCATGGACGAGTGCATTCCTTTAGGAGGGTGACAAGGTAAGGTATTAACCCCCAGCCCACCTGAGGCATGCACCCGCACATCCGCTTGCCTTTTGGGGCAGCAACTTTGCCGACTTCGGGACGCATACCGCCTCACCGTGGCCTCCGTTTGGGTTTCCCACAGTGCAACATGTTCTTGAAATTACATACTATATTGACTATATATATATATATTGCATAGGTACAGTACTTAAATATGGATTTGCGTAGTATATAGTTATATATACTTAAAGTTAGAGAGTGAGTGGAGGAGACGAGAGTATTTCACTACGGAGACTAGGGCGGATAATGGATATACATAGTTTGGATGTGGCTATGTGGGTTGAAGCAAGATATCGAGAGGTGGCGGCACCTCTATGTGGCACCCTTTGGTGAGGTGACGTGGACGTGGAACGTGGAATTTGTGTGTTAATGAAGGTTGAACAAATTCGCGTACACTGGCGTGAGCGTGGAGTGGAAGTGACTTCCGATTCTGTAGATTCTGCGGTCGAGAGATATACATACATATGTGGGCGGGATAGGTGGAAGATATATCTATCTATCTGGGAGTCTGGGTTAGAGCTAAAGAGAAAGAGAGAGAGAGTAGAGATGGTAGATAATGAGGCATGTTTCCACGCTCTTGCCGCTATCGAAGATGGGACGCACTTAAGGTGACTTGACTGCTCTATTCCAACCCCACAAATCGACTATATATAGTAAGAGGGATGTGGGAGGATATACACACACACATATATTTATATAGAAGTAGTAAATATACAAGATCTGGCCCAACTCGATCTAAGTTGGCTGATATATAGAATATGCATATATGGCTAGCTAGCTACGAGTAAATACGTAGAAAGTGGACGAGAACAAAGGAGAGAAATTTCAATCTACTGATGAATTCGATTTGTACACAAAATGAGATCAATTATCGACTTGATCCGGAGAATAAGAGGTATTAAGAATGGAAATTACAAAAGTTGGTATTAGAAAACATTCCGGAGAAATGGGATAAGCTAAATTTGTTTCTTTTTTTGTTTAGGTAGTCCAAAAACACTTTGTTGATCGTCGGTGTTTGTTTTAGTTTATGTAACTGTTGTTGTAATTGTTGTTGTTGCTGGAGTTAGAGTTGGAGTTTCTGTAGCTGTTGTTGTTGTTTCTTTTTTAGTAGTTTTGTTAGTTGAGAGAGAGTGTGGTGTAGAAGTAGAAAGCTTGTTAGCATAGATTTGTTTACTTACATCCTGTTAGATCAGAATTTTTGGATTTGTTTTGAGACAAATCAATGTGCACATAACTCATATACCGCATTATGAACGATTCAATTCGATTCATTTTCGATTTTCAATATTTGATATTTGATATTCGATTTCATTTCGTTTGACGTTTCAATCATTATTGTAGTTGTTGTTGAAAGATTGTAGTAGTAGTAGAGTGGTTGGTGTTGTTGAATTTATCATTCATTTTGTATTCAATCAGATATCGGATCGGATATAGGTTCGTCGTAATTTACAGGACGAATAAAAACAAGGAAATGTTCATGATTTTTTTTATTATTTTTTTCATTTTGCAGATTTCATGTATGCGTATCATCACAGGTCGGTGTTATGGTCAAACGAAATTCGTTGGGCGGCGTTCAAGAGATTGGTTGTTGATTTTGTTTTTAAATTTTCATTTCATTTTTTGTATTTTTTTTTTTGTTTTTTGAAAAATAAAGAAATAAATAAAGTAGAGTTGAAAAATTAGTAGCACAAATTTGAGATAGCATAGCTGCAGCTTCTAACAGGTATACAAAGATAGATCAAGATCAATATCAGTAAGTAGAGTTACAAAGTTTTCTATTTTGTTGGTGTGTATATATCTCGGAGAGTGTGTTGTATAATAATAGTGTGTACATATAAGTCACTGTTCTAGTTTCTGTTATCTAATTTACTTGGATAGTAGGTTTTTTATTCTTTTTGGGAATTATTGCTGAGCAAGGTTCTAAATATCGAGGCTTCTATTCGCGCAGATCGACTTGACTAGACAGACTATGCATCGTGTGGCAGCAGCACACACGGGTGGAAAATGTATTTTACGGAACTGAAAGATATCGCCAACTGAAGAAAATACATCGGGATACATAAGGAAATAAGGCGTATAAGGTAGTAAGGCGTTGATTGACGAAATGAAATGCGAAAACCGAGCGTTACCTCGCGCGCACGCACCTGCCATTAGTTCGATCGCGAACTGAGGCATTATCCTCTTACCTCGCTTACCCAGGACGCCAGAGGCCAGGAGCAGCCTCTCGGGATTACATTTTTACGGATTGTCTGATATCTGACGTGGAAAACAGCCAAGCCGGGCAAACGGCATTGAAACTCTCAAGCAGTTTAAAGAATTGGATATACTTATATAGGCGTGATAAAAGCTGAAGCAAACTGAAAGGATCAAAGGATCTTCGAGTGCATTCATTCAACGCACATATGTATGTCTGTGATAGAGTGTTGGCATGTGTGTCCTTGTGAGAATGTGTGTGTGGATCTGAGCGAGAGAGTGTGTGTGTGTGTCAGAGGTGTGGCATGCAGCAGCTGAAACAAAAGCCAATCTCAAAAGCCCAACTCGTTGGCTGGGCCCACTACGTGGTTGCAATCATGGTAGTGAAAGATGTGAGCATCGCAAAACTGACGGGTGTCGGTGGTGATAAGTGGGGTGGATCTCTTAATTTATATTATTATTTTTAAATATTTTTGGGGGGTTGCGTGGTGGTGGTGGGAGCAGGCCGAAGCAAAATTTGAAAGTCAACCAAGTGACCTAAGGTAGAGAAACTACTGGCGGAACCTGCGAAAACATTACCCAGAAAGATACTAGCGGGAACAGGCGAAGAGAGCTGAGAGAGCGGATACTGGAAGATGGAGCATGGAGCATGGAGCATGGATCATGGATAATGGACAATGGACAATGGGTAGTGGAGGTTGTGGTGGTGGGGGAGTCTCGGAAGAAAGACCACACAGTGTTGAAATCATGCTTTCGAAAAGTCAACGTTACGAATGGTTTTAAAAGCTCAACAGAAATCGATAGGCGGTATATAGAGAAAAGTTTATCCATTCTGGGCCATCATTAAGTACCTCGCTTGGTGACGCTTGCTGCCCAATCGAATCTATATATATATATATATATATATATTTACGATCGCAGAGCTCATTGGGGACGACTACTTACAGTTACCGATAGACGATAGCTCACACAAAGGACCTCAGCCGATTCGGAAACGATGACAATGATGCTGCCTTTGATCTGGTCTCCGGATCATCGATTTGTGTTTACATTTATCGCATATTTATCGAAGCATTATACCGTCTCAAGTAATCGAGAGACTAGTCTCTTTCTTAGCTGTGTGTCTCAGGCTTCGTAAAATAACACACACACACACATTTCATGGGTGGAATTTAAGAAACTGAGTCCTTTCGAGTACCAGAAGATGAGGGAGCTGTATATGCCCCATTTTGGAAATTTTACGAAGCCTGCCTAGTGTAGAATGTTTTCAGTCTGCAGGAATGTGCTTGGGCATGCCAGAGGTGTGTTGCTTATGGCCATGATCATTAGTCTCTTCGAGTCTTGTATGGATGTGTGTTTTTCTTTTGATGAAAGTGGAAGTGAAAGTGAAAGGCGTTTGTGGTTGTGTTCAACTGTCAAATTGCGAGACCGTTAGAACCGGAAGCAATCCATGCGTTATGTAAATCAAAGGGAAACAGGTGGAAATTCAAAACCGAAGAGAAGTTGCATGACTTCGAGTGCACCCAGAGCCACTTTTAGTTAAGGGAAAAACGATTGGTTATAGAATCCTCTTGGATCTTCTCCTGATTGAGGAAAGGGAAGAAGGGATTTGTACCTCTATACTTTCTTTTTTTACTATTTTTCTTAAAAATATATGCTTTCATCGATTTTTTATCGAAATTTTACCGAAAGACATAATATCTTTTATCTTTTTTGGTGAGCTAACATAAAATTCTTCTTGGAAAAAAGCTTAGAGCTTCAAATTAATCTAAAAATCTTAAAGATACGCCATTTACAATAGAAGACTCATAACAATTCTAATTTTAGTATAACAAATAATTACCTAAATCCCTGCAGATTGTATTATTTTGATCATAAGTTTATATCTAAATACACAAAATTACTAAATATTAATAGTCTCTAAGTATTTAAAGTTAAAAACATTTATGTTTACACTTCACAAGACTGTTCACAGGAAGGACTCTTTACCTACTTGGGCTCCTACTCTCTCCTATGGAATAGATACGCACAAAGGATTAATTGGTAAAGTAAGAGTGCATTTAGAGTTCAGTTTTACATAGCGCAAGTAAACGCAATTATTTTTAATCATTACGATTAAAGCTTTAAACATTTGCTAAAAAATAAAATTCTGTCTAAAATTAATTTGATTAAGTCATTTTACCAATGAATCTCCCGTTGTATATTCAAAGCTTTCGGACCATTCTCGCTGTACATCCCACCTTGAACTTATCAGATTAAAAATGGGGCTATATATGCACGCAACTTTTTACAAGATACTGAGACAGACAGAGGAGTAAACAAGTAAGTTGTGACCATAGATACAGATACAGAGATAGATATATATATAGAGAGAGAGATAGACACGGAGGCAAGTACAAATCGCAATGTTGTGTGCTATGCAACGGAAAAATATTCAAAAATTAAAATTATACTTTCAAGGATATCTCAAAATATACGTACATGTGGAAATTAGTAGCCGATGTTAAAAAAAAAACTAAGCAAATACGGTGGGAACAGATCAACTAACCAAATGTGAATAAAGTTATATATTATATTTGCTTTCAACTTGTAACTCAAAACTAGCTCGAAATCATAACGGAGAGGTAACGGAGAAGAAAGCTCGAATTTAATAATTATAATAATAATAAGCTTGTTTAGTTAGTGGAAGGCAATTACTTAGCGGCATAAGCTGGAGAGATAGAGATCTAAGTTCTTTGATTGTTTACACATCGAAAATTGTTTTTGGATAAATGCAAAATTTGTGTAGGATTGTGTTTCGTACTTACATCGTGCTGCTGGTTGTGTCGGTTGTTGTACATGTAGTAGTAGTTGTTGTTGTTGTTGTAATTGTTGTTGTTATCGATGAAGTTGTTGTTGTTGATGAGAGAGGAGAGAGCGAGATGACGTCCACACACACGCACAAATAACACATACGAGTGTGTGTGTATGTGCACGCAAAATGGATGCATGTGTATGTATACGTGTGTGTGTGTGTGCACAGGTGTCGAACATACACATACACATGCAGATTGGAATTGGATTTGATTGATTGATTGATTGTTGTTGTAGTGATGAACAGATTCAATTCAATGATGTCAAATTTCATCAAAATTTTGGTTGATTTCGATTGTATTGTTTTTCATTTTCGTTTTTTGTTTTGTTTTTCGTTTAGTGATCGATTGGTTGATTGATGATTGCGATTCCATTTTTTGATTGATTTCGATTGATTCGTTTCGATTTGATTTAATTCAGTTCGGTTTTGGTGGTGATTCGATAAATAGGTTTGGTTCAAGTTAACATTTTGCATATAATCGTTTAAGTTTTGGGTTATATATAGTTATATGTCGTATACAAATTCGGTGATGATTTTGTGGCAGTGGTGGGTAAGGTTGTTGTGTTTGGTTGTGGTAGTGGTAGATCGGTTGTGGTGGTGAAGGTGAGCAAGAGAGACATATATGTATATATTATATATAGAGTTTTGTTGCACATTCATTGCATTTTGTATTTTGTATTACACAGATGTTGTGGTTGTGTTATTGTTTGTGTTGATATGTTATCGTTGTTGGGATATTGTTCGAATTCAAATTGGAGTTCGAGTTCGTTTCGAATTCCGATGTGGCCAATTGCAAGAGATATACAGATATGTATAGACGATATATCGTGTGTGAATGTGTGTTAATTAAAGTTACACAATTGTTCAGATGTGTGCGTGGGTTTTATCGGTTGGTTTGTATATATATATATCATATATTGCATGAGTGATTATTAGATATTTATATGTAATTTATTTGTTTTTTTTTTTTGCATTCATCGAAATATATATTTGATTTGGATTGATTCGGATTGGGTTTTCCCGATTTTTGCAACCACATTTGGTTTTTGGTTTTCGTACATAAATAAATATGGAAAAGGAATTTAAAAAAAGAAATATGATTATTAATTTCTGGATTTTGTGATGTTTGTTTGTATGTTCTTCTTTTTTTTAATCTGTGTGTGTGTTTTTGCGATAATAAGAAATTAAGATAAATTTTGGTAATATTTTTTTGTATGTAAAACGATAATGATAAATAACTGTAAAACATTTGGGTGTAATTGTACTTTTTGCGATCTGTGCATAGTGCCTAACCCCGCGACTCTTGTGTTCTTGCTAAAAAAAATTGTTAATTTAAATATATATACCTTAACCCTAAATGGTTGAGCCCCAGAAACTATACAATCTTATGGAATTGTCACCATAACAAGTAGTGAAATATATAAAACCCAATGGTAATCTCAACACAACTGCATTATCAAAAGTCTGTGATTGATTAGTTAAAAAAAACTTCATCTCGATATTTATATGGAATATTAAATGCTGTTGTGCTTTAAAATATGTCTCTCATCAGCTGAAAAAGATACGTGTTTATGTACCTAATTATATAACGTGGACCTTGTTATTTTATATATACATACAAGTACAAATGAGATACATTTATAGACATACGCATCGGGGTATTTAATATACATATATATGTAAATATATATATGTACTCGATACACATTCGCTTATTATTTCTCTGCACTTTTTCAATTCTTTGTTTGCAGTGTGTTTCTGTAGACGTGTTCGGTGTTAAAGTTACAGTGTATGTTCATATCTGGGCAAAACAAGGAGCTAGAGATACGTGTGTCTGTATTCAGTTATCAATTACATTATAGTTTGTCTTGCATAACGGCCTACAGAAATCGAACACAACAATAACATGTAGGTTTGCTCTGAGTCGTGTATTGGCAAGCAACTGATAATTACCCCAAATTCCATCCACAGTGCATCCACAATGCTGCCCAGAACGGTGATCAGATCGAATATGTTCCAAGGGTCCTTGAAGAAGTTCTATAACGTGGATCAAATGAATATATTATCAAAGGGCTCTAATAAAATGCAGTATAAATAAAGTTTAGCTTAATTAAATTAAAGAGAAATTACTTTGTTTCAAGAGTAATAGCATGATTAATACTATAAATATTTAACTTCCAGTGTTGTACAAACTTACCTTAACACCGAATCCAATGATTTTCAGCACAGTTTCCACACTGAACATCCCAGTGAATCCCATATTGATGTACTTCAGTGACTTTTCATACATGTCTCCTTGATTGTGATACTGTCAAGATGCATTATATTATAATATGAGTTCAATGGCAGTCTTATTTAAACAAGGTCATACGATTAGTGTCCGTTTTAGCATTACAAATCCATAATCTATCAGCGAAGGGCCATAAATTATAAATTGATATATTATAATTCCAAAAAATGTGCAAAATTCAATTTTCTGCTTGATATTAAGACCTCATTTCTAAAATTCTTTTTTAAATACATTTCAGATATTTGAAATATAAACAAAACATAAATTAAGTAACATTTTAAGAATCCTTTCTTAAATAATATTGTTCGTACTCCAAACTATATAAATTAAATGGGAGACGGCTTCCTTCCTATACTACAAGATTCCCCCTTGTGTGTTTTTTATGTCCTTGTATTATAATTTTATTGTATTATAATTTTAGTCAGAAGCTTATAAAGCTGTGAAGAAGTCATTTCCGACCCTATAAATCATATATATTCTTGATCAGAATCAAAAGCCAAATCGATCTAGCTATGTTTGGAAGAAAAATCAAATTTTCAATTTTTTCAAAATTTTATAAGGGGTTTCATCGTCAAAATTGTCAAAAAATTTATAATATTTTTAAGTTTTTAAAACTTTTAAACTGAGTATGCAGATTTATAAGCCTCCAAAAAACTAACATAGAAAAGCTTTCCGAATCGAAATTAGTGCATTTTTTGCTTAGTTATGAACTTTTTAAACTGGGATTTAGTCACATAAAAAATAGATAAAAATCAATTATTATTTTAAGCTTAGTTATGCTTCATTTCCGATTCAATCCTATAAGTCAATTACAAATTGCAAGGGTATATAAACTTCGGTTTCCCGAAGTTAATTTCCTTTCTAGTTTATAAATAAATTCGACAATAAACTTACCTTCATCATCAACAAGAGCGTATTGAATACGATCAGCATCATAATGAAGTACTCAAAAGGCGTTGACACAACGATTCGCCAAACTTTATACTTGAAGGTGTTACGATTTTTGGGCATATAACGCTCGAGAGGTCGTGCGCCGATTGTGAAATCGATACAGGATTTCTAGAGGGAAGAAAAAGGCATAACGTGAAGAAATTGGATCCTTAATAACTAACCATAATTGAGGCCAATGTTTTAAAATCAATTTTAGGCAATAGCTAATAAGTTTTACATCAATTCTATATAGCTCAAGAGCGCATAGGAAAATATTTGGAAAATGCATCAATTTACTGGGACTTACTATAAATCATTAAGTATGTATAAGTACACTACTTTCCCTATGCGCAATTGACAACGTTTGGCCTTGTAAACACACATCAATATCAATTATTAACATTGAACTGAACTACTTTGGTGTTAGTCTGTCTCTTACAGTAATGAAAATATATCCCAATTTGGATTAAGCAAACACAGAGGGGTTATCGGTAGGTAATATGTACATAGTGTTAAAGCAAAATAATAAATTCTACCCCCTTAATCAACAACAAATACATTCATTCAACACATGCCCCCGTTTTCTTTTTGGATGTTAATTTGCACTATCGAGGTTAGTAGTAGTCTAGGGGTATATGTCTGTATCGGGTTTCCCTCTAGCTCTAGCTCCGACCTAGGTTCGAGCTACAAAATAAAAAAATGAACACTTCTTACAACTGGTGTGGGATGATGTCTCCTCTAATGGCTTGGTTGCCCGGAGAATGCTTATACTTACAATCGTCACTGTTCGCGGGAATGGGATTGATGGGCAACGCGCGTTCGATCAACATTGGCAACTGACTGGACGACGATACTGATCGTTAAATATTCCCAAACGGAATGGGGGGAATATTTAAGGACTATCGTTTTGTGAATTGAATATCTCTACTTTCCGGTAAATGTTCACTATTTATATCAACAAAAAAAAAGGGGGTAATTACAACAGAGGTACTTCTACTAACACACGAGACCCTCGGGTGCACTGTGTGGGCAGCTCTGCTCTCTATGGGATTTACGGGTTCTGCTGAGCAACTAGGGAGGAGGTCGTGGGGTTCCCCGGGGGAGGTCCTCCAAGTATTATACAATCTAATCTCTGACAGTATAGTATAGTTTAATATGTGGAGGTAGGTAAGGGGCTTGTGGAGCAGTGGCGCTTCCACTGGAACGATAGGCGGCAAGGCAAGGCAAACGTTCGCACACAGAGTAGCTACTGTAGGCTAGGGTTAAGCTTTAGGGATACACAATCTAGGTACGAGTATTGTACTAGGTGTACAGTTGTGTCTTGTACTTTTGTACCCACAGTGTGGCGATGTCTTGGCATGTTCTTCTTGTACTTGGAACGTGTTCATGTGGGTACGAGTTTGTAATGTTAGTTAGCAAGAGTATTTACGAGTTAGTGATATGTACGTGCACATTAATCAATCTATTAATACATAAATTACGATTTTGTTTTAATATTTTCATTTTGGTTTTGAGGGTTTTTTTTGTTTTACAATAACGATTAGCGGTACATTACACGAAACACACATATACAGATATATATATATAGAGATATATAAGCAGAGACAGAGAGATAGAGACAGAGATAGATGTGAGATCGGAACGACTCGCATAGGTTAACAACGGATGGAATGGTTTGGGTCTGGCTCACCTGGTTCTTGTCAATTTCACCATCTTGTAACTCAGCTTCGCCTTGCTCTTGAAACGTAATAATAATCAAGGCCACGAATATGTTGACGAAGAAGAATGGAAATACAATAAAATACACAATATAAAATATGGACATTTCGATCCGGAAATTTTGGATTGGACCCCTATCTTCATAAGTGGCAGCCATTGAGTGTTGCAAGACCCTATTATCGGTATCGGTAATTATAGTTGTATCGATGTGGATGTGGACGGACGTTGATTGGTTGATTTTTTGCGGAAAAGAGGAGGCAGAAAATATTGATTAGTTAAAATCTTTGATTCAATAGCTTCCTTCAGATTGAGTGATCACAGATCAGATCAGATCAGATCAAATCAGATAGAGGACTTTATATATAGCACTATAGACAACAGTTAAGAGAGAGGAAATATACATAGTTTTTTGGTTACAACAACAAAGTGGGCTTACTGTGGCCATCCCTCGCCGGTCTGGACGGCGAAGAGTGTCAGCATCGCGGCGGCAACGTTGTCGTAGTGAAAGGCACGTGGCTTCCACACCCTCAGCTCCTGTTTGGGCAGCAGCTCATCCTCCTCGTACTTGAAGTACGAGCCCCTTTGGTTTGATATATTTTTGTTTTTTGTTTCGGATGCGTATTCATTTGATTTGTGGTTTATGGTGTTGGTGTGGTTTAGTTATTTGTGGATTAATTAGTAATTTATTTCGAGACTCAGTTGAGAAATTGACAGAAACTAAAAGGTACACACAAACCACTAAGAACGGAAGAGGCAAAGGCAACGGAAACGGAAACGAAAACGAAATTAAGACTCGGTACAAGCATCTAGAACTAAACGGAAATCAAATTGGGGATCAATTGGGATCGTTTTACGTTCTCATCAAAATTTCGTATTTAAAAATTTCTTTCTTAGCTTTTGATTGATTCAATGATTTTAATGAGATTTTGTGAGGCGGTGAGTTCTTTTTTTTGTTTTTTTTTCGGCATGAGGTAAAGTCGAAAACTAATGGATACAATTTACAGTCAGACCTCGCTATAGGAACACATAGGGATGATGTTGCGACAATAAGATTAAAGCATTTCGTTGCACCATTAATATATATGCGCTCGGTGGTGTGCCGTGTGCGTGCTGCGTGTCTTTACATAGATCAACATGAAGCAGGATGATATAAGGTGATATATGATAAAATGATAATCATGAGAAGCAACTGCTGGTCCCTGGCATTATCCTCGTACGGAGTGGGACACACTTGACTTTGAATTGGATTCCTGCGGCGGCCGAGATCAAAAACGACACTCGGTACGGTCGGAATTTCAAGGCGTAAACAAATAAAGATGTTCGAAAATCTTTCCCGAGAAAAACAAATAAAGTATTTCCCTACATCGCGCGACTAGTGCTGAACAAGTGCTGGAGGAGCATTGGAAAGCTGGTGCTTTTGTTTCGGATGAATGGCGAGGACTGTGGGGCATTCCACGAGCGGGTCCCCCGTGTGGTTCGGCCCGTTGTCGGTTCGGTGATGTGAACAAAAAGCAGCTGCGCTCAAAGGGAGTGCAAATTTCCACTCGGTGGCAAATATGAAAGTATTTAGGGTATGTGTGGCGAGCAGTGATGGGTAGCTTTCACTCGTATCGAATTATTTTTCGGGAAAAATGACATAAATCAATGATTGCTAGGAGTAATTGAGAACAATTTGAGTACATTAAAAGCTTTGAATACTGATTATTGAAGCAGGAACGCACTACTCTTTACTCTTCAATCTTTAGTTTCTTCCCATCACTTGCAACAACATGGGGTGGACGCTTTATAAATGGATTGACATGAATGCATGATAGAGAAAGGAATGCAGGTGGACGTTTTGGACGTTGGATGTACGTGTACATATGTAACTGGATTTTTGAGTAAATTTGATTTGGATTCGATTTGGTTATTGTCAATTAGGCAGGGCGGCAGGCGGGCCACACACAGTTATTGCATACGAAGGCCAAACAGCTAAAACAAGCCGATACTCTGTAATTACTTTATTGGACTCTTCGGTGCAAGTATCGGCCATTGTTTTTCACTTCTCATTTAATTGCGGCGAGTGTAAGGTAACGTTACACTCGACGCACGGCTCGCGAGTGCGACGGCGAGTGGCGAGTGGGCCAGTTGCGAGTGGCCATTGCTCGCTGAATCAATTTGGAGTTAAAAATACAATACATAATGAAACTCTAATGTACACACACATAACTTGGGAAAGAGCGCTCGTCATCTAGTTGGATATAGTCTACTACAAGATGTTACGATACCTAATATTTAGCATTATTACACGTATTCGATCAGGGCAATAACATAAACCTACATAGTTCGCTTTCGCTTCTGCTAGGACACAAAGGTTTCGGATAGATGCCACAGGGATGAATTGGATCTGGATAGATGGGAAGGTAGATGCATCTTATTATTGGGAATACTAGCTATTTGGTTTGGAAGCAAATTTAGAGGAGTGTTAGGATCTGAAGCTTGTACTCGTTGATTCCTGATGCCTGATAGACGGACCGTGGCTTAGCTCCTATCCAAAGAAATCTGAAATTGTAACTGAATCTAAATCTTAAACTGAAACTGTATCTGAATCTGACATTCTACTCTAAAAACGGTCCGTTTCGTGCTATGCGCGTGCTTATTAAGAAATCTTCTGGTAGTAATATGGACTCTTTGGTATTTGGAGAATACCCAATTTTCAAATACATAAATGGAACATTTACATAGGCTAAGCGCGGATAGTCTTATTGTTTTCCGATCCTATTTGTTTGGTTGGTGGAGGCAACAAATACAAACACACACTGATACGGCTTAACGGATTAAGTATATATATAGATATACATAAATATATATATATGTAACATATCATAATCATAGAAAATGAAACTTAACTAGAAAGGGTTTAGGTTCAGGTGGTAACTAGACACTGTAGTTTCGCATTTCTATATCACAGATGTTGTATTCGAACGCATTATCTTTCTCATTTTTTATTTGCTTTTTTTAAGTCACTATTTGATTCGGTTAGATTTTCAATATTTGTTTATGGTTTAGTATTCGTTTTTTTCTTTCCTTTTTTTTAAATATTTTTTTTGTTAGGTTTTTGTTTTTGGCCCGTTTAATCGCGTGACTGTTGTTAAGACAAGTCAGGCAAGAAAAACATGGCGAGAAACTATAAAATGCTACTCTTACATTCTGTTAAATCAGTGCACCTTTCTTGTTTTCTTCAGAAACAAAGATGATAATAAGTATAAAGAACAGAACGAACAATAATGGTTATAATGGCATAACGGAAACGATCATACAAACAACACACAGATACAAAACAGATATATTGGGGACTGGTGGAAACATATGTCCTACATTGCTCTCCATAAGGGAATACGAAAAGATCACATACATTTGCTATGTACAACTAGGGGGCCCACATATGTATGGCCTATATATATATATATATGTATGTATCCTGCCATTGTTCTCTATCCGATCTTGGGCTTAACTTGAATCAGATTACAAACTGGAATCCAGCTAATAACTGGCCACACTCTCTCGGTTAATATATAATAATATATATATGTATATATGATTCAGAAATCGCGTATCATGGGATCGTTACAGCTAGACATCAATGTATGGGGAGTATATTGGATAGGATTCTATATATGTACATGTACATGGAAAGTCTGCAAGCATATGTAGTACGCCTCGCGACTGGTGAGTTCGAGATGAGTTTGTTTCGCTAGCTCTATAAGCTACGCAAAGTTCACACATATGCTTCTAGGATTATGTTTCTGGGGGTTATCTATTACGATTTGTTATTTGAGCTTAGACAGAGAAACATTCAGAGATACAGACAGAGATAGAGAGAGAGAGCGTATTTGAAAGACAGATAGAAAGAAATTGGGAGAGCTAGAACGCTAAAGAGAAAGGATTACGGAAGGGATGTGGATAAAAAAGTTACAAAAACCTAAAAGAGATCACTACATAGTGTATGACATATATGGAGGGGTCGGGATCAGGGTCCACAGTCCTAGGGGAAAAATGATGGCGAAAATCCTCACTCACGGATACAAAAACAATAAGAAAACAAAGACTAAGTAAGATTAAGAATAAGGAATACGGGGAGATCAACTTAAAAGATTAATTCTTGACAAAAATTGAATAATTAATAAAACTTTTACTTACTGGCACTCTGCGGAAGTATGTTTACTTTCGTCCGTACAATAAAAAAATTTTCCATTGAACAATTGGACTCCAATAACAGAAAATATAAATTGAAACAATATGTACACGATTAGAATGTTAACAACATTTTTCAATGAGTTCACGACGCAGTCGAAGACGGCTTTCAATTTTGGTACTCGCTTAATGGTCTTCAATGGACGTAGGACACGCAATACGCGTAGCGATTTAATAGTCGATAAATTTTGTCCAGCGCTGCTACCGCTCATATCGAAACCGAAACTAACAGCAGCGCATATAACGACCACAGCATCCATAATATTCCAGAATTCTCTTAAATAGCTGCCAGGGTGCAGTATCACACCCAAGTCTACAATTTTCAGCAACATTTCTATCGTGAATACGCCGGTAAATGCATAATCAAAATAATTCAATATCTTGTTTCGCCTCGAGTTCTCTCGAACGGGATCTTCGGCTGCTAATGCTATTGATGACATTGATATGACAACCATAATGAAGAAATCAAAATATGGTAAATTAACAACCCAATGGGCGCCGCGTCGTATGCTGTTTTGTTTTTTTATAAGTAGTAGTCGTAGTTGGTGGTCGTTCAACGAATATCGTATGGCGAATATAGAATAATTCGTAATTGAGTGGTTTTCGATTATTTCGATTATTTTGGTTTTTTGGTTTTCATTCGGCATCAAATTCGGTGGTTCACGATTTATTTGTATAATTTTTGTTTGGTTTTCAATCAATTTAAGGAGAGAGGTTTCATTGTTGGGATACAGATTTTAGTTTTCAGATTCCGATAACGATTTGATTTGGTCACCCGTTTAGATTTTTTATTAATTTGTTGATTTAATTTTTGATGATGTTCCAAATGTTTTTTGTTTGTTAATTTTTCGATTTTGAATTAGTTTTTGTTTATATTATTTGAATTTGGATATGAGTTTTTGTTGGTGTTGTTCGTTGGTGAATTGTTGTTGTTGTTGTTGTTGATGTCGTTAAAGGTGGTGTTTGAATGATGGCCATTTTTATTATCATTAGTTTGTAATGTCGGTGATATGGTAATGATTAATGATCATAATTATATACAAGTCGTATATATGTACACATATATATTTACAAGCACATTGTTGTTGATTCGTTTATCGATCAATTGGTTGATTAATTTGTTTAGTTTTTGGTTGTGTTTGTGTGTGCAACAGAAAATTGGTAACGAATCCAAAAAACAGGAAAACAGGAAACAGGAAAAAATGTAAAAAAGAAAGAAGTACTGTAATTAGTCATCAATTTGGTTATACTACATAAAATACTGTAGTTCATCGGATATTAGAGAATATATGTATGTCATTGGCTATTATGGATGATAAAGAGTTTGTTTAAGCTTTCAGACCCGTATAGTACCTGTTCCTGTCCTGCAATATACCATTTACAATGTATACCATTTACCATTTTTCAAGGGACAGCTTCTGGGGCTCCGCGCTGGAAGAGACTCGATTATCTTACGTCTAGCATGAAGCCTGGCACTGAACGGGCGATGAGAGAGTATGACTGAATGACCTACTATATATGTATGACTACGGGAATCGGTGGTGTCGGGGGGAGGATCTATAGGTATGTATATAATTACGGATTTGTCGGTGATAGTATAAACATTGATGAATATGGCAGCATTGGCTTGGGGCCCTCGGTCACTTCCTCCTCCTCCTTCTTTTCCTCCTCCTTCTTTTTGCTTTTGGCCTTGCTGGTGGCGACCGTGCCATCGCCGTTCTCCACATGAACGCCATCGGCCTGAAGGGCCTCCATCTCCTTCTCCAGCTCCTGCAGTTGTTTCTCTTTATCCTCTTCGACTTGTTCCTCTTCGGCTGCTGTTAGTTCTTGGGCATTCGCCAAATTATCAACGGCGATAGCCAAGAACACATTCAATAGCGTGTAATTTCCGAAGAGTACCAAAACGATAAAGTATCTGTCGGAAGAGACCATCGAGAGAATACCAAAATGTCAATCGGATATGTTGCAAAGGGGTGATCGGGCATCATCGAACGCGACCGAGTATATATACATCTTGTGTGTTTGTGACTAAAGACTGGAATATAGAGAGAGAGTTGTAATGGGCTAAATATCGATTCGGGGGAACTACGATACGGTGCTACATGACTACGACAGACACGTGGTGTTGCCAAGCCTCGAATGGGAGATCATTGCCTGCCTACAAAATTGCTGAAAAGAAAGATGACAAGATGGAGAAAAGACAGCGGTGAAAGATTAAACTCGATATACAAATCAATGGCCAAAGGTCCAAATAGTCTACACTTACGGTGGATTTTACTGGTGGATCTTATGCACGATTAATGACTGACTCTGTAGATAGTGGCGATGGCTTTCCGGCTTTTTTGTGATTTTCAGTTACTTGGGACTCTTGGGCTTGCAGAATTTCAATCTGTGAGTTGAATTCTTCAAGCTCCCAAGTCCGAAACGCGGTAGATTGCACACATTAATGGTTCGACGTTCAATGAATTGGGAGGAGCTTTTGGATTATTTTCAGGAGGGGATTTTTGCTAGCACAACAAGCCAGGAATTAGAGGATTTTACATTTATCCAAAGGGTACTAGCTGTGCGTACTAACATAGGTGGCCAAGCCTACTCTCGATGGTATGGTACGGATACGAATACGGATACGGAATAAAAGAGAACACAAGAAAAATCATAACTTACATAGAGTAAATCATTCCTTTCTGGGCACCACCCTGGGATATGATGCCCTGGTACATGACCTCGTTCCAATCTTCGCCGGTCAGGATTTGGAATACGGTCAACAGTGCTATCGGGAATGTATTGAAATTGGTCTCGGGCGTGCCTCCGGGCAGATTGAATTGGCCGCCAAATAGCTGCATGCCGAGCAGGGCGAATATGAGTATGAACAGGAAGAGCAGGAACAACAACGAGATGATCGATCTCATCGAGTTCAGCAGGGAGATGACCAGATTGCGCAGCGACGACCAATATTTGGTGACCTTGAAGATGCGCAGCAGACGCAACGCACGCAGCACGGACAGGCCGAAGGAGCCGCCCTTCACCTCGGACCAGATCACCTCGAATATCGAACCACTAATGACAACGCAATCAAATCGGTTGAACGACGACTCAAAGTAGATCCTTGGACCCAGCGCGTACATCTTGATGAACATCTCTGACATGAACAGGCCGAGGAAGATGAATTCCGCATAGTCTGTGAAAGAATATTGCAATTGGAAGTCAATCATACATACAGGGGGAGGAGTCTTATCATAGTGATACTTACACAGAAACTCCGTGAGGAACGAGGGCTGGCCGTAGTGCTCGACGGCCACGCAGACTGTGTTCAGAAAGACGAGGACTATCACGAACCAGTAGAACCACTGCGTCTTCACCGTGTGCCGGATCCAGAAGCGGAACCTCTTCTCCGCTCGCCAGAATCCGGTGCAACTGCCTTGGGGTTTCGACCGGGTTTTCAGATATCCTAAAAAAACAGATAGTCCCCTTGGGTTAGTCACCTTCCATCCTCCATCTCTTAATGGTTAGTCTCTGGTCAACTCTCCACCTAAAGCACAACCAGGCAAATGTTGCTGCATACTCTGCTCAAATACGGGTACAGTGCAATTCTAGGTAACAACAGGTAGGGGCGCAATGGGCGTGTGCCTCGAATATGATATTTCATTGATACGGTCTAGGGATGTATATCGAAGGGAAAACACCGATACGGTATATTGACCAATATAACGCGCTTTTTAGAAAACCTTTTAATATATCATGTATCGAAATTTAAATACAAAAAAGAAACTAACTTTAGGAAGCTAATATACCCTTGGAATTTTCTATTGTAATATAGGATTAAATTCGAATTGGATCTTTGCTAAGCTTAAAATGTGAGCTTTCTTTGAATCAATATTTATCCATATTTATATGACTATTTTTGCACAAATCAAAATTTAAAAATCTCATAACTAAGCCAAAAATTCCTGAATTTAAATTCGGAATTCTTTTCTATGTTAGTTTTTATGAGGTTTATAAATCTGCATACTCAGATTAAAACATTAAAAAAATTAAAAATTTTATACATTTTTCCACAATTTTAATGATGTAACCCCTTACAAAATTTCGAAAAAAATTAAAAAAAAATTTTTTCTATCGGAGATAGCTAGATCGACTCGGCTATTGATGCTGATCAAGAATATATATGATTTATAGGGTCGGAAATGATTCCTTCACATCGTTACAAGCTTCTGACTAAAATTATGGATATTTTCCACCATCCCTAGTCTTTTACGTGTTAATTAGGGGAATCACCTTCATGTAATTCTACAGCGACAGATTTTAATTGAATTTCTTACTTTATACCCAGAATTATGAAATTAGTCTTTGAATTAAGCATTCAATATAGGTTCAGATCGAATTTTCTTGAGGAAAAATCAGAACAGAAAGTCCCCAAAATATATATACCACTGATAGTTAATCTATTAGTTGGAAATACACTGTTGCGGGACTGATATCAAACTTATTCAAATACAATTTGACATATGTGTGGTTTCTTAAACTATATTTAGTGTTTCTAGCATTTAGCGATAATATTTACTATATCTTACGGACAAATCCGACGACAATATTAGATTAAGTCCGTATACCAATAATGTGACTAGTTAAGTAAGCTTTTCTCATACTTTAAAATACTAACTGTAATTATAAGATGATCTATCTAACAGCTAACATATTTTGTAATTTTTGGATAGATAAGAGAATATAAAATGGGTTCCAAAAGTGCACCTTCCCAAACATTCCCAAAATTTGTTGACAAACCTTGTCTTTGAATAAAATACTGGCAAGTGCTCGAGTTCGAATATATAAATTGAAATTAGCCAACTAGTCTAGGGATATAACACATATAGTATAGAGAAAAATATATATGAGAACATATATTTCACAGACTGTTTATAACCAATCACTTCAGAACATTTATCATTATAGCAACTACATATGGACTTTCTTTTAAAACACACATGTGAGAGAGTTTTACATAGACTTGTATGCTACATAGATATGATGGGAAACATTTATGACGAAAATTCTATTATTCTGTATATTCGAGCCACAAAAACTAAATGGATTTATTACTATATGACACTGGTGCAGATTTGTCACTTCGTGAGAGATAAAATTATAATTTACTTACATATTTTCAACATTTTGAACATTTTATTCAATGTAAGATTTAGAAATTCGTTTTGATCGAATGAAAAAATAAAATCTTGAGTTAATTTCATATCGTAGATGTTTCAAATTAAAGTTAGAAGGAAAATTTAAAGTTCGCATAGTTTCCGATATCCGCTTAGTTAATAGGAGTAGAAAATTGAAACAATTCATCCTGGCTCTGCTGTTTTGCTTGCTTACTTTTGCTGCATTTTTGAATCCCACAAGAATGGTAATACAAATTCGGTCTCTTACCATCATCCCCATAGTCTTCCTCGGCCTCCTCTTCTTCGGTGTCTGTTGATTTGGATTTGCCCAAGCTTTTCAGCTTTTTCCGCTTGGCCGCGTTTCGTCTTCGGGCTAGAAATTAAAATGGCAGAAAAGAAATAAATAAACCTGATCAATTTGAATAATTTAAAGGAACTTACCCTCCATTATGTGCATTTTCTCCTCTTCCGTTGTACGCTCCTCAGCGAGTATTACCTCCTCTGGAATAACATTAGCAGAATCCCACGATTGGTAGTCGGTCAAGGACAAGCGGATCGATTTGATCAACACATTAGCATAAAAGTTATATAGATGATGTAGTTGAGTTTACTTCGATTTATGTGAGTATGTGTCTCATTATGAGGGGTTTGTGATTCGTTTATTTCGACGAATGTTCAGGAGAAGTTTACATTAATTCGAAAATGTACAGGCTTTAAAGCTGTCAATGGGTAGAGGGTTCTATGAGGAAGGGGTAACGCTAAGAATGTGCCAAAAGTGCTGGCTATCGAGAAATTCAACAGTATTTATATATTTTTTATATATGCGTAAAATATAAATATGTTTATGGTTAATATACGGATGTATCTCGCATGATACTGAAGTAGACGGTAATATTTCAATTTGAGGCAGTCAGAGCTTACAAATAATAGTATGAAAATAAGTTTGCTCATCGGCTGACTCTCAATAGTTGTTTTTGAAGAAAGGGGTTTTGTTTTGCAGTTATTTACGAGCTCTGTTTATAATATTTCAGAGAATGTCTTCAGATCTATGTGTAGTGTGTACATGTATATGGGTTGAGTATGATTATTTAGTTATATGACCGATTGGTTGTGTAATATATATGTGTATTTAATCATGTATTTAGTATGTGTGTATATATATAGATTTACAAACAAGAAATAGGGGTAAATACTATACCAGCTTTACAAATCCATTCAACATAGCCGTTTAACTCTCTTTCTAGTTGCTGCTGCCTTCTAAGTTTAAGAAACTCTTGTCTATTTTCTACTTTTTCTCGTTCTTTTGCGAATTCACTACAAAAAATAATTAAATAGACCGTGATAAACCAAAAAATTGGATTGATTGTTTGCTAAAACGAACAAGTATATGCTTTCAGTATTAGCAATAGCAAACTTTCATTGTTATTCGTTTTGTTTTTGTTTTTAATATATTTTGTACGAGTGTAATGTAAAACAGAGCAGAACCAAATGTAAAACCAATAAACAAAGATCAAATGATCAGAGATTATAAATCAGATCAGTGTTCTCTCTGTGAAAAGCACATTGAGCGAGCAGAAATAATAATGAATGAAATAACATTAATACAATTCGATATATTTGCTGGCATCGGGCATCGGCAATATGCCATTGAATTAGGTCAGAAGTCGGGGCAATATGTATATAAATATATTATATAGTTAATATACGAAGGGACTGTGTTAGATATTATTTGTATATGTGTGGTTTTGGGCGGACTTTGATATAACTCCGATCCTTTTGGCCAAAAGTTGGGCTAGCTATATGGCTCGCTAGGCCAGTCTGGACAGGGACTTGGGCTGGGGGGAACTGGGGACAGAACATTGGTGGGTGTGGAGGGTGCACACTGGATCCAGCGGGTGTGTTTAGTGTGTGTGGTGTGTGTGTGTCCTGCGCTAGCCAACAATTAAGCATTTAAGTCTAAGAAAACTGAACAACATCATGTCAGGCTCGGGTCTCAGGGCTCAGGACTTAGGGTTGGAAGACAAGCACTCGTGGTGACTCCGCCGGCGGGGAACTTTGGTTATTAGTTAGAAGTAAAGTTGGCTCTAGGTTTAGTCTTGGCAGTAACTAGTTGGTTAGTAGTTTTAGTATTTGGTTTAGCTGGGGGAGTTCAACAACTTGTTCGCTAGTTCGGGGGTTGTGTGGCACAATGCAGAGAGTATACGGTTACGAGTATAATGCACAGCATTACGCGCTGCAGAATATATGGGTTGGAGATTCTGAACAATAGTAGTGAGAGGTGAACGGCATTTCGCAGTATTCTTAATTAACTTGAATATTATAATTGTTTCGTTTGGAAGTTTGAATAAGTTGATATGTAAGTTGAGTAGGTTTTTTGGGGAACCATAACTGTTGGTCTTTGTGGCCAGGGGATTTGCTTGCGATCTATTTAAGAGATACATATATAACTAGCAGAAAACCAAACAAGTTCTTTATATATTTGATATTTTTTGTATTAGATGGGGACGGTTTTAGTTCAATGAACCCGTGTTGGACTTATATTTGTTCTGTTTAATCCGATGTATTTTGGGTGTTGTTTTTTTGCTATGGCGTTCGGGTTGATTATGGTCAGAGTTTACTTAGATTTGCACTTAGACTCTAGATCTAGTTTGTATAAACCTGCTTGTGTGATCCAGTCAAGGTACGAGACCATTGCGGTCTGAAACATGGCCCGAAAGCGGCATTTCTGAAACTCCATGCGACGCTCGACACGGTTTCGTTCGTTCGAAAACTCTCTGAATTCGATAAATGCGAATAGTTAAAAGGAAGTTTAAACAATATATACCAGAAACGTAGATACATTAAAAACTAAAATTATTAACATAATTTCAATACATACATACATATGTATATCGCTTGGCAATTTTGAATACTTTACATTCGATTGGAATTTTCTCATTTCTTTGCACTCTGCAATTGCATGCACAGAGCCCAAACCCATAGTATATACATATATGTATATATACTCCACATATATATATAAATAACATATATGTATGCAGTATTCTTTTGCAAATCAAAATCAAAATAATAAGTAGAAGGTAGAAAGTAGAAATTATAAAGCGAACTGGTGTAGAACCTGGCTCCGTTACACAGAAATAATACAATTCAAGATCGGAACTTACCCACTTAAGACACCAAGAACTAAGTTGAGCATAAAAAATGAGCCTATAACTATTAGAGGCACAAAATATATCCAATTATATGCTGAACCTAATGCGTCGTTGGTCTGTTGGGAGAAGGAGAATGAATTTAAGTTTAAATCACGTTAAATTAGGTCAAGGAAAGGCACCTTTAAATATTATTATATGCATAATTCGCTCAGACAAATTTTAGAGCTTCTTCGTTTTGCTTCTAATAACACTATTGGAGCCTTAATTCGAGAAGATATGGGAGACACTATCCCCGATCTATAACTCTATTTACCCAATATAGTATTGACGTCCAGCCCTCCATTGTGATACATTGGAATACGGTCAACATGGCAAAGCCGATGTTATCGAAACTGGTGATGCCCGAGTTTGGTCCGTCCCACTTCTCCAGGCACATACTCGTGCTGTTGTTGCACACAAAGGAGCCAGTCGTCTTCTCCGTGATGTTGTCCGTGTTGCAAGGCGTCTCTGATTCGCCCTCCTTCACTAATTTGTCTGTATAATAAATATAGAGAATCATTAATTTCTGGAAGCACTCTATTGTTATTGTTGTTGTTGTTGGGCATACTTGGATCTTCTAAGCTATAACAAGTCTTATGCAGTGCGCCCGAATAAAACTCGAGTCCAATGATTGCAAATATTACGATTGCAAACAACACCAAGAGACCGATTTGCAGTAAAGGTGCCATCGCCTTGATTATAGATTTTAAAACTACTTGTAAACCTATAAAAGATGTCCATCCGATGCGGGTACAGATCCAGATTCGAAGTTTGCAGATTGGTGGATTAGTTTGGAGAGATCGGACGTTGGATTAGAAATATGCTAATGGAATGGACATGGCTGTCATAGCTATGAGCTTTACGATCTACGACAACCATGTATCAATGATTACTTAAGTAATAACATAAATATATATATTTAAAAATAAAAATCGAAACTAACTGACTAGAAATTCACATTTAAAAAGAAATCAAAAAAGATATCTAATACTCAGAAATCAAGATATTAAAGACAACACGTAGAAATACGACGAAAAGTTATATTAAAACAAGAGGAACTACTCACTAGGAATTCCAGACACTAATTTTAGGGGCCGTAGCACACGAATGGCTCTAAGTGTTCTTAGGTCTACCTCGGGCCCTATTTGTGGGTACTGTGTCATGAATCTGTTTGCAGACGTTAAGCGATCGAAATTCAAATATATATAATACATATCGGTTAGCGATACTCAAGGAATATCATTTTAAATAATAAATTATCAATAATTCCGAAACAATACAGGTATTTGCGAGTGCAACCAAAGAATTTAAATGTGCAGATTAACAGAGAATAAAAGGTAACTATGAACAAAAGACTGGACTGGGAGAAAATATAACATATATAAGGATAGTCATCCAGTAACGTTTAACGCGCGTTAGTTCATATATTTCGCACACACAATGGGTTGCCCAAGGGAAAACATGAAATAGTTTGGATTTCCTCTCGCCTTTCCCAGAGTTTGCCTTGAGCAAATCCTGCAAAGAACTAAATCTACTGGAGAGCAAACCCGAACTATTTTATCAGCTATCAATATATCTGTTTTGGACTAGGATAATTAGTAATTTTATTGATTAAATAAAATCAAATCGAACATCAGCAGTCTTCCTATAACGAGCCTTTTATAATGGTCTATCCAGGGTTACCAGAGAAATCTTTTACAATTGGTAAATAACATAGTTCAAGTCGCTCTTAAAAGCAATAGGCTATTTCTATGGTTACCCTGATAAAAGATGATTTCATATGAATACAATCGATATTTGTAATAATAATAAACCGTCTAAGCCGGTTATGTTTTGGTACTGTAATCTAGCAAATACTTATTAATTAAACTACTGAGATAATACTTGGCCAGATCGAAACCTGGGTTACAAACGGATATATCCTGACGATGCTAATTAAGTAAGGATACAAAGTAATGCCTAGAATTTTTAACAAAGTATATATTATAAGAAAGGTATTTGTAGCACTTCTATTAAGTTTATACCTCTCAGAAATAAATCAAGTTGCTCGTATTGATCTATATATATGTTTTTTAATAATAAATGACACCCAAAAAGGACACTTTAGGGTTCTAACCCGCAGAGTATCTACTGTCATAAATAAAAACATATTGGTAAAACGAGGAAAACAAAATAAACGTTTTTTCTATAAATAATCTTTTGAGCCTGCACACACGGCGTATGAGCAATATTAAGAATTATTATTCTATTTTAGTCAGCGCTGTAAAATAAATAATTATTGATATATATAGAGTCTAAGACTCTTCTGATTCCTAAAACTAAACTAAGGAAGATGTTGTGCCAAATACAAATGTATTTGTTTTTCATTTGTCTAAGATTTATTTCATTAGCATTAAGAAATTATCTTAATATCAATATAGAATTAATCTAAATAATTTGAAGTATATAAATGTGTGATTAAAATGATTAAATACCTATTAATTAGCATTCTACTGATCCAGTCTCTATACAGGAATTAATATATTAATAAGTGTTAATGTTTATATAGTTAAGATTACACTATTTCCCACGAGTGCCTTGAATCGAATATAGAGTTAATGAATCACTATATATATTTTGTTTTTATACCTTCGCAGTGTTATAATTTTAGTCAGAAGCTTTTAAAGAAGTGAAGGAGTCATTTCCGACCCTATAAATCATATATATTCTTGATCAGTATCAAAAGCTGAGTCGATCTAGACATGTCCGGCAAAAATTAAATTTTTTCAAAATTTTCCAAATTTTATAAGGGGTTACATCGTTAAAATTGTCAAAAATGTTAAAAAAATTTTATTTTTTGTAATTTTTCAATTGAGTATGCAGTTTCATAAAATTAATAAAAATTAACATAGGAAAGCTTCCCGAATTAAATTTAATGAATTTTTGGCTTAGTTATGAAATTTCTAAACTGAGATTTATGGAATAAATAGTCAATCTCGATATTTTAAGCAGAGTTATGATCGATTTTCAATTCAATCTAATCCAGTCAATTGCAAACTGCAAGGGCATATTAACTTCGACTATCCGAAGTTAGTTAACATTCTTGTTTAAAAATATATATATTATTTTCTATATAGTAAGACCAAGGAGAACAGCTGAAATGGTTTAATTTCTACTTAAACACACACATTTAGCATTGGTCTAAGACAAGTTAAGGCTCTGAAAGGAGACTCCTAATATCTAGGTTTATGTATGCCTATATAGGGTGCTTCTCTCTATATATATATTTTAATGTCGTTTACTGAAGAGAACGTTACATCTGGCCTAGAGTAAAAACTGACCGCCAGCCGGCGGATGTCTTACTTGGAATTCGGGATACGAGCTTCAGTGGGCGTAAGACACGAAATGATCGCAACATACGCAGGTCAACATCTATATTGGCCTCAGCAAATATCGTCATGGCTCTGTTATTTGTATTTACACGAAAGAATTTTGTTATTATGAATGCTTATACTTGAGTTAATATAATTCCTAATTTCCTAACTTAACAAGAATCAGAACCATACAACCTTACACTTATACATAATGATTGAATACTTAATATATATCAAGATCATAACTTATTTAATATAGACATTTTTAAGGTAAATAAAATGTATGTTATTATTTAGATCGAGTGTCCAAATAATAATTAATCATGTGCTTTTCTTGTTCAATTTTAAAACGAAAATGTGCATATAGAGAAAAATATATAGTGTGAATTATTATTTACCCCGTAACTACAACGAAAAAATCCATGATGTTCCAAATATTCCTGAGATAGGAGTGTTTATGCAGAACAAGCCCTAAGGCGAGGATCTTGAGCGATGCTTCTACACAGAAAATGCATAAAAATAGGCCTCCGTTTTTTCCTGGTTTTGTATAATAAATTCAATTAGCATCGCATAGGATTATAATTTCTAGATTGTGGTCGAAGATCTTACCAATTTTTGAGCCAATACTGTCTTGTCGCCCCCTGGCAAGTGCTCCTCTAGCGCCAACACAACACAGTTGGCTATGATTGTCAATAACACAGCGTATTCAAAGGGCGGCCATTCTATGATGAATCGTGTGTACTTCCTAATTGGGTTATCCTCGGTAAGGATAAACAATGACGTCGGACCACCACCTGGCGGGTTTTCCTCTTTTTTCGGGCCACCCATTCTATCAGCTAAGCGATGGGCTCCCTTTCGACCCAAGTGCCCCCGCCTAAGAAGTCCTGTTGATGCTCTGCTAGCACTACTTCCTGAGCCGCTTCCAACCTGGATGGGTAGGGGGGAGGAACACAAGAGACGCATCAGATGCTGGTCATAATAGTAGTTACAAAATCAATCCATATCATTCGGTTTACGCACAGCCATCGACTATTAAATATTAGTTTGTAAATTAGTACCAGGTTACGGAAGTTATGTCTATATTAAGGGGGTAGACCACCCTGACATTTTTTAAAAATCTAATTTTTTTTTTTTAATCAATCTTGATGCTGATATTCTTACGGTCATTTTAAGACATCGGGCTTAAAAATATCTCGTTAGTTGTGGATTCTACAGCCATTAGAAGTGAGCGCTGCCGGTATACCGTAGAGTACTTTCTTTATCTTCTTTTGCGTTTTTCTCAAAACAACGTTTTTTAAAACGGTGTACATGATTTCTCAAAAACCGCCGGACCGATTCTCTTCGAATTTTTTACACAGCTTCTCTATAATGCCCTCTATGGCATGACGTAGGATTTTTTCGATATGTTTTTTGTTTTAAAGTTATAAATTTTTAAATCAAACATTTTGTTAAAAAAAAAATTTTTTTTTTTCAAAGTGCTCCCATTTGCTCAAAAAAAATTATTTCCGAAAACGGCTACGTCATGCTATAGCCATACTTATATAGCTTATAAAAAATTTTTGTTTTTGAATTTCGGATAACAAATGTGGTGTGCAGCATGTACACCATCCGACCATTCCCTAAAAAAAATTCGTTTTTTGACTGGCTATATCTCCGAGGTTCGTAAATATTTTTTTTCTTTCAATAAGTATTTTTTAGTTTAACATATGTACTTTGATGTACTAATAAATAAAAAGTTGTATTCCCAATAACTTAGTCAAAATGAATTTTTGAAAAACCCTCCAAATTTCATGCGTTCAGGGTGGTCTACCCCCTTAATTATGTTTATATCTTTGTAAAAAATCCCCAAGACTTATTCTTAGCAAGCCAAGTAACATATCTATATTTTATAGTAAATTGGTTAAATTAAGGTACATATTATTTAATCTCTAAATCATGAATAGAGCAAAAGTATCATATATGTGTGCAAAAGAAAAAATCCTATCTAGTTGAAAGAAATTTTAAATAAAATACGAATAATCCCAAATGATTTAATAATCGCAATGTTTATCATAAATACAGATTATTTTCGGAAAAGTGGCTATTATAATTACCATCTAGTTTTGAAGGAGTGTTAAATTTTTTATAGATTTATATAAGAACTACTCAACAAAAGTCTGAAGGCAATACCTTATTGCTTTAATATGAACCACCAGCCTGAATTCACTAAATGTTTTATAATATCAAAAATATATGGTATGTATTAAAATTGGCCAGCTGTCGCTCATACTTTTTATATGTTGCCATGATAGGGTTTTATTATATTAATATGTATATTGTTATCCCCGAGGTATTACTTAGTCCCTGATAGCCTGCCTTTCTTGTTTAAATATTATACTAGTCCACATATGTACATATATAGTTATTGTTACTATGTTTATGCTATGAATTTAATGACTAGTTTAATTTGTGACAGTAGTTGAATGGCAGACCAATTAGGTTGCACTATTTATAGTAAGTAAACGAACGAAACTAAGTAAACACGCTTATAAAGATTAAAATAGATAGATTAGATAATCATTATAAACAAATATACAAAAACAAATTTAATATCTATGTTGAAAAGTATTTGGGTAAAAATTGGTTAATTGACATTGCTTAAAATAATGGAAAGAAGTATTTCAATATTAGTTTTGATTTAATAAAAGGTCTTTTAAAAATCCTTTACCAGGTTTTTACTATAATTGGTTAGAGATTTCAATCGGTGTTAAAGTAGTAATAAGGCTGACTGTTGTATAAACCGAAGGAAAAGAGATCTTTAGAGGACACACATACCGTCACTATATCCAATTTCTGATACTTTTGTAACGACCGCTCGGCCATAATTATATTACACAAGGTGAACCACAATACGCATTTGTCGGGAGTGACACGCCGTCCGCATGGCACGATAGCGGCAACTGGACATTTAGCTCGAGAGACCGATGACTTGGCTACTGATTTGTTGTGGAATCTGGAAGATTCCTGGCCCGGATGCGACGATTTCAGGTATCGTCCTTCTCCTCTGCTGAATTTTCTCCTGCTCTGATCTGATCCTTTCTATGTTCTTGTTGATTTTTGTTTTGGTTTTTACGTTTTTGGTTTTATTTTTAATGTTGTTGATTAAATGTTGCTGCGTTGCGTGGAGTTACGATGCTGATGATGAGTCTATTATGGGTTGATTGTGGTGATGGTGATGGTGGAACAGCTTTCGCTTTTGGTCTTTTATTATCCTTCAGTTAGCGGACATTGCCGTGTTGTTATTGCACACAAGAACTGTTTTCTTTTTAATGGAAACAAATTCGATTAGACGCGACACTTGAAATTTAAATCGCAGTTAGAGGTAATTTCTTTATTCCCCGACACCAGAGCCCGCACTTTGATTGGTTGGTTTGCTTGTCCCCGTCACTTTCTTGTAATTGCTCATGATTTATGCACGGCAAGAGTATGTATATAATGGACACACACACATGTGTGTGGATTGGCCGGATTCCGTAAGCCTAAATCCGTTAGCCGGAGTCTTTTAGTCCGTGGGGCTAATCGCGGAGCAGCTTTTGTTTTGACAGCCAATAATTATGATGCTCTCGGGTCAATGCAGTTCATGACCTATTGAAAACATGCCTGCACACTTGTGTCCTCTACATATACACACACAAAGCACACACACACACACACACACACACTCCATGGGGGGTGCATTCAAAATGCATGAGTGTTGTTTTTATTTTTGTGGCACATAGAAGTGTGCTAGCAATACATATGTATGTACATACACCATGTACTTGGCCAGGGCTGGAGATGGACGGCTGGGCTGGATGGATGTTGTTTCGCTTATTGGTATAACATTCCATTACTGGAACACGCCATGAATGAAAAAGCTAGGGGATGAAACCGAAAACCAAAAACCGAGACAGGTCTCAGACCGCGAGAACGAGATAGAAAGAGGCTGACACACATAGAGGCCGCCGAAAAAGCTCAATACACACGCACATAGGGAGGACGACCGTGGTGAGTTGTGGAACGGTGGAATTACCAATTTCGACATCACTGGAAGTGAACGACAAGCGAAACAACCAGCAGCAATTTTCATTTCCACAGTTTGAAAACATGTTTACCTTTTATATAAAAAAAAAAAACAAATCACAGATGCAAGGGGGACTGCTGTACACTTTTCTGTGTTAATGCATATGTTTACATATCGGCGCTGATTACTTAATTAGCCCGTATACTGATAACACAAACTTGGCATTTGCCAATTTCCCACCATTCTTGCCATATTCCTTTCTCTTTTTCGTTCACCGTCGCACTGCACACACACACGCGCACACGGATGTACCGGCTGTAACCCGCTCACTAATTTTGGAAACCGTATCGATAACGACATCACACGAATCACGACTAATCCGGGCCCAGGTTTTAAAATCTGTTTACATTTGGCAGTTGCTCGTCTATTAATTGCCATAAAACCGCATGGCATATTAACGCACACGCGCACATACACACACACACGCGGGCCGCATTCCGCTATTCACATGCTTCTGGGAACTAACTGCTTTCTAGTGACGTCACCAGCAGGCCCTGTTGTTCTGACTTTTAGAAGTTTGTTGTTTTTGCCTGTGTTCCCAATGTCGGACAACGATGTCTCTGGAACTTGAGTTTGTGGAAGCACCGCACACACATGCATGTGTATTGTATGTTTGCGGCCACAATAGGACGACAATGAGACCAACGAACTTGTAATTGCCAAAAATAAACAGCAACAGTGACACACGCCCGATTTCGATAGCAACAAACTGAACTATCGTAAGTTACATGCAACTGTAAGGTGGTCTTTAGCTATCTTGAGAACGATAAACGATAATTTGAAGATCTCACTCTCTCCGCTCTCAGAGAGCGAGCAATCGTCAAGCCGTCCTCAAGGTAGAGACACCTTATGTACTTGCACCATGGTTTGATGCAGTAACTACTGCCTACTTTTTTGGGCCAGTTGCAAGCTGTAGATCTCTATGCGAAAATTCTAATTGGGTGCAATTAGCAGACTAAAGCCGGAATAATAGCTGGTACCAGGGTTAATGTGCCATTAGTGGCCGTGGCAGCGGAGCAGGCTCCGAAATGTATGTTCATATGTACATATAAACGCGCTCAGGACAGTGTACGATGTATGATTTACATTGCACATTTGTACATTGCGTGTGTTCGGGCGAAAAGTCACAAAAACAATTTTCATTTCCGTGGAGCACTTGAAGAAGGGCATATCATTGGAATTCGTATCCGATTCGTTTCCGAGTGTCCGCGCGCGACCCTATGTGTGTGTGTGTGTGTGTGTTGTGGGGAAAACACGACTAGTAAATATTTGTGGGCCTAAGAAAATGATTTACAGGCACATGTGTACATATTTCAACATTTTTCAATTACACGCCGCGTGTGTGTATTGGTAAACTGCTGCTGCTGCTGCGTCGCTACAATTCATTCACCTTCCTACGCGTGTACACGTCACAAAACACACGATACACCGATAGGCCGCCGCTTTGCATGCAACCCAAAACCAAAATCCTCTGGCACTCCGCAGCTCCGTCTCCATCTCCACACGGCCACACTGCCACTTCCATACCCACTTCCAACGCAACGTTCCGCCCGTTGTGCTAGCGACCCGCTGACCCAATCCCAATCCCCACGCACGCACGCACACACTGGCGAGTAGCTTTCGCCCTGCGTGCGTCAGTGTGTGTGTGTGTGTGTGTGAGTTAACTTTAGAACGGGACTCTGGGCTTAGTTTTGGAATTCGAAATTCGAATTGAAATTGGAATTGGGGTTTTCTTCGGCCTATTGACCGAGACCAGGAATCGTCGTCGACTTCTGCAGTATTTCTGCCTTCACTTTGCTTTTGTCGCAATCGTGGCCATTGCCATTAACGTCGCGTCTTATTGACGTTTTTGCCATTTAGTCATTTTGCTGTTTTCCCGTTTTGTTCTCAGTTTATTCCCTTATTCTCTGCGGTTGGATGTTTGCAGTTTTATTTTCACCACTCGACACGATTCGGATGCCAGCGCACACACAACAAAACTTTCGAAATGTCGAATTGGGTTTTTTTCCCTCTGCTTTCTTTCTTTCTTTTTCACATAGAGCACCACCGAAAATCCACAGAATCGGGGATTTAACGCCAGCTTAGGGCTTCGATTTTTCTGCTAGTCTTCTTCACATTGCAGAAATGGGCTAATAATAGCGCAGCGAAAAAAAAATAAAAAAAACAAAAGCGCCGCTTATGCGGGAGCTGCCACCGACTTTGTCTCACCAGTTGGACGAAATACTCAACAAACGCGAGACTCTAAACTCGGCGACTTTGTATCACATACTACCACTACAGGCGCGCACCAACGGCCACGGACACGGAACACGGATTCGAGCGCACCCACACCGACGCAGCCAGGCAGCAGCGGCTGAGACGGCGCAGCCCTGCGCTCTGCGCTCCAGCCGAAAGCTTCGGCCCAAGCTGAACTTTCGGCGAACGAACGAATAGGCCATATGGCATTATACCGCTGCGACGAAGCGCTGAGCAGTGGGTGCGAGGAAGACGACCGGAGCGGCGAGTGTCCTGTTCCCGTTACCGCTGTAAATGGACTCGAAAAAGCAGCTTTAAGCTTTTCCACCTCGTTTTCGTCGCAGCATAAATTAAAAATTATTTAAATCGCGCTTTAATAAACGATTTTTGAAGCCCTTAATTGTTTTAATTAAATATTCATTATTTAAATAGAAAAATTTGCCTTCCTATTCAAAACGTAGTGTTTCTGTTTGGGCATCCTGTGTTTATCGGACCTTATTTTTTAAGCAGACTAAATATGAGGATAGCTAATTGGGAAACTATTGTTTAATAGTTTATTTAAAAAACCGTAAAATTGGGAATGCTTTTTTAAAATGTTACCGATATTTAACCCACCCTGGTCATACCGTCTATTGAAAACTGAAGGGGAAAAGTCGTTTTATAGCCTTGCAGGGTATTAAAATTTGAGTCAAAAGTTTTCAGCGCAGTGAAGAAATCATCTGCGACTATGTATATAAAGAACATATAGTCTTGATCAGCATAAACATTTAATTTTAACATATTTTTATGCAATTAGATTCAAAGCTATCTTTTCCTGTTATTATAAAATTTCTTTTTTTTGTTTATAACTTTCAGAGAAACGGTTGTTAAATATAGACGATTAGAAAGTATCTTTCAACAGTGTGTTATTATGACCATTAAGTAACTATGAGCAGTAAGCACCTTTGAACAGTAAGTATCTATGACCAGTAACTAACTATGATCAGTAAGTATCTATGACCAGTATGTATGATCAGGTACTACCTTTTATCACTAATAAACAATGACTTGCAACTTTTGTAACACAACACATATCTGAGACTTGGCCGGCAGCAGTCACTTCGTTCCGGGGATGTTAGAACAAGTTGGGAATCATATGTACAGATGTGCGAGATTTGTTTTGGAATAAAATTATGAGCAAGCTATTTGAATGAAACTATGGAGTTATTCTTCTATATCATTTTACTAAAATATAAGTCGGAGCATGGCGAATCGGTGGACTATATGTACAAATATATAGAGGTCATAGGAACAATCGGACGATTCATATAACAATGATCAGTAATTAACTATGACCAGTAATTAGCTATGACCAGTAATTAACTATGATCAGCAAGTTTCTATGAGCACCAAGTAACTCTGAACAGCAAGTATCTATGACCAGTAATTAACTATGATGAGCAAGTATCTATGACCAGTAAGTAACTCTGGACAGTAAGTATTTATGACCAGTAATTAACTATGATGAGAAAGTATCTATGACCAGTAAGTACATTGATGAGTAAGTATCTAAGACGAATAAGTAACTCTGAACAGCAATTATGAATGACCAATAAGTAACTATAATCAGTAAGTATCTATGACCAGTAAATATGTATGGTCAGTTACTAACTTTGAACACTAATAAACAATGACTTGCAATTTTTGTAACACAACACATATCTGAGACTTGGCCGGCAGCAGTCACTTCGTTCCGGGGATGTTAGAACAAGTTGGGAATCATATGTACAGATGTGCGAGATTTGTTTTGGAATGAAATCATGAGCAAGCTATTTGAATGAAACTATGGAGTTATTCTTCTATATCATTTTACTAAAATATAAGTCGGAGCATGGCGAATCGGTGGACTATATATATAGATATATATAGCTGTGATAGGAACAATCGGACGATTTATAGAACAATGATCAGTAATTAACTATGACCAGTAATTAGCTATGACCAGTAATTAACTATGATCAGTAAGTTTCTATGAGCACCAAGTAACTCTGAACAGCAAGTATCTATGACCAGTAATTAACTATGATGAGTAAGTATCTATGACCATTAAGTAACTCTGAACAGTAAGTATTTATGACCAGTAATTAACTATGATGAGAAAGTATCTATGACCAGTAAGTACATTGATGAGTAAGTATCTAAGACCAATAAGTAACTCTGAACAGCAATTATGTATGACCAATAAGTAACTATAATCAGTAAGTATCTATGACCAGTAAATATGTATGATCAGTTACTAACTTTGAACACTAATAAACAATGACTTGCAATTTTTGTAACACAACACATATCTGAGACTTGGCCGGCAGCAGTCACTTCGTTCCGGGGATGTTAGAACAAGTTGGGAATCATATGTACAGATGTGCGAGATTTGTTTTGGAATGAAATCATGAGCAAGCTATTTGAATGAAACTATGGAGTTATTCTTCTATATCATTTTACTAAAATATAAGTCGGAGCATGGCGAATCGGTGGACTATATATATAGATATATATAGCTGTGATAGGAACAATCGGACGATTTATAGAACAATGATCAGTAATTAACTATGACCAGTAATTAGCTATGACCAGTAATTAACTATGATCAGTAAGTTTCTATGAGCACCAAGTAACTCTGAACAGCAAGTATCTATGACCAGTAATTAACTATGATGAGTAAGTATCTATGACCATTAAGTAACTCTGAACAGTAAGTATTTATGACCAGTAATTAACTATGATGAGAAAGTATCTATGACCAGTAAGTACATTGATGAGTAAGTATCTAAGACCAATAAGTAACTCTGAACAGCAATTATGTATGACCAATAAGTAACTATAATCAGTAAGTATCTATGACCAGTAAATATGTATGATCAGTTACTAACTTTGAACACTAATAAACAATGACTTGCAATTTTTGTAACACAACACATATCTGAGACTTGGCCGGCAGCAGTCACTTCGTTCCGGGGATGTTAGAACAAGTTGGGAATCATATGTACAGATGTGCGAGATTTGTTTTGGAATGAAATCATGAGCAAGCTATTTGAATGAAACTATGGAGTTATTCTTCTATATCATTTTACTAAAATATAAGTCGGAGCATGGGGAATCGGTGGACTATATATATATATATATATAGCTGCCATAGGAACAACCGGACGATTTATAGAACAATGATCAGTAATTAACTATGACCAGTAATTAGCTATGACCAGTAATTAACTATGATCAGTAAGTTTCTATGAGCACCAAGTAACTCTGAATAGCAAGTATCTATGACCAGTAATTAACTATGATGAGTAAGTATCTATGACCATTAAGTAACTCTGAACAGTAAGTATTTATGACCAGTAATTAACTATGATGAGAAAGTATCTATGACCAGTAAGTACATTGATGAGTAAGTATCTAAGACGAATAAGTAACTCTGAACAGCAATTATGTATGACCAATAAGTAACTATAATCAGTAAGTATCTATGACCAGTAAATATGTATGATCAGTTACTAACTTTGAACACTAATAAACAATGACTTGCAACTTTTGTAACACAACACATATCTGAGACTTGGCCGGCAGCAGTCACTTCGTTCCGGGGATGTTAGAACAAGTTGGGAATCATATGCACAGATGTGCGAGATTTTTTTTTGAGTAAATTTAAGAGCAAGCTATTTGAATGACACTATGGAGTTATTCTTCAATATAATTTTACTAGAATATAAGTCGGAGCATGGCGAATCGGTGGACTATATGTACATATATATAGCTGACATAGGAACAATCGGACGATTTATAGAACAATGATTAGTAATTAACTATAACCAGTAATAAGCTATGTCCAGTAATTAACTATGATCAGTAAGTTTCTATGAGCAGCAAGTAACTCTGAACAGTAAGTATCTATGACAAGTAAGTGACTATGATCAGTAAGTTTCTATAACAAGTAAATATTTATAATCACTTACTAATTTTGAACACTAATAAACAATGACTTGCAACTTTTGTAACACAACACATTTCTGAGACTTGGCCGGCAGCAGTCACTTCGTTCCGGCGATGTTAGAACAATTTGGGAATCGTATGCACAGATGTACGAGACTTGTTTGGAACAAATTTAAGAGCAAGCTATTTGAATGAAACTATGCAGTTATTTTTCTATATAATTCGGAGCACGATGGATCGGTGGGCTATATATATACCTATATATAGCTGCCATAGGAACAATCGAAAAATTTTAAGAAAAAATATTATAACTTTCCCACTTTCAACAGATTTTCATCAAATTTGATATATAGCCATAATATATTAGTCAAGAATTTTGTGTAAAATTGAAAATCGGACTACTATATCATATAGCTGCCATACAAACGATCGTTAAAAATAGAGGAAAATGCAAAACGGTAAATGTAAAACTGTAAATATGAAATTTATAGGTGAATGAAATGAAAGCAGACATTAATTCATTGTTTTTTTAAACATAACATTAAATTGTGATCTAATTTCAATTTGCAATGGTATACAAATTCGGCGTGCCAAAGTTAGCTTCCTTTCTTGTTTTCTTTTAAAATTAAACAAAAATATTTGGTTAGAACATTCTACAAATTTCTTTCCAATATTTGATAATTAATTAGTTAGCTTTTAATTACGAATCGACAAATACTTATTAACATATATCACTTTTGAATTTACTGGCTTTTTGGACATCTTATGCTTTCAAGAAAATCTGAAATATCTAGGCAACCGTTGTGGAACCTAAGAGACGCCTCTGATACTCACATGATATCGCCCAAATTGGGTCGCGTCTGGACTAGAGCAAAGCTCTCCTGACCGTTCCCAGTTCCTAAAACGGGTCGTCGCCTCCTGTTGCTACTAGACGCTTGTTGGGAGCCATAGTGTGCACTCCGCCGGATGACACCATCACCGATAATGGCTATGTTGTCATCCAGGCTGTTGATGTTGCTGCTAGTGGTCAAGCGCGCCATCGGTGATGAGCCCCTTCTGCGACGAGCTCCCACTCCGCCAAGCATCCTGTCGACGATGAAACGGAGTCGGTTAGTGGAACGACCCTGTCATGGCTTAGGTGTTGTGGTGCGGACATGGTCATCTTGGTTCTATGCCCACTACTAATCAGTGCACAATTTGCCGAATCAGTCACATTGGGAGCACCCACGGGAATGGAGAACTGCTGCATCTATTGGCCAACCAGGGGCCAGCGGATGAAGGACGGATGAGATGCACCAGCTGTCACAGTCTGAACGAAACTGAAAGCCGATAGATAGATAGCACCTGGGACCGGCAGGGGTCCTCTCTCTCTGTGCTCTGGGCTCTGGTCTCTGGTCTCTGGTCTCTGTTCTCTGCCGGCGCCATCGAGCTCCAAAGATAAGCACACACAGCACTGATGCCGATGACGCCGATTGCGGCTGATGACGTGCTTGATAGCAGTCAGCATATGCGCACTGCCAGCCAACATGGGTAATTAGGAGGCGGCTAGGTATATCCACGACGACGACCACCCACCGGACTTGGCACCATTGCTGGCAGAGTCTGTGGCCGCCTGCGGTGGGGCCATGGTATCGGAAACATTCACAGTTCCGTAATGCGGATAGCATGGATACCGTGTTCTCCCTCCTTGGAATCCGTGAGAATCTCAGAGATTTGTGTCTGCGATTTCCTTATCCTTTTCGATGCTCGACAATATATGAAAATCTTGATCTTGATCTTGATTGATATCTTGATATCTTGATTGATCCCGGGGAAGGTTCTCTTCCAGAATAGTCTTAAGATGGGCGCTCTTTTAGGAACACTTTCCAAAAGGTCACGAGAATATAATTATATCAACTCGTAGAGTTTCAAGCTACCGACTTCTACCTTAAGTATGCTTCATAAATTTCATTTTATGACTGCCATAGGAGTGATCATGGTCTTGAAATCCAACTGATTGTGACCTGGCACAATGCCTGATGCGTTTAAAGATCCTTGCACTTCGTATCCTGACAGAGGCTGTGGCCATGTTTTATGGTCCTTGCGGCGGTCCTAACTGGTTTTAAATTACCCGCCCGCCAGTCTGTTGCGGACCAGTCTACCTGGCGTTACGATGGATTAACGGTATTTGGTGACCTGCAGTGGCAGAGGTAGAGCTACCTGTCCACACCTGAGTCCACTTATAGTCGCGTTGCAATGATGCGTAATGCATCATTGCTTTCACAGACCTCAACGAATATGCAAGTACTATCCTACTGCGTCCTTCTCCTGCCGCTCCTGCTGCTTCTCAGCTCTGGTATCCCGCCGGCTGCGACGTCCAACGATGATGATTGCAACGAGGTGGTCTGCGGATCGGTGGTCTCCAAGTGCCTGCTCACACAGAGCTGCCAGTGCAAGTTGAACGACTGCCACTGTTGCAAGGACTGCCTGAATTGTCTGGGTGAGCTGTTCACCGAGTGCTGTGGATGCCTGGACATGTGTCCCAAGCACAAGGACGCCCTGCCATCCCTGACGCTGCGCTCGGAGATCGGGGACATCGAGGGCCTGCCCGAGCTCTTCGATACCCTTACCGCCGAGGACGACGAGGAATGGTCCACCATTCGCTTTCAGATGCGCCCCGGCTTCAAGCAACGTGTCCAAGGCAACAGTGCTGGACACAGTGACGGCGGAACTGGGACTGGAACAGGAGCTGGAGCTGGAGGCGGAACCACCAATATGTGCACTGTGATCTATGTGAACTCCTGCATCCGGGCGGACAAGTGTCGGCAGCAATGCGAGAGCATGGGAGCCAGTAGCTATCGATGGTTCCACGACGGCTGCTGTGAGTGCGTCGGCGAAAATTGCCTCAACTACGGGATCAATGAGAGTCGGTGCCGGGGGTGTCCGGAGGACGATGAGCAGCTCCTCACCGCCGACACTGTCCAGGGCGAAGCTGAGCAAGATCTGGAGCATCTATTTGGCAACGAGGAGAACGAGGCCAACATGAATTTCGGAGAAGATGAGGACGATTTCCTCTAAGCGATTCCATTAACTTTAAGTGTGTTTTAATTTAAATTAAATTTTAAATTTGTTGGACTTGTAATTTACTTTGTGTAAATATATGTAATTAATAAAGAATTTATAATCCTTTTTTTAGCAAAACCTTTAACTATCGTCATATAATTTATATAATTTATAATTTTAGTCAGTGAAGGAGTCATTTCCGTCCCTATAAATCATATATATTCTTAATTAGTATTAAAGCTGACTCAATCTAGCTATGTCCCGAAAAAATAAATTTTTTTTCTTAAAAATGTTAAAGAAAAATGTAAAGGCTTACAACATTAAAATTGTCACAAATTTTCAAAAATAAATTGAGTATGCCGATTTATTAACCTTATAAAACTAGCATACTACAGCTTTTCGAATTAAATTTAATGCATTTTTGGTTGAGTTATGAGTTTTTTAGACTTTTATATTTATCTATTTAACAATTGTCCCTCACTTCAGTATTTTCGAAAATCAATTGAAATTAAATTTAAAATAATTAATATTTCCCATAAAAAAGGTGTTGCAGAACTATTCTAGAAAACACCTCAGTGTTATCCAGAACAAACTCAATCTTAATCAATTAACTACTCGTTAATATGTTTAATTACAATAAATTTCCATAATTTTTTTTATAAACATGAACGTGTGTTTTCCACTCAGTAATAATAAAAAATATTTAAAAAATATCGCATACGATAGACCACCTCTAATAGCAACATCTGGCAATCCTGGCACGACGCTTTTAAGCTTCGAGCCGGCGACCTGAGGAGAGCCTTCATTTGTTTACCTTACCGATGTTTACCTTTGAGCGACAACCCCATGGCAAACACTGAGATGAGATGGTGCTACCTGACGGCGATCATCCTGGTCATTCTCTGCAGCAAACACATGTCCCGGGCAGTGGCGCAGGGCATGCCGGTTAGCCCCTGCCCGAAGATCTTTCAGTACCGATACGACGGCAGTGAGTGGTTTGGTCTAATGGCCGTCCGCAGTCCCGACGCCCGCCAGATGCCACTCCACATCCGTGTCACGCTCTCGATGCGGGGCAAGCCCACCACGGTAAGGTATTGGAACCGGCTTCAAGTGGAGCGGTCACTAATCCCGTGAGTTATCCCGCAGAACTATCTGGGAGAGATCGAGCTGCTCACCCGCGGACAGTTTAGCAACAAGGCGCCGGTACTGTATAAGATTCGATTTCCCAAGCATCACTATCCACCCAAGGTGCTGCTCATCTCGGCCAACAATCAGGTGATCTGCTTTGGAACTGGCGGTGCGTATGGCTACCACTGGCAAGAGCCCACAAAACCTAATCTAGGATCTATTATTTCCTCACACATACAGAGCAGAGCATCTTCATGACCCAAATTCAGCTGGAGCATATCCGGAAGCTAACCTTTATTCCGGATAAAAAGAGCTCCGGCTCACTGCTGCTGGACCTGGGCATGGACGCCGATGATGCCGAGAAGGCTGCCGAGGAGACGTTCGTAAAGCCCCCCCAAGCACACACGCCGCACATCCAGTTCAAGAAGTATGCATCCGGATTTTGGTCGGTTGAAAGCATTCTCTCCTCGTCGCATTCACGCCGTTTACTTAATGCCCTAATCTTGTAGAAAGCCCTTCACCCACCATTTGCCCAAGGACATCTGTGGCCGCATCGATCGCGCTCTTGATTTTCGATTGCCCCAGCAGGTGAGACAGAGCTCCGAGCTTGGTTCAAGGAGCTCTGATGATGCAATTACATCGCCAGTTTTTGCCGATTACGATGATGATGGAATGGAGCATATTGGAGAAGAGGACGAAGAGGATTTGGTGAAAACTGGAGAGGAGGAAGGAGAAGCCGAAGGCAACTCTCAAAGCAACCTGCCATCGATAACACGAGGATCTTGGCCTTGGCTGGCGGCCATCTATGTGAACAACCTGACCTCTTTGGACTTTCAGTGCGGTGGAACTTTAATCTCGGCACGAGCTGTCATCAGTTCGGCGCACTGCTTCCGGCTGTTCAACATGCGCTACACGTCCAACGAGGTGCTCGTCTTTCTGGGACGGCACAATCTCAAAAACTGGAACGAGGAGGGTTCATTGGCGGCACCAGTCGATGGCATATACATCCATCCCGACTATAACAGTCAGTTGAGCAGCTACGATGCAGATATTGCAGTGATTATGCTCAAGGACGAAGTTCGGTGAGGCCCTCCAATGATCTTTTATGATTACTTTTTCAACTCTCCACTTTCAAGGTTCAATACCTTCATTCGTCCAGCTTGTCTGTGGTCTGGGTCCAGCAAGGCGGAATATATTTTAGGCGAACATGGCGTCGTCATCGGCTGGAGCTTTGACAGATCAAACGCATCCCAGGCTCATCAGCAGCTGCACAAAGCGACAGCTGTGGTTGTGACTCCCGGCAAGAAGGCAACAGATACCACCAGCACACCTAAGGTGGTAAATGCCCCAGTCGTCGGCAATGCAGAGTGCTTTCGAGCCAATGACCACTTTCGTAGCTTGTCCTCGAATCGCACCTTCTGTGCCGGCATCCAGATAGAGGCGCGGGATACGCATCCGGGGGGCAGTGCCAGTCCTAGTCTATTTACGGGCATTTCGGGTGCCGGTCTCCTAATCCTAAAGAACAATCGCTGGATGCTGCGTGGGACTGTGTCGGCTACTCTGCCTGCCGCTGAGTTGTCCTCGTCGGCAACGGAAACGAATCCCAGGCAGCAGCACTGTTGCCGGAATCAGTACATGATTTATGCGGATGTGGCCAAGTTTCTCGATTGGATTACGGCCTTTATCATTTAGCTGACCAGCCAGCACACACACACACACACTAAACACTGTGATAGCCCCAGGGGCCTAGCGATATGGGAGGCCAGAGTGAGAGAAGAAAGATGATGGTGCGGCGTTCCCTCCAGCCAAGTATTCGGAGTCTTGGGAACCACTAATTGCTTAGTATTATTTACTATATTAAGTAATATTCCTTTAGTATAATAAAGCACTGCATATTGTAAAGTTTGCGTTTAAAATAAAAGCACTGAGAGAATTTTTAAAAGAATTTTTGATATTAAAACTCATTGCAGATTTAGAACCATTAAAATGTTCAAAAATTCATACAAATTTTATTTGAAGGGTATTATAATTTCAGCCAAAAGCTTAAAACTAAGTGAAGGAGTCATTTCTGACCCTATAAACCATATATATTCTTGATCAGCATCAAAAGCCGAGTCAAACTAGGCATGTCTGACAGAAAAAATTTATTTTTTTAATTTTTTCAAAATTTTTAAGGGGATACATCGTTAAAATTGTCAAAAATTTTACAAAAATTTTATTTTGTTGTAATTTCAAATTAAGTTTACAGAGTTGTTAACCTAACAAAAACTGAGGTAGAAAAGCTTTCCGAATGAATATTAATGAATTTTTGACTGAGTTATGAAGGATTTTCCCTGTAAGGGTATACAAATTTCGGTTTGCCGAAGTTAACAAAAAAAACTTCCCTTAGAGATTATAGAAAACTAAAATGAATCAAAAGGAAAACGAGCTTTGAAGCATAAAGGCCTAAGTTAACATTTTCATTAACAATTTCAAATCCTAGTTTTTTCAGGACCTCTCAACTCTCCTCCAAAGCTACCAGAATAGCCTAGAAAATGTTCCCCACATTCAGTGCCACTGCCAGAACAGCTGGCCACCGCAAGCTCCGGTCAAGCAGTAGTAGCAGCAGCACAACCCCCTTGGCAAGACCATCCATCAGCTGATCCGGTGGACATGCGCAGTGGCTTCGATGGAGCAGCAAAGACGCAGGCCGAAGGCAGGGCAGGGCAGGGCACGGCACACACAGAGGCTCCGACAGCGAGACCATATCGATTTTGTAGTTCCCAGTTGTTGCAACAATTGCGAGTGTCAACTATAGCTGGAAAGAGGACGACAGACATACAGTGGCCTCTAGCCGTATCCAAATGGATGGAGTGATTAGCTAGCAGCACTGCAAAGATATTCCATCTATAGATATATAGACAGCTCCGAAGCACCGAGGCTCCTTCATGTGCCACCGCACCATGGGCGGGGATGCGAGCACAGCAGCAATCAGTTGGTAATTGAGGCCACAGAGAACAACAAGTCTTGGGCTTGCGAATCCGCACTAGAGTTCCGGATAGAGTCCCAAGGAGTGCACCGCCAAAGCGAGTGACCAATTGAGAGAGACCGTGGGAAGCCCCAGACCGAGGGCCAGGTGTGCACTAGCATGGAGATACCCATTTCGAATATACTGCTGCTCTGCCTGATCTTCCTGCTGATCGGCGGCGTGGTGATGATCCTGCTGCAGTACCTCATCTTCATCAAGTTCTCCAACCTGCCCGATGAGAGCGAGGAGCAGAAGCAGATGAACGCCAAGTACACCCTGCCCATGGTATATATAAATACATCCTTAAATTAATTACTTTGCACATCAACTAACTAATAACTGTATTAATTCATTAATTAAGAACATCAAGCAGACGGCCCGCAACCTCAAGGGCACACCAAACTCTGGCCAGGCAACGGCATTGGGCTCGGGCTCGGGAAATGGTTGCGAAAACCATCAGGATAGCCTTCAGGGTGCCTCGGCCCTCATTTCCCTGAACTTTGTGATGCAGTTTCTCTTCCACGAGTTCAAGAACTCGAATCGTGTGCGGAAATGGTTCTATCGCAAGCTGTCGATTGAGCTGGATGAACTGATTACCAAGACTACCACCGGCAAGCTCCTGGACAAACTGACGGTGAGACCTTATGATGGTTCCCTAGTTCTATCTTATTTCGGTCTTTCCTAATGTAGATAAAGGAGCTGGAGTTGGGCGACCAGTTTCCGGACATCAAGTCCTTGTCGGTACACAACGTGGAACTGGATGTGGGCGAGCAGCGCATCGAGAATCTGGATCTTCTGCTGGACATTAACTATGTGGGAAATTTCTCCACGTCCATTGATGCAGACATGGTGCTGGGCAAGAAGGGTTCCATAACGCTAAAAGGTGAATATGCGTTGTTATATCTATGTATACATAACATACATATATATAGTAAGAAGGTATTATGATGGAGAGCTCAGGAGGATTGAGCTTAGGGACATGCACTATCATCCTTTTCTTGACTCATGGGTAGACTAATATTTTAAATTATAAAATAAGTTTCTCCTAACCATTTCTCTTGCATCTGTTCACAGTGAAACAATTGTCTGGCACCGCGCGTCTGCAGTTCACACGGAAACCATACACACACTGGTCCCTAAGCTTTCTGGGTGATCCGGAGTTAATACTGGACATTGAGTCCAAGTACCAGGGACGTCAGATGCAATCGAATATCACCAACCTGATCTCAAACCAGATCCGTAAGGCCGTGCGCAGGAAACACACGTTGCCGAACTATAAGCTGCGGTACAAGCCCTTCTTCCACTGGACCGCCGAGGAGGAGGCCGGTGACTGTGACATCCAACCAAATGGCCTGCTCACTGTTCGCCTTGCCGAACTGTCTCGCCTGATGCCGTGTCCCGGTGTGGGTGGCACCTATTGCACTATTACCCTGGCTCCCGTACCCTTTATTGAGGCCCAGCAACGGGATAGCCGTCATGTCCTAATTTCGATGGATGTGTTTATTCATAAGGCGAAGAACCAACAGATCGGCATCGTCTTCAAGCAGAGCGGCAGTCAGGTGGTGCGCATCGAGTCCGTACTCCCGAATACGCCCGCCTGCAAGTCCAACCTGCTGGCCGGCGATGTTCTGGTGGCCATTGAGGGCAAACCAGTGACTACCATCCAGCAGATCGCCAAGGTGGTGAAGACACTGCAAGCCACAGTCTTTAGCCTTCGGATTGAGCGTGTCATTCCCGGCATTATACGCAACGATGCCATTCTGGAGGACTTTGAGAAATATGATGACCTATGCGACCTGCCGGTGCTTCCGCTGCGACCCGAATCCGAGTCTGATCCCGCTGAAGTGGTGCCACCCAAGCATCTGGCCGTGAAGCCAGGTCTCTGCAGCACACCCACCAATTCGCCCAAGAAGTCCAACCTCATTGCCAAGGCCATCAAGAAGACCATGAGCCGGGAGAGCGGCGACAAGGACAAGGATAAAGATAAGGATAAAGACAAAGAGCGAGACCGGGAAAGGGAAAAAGATAAGGACAAAGATAGGGACAAGGACAGGAGCAAGTCGGAGGAGATGGAGAAGCCCACGGCTGACGAGGTCAACTACTTCTTCCAGCACTCGACCATAGATTGCGCATTCAGCCCGCTGATCCACATGGATGATGTGTGTAGTTTCCAGCTGGACTCCAGTAGCCGCTTCCTCAACGTCTGCGTCTTCGGCAAGGCCGGCGGCGAGACTGTCCTGTTGGGCTACAACAACGTCCAGATTGGCCAGGTCCTGGTGGAGTGCTCAGAGACCAGCCTGAATCAGTGCCTCAAGCAGATAGCCCTCAATCCGGCCTCGCTCCAGGCAGTGTAAGCAGATGGCTCCCAAGATCTATCTACACTACTAATCACTAACTATTCTATGGAACTCTTCCAGGAAGACTCATAGTCTGTCCAATCAGTCTGGATTTAATCCCAACCTATGCTTTGGCGATATCTTGTTTGGTTTCTCCTGGATGGGTAATCCCAATGTGACCCTTGGGGATGCTGCCACCAAGAGCGGATCCAAGTCCCATTCACCAGCCAGGTGAGTTTTAAGTTCGAGAGGTTTAACTAAGAAATAAATTGTAATTATTATTTCTATTCAGAAATCCCTTGGCGGGCGGCGATCGCGTTGCTTCGGAGGATCACTCCTTCGAGACGGCATCGCTTAAGTCAACGAGCACCTTCTCGGACAGTGTCATATCCGGAGGCTCCTCCTCCAGCTCGAGTGCTGTTGTCGCCCCCAGGGCGCACAACTTTGTGAGGACGCACTTCCATCGTGCCACCCAGTGTGACTTCTGTGGCAAAAAGATCTGGCTGAAGGACGCCATGCAGTGCCAGGAGTGCTCCATGTGCTGCCACAAAAAGTGCATTGCCAAGTGCCAGAATGCCACCGTTTGTGGACCGGTGGATTGCTCCGGATCCATGCCGGTGCCAAGTGCTCCGGCGACCGTGGTCAGCCGGCCGGAGTTTACCATCACACAGGCTGACAATACGGAGATGCCGCCGGCGGGCTCTGAAGCCCAGCAGCAGGACGAAGCGTCAACAGCAATGCTGGGTGGTGACCAGGCCCAAATCCAGAGCCCGGCTCCGGCCTCTCTGGATGTGCACAGGTCCAGCATCACGGGTATGCTGGCACAGGGCATCAAGCGGCAGGCGAGCAATCTGGATATACCTGGCATTGTGTCCTCGCTTACCGGCAGTGGTCAGCAAATGAACTCCAAGAGCCTCCCTCCGAGCCCTCAACACACGCCTTCGCGGTGAGTTTGATTTCCCTTCATTTTGATCTTCATGATCCTGATCGGATACTTCACAGAAAATCATCTATAGTGGAGGAGGTGGCACCTGCTTCGCAGCAGAATCCCTTCGAGCGGGTCACCCAACATCTGGAGACCCTGCCCACGGAGGTCACACTGCTCAGCGTGGAGCAGGTCATCGTTATCACCGAACCGATCATCCGGCACACCCGCAGCGAGGATCTGATGAACTTGGCAAAGAGCTCTAGTAAGCACTTGTATGCCAGCATTCCGCCGGATGAGCGAGTGGCCAGGATTAATGAGCTGGTAAGCCAAAGAAGTAAGCCAATAGAATTCCTATTTATCCATGTGGATTTAATTGCAGCTGACAAAGCTGAAGATAGCCCTGGACGCAGAGACTGAGGGTTACACGTCGATGAATGACGCAGAAAGACCCATGGAGTCGGCGTCGTGGAAGCCGGCTACCACCGGCGCGGAGAACCGATCCGATGAACGGCTCCAGGCACTCAGCATCATCATGCTGTATCTGTGCACCGGACTGCAGCACGCTCAGGGCGTGATCCTGCAGTAGATTCGAAACGTCAATGTTAAAGTATCACTTACTAAGTATCCACTGGTCGACCCAGTTTTATACCTATACTAGGAATGTCTGCCCATTTGGATTTGATCTTTTTGTTTTCAAGTGTTTTTTGGTAGACTGCCATAATATCCGAATCCATCGTCATACAGTATCAGGGGTGCCACAGAAATTGTTGTGAGTTTGAAATCAATTTAAATGGAATAACGTTGAGGATTACAATATTTTACTTTATACACCACAATATTTTTACCATTGGTTTCAAATTCATCGAAATTTCTATGTGAATGTGAAACAGAATGTAGGAAAATTGTTATATTTTCATTTTGGGGGATCTTATCCTTGGAACTCACAAAAACTAACACTAAATGAATGGATTATTTTTAAGATGGGCCTTTTGGTGTGTTGTAGAAGACAATTCGTGTGTATTTGATGTACTTAATCGTCGTGTTTTTTACTTACTCATAAGTGTAGTAGACTGGAAATGTGTTAGTGAATTTATGGGCATTTTTAATCCGTGTTGTGTCACGCTTACCTAAACAAGTATTTCAATTTTAGCCATACGTTCCGATCAAACTTTACGCTTATTTGTCAGTTTTGATGCAAATTTGTACATAAGTATATATACATATATATGTAAACCCGATACCAACATCAACAATGATATCTTTAGTGTTTAAAAACTTGTTTTTACGAATAAAAATTTTAAACCTAACGTTCTATTTTAAAGAAGAGCGCGAAAGCGGTGCTGCCAACCCTTTTGGTAGCTAAAAAACTTAATTAGCCCTCATAAAATAGCTGCTTCACTTAGCTTGATAAACACTTATTCTAGTTAGAAAATAGCTAGTGTGAGAGTATTTTAGCAATGCCAGACCGTTTAAGTCCCGGCGTCAATCGATATTGCGATACATCGGTACATGAATTGATATGTTTTCTGCCAGCTCTAACTATGCGCCTAGCCGCACGAGCGGTCACACTAGAATGTTTTTTTTTATTATTTGTTAAAAACGAAGATTTGTGCCTAGTGTCCAACTTCTTATCGCCTCGCTTCGGTCCCAGCTTAGGTTTGCTTCTGCCCCGAACGGATCGCGATAATAAACAAGCTGCGCCTACGGCGACGGCGGCGTCTGCGGCAGGGGCAGCAGCAGCGGCGGAGGCTGAAGGTTTTTTTTTTAAGAGCTTCGAATCTCGGATCTCAGTCTACCTTTTTGGTTTCTGATTTCCATACAATAAGTTGTTGACGAACACCCAGCCGCGTCGGATGAAACGGCGGCATAAACGGCATCTCGGAGAAACGACCTCGCAAAGGTGAAGCAACAGCCAAGTGCATCCAAGAAAACAGTTGTACTACACACACACACACACACACATACGAACTCACAAAAAGTCTAAGGAGGAAAAGGACCAACAAAATGGACGACTGCAGCAGTGGACGGACCTCGCTGGCGGACAGCGCCAGCCTGACCAACGCCTCCATGCGCAGCGGTGCCTCCTCCTCGCAGAGCGTCAACACCAACGACGGAACCATTCGGGTGTTCAACTACAAGACCAACGACTTCGAGCACTTCTTTCCCTCAATGACATGCGAGGATATACGCACAGCGATGTGCCGCCTCCTGGGGATTGCTCCACCTGCCCAACTACTGTATGGCATTCGGGAGCACTCGACATCGCGCCGCGCAAGTCCACTGGTGCGACTCGATCTCACCTGGGTGATGCCCGGCGAGCGGCTGCACTGCCAGCTGACCTACTGCTTCCGGATGAGATTCCGGGTGCCAGAATTGGACAGCCAACTTGAGGTGATCGATGTGAGGAGCCATGACTTCCTCTACGTCCAGATGCGCTACGATATGCGCAACGAGCTGATCTCGGAGATCAAGTATCCCGACCATAAGGACAAGTCCATGGGACTGGCCGTCATGGACATGCAGATCGACAAGCTCGAGCAGTCGCCGGCAGAGCAACTGGAGCGTTCTATCGAGAGGAACTACAAGATGTATCTGCCACCCAGCTTGTGGCGGGCGCATAGCTTCTTTGTCGGCAACAAGATCCGCGAAGTGTTCCGCAATCTGAGCGCCAACTCGCCGAGCGTGGAGCGCCTGAAGTGGCACTATGTCCATCAGGTGTCCCATCTGGCGCCCACCTATATGACCGAACAGTTCACCGTCAACGTACAGGGTCTGCCTAACGAGGATCTGCCAATGGGCGGTGGTGTCTTTGGCAGCAGCCATCTCAGGGGCATTGTCAGCAACTCAACATCCACACTGGCCAGCACCGAATCCTCTAGCACGGTCTCTACACTAACAACGAATAGTCCAAATAATCCCTCTACCAATGGCACCTCCTCAAATGCTAGCCTCAGTGGTAGCAGCAAAAAGGGGAAACGACGCACCACCAGTTCCAGTGGGATCGATGTTTATCTTCGGATCTTTCCACACGACTCGGCGGATCCGGGCCTCAAGGTGGCCAGAGTGACGTCCGAGGCGACGCTTAAGGTAACATGACAGGATTTTAAATGGTCAAAGAAACTATTTAGCGCATAACTAACATTCTGTTCTTTTATATTTCATTTATTTATGTTTTGTGAAGGACTTTCAATAGAGAAATTATTAAAATTAATTTCCCTTTCAAAAAAAAATAATATAAAACATTTATAGATATCAGTCCTTATTTAATAGCAATTAAGGAAATCAAATGCAAAATTTCCATGTCACAATCAGTTTCTAATTACGGTTGCTTTCGTCTCAGTTTTAACTTCAAGAAAACCACAAAAAAATAATAAAACAAACGTACAAACATTTACATAGAGAGGCGAGTCAAATCGCGTCTTTAGGGAACCCAAGATCTCTCGAGTTTTGTTTATCGATTTGTTATCGCTCATTTTTCAAAGACGCCAATTTAGCAGGAAGTCTCTGGTTACCCTAGGGACACATTATAAACATTTAAATAACTTAAATTTTGTATTGCATCACACTTAAGCGCGGCCTTAAAATAATAATCTACTTCAGTGAATTCTCGCTAATCGACAACTTTGAAAACAACAATAAACATGCAAATGGATGAACGGTTTGTAGATAAGGCAGGCAATAATTCGATTCGACTAGGGACGTTTAATAAAATATTGTTATACAAAATCTTTGTATGGTTATCATAAAGAAAATATCGTGTTTTATATTCCCATTCTCATTCAATTCTCTTTTTATTTGCAGTGGATTCTTCTGGGTAGAGTGGAGGACATTTTTATGATCTCGAAAATCAACAGCACCGATGTACGGCTCGAGATTGTGGGCCTGCCAAAGGGCTATGAGATGCACTTCCAGAACGAGAAAGAGATGAAGTCCTTTATCTCATATTTGAGCATCTACAAAAGGTAGGGTTTCTTTAACTTCTTAAAAGTATTGCCTTCTTTAATACATGAATTTATTTAACGCAGAATGTCCTCAAAGTGGATGCAGGATTTGTGCCATTCGTATCGAACGCCCAGTTTGGCGGAGCTGGACTCGCTTTACTGCCACGGACCCATCGGCGGTGCCTATTCGCTGATGAAGCTGCACGAGCATAACGACAAGTGCGGCAGCTATATCATACGCGAGTGCGATCGCGAGTACGACGTTTACTACATCGATATCATAACTAAGATGTGAGTGCTTGTGAACCAGTTATCAGTCGGCCCTTTTTTCCCCCTTATCAAGCTTTCAAGAAGTGCCACGAAACAACAATCAAAGCACGGCATTTGTCTAACTCACTGCTATTCTGGCAGATGCAGGAAATATATGATTAATAACACAAACAATATGTATTTGCAGCATTGGCAAAGACACACCGCAGCAGCGTTGCAAGACGGAGACATTTCGTATCGTCCGCAAGGACTCGCAGTGGAAGCTGATCATCAACAACAACGAGCACACATTGAATTCGCTACAGGAAGTGGCACGCTTCATTCATGCGGACGTGATCGATCGCATAAGGATACCCGCTTCGGTGTATGACAAGCCGCCGCTACTGCTTCTGCTGCTGCCAAAGAACTTAAAGGCCAAAAAGACTGACGTTCAGCTGAGCGAAGCGGAGCTGCAGCGACGCAATCCTCAGATCTTCAATCCCAAAACGGATCTGCAATGGTATCCAGGTGAGGAAAGCCTCTTGAATAGAAGCAAGGATAGATATGTATTATAATCCATTTTGTCTTGCTTTGCCCTTACAACAGATTCGATCACGCTTGGCGAAGACGGCATGATGTTCACGATGCGCGGCGATTGGATCCAGCAGAGTCCCGTCAAAGATGTCTCAGTGACAATGAAAATGATGAAGAGTGACGGCAACTTTATGGAATTCTTCCGTTTGGCCCAGACCTGGACCCTCATCCAGTCACCGCAATTCCTCAAGCTGTACGGCCTCACCCTTTCGGATCCGTACACCATGGTCATGGAGTATTCACGCTACGGACCGCTGAATAAGTTCCTCTACACCACCCGCGACGTCAGCCAGAAGTGTCTGGTGGAACTGATGAAGGGTTTGGTGCGCGGCATGCACTACCTGGAGGATAACAAAATCATACACAGCTACATACGTTGCAGCAACTTGTATGTGACCAAATACGATCCGAGTTCCCAAATGCTCGATGCCAAGATCAGTGATCCCGGCTACCCGCGTCCATACCGGGAATCTGAGTGCGTATTTTTGTTAGTTAGCTATTTAGTATTATTAATTATATATTTAAACGTTTTCTAGCTCGCCGTGGATACCCACCAAATACTATCGGAATCTGCAGGCGGCCAAAAAGGATCTAAGCACCCAACTCTGGGCCTTTGCCACCACCGTTTACGAGATCTTCTCGCGCTGCCGGAAAGACCTGCGCCTACTGACACAGGAGGATCTGCAGCGGCAGAGACTACAAGATGGAAATATTCTGCCACTGCTCAACACAGACATGTGTCCGCCGCAAATATCGGAGACCATTATGGACGGTTGGAGCGATGAACCGAAATTCAGCCATCAAGACATCTTCTCCCGCCTCATCGAAATCAAGTCGGAACATGACTATATGCCCCCGCCTCTTGCAATGAGTAAGTGCTGTCAGATTCCTTTAGTTCAATTTAAAATAATCTTGTTTTCCCCCATTTTCTTCTTTAGATGGAACTGGCGATGGCGAAGATGGCGAAAGCATCCATGACCTGCATGTTGATAATATATGCCCCAGTGCTGATATGTTAATGGTTGTGGAGCTGAACGACTGCCGTCTACTGTACTGCGAAAGTGACAAGATCGGGGAGGGCAATTTCGGTGTCGTGTATCGCGGACATTTGGAATATTATGACAAGGAACGGGCCAGGGAGCAGGTGGCTGTCAAGAAGCTGAAAGCAATGCAAGTATCGACGAGTGATTTCAAGCGCGAAATGCAAATCATGCGCACGCTGGATCATCCAAATGTCGTCAAATTCAAGTATTGGTCGGAGACACTCACCTCCATTGTAATGGAGTTCCTGTTTGGTTCCTTCAAAAAGTATCTAAGCTTCGAGGCGCCAAAACTCAATAATGCTCGTCTCGTCGGCTATGCGCTGGACATCGCACACGTGAGTAGGACCTAAGATAGATTCTAAATTAAGTATGCAGATTTATTAATCTCATACAAATTTGCATAATAATCCCTTTTTGACTAAGTTGTGAAATTTGTAAGCCTTTGCTTTGTTCAAAAACAATTATATTAACCTTATATCCCTTTAACAAAATTATAAAATTGATCCCAAAAGAGACTTTAAATACTACGTTTCCTTTGGGATCGATTAATTTATACGTATGCAATGTATATATATTTAATCAGAACATGCCCTTTTTCTGTTCATTAACAGGGCATGAAGTACTTGTCCGCCATGGGCCTGATCCATCGGGACCTATCCACTCGCAACATACTTGTAGATCGCGCTGGCGGCAAAGATTGCCTTAAAATCTCAGACTTTGGCCTGGCGCAGTTTGCCAATTCCGATGGATACTACTTAGCCCAGAACAATCGGGAGCTGCCCATTATGTGGTAAGTAGGAATAAATGTATATTTTGTATTGCCTTATCAGTTTTTAATTGAAACGAAAACTCCAAGTTATTCTTAAGAATATATGTATGACCCGTTTTAATGCTTCTAGACAAAAGCGTTTGAACTATTGACTTTTAAAAATAAATTAAACGTGCCAAAAATGTTGGTTATCAAAATGAGAGATGACCCCGAACTTATTCGGAAGAATAATGTTTCTATGAGTGTTCCTTACTGAATATTAACTCTACTATATTTTAACCAGGTATTCACCCGAGGCCATTGCCACAAACAAATTTTCATCGTATTCGGACGTCTGGAGCTATGGCGTAACTCTCGTAGAGACATTCTCCATGGGCGCAGATCCCAATTTGGTGCCGATGCAGACGTCGCCAGAAGATTTCCTGAACCGTCTGCAGCAGGGCGAGCGGTAAGTTTGGCATTTCGACAGATTTGGATCAAGAAGGTTATCACAGTGAGATTCGGTTTTAATGCTTCTTAGAAGCTAAAAACATTAAGCATTTAATCATATGTCATTAATTTGTGAATCGTGCCAAAATGAATAATGGAAGCGATGAAGGTCATCTTTAGAGATACACTCTATGTCGCCACCAAGACTATTTAAAATTGCCAGACATTTTGAAATGTTTTGGAAAGCAATAATCGAACTAACATTTCAGTTATTGATAACGATTATTGAAAAAAAAATATTGCTATCAATATTAAATGGGAAATATAGTTATTATCGAAGAATATAGATTTATTGCACAAGCATTATTATATTGACCTTTTCTGTCACCCCCACTCTGTATTCTTCATTTAATTTGATTTTATATGCAAAACTTATACTAATAAATATATATTTATTCAGATTACCTCGACCGGACTGCCCCGACTTTATGTATGACCTGATGCTCATGTGCTGGCACGTCACGCCTAAATCCCGCCCCAGCTTCGCCACCATTGTGGAGTTCATCTCGCGAGAGGTGGGCGTCAATGTCTTTCCGCTGGTGGACCAACCGCATCCACATCAACAGTTGCCGCCAAATATGGAAGGAGGTGGATAGTGACGAGAGACACACGGGGATAAAAAAGTGTTCTGAACACAGTGGAATGAAGATATATACAAACACACACATACACGCGTATATATAAAGTTAGGAATATGTATTTTTTTAAGCTGTTAGCATTTGTAAATGTATGTTTTTAAAACACACAACCCAATCCTTACTTGACGCAATGCCTTCAAAAGAATCACAATACCCCAAGATCCCATCAGCAGACCTCTCACGCCTTAGCCTTTCTCTTGGATTCTCGCCCAGACCCTTAGTTTGTATTCTTGTGCTAAACAACCCTTCTTCTCTTGACTAAGTGCAGGGCGTCTCTCCCCCGGGGCTTTATATATATATATATATGAAATTCTCAACCATTATTGTGTTATATACATATGTTTTAGCCGACTTTGTTAAATATTGTTAAGCTTGAGCTTAAATTTTTTTGTGCATTTATACACCCAAAAACGCAAAGCAAAACATTGTAAACGTACGTGTAAATAATATAATATAATGCTATATAAATTAAATTAGTTACGGCAACACACGGTAATTTACACGAACGAAGATTAAGACTAAGATTAATCTAATCCATAAACAAAAAAAAAAAAGAACATATGTGCACATATAGTCCTAAGGTAAATGTCAATTAAAGTTGATTAAATGCCATTTTTTAACCTACAGAATACTTCGAGAAACAGAAACGAATTATATATACACAAATATATACAACATATATATTTACATAAATGCTGATCAAGCAGCACTATACAAGAAGGTATATGCACAACCAACCAGACACACAACCGCAGGCACAATAACTTATTATTATTGATGTGTTTTAAGCGAGAAGCGGATATTTGTCCGACAAAATAAATCAATTTTCTTACGTGTTTAAAAGTGCAATTTCATTTCAAGAGATTTATTCATTGGGAAGATTCAATGGGTAATTCAAGGTACAAAAATATCTTAGCCAATAATATCAACAAGCAATCGAAGATCAAAACGGCGAACTAACAACAACGAGATAAGAGTACATGCGACAAGCTGCGAGGAGCAAATAGGAAAAGTACAAGGGACTAGTAAGGAAGCAAAGTACGTCGACAGGTTATAAGATGATTGAAGAGTAAAAACAACGAACCTACAACCATATAAATAGATGAATAGATTGAAAGCAAAAGGACAATCAAAGATGTCAATGAAGATAGACATGGGGGTACGTAATTATTTAACGAAATAAAATAGTCTCATAAGAAGTGTATCAATAAGAAGTTATGGATTTAAAAGGTATAATATTAATTATGTATATATTTATTTATATATATTATATATGAATTGTGATGGATCTATCTATGATCTATGAGGATCTATGAGATACGGAGACTTTATATCATATCTGTATATTTCTTGGAGAAAGATAAAGATAATTATATACTTTGTAATATAATTACCTTGATCTTCTTCACTAGAAAGAAGGATCTCCGATACCTTTTACATATTTTACGTCACAAAAATGAAAGAGATAGCAATTTGCTGGTCTCTTGTGAAGTCTTTTTTCAGTGTACTTAATACTATTCTTATTCATATTTTTCTATTCCAGAATGCTAGATCTTAACGCCAAATTTGCGTTTAAAATGTTTACCTACATATATGTATGTAGATGTATTCATTAAGCTTACAGATATTTTATATGGTTTTTCGGAACACTTGTGTTGATTTCAAAAATTTGCATTTACTTTCAAACACGATTATTTTAACAGCTTTCTGTGGAATTCAGTTTTCACTGGTTTATATTTACAGGTTTTTTTTAATGTAAAACTCTAAAGTTTCTAAATTACATTACGACCTACTAACCGCGAGTGGGGTTCGTTCGAACTTCGGCCCTATAATTTTAATTCTAGGCACTTAGTGCCTTGGCGAATGCTAAATAGTATAACCTAAACACAGAGCAATATTGGATTGCAGATTCAAATTCTTTGAAGTAAATCAAGTTAAGTGTCTGTGCTGTTGCTTTAAAATGTTTTTCTACCTCTGCTCGTATATAATTTTAAATTTACTCTTTTAAAGAGGTTTGTGTTTCTTTTTTTATCTCCTAGTTTTCAATTAAAGTCTCACTATCTACAACTCTTTAAATCCACCCTTTCTGGGGTACACATATATATAATTCTTATATATAAGACCTAGTATCTAGTAGTTCATCATTCATTGCCTTGCTTACACAACTGTGTGTGAATATATATACAATTTTTTAAAATTAATTCTAATATGGAAGTTATCTTATTTCCATTCTTTTTCAATAAATTCTTTTAAGATATATCTTATGACATTAGTTATTTAAAATTATTATAAATCTGAATTTACTTTTATTTATAATTAATGGTTCAGATTTTTCAAGAACATTACTATTATTATTATTGTTTGTACAAATTTATGAATGGAAACTGGTTGACGTTAAGATCTCAATTTTTGAATTCTTGATTATAAAACATACGTTATTACAATTAAAAACTATGGATAGTTATTTTATCAAAAGAAGTAAGTAAGCTTCGATTAACATTTACAGAATGTGTTCGGAGCATTATATTTTTGACATTTAAACAAGACATTTTGGACTCTATAAATTATATATATAGCATCAAAAGATGAGCCACTTTTCTTTATCGTATCACCTTTCTATAGCAGGTAATATATAAACCAAAACTATCGGAAAATGTTTTGCAGAATAGTAGAAAAATCCACGAACCTTGATTTGTTGTTAGCATATCAAGAGAATAACTCAACTTCGTTGGTCCTAGTTCCTTCTATTAGCATCGGAGCTGGGTTCATCGGGTTTCTCCAACAATTTGCAGACCTTTATAACCAGGCCCTCGCGTAGTGTGATCTTTAGGTTTGGGTGAGTGGTAGTTCCGATCCCCTTCTTCTGGATGCATCAGAACTTTAGCGTGTGCTAGGAGCTCTCCGCGTTCTTCTTCTTCAGAGTCTCCATGACGCCGGCAAAGTTGGCAGTCTTCTTTTTAGCGGACTTTGGCGTGGAAGTTTGGCTGCGGACGCGCATTTGGGTGGGCGCAACGTCGTCGCTAAAGTCAAAGTCGTTGGCCTTTTGGGGTCTAAAACGAACAATCACATAAGTATATATGTACATATATCCCCTATTATAACCTTCTGTTTGATATAACTCTTACTCTTGTTCGATTGCATCCGAGGTCTGCTCCAATTCCTTGCTGTTTCTGCCGGATCCTACCAGTTCCGGTGAGGGCTCCCTTCGTCCGGGGAATTGCCACTGGAGCTCTGGAATATTGCCCGCCTCCAGCATTAGATAATAACTCTCCAACTCCTCGGCATTGGCGGAGAATTTGTCCGCTGTATTCGCCGGTTCCACTTCGGTTGCCATTTTGTTTTTTTATGTTTTTTTTTCGTTTTATTTTGGTTTACGCTTCTTGGAAATTGTTCTATTATTTACACTATTTACATATATCCACAAATAATCCGTTTTTATTCCTTCTTTCGTTGGTTTTTCACACTTTTTACGGTAAGTAAATCAATGAAAAATTGGTGCGCGTTTTTGTGTTTATTTTTTCATTAGAGATGACACTATCGACAACATGGCGGCACAACAACGATAGTTGTGAGCCAATAGGGATGTGATTCTATAAATGTATTAAAATAAATAATAATCGTATTTTAATGGGATTAGTTTTCTATTCTATAAACAGATTATTTCTTTATAAGTATTTGTTAGAATTTTAATCGATTTCGATTTTGAACTTTACTAAAATTAACAAAAAATATATGAGAAAATCTGATGATTTTAAAGTTTTTTTTAAATTAAATTAAATTTTTTACAAAAACATATCTATTATTAATATGTTAAAATATCTTTGAATAAAGGGAAAGCCCCTTTTAAGGAACCAGGAAACCCTTAACTCTTGTGCGTATGGTGGGCGTGGGAGTCCTATATATATATTTTATGGAGTGGGAGAGTTCTTTTAAAAAAGATATATCTATATATAGATTGATTTCTCTGCTTTCAATAAAGTGCATGTTCGTACCATACCTGGAATAAATCTGTTCCGCCGTCTGGCGGAGATCTTCCAGATATAAGTTTGTGATATAGGCTTTGTTTTTAAGTTACCCATAATATTGACTTGTATTTAAATATATTTAAGTCAATATGATGTATATGTACATTTAAATTGAATTGTTAAAAATGATATTTTTGTATTGTTGTTAAGAATGACTGTTAATTTTTAATCCAATATTTGTTAAATGAGCAATGCAAAACAATACATTATTTTGAAATTGCAATTGGAACACATATATTCAAAAATATTTCTTAAATATCGGGGGAAGTCTTTAATAAAAACAGCTTGGCTAAATAAGAGCCCAATAAAAGCCATTATTTATTAATTTTATTTGTATTTATTTACTTTGTGATTACTAAATTCTTAGAACTTTATTCAAAATCATCATCGATCGATCGGCCATACTCATGCTGCCGCGTAACTGATCCTTCCTCTAGCCGGGCGGGCGGCCATCATATCGTCTCTCGGTCTCGATCTCGATCTTATCATATATATTTTTGAAGTTTGACCTGATCTGATCTCTATTTCTTCCTCGTCATCCTTGCGGAAGTGTTCCTTGCTTCTGTTCTACACTTCATATCGTCGTCGTAATGCGCTTATCCGTGTGTTGTGTGTTATGCGTTCTTTTCTATGACTTACAAAGTACGTACATTATACATAAGTGTTATTATTAATTATTAATTATTATATTGTTGTTTTTGCCGTTTTGTTTGCTTTGTATACTCGTATATAAAAAAAGAATAATCGTACATATTTTAATTTAATTAATTAAAAACACAATTTGATTGCAAAAAGAAAGGTTTCTCTACAATACGTAATTAAATACGGATACGTCCTGATCGTTGGTATTGTTGCCGCCACCGCCACCGCCACCACCTCCTCCGCCCCCACCGCGATTCGAGGAGCCGGAGGATTTGTTGGAGCCATGAGCGGCAATGGTCAGCTGATTGGCCTGATGGATCACCGAGGTGATGTCGCTCTGCGACGCCGAGATGTCCTTGCTGGTGAGCACATCGCTGCTGCTCGATCCGGACGAGATGTGGCGCTCGGCGATGCCGTACTGGATCGGCTGATAGCCGTGACTTGGATTGTACGTGGCCGAGTATGGCATGTATATGGGCGGGTTTGGCAGCGGCCCGATGTCGCTGGTAATGCTTTCCGTGTCCGCATGGCTCAGCGCATGTCCGTGAGGGTGTGGATGCTGGTGTGGATGTAAATGGCCCGGACCGCGGTTCAGCAGATTCGGGTTGCGCTCCTCGTTAACCACGTAGTAGCACTGCTCCGAGAAGGTCAGCTTGTTGACCGTATGCTTGATGTAATTGCTCCTTAGCATCGCAGAGACAATCCGCCTGGCCTCTCTCCTATCCTGCACATCCTCCACATTTTCGAGCACCCAGTTGACGGCATCCGCACCGATGAAGGCATTGGGTATGGTGATCTTCAGCCACATTCGGTCCCGGATCTCCAGGCCGCTGTCCGGCTTCGTCATCGCCTTGACGATTTCCTCGAGGTTGTTCTGGTCCAGTCGCTCCTTAATCGGCTCCGACATGGCGTCGGCGATAATACTGTCGTGCGAGGTGAGCGCCTGGGTGTGTGCCACCCAGGCACCGGGATCAATCGGTCGCACCGGCTCCGTCCGTGGTATGGTAAAGTATCCCTTGGGATTGGGATCCCAGCATTTGGCCACCACCAGCTTAATGGGTCCTGGCTTCTGGACCACCTCGCGTAGCACCCTCACCGCCTCATCATTGGTCATGTTCTCGAAGTTCACATCGTTCACCTGCAATATCATGTCGCCGGGCTCAATCCGGCCATCCAGGGCGACGGCGCCGCCCTTCATGATGCTTCCCACATAGATGCCGCCGTCACCGCCGCGATTCGATTGGCCGACAATGGAGATGCCCAGAAAGTTGACCGCCTCCATGTTGATCGACACGGTGATAATGTTCAGAGACATCGTCGAGTCAGTGATGGAGCTGTACGAGGAGGTGCGCGACATGCTAGGCGCTCGTTTTTTGCGACGTTGCGGCTTCTTGCGCACTTGCAGTCGCTGGACGCTGCTGTAGTCGGTCATGTCCCGGTCGAGGGTTAGCTCCGATTCGGTGCCAAAGAGGCTGGTCGAGTCCAAATCGCTGGACAGCACCGATGCCGATTGATATGTGAGCGGTGGCGGCTGCATCAGCGGATTGCTCATAAGCTTCTGCTGTTGCTGCTGCTGCTGTTGGAGGTGGGGCTGCTGCTGGAGGTGCTGCTGCTGCTGTTGCTGAATGTGCTGCTGCTGCTGCTGCACCTGCTGTTGCTGCTGCTGTTGGCCAAGCTGGCCCTGCTTTCTGCCCATGGGCATGGGCATGGTCATGGGCATGCCCAGCTCGCACTCACTGGTGGGCAGCTCTGAGCAGTTGTCAGATTGATTGGTGCCATCGGCGGACACCAGCCAGGAGACGACCCGCCCATTGAAGCAGGGCAGAATGGTGGCATCGTCGGCAATCTCTTCCTTCACAACACCAAAGTCCGCGTCCATTGACTTGAAGAAGTACTTGTAATTGTTGTTCTGCTTGTTCAGCACCAGCTTGAAGTCGCGCAGCGTCACCTGGGCAGATGGTATGGGGATCTTCACCAGATACGGCGTCGTCTCATCGTCTATGTGATAGATGACCTTCGTCTCCTGTCCCCCACCACCGCCACCCCTGTCCGCGTCCATGGCGTCTCTGTGCTCAGTTGGGAAGTTGGGCCGCGCGCGATTTCCCTTCAATTAATCCGGAATAAAATGCAAAGTTTTTCTTCTTTCGAGTTTTCCTTTTTTCCGCCTCTCTTTCTCTTTCTCTCTCCTCTTGCGCTGTTGCTCTCTCGCTCTCGCACGCCGCCGCCTCTGCTTCGCGTTTTTTCCTTTTTTTGGGTTGGGTGTTTCGTTTTGTTAAATGGAAATGGAAACTAATGGAACAACAGCGACAGCTCCTGCTCCATCTGCTAGGAGCACTGGAGGCCCGGCCACACCACTGGCTAATTAGCTATACGGATTAGCTGGGCCGGATTAAATCGCAATTGATTGCACGGCGAAAGTTCAGACGAATGACAACAAAAAAACCCGAAATACTTAAGTGGGAGCAGGAAAAATTTGGTATATTCTTCAGACGGTCGTGGTGCGGTCATACCACCGCCGCACGGTCTTACTAATTGGCGTGGGGAAAATTAAATTCACCTAAATTTGCGGTGGTGAGAACTGAAGAAAAAACAGCAAAGTGAAAATACTAAAAATATACACATATCGATAACTTTTTGTTTTACTATACTTTGCCATTAAATTTATTAAATAAATGTTATTCTGGATAGCTTTTCTGTGTCAGTTGGTATTAGGTTAGCCGTTTAGTATACTACTTTATATATTAAAAAAAATTATTTTGAATTTTTACAAATTATTATCCTTTACAATAAATGTGCTTCCTTTATGTATTGACTTATTTTTTTTACATTGATGATAAAATTATAGAGATGTTTATTTTATAATCATTAATGTTTTTAACATGACCAATTTTTAATTGAATTTTGTTTTTACAATTTTTAACATATTTTTATCTAATTAAGTACGTAAGTATCTATGACCACTAAGTATCTATGATCAGTAGAAACCTATGATAAATACGTAAATAACTAAGTATCAATGACTAACTAACTAATGATCAGTATCAATGAACATTCGGAAATATCGGACGATTTATAGAACTATGATCAGTAATTACTTATGACCAGTAATCAATTATGATTAGTAAGTATCTACGACCATTAAGTATGTATGATCAGTCACTATTTTTGAACACTAATAAATAATGACTTGCAACTTTTGTAACACAACACATTTCTGAGACTTGGTTGGCAGCAGTCACTTCGATCCGGGGATGTTATAACTAGTTGAGAATCATAAGCACAGATGTGCGAGATTTGTTTTGAAAAAATATGAAGAGCAAGCTATTTAAATGAAACTATGGAGTTATTCCTTTATATAATTTTACTAGTATATAAATCGGAGCATGGCGAATCGGTGGACTATATATATACAAATATGTATATAGCTACCATAGGAACGATCGGAAAATTTAAAGAAAAGTATAACTTTTCCAGTTTTCAACGTATTTTTATTAAATTTTATATATAGGCATTGTATACTAATTAAGAATTTTGTGTAAAATGTTATAAAAATCGGACTACTATATCGTATAGCTTGCATACAAACAATCGTTAAAAATAGAGGAAAATTAAGGGCGAAAGCGAACTGAGTCTCCCCTCCCTCCTCAAATCGTTATCTTTTTTTAACCGAGATAACAAACATCATTTAATTTGCATCTATTTCAACTTCCGTTTCCATGTATTATTTATAGATTTTTTTGTGAGATTTGTTCTATTTAAAAAGCTCGTGCTGCTTTAATCAGTTTTTCTTTTATTTATTTATGTTTTAAATGGGGCCTTTTAAAATGTACACTTCGCTTAGACACTAATCTTCAAATCTTAAGCTTTAAACACAATATGTATGTATAATCCCGGTTATTATTACATGTTTAAATGAACCACGATTTAAATAATTAATTAACTGCCAGTTAAAAAAAAGGATAAGATATTTATAAATTTATTAATTTTCGAGGGGAAGGGTCTGTTCAAACATAATTAAATCAGAATAGACAGCGCTCGAAGCCTGCATCCTCCTCCTCCTCGTGTGTGATCTAGTCTTCGTTCGTGTCCACAATTCCGAAACGAATTTTAACGGCCGATTAAAATTAATTCTTACTGAGCACATACATACATATTAAACAGTATGTATGTGTGCATGCATATATGTATATGTCCGTTTGCTGTTTTTAAGATATTAGAATATATATATATATAAAGATAATTACGCTAGACTAAAATTTAAAACTAAGTTAATGGTTTTACAAAAAAAAAGAAGGTTGTAAACGTTTACAGTTTCCGTTTGTGGTTCTTGCTTACGCATAAAACCAATTGGTGTGTGTCCATATTTTTGTGTGTAGTATGTGTGTGTGTGTGGGGGGATGTGTATGTGAATTATTTTTTACAGTATGTACTACGATTCCTAATTGTCCTTTTACTTCACTTGGTGTTTACCATCTCCACCAGATTGCTATTGAGCGTCAGTCGATCGACAATGTCCAGCAATATCTCCACCTCCTTGACGGTGACAACCGATTCCGGGGCACCCAGCAGATTCACTTGTTTGCCATCGATGTTGGCATAGAAGCACTTGTTTTTGAAGATAATGGCGCGGTCGTAGGGCACACGAGACTTGGTCCTGTCCGCCGCCGTGCGACGAAATAGAACACACGACGGCTGGTACTTGTGACGATCCTCCTCGGGTATGTTGTAGGCATTCAGATCACCGGTGAATATGGTCATTGATTGGCGCTGCATTAGCGTGGGCGAGACCTTATACAGGGTCACCTTGCTGCTCCATTTGGAGGAGGGCACCTTGAGCCGAGAGGCCACATTAGCCAGCTTGACGAGCGCAAGCTCCAGGCAGGTGCGCTGCTGTCGTGCCGACGTGGGCGAATCCGTTGGCAAGTTGATCACATGCCACGTCTCATAGCATGTGATCTTCTTTACCAAGCGCCCCTCCTCCTCCGAGAAGATGGTTGTCTCCGGGGGAAAATATTTTTGCGGGCTGCTGAGGACCGTAGACGAGGGGCTGGACTGTTTTCCCGCGGTAGCAGTTGAGGCGGTGTCCTTCTTTGGCGACGCCTCTTCCTTGTCGCCCTGCTCCTGCTGATGGTTTTCCTTGCTGCGAAGCTGCGGACTTCCGCCGGGCTTCTTGAACACTGCCGGCTCATCGTGGTCATCGGTTAGCTTGGTTACTCTTTTCTCCGGTCGGACATTTGCCGTAGATGCTGTCGTGGCGAGCACTTTGCGCCGACTGGTGCTGCTGCTCCACTTGTTAGATGCTGCCGTGTTTCCTGTCTCTGCTGGTGCTGATCCTGGTGCCTGCCTAAGAGTGCGTCTGGTTACAATCGATGCGGGTGGCTCATCGAGATCGAGGTCGAGGTCCAAGTCCAGGTCTGGATCGGGATCATCCTCCTCAGTGTCCACGTCCGTGGGGCACAGCTCCTTGCCCATGCTCATTAGTGGCTTCATCGGCTGAGTCTTCTTGCCCATCTCTGCGTTGAGTATGCGCGGCCGGGGCTTGGATGCCACAGTTGCCGTCTGGCTGGCAGCTCTTGGCTTGGTGGCGCTTCCGCTGCTGTTGCTATTGCTATTGCTTGCCAGGATCTTTAATCGCTTAGCCGCCTGAATGCTGCTGCTGTTCGATACCGTCGTCGATTTCTCCATGCTCGACAACTTCTTTTCTAATGCCGCTCCGATTGTGCTGCTGGTGGAAAGGATGTCTTTAATCCTAAGCCTACCCTTGGCAAGTTTTTTGCTAGCACCGCCTGCTCTGGCGGCTGCCGCAGCAAGAGCAGTGTTGGCTCTGCTGATCAGCACATCGTCCTGATTCATAATGTCATCGATGTTGACTATGGTGAATGTGGCCTCAGACTCTTCTTTCGGTGAAGCTTCGCTTGCAGTTGCTGTGCCTGATCCACCACCGGTTCCGCCTCTTGTGGAGCGTGTGCTGGAATTCGTAGCATTCGGTATGGTTGTTGTGGGCGTGGCGGGATTAACCTTGAAGACTGCACCGGCCGACCGCTGTGGTTGCATTCTCGACGTGTTGCTGGCACCGCCCACCTTGGACCTTGAGATGGGCGTTGTACTCCTCTTCGTGACGCCATTAATCACTGGCACACTGCGTTGGCCGCTGCCACCAGCCGAGGAAATAACCAGACGCTTGCGAGCAACGGGACTTTCACTTTCACTAGCCTCCAGCTTCCGTTTCGCTCCGACTCCTCCTCCTCCATCTGCCATCATGCTGGCATTATTCCGGGCCAATGTCCCGGTCAAGGTGCGACGCAGCTGCTGCATAGTGGTAGCGGGTGCGGTGCGTCCCTGTCCCGAGTTTACTTCCAATTTGTGAAACACTCGGTTTGAAGCGGCGCCAGTGGAGGCAGCGGCAGCCGCAGAGCTGGGCGTCTTCACATTATTGTTCTTCGGTGGACGTCCACGTCCGCGCTTCGCCACCGGCAGCTTCTCGAGACGCAACTCCTGCTCAAACTCCCCGTCACTGATAAACTCCTCATCGTCGTCCTCGTCGGACTTGTGCAATTGCGGATTGAATGCGGCATCAGCCAGTTCATCGTCATTGTCCTCGTCCAAATCCAACAGATCGTTTATTTCGGCGTACGACGGCTTCGCCTGTGACCGGTGGCGTGATGCGCTAGAGACGGGTGTGCTTTCGCCGGCCAGGGATGCCATATACTTGGGCGTGACCAAATCCTCGCTAGCGTACTTTGGATTCGGCTTGATCGAGCGCCTGGAGCGGCTGGCCGCAATGGTGGGCGGCGGACTACTGGGCGTCATATGCTTGGCAACCGCCTGCTTATACATCTTCGGAGTGGCATGCGTCTCCGTTTGGGTGCCGCGTCGCAAACCGATGCCCGTCAACTTTTGGTGAGAATTACCCATCACCAAAGTGCTTCGTCTTTTTGCCATGACGGTGGCGGGCGTCGTCGCTGTCGTAGCCCTGGTGGCCTTTGGGGGCGGGGGACTTTCGACGGCTGCTGCCGGAGATTTGGCGGCTACTGATTGCCGCGTTCGAGCTAATGGCTTCTTCTGGATTGCTACTGCCTCGGAACGACCGGCGCGACGCGGTGTCTCTCGCAGCGTCTGTTCCCGCTTCTGCTGGAGCTGCAGCTCCCGCGTATCTTTCTTTCTCAGTCTGCCGCCGGCGGGCTCTGCCTCCTCACGCAGATTCTTCAAGTAGACGATGCAAGGACGTGTCTTTCCGCTTTCAGCTCCTAGTTTTTTCCCAGCTCGCATCTTTCATGGAGTTAGCCTGCAGCGGAAACCGAAAGAAGACAAAACAAAATAGATCGTTATAATCTGTGACCATATATGAAGACAGTGGGCATTGGCGGCTATGGAAAGATGCAGCATACATACAAACATGGCACCATTTAAACCAACTTAACCTCTTCAAGCTATACTTTGCAAAAGTAATTAATCCATTTGATTTACTCAGAATCAATAATTACTGTATTATTTAATTCAAGACGTTCTTAGTGTTTTGATTTAAGGTTTTGCTCTGCCATGTTCACTGTATTTAAATGGATGCACGTATGTATGTGTGTACCCTTAGCTCTGGCAACTCTGGCGCCTATTTTCGTCACTTTTTCGCGCGCCAGTCGAGCACATACGTATAAATATATATATTTATATATACATACATACGTATGTATGGCGGAGCAACAACTGAAAACACGAAGAATCGGCAGATATATCGGCCATATCCAATCTACGACCACTTCACTTACCTTAGCTAAAATAGCTTTACATTTTCTCGGGCGTTTGAGTTTTCACTATTAATGGGATTCTTTTTGCCAAGCACTTTCACAACGCGCTCTCTTTTACGCTCGTTCGCTCTCTGCCTGCGCTTTTGCAATGCCCGCACACTGCCGTTTAATATTTCCTGCTGCGTTCAGAGGGCTGCAATCAGACTATGCTTGCAATTTGCAACTGATATCCACGATACTTCCTTTTCTATTAGCGCGCGGACAAATGCCTTTTGAAGATTACAAAAAATCGGAAAGATGCACAACTGCAGAGGCTGAAAAGTGGTGGCACCAATTGATGGAGAGCCGACAACCAGGTGGCAACCCAGCGACGGCGATGTTTTTCTACCCAACTGTACCACACACACACACTCGCCAATGGCCCTGTGTTTTGTTGGTTTTTTCCACTGTTTTCGGGTTTTGCCTCGTTAATATTGCACTTTAACGCTTAGCCTGGCACTGTTTGCGGCTGTTATTTATATGAATTAGGCGTCAGTTAATGCTTTTCACTAAAATTTAGATTAGGCTTCGCGCGCTCCAAATTGCTTGCTCTTGGGTAAAACTGAAACTGTGCGGAGCGGAGAGCAGAGAGCGGCGATTAGTGTTGGGCAGCGTAGAGTCAAAAAATACCAAATTGATGTTACATTGGTCACACTGGGGCTTCAACCCTCTGCCCCCTGCAGAAAATAAATTAAGATTTTTCTTTAATATGAACAAGTCTGACTGTGATTTGGTTTTATTTTACATTAACAACAATTGGTTGGCCTACTTCCTAACCGCCGATGGCTGCGGGCAGCGGTATTTGGCCATCTCCACCTCCGCTTCGGCGTAGCTAAAACGGTTAAAGCAGTAGTACTCTGGGACCTTATATTCCCCAGATACGGAGGCACCGGGTCCCACCGGTCCAGAGTTGGGCTTCACGCAATTGCTGGTCAGTCCTGTGACGGATGGTGTGCTTCCTGATCCGGATGCTGGTGCACTGGCTCCGCGGCTGGCGCTGCTGCTGCTGCCGCTGGACACGGGTCCGCCCTTGATCTGGGTATAGCAGCGGCTCAGGGCCGGACGAAGGGCTCGTGAGGGGGAGAACATCCTGGGCTGGATATTATTTGGAGCAATTTAATTCGCTTTGCAAAAATTATTCACGTAATCGTATCAACAATATACCAGTGCTGAGCAACGCTAAAAGTCCGATTATGAGCCGATAATCTGGCAATGCGTTAATTAAGTCCGCGTTGCCACAGGGCTGGTAAATTTAATTACTATCTTAAGGACCCGAATGGCTTATTTAATTTGTTCTCAATAATTATGCTTAAACGAGTAGCTTTCTTTCAGACTTTACCCAAAAAATAAGGATTTAATTGCTCTAAATTGTTCATTAATTATTTTCATACATTTTAGGATAAATACCCAATTCTTGAATGGCCACACTGCATCGATTATATTGTTTTGTATTTTAAAATTGATTTAAATTATTAAAATAAACCATCATAGATGTTTGTTAATAAGCAAATCAACACAAAATCCATGCCAAATACAAATTTCAATGATATTTGCATTCTAAAATGTTGGACATTGTCACCTGAATATAAATACAATAAGCACTATTCATGAGGTTTAACTAAATTAGGTTTATTTGTAAAATCACTTCCGTGGCACAATCTACTTTCTCGCCTTGAACTTCGGCTGCGCCTTTCCGTAGTGCTGGTCGATGGCGGAGACGGGAGCCCGCTTCTTTTGGTTGCGATCCTTCTGTGTTTTGGTCCGGCACTTGACGCTAGCGGCACCGGCTTGGTTTTTGCCCAGCTGGTGGAACTTCTTGCGCTCCTCGCGGATGTTATGTAGTCGCTGGCGCTCATCCTTTAGCTCCTTGTAGTTCCGCTCCGGCTTCTTCAATGGTTTAGCGCCCAGCTTGGCCAGCTGGAACATCTCCATTTTACGCTTGTTCTTGATGACGCGCTGATTCTTAGTGGCAAAGTTTAGGACCTCGTGGCGTGCCTTCTTTATGTCGAACTCCGGATTCAACTCCATTCCAGCTTCCTTGATCTTGTGGGCTGTCCTTGTTTGTGATCCCTCCTGGACTAGCGGCTTCGATTCCCTTTTCGATTTCGGTTGATATTGTGGTTCCTGGAACACCAAAGCCTTAAAATCGCTGCTGGCCTGTTGTTTCTTCTGTAACGCCAGTGCTGCCTTGGTTGGCACTGGCTTAAAGTCCTCGCTGACGTTCATTATCCGATTCGGGGTAAATATCCCTTTATGTATTAATTTTAAAATGTAAATAAACGCAATCAAAATAAATGACACGTGTATGAAAATGTGCTAAATTAGCCGGAGCGCTTTTTCGTTCTTGAAAATGTGGCAGCGCCGTGGCACTTTTTGTGCGAATGAATGTCGATTAGGCGCTCAATTTCTAACAAGGATTTGACTCTACATACTTAAGTTTATATTTATTTTCGATACATGGCAATATAAGTCAAATCATAGTTTTATGAGCCTGATTTCCATCTGTTTGTTTTACAATTATTCCATAAATTGTTAGTAAAGCCGCAAAATGTTCAAGTATTTGGCGGGAATCTTTGCCAATCCGGAAAACAACTACGTGGACGGACGCTGGGCTACAACTTTCACACCCATTAGCCCCATCAAGAAGGTGCCCGCGGGCAGCCATCCACACCAGTGCGCCCAGATGAAGCGATCGCAGAAGGCCACCCGACCACCTCCAAGAACACCCAGGTTTCAACAAGTGCAGGATCCCGTCACCTACATTGTCAATGTGTTTGAATCCTCCTCTTCCTCGAGCGATGAGCAGGAATCGACAATGCCCGAGCTGCCTCTAACGATTAGGTGTGATTCCAAAATAAATCCTTCCCTGGAGAATCATTTGGAGTGTCTGCGTAGCTTCCTGCAGACCCAGATACCTGGTGCTCCGCCGGCCAGTCGCGAACAGAGTACGATAAGCCTAAATGCTGATTCCGCCCATGAGGATGGTGCTACCAATTGTGAACAACTCCCATACGCTACGGAAGAGTTTTTGTGCTGCCAGGAATCTAAAACCCATGACTGGGAGTTGGCATGGTTACCAGAGGAGTTTTGGTCAAGTGACACGGTTGCACGAGTTTATAATTAATTTTAGCTTTCAAATAAATAAAGGTTTACCGAATCAATAAACTTTTAAATTCGATTGTCAACAGTCGATATTTGATAATTATCGATGGCTGTAAACAACTTACGTGGCCAACGATACGTCTGGCACCACTGCGCGCGGAGGCGAAAAAAAAAAAAACAATTCCTGTTCGTGTTTTATCCCCGAAAAATAAATGCAGCTGGAAGGCCCATAGCAAATCATCAGATAAGACGATAAAAGGGCACAGCGAACGGACAATGGCCAGGAATGCAGGCGGCAGCTCCTCTAGCGCGGCACAGTCTTCGTCAGCCGGCTCGGCGCAAGCAGCAGCGGCGGCGGCTGCAGCAGCGGCAGCGGCTTCGAATGCCAAACAGAAACGCAGCACAAGATTCAGCCTCTCCTCGAACCTGATGCTGGACAAGTGGAAGACGCTCATTGGCTGCATGTGCCTATGTATCGCCTCGTACTTCGGCTACTTGGGATATTTAGAGACGCGGGTGAATACGCCATTCGACCATCAGAAAATGGTGGTGCAGTCGGGTTTGGATCAGCTGGATCGGTACTGGGGTACCTATAGGCCGCTCAACTACTTCGGGATGAAGACTCGAGATCCTCATTCGCTGGTCATGGGCTTAATGTGGTATACGCCCAGCAATCTGGGTCCTGGCGGCCAGGGCATACGGCACTGGTGCGAGCAAGGCGACAAGCTGGACTCTTATGGCTGGACGCACCACGATGGGCGCAGCTTTGGGGTCCAGGAGATCCAGGACTTGCCCTTTGAGCTGAAGACGTCCTTTGTCAAGTATCCGGAGGGCAAGCAGTATGGCGGCGATTGGACGGCCAGGATTTCGGTGCGGAACACAACGCGGGCCTGGGACAAGAGCATCTCGTTAATCTGGTATGTGGCCCTCGACGAGCGCACCAATGGCCATATAAAGTACGTCTCGGACGACAAGAGCCCCGAGCCGGGTGTCTACGGTGAGACGCAGGGCCTGGGCGAGTTCCAAGTGAGATTCCATGCAGTCAAAGGCAAGATCCTGCACAAATCCTACCTTAGCACTGTGGCCCCATCGCTGGGCAAGCTCAAGGACACACTCTTTTCGCACTTTCGCGCCTTCGCCGACAAGCGAGGAAATCGTTTTATAGGACTGCCCGGCGAAATAGTCTCCCAGAACGGTCTGCCCTCCAACAATCCGGAACCAAACTTTATAGCCATACAGATCACAGCGGAGGTGGATTTTACGCTGGACATAACCTATCAGTCGACGTCAGGCTTCTCCCTGGGGCAATCGATACCGAAACCACCGACGGGCAGGGCCTACCAGGAATCGCTGCAGTCCAAGATATCTGAGTTCGAGAGGCGCTTCGAGGATCGTTTTCAGCTAAAGAAGAAGGGCCACTCACCGGACGAGGTGCGTTTCGCCCGGAATGCTATGAGCAACATGCTGGGCGGCATTGGATACTTCTACGGCTCCAGCCGTGTGCAATCGGTGCATACTAAGAGCCCGGTGCCATATTGGAAGGCTCCGCTATACACCGCTGTGCCGTCACGGAGCTTCTTTCCTCGGGGCTTTGTCTGGGATGAGGGCTTCCATGGCCTGTTGATCAGCGCCTGGGACATAGACATCGAGCTTGACATTCTGTGCCATTGGTTTGATCTCCTAAACGTGGAGGGATGGATACCCAGAGAGCAAATCCTGGGCGTGGAAGCGCTGGCAAAGGTTCCCGAGGAGTTTGTTACCCAACGGAACAGCAATGCCAATCCGCCAACGTTTTTCCTCACCCTAAGGAAGCTTCTCACTAGCCATCGGGCTGAATTGTCGCAGAACGGAAGACTGGCCACGCTGGAGCGACTGTATCCCAGGATGCAGGCCTGGTTCAACTGGTACAACACCACGCAGAAGGGTAAGAGCTAATCGACGGTCCTCCTCCGATCTATGTAACTTTTAACACCATCTTCACTTTAGGGGAAGTGCTGGGCACCTACCTGTGGCGCGGCCGGAATGCCACCACAACGCGTGAGCTGAACCCCAAGAGTCTGTCCTCCGGCCTCGACGACTATCCACGAGCCTCGCATCCCACGGAAAGAGAGCGGCACGTGGATCTCCGCTGCTGGATTGCTCTGGCGGCCAGTGTCATGGCAGAGTTGTCCACTATTCTGGGCAAGGACGATGTGAAGTACTATGAGACGGCTTCCTTTCTGACCAACAATGAGGAACTCAACCGGTTGCACTTGGCGCCATATAGTGAACAGTACGCGGACTGGGGACTGCACACTGATCAGGTAAAGCTGAAGAGACCGCCGGCCTTGACACCACAGCAGCAACATCGCCAGCAGCACCACCAGTATCAGCAGCAGCCAGAGATGAAGCGGGTGACGCTGGAGGAGCCCACCTACCAGTTTGTGGACAGCTCCTTCGGCTATGTGAGTCTCTTTCCGCTGCTGTTGGAGCAGCTGGAGCACGATTCACCGTACTTAACGAAGCTTCTGCATGATCTCCGGGATCCAGAGCAACTGTGGACTAACTTTGGCTTGCGTTCGCTGTCCAAACGATCACCGCTCTACATGAAGAGGAACACCGAGCATGATCCACCGTATTGGCGCGGTCCCATCTGGATAAATATCAACTATTTGGCAGCAAAGGCCCTGCATCATTATGGCAGGATCGAGGGGCCGAATGCGGCGCTGGCGCGTGAAATCTACGTCGAGCTGCGCGACAATCTGGTGGGCAACATCTTTAGGCAGTATCAACGCAGTGGCTACCTGTGGGAGCAGTATGACGATACCACTGGCGAGGGTAAGGGCTGTAATCCATTCACCGGCTGGACAGCATCCGTCGTACTCCTGATGGCCGAGCAGTTCTAAACCTTGGATCTGGATCCCAAAAAAATATCTGCTGTGAGTTCCTCAACGAACATGAACATCCCTGCCTCGGATTCCTGAAATGATATATACAATATATATCTATATATATTTGTGCAGGCTGGATGGGTTGTCTTTAGTCTTTAAAAACTTTTAACATGCTTAACAATGAACGTATATTAAGATATATACGAGACAAACTACAAAATATAGCTTACGTTTCCGTTTTAATATGCATTTAGATGAACTTGCCAGAGAGCTGCTCTTTCGCTTGGAGTTGTAATTGAATAGTCTAACGAGAACACTCAACAGAAGCTCAAATCGAGGGATTTTCCAAAGAGTAATGCTTAATTCACGACTTTCCCTCATCTCCACTGCTGTGTTACTTAAGAAACTCCATACCAATGAAGCTATCTACGATTTGTTGTGCGAAGAAAAGGCACCCATCCTGATTGTAGACTAACAATAATTGTATGTAATTCCTTAGAGGCGATTCGAGGCGTGGCCAGCCAGTCTGAGTTGCTGCTGCATAAACCTAAGAAATTTTTGACAAAGCAAAACGAGTGTGAAAGGGTTAAGAAAACGGAAAGTCATTTAGCGTTAAATAGATGAATTTTAAAAATATAACAAATAAATATATATGAAGATACAATAAAGGTTTTCTTATTTATAACTACCTTTTTGCACAGTTCCAGATCCAGTAAGACTTCTTCGGGATATCCAGTTCATCCATCCGGCCGCCACGCACCCTCGCAACTGATTGAGGTAGGTCCCAGAATGGTGCCTCTATTTATACTCCCAGACTGGGAGAGCTGAGAGCCAGAGAAATTCTGAGATAGAGAGAGATGCAGAGAGGGAGAGTTAGAGAAATATAGAGAAAGAGAGGGGCCTAGAGAAAGAGAGAGAGGGAGAAAGCCAGCGGCAGAGGCAAATACAGGGGGATATCGTGAGATAGTGAAACACTCACTTGATTGAGGAGGAACTATTGAGGGATTTAAATATATACTCAAATTCAAATTCATACTCCTCCTATGGCACGTTCCCAATAAAAATTATTGGATTAAAAACCATTAAACCATTAGACCTTTTTTAATTTGTATTTCTTTCAACATTTTTATTTCTCTTTTTAATTGGTGGTAATTCCTGTTTTAATCTTTATAATTAGCGAACATGAAGTACTCCAATATTATTGCTATATATTATACATATATTTTTTTATACACGATTTTTCTTAACTATATAGTACACACAATCGCACACACAGACAAACAGACAGACAGCCACACGCACACACAGAGGCAGAAATATGTACTTTTTAGCTTGTTTTTTGTTTGTTTCATAAAAAAGGTACAAAAATGAGATATATTTATTTATATATAGATGCACGATATACACTTAATGCAAAACTAATTATATATAATTGTTTAATGCGACTAACAAGAAAAAGAATAAAGGGAGCGATTAAAAAAAGTATTTAAGGTATTTCTTTTTGTTATAAAAATTAAAAAATAATAAAATGAGTTTAAGGTAGAAATAATTTCTTTGTTCGGTGTTCTTTATTTTTGTTTGACTTCAGTCTGGAAGTGTGGAAAGAGGGGTGTGGTGGGTTGGGGCGGGTTTTTAGTGAAGTTTTTTGTTTGTCTTCATTTTTAAAGCTAATTAAAAGTTTATACGATCTACGTGTAGATTTGTACACTTTAAAGTGTATCAGCGTACGTGTCCAGGATTTTATTGAACTTGAACGATAGGGATTAAGTTATAACATTACAAAAAAAAAGTATATTAACGAAGGTGTAAACATTTACAAATTCAATTAAAAAAAATAGATGCATGATCTACAGAGATATATGGTTATATGTAAGTATACATATATGGCGCTGCCTATATACACACTATGAAGTACACATGGGAACCAAAGTCTTTATATGGCCAAAAACCAAAGTCAATCTGTTAATCTCTCTATATACTCTATATGGAAATGGGATTAACTAAGGATAGCATCTAGATATAGATCTAGATCTCTGTTCTTCGATTGTTCACTACTCATCCTTATCCTTGACGACGCCCCTTGAGCGCCTAAAGGAAGGCAGACGATCAAGTAGAGCCATCAAAATGCTGCCGGGCAGTCTCTGGTGCTTATTGATCAAATCCTCAATGGCGGTGGCCACCTAAAGTTGAAAAAAATAATAATTTTAACTATATAGTTGCTATTATTTGTTTGAGGTAAATTCAACTCACCTTAACCTGCAGATCCTGCGCCGTTAGGTTCTCGTCGTACGGTATCGGTTTGCCCAAATATGTGCGAAACTTGACGGGGAATCCACCATAGATGGGATACACCGGTATGCGCACTTTGTTGTACAGCCGCATAAAGAAGGTGCGGAAGATGCCCACCTGCCGGAAGCCCTCTCTCAGGTTCTGTGTGAAGCAGGGTATTATGGGTGCCTTGGCCTCGAGAGCCACCTTGGCGAAACCGACCCGATTGCGCCACAGCAGCTCGTAGTAATGATCCCCAAATTGGGCTTCATAAACGCCACCCGGTGAGATGGCCAATAGATTGCCATCACGTAAAATGCTCACGCAGGACTGCACGGTGCCGGGACTGACGTGAAAGGCCTCCGAAATGGTACCCCAACCGGGCAACTTAAACAGAAACCGATCCCCAATCGTATAGATCAAACGCTCGCGTTGCAGCAGCATCCTTGAGTTCAAATAGTACATATCGATGGGTATGGCTCCATGATAATAGACAATCAACGCGGGACCCTCCTGCGGTATGTTCTCCAGCCCGATCACCTCGTAGCCATGATAAATCCGGGCGTGTGCATCCCAAATGGCAGCAACAATCTTGCGGCCCACCCGCCAAAAGTTGCGATCCGTTTGGACAGCTCGCATGATGACCTGTCTGTGGGGGGAAAAGCAAATGAGACATTAAACATAATTAGATAAAGTTTTAAAAAGATGTACATCAGAGGTGCGTAAGCCCTGACGATGAGGGCTTCTAGGCCTCGCTAGGAGGTAAAGGAAGTTCATTTCCCTAGACATAGACATCCAAAAACTGTCCCGAAAATACTTTAAATATTTTTTGAACTTGAGTCGAAAGCACAAAAAATGTGAGTTTGATAGGTCATTTTCAGGTTTTTGCTTTGGCTCCCTAATTAATTGCTAAAATCTAAACAAATGGAAAACACTGATAATTTGTGTTTAAATTTAGTTAGTTGGCTGTCATCCGCAGGTGTTATCAGTGTGTTAAATTGGTCATGTCTCCCTATGCATATCAAAGAACTTATAAATCAATATGCACACACATACGGAGATCGGGCCTCTCACCTTGAAAGAAACTGCGTTTAGTGGGGGAACTGATAACAGGGTTCATTCACAAATCTTCTGGCGGTCCCTTGGCGACCAAAACAAAGTCGGGGACAGGAGTTATAAATAAAATAAATAAATAAATAAAAAGACTGAAATGAGCCATAATGTTCCAGAATATCAACTAATCCCAACAGAAGCCCAATTTAATCTTTTATGAAACAAAAAACCCACAATAGTCTGATACTTTCATATAGATTCATTCAGCTACTGAAATACTCTCTATTTACCAAGTACTTTAAAGTTTAAACTGTAAGCAAAGATCATGGAGGATTATCATATTGAGCTTATCAACCCCCCGCGTCGCGGCATATGGCAATGTCAAGGTTGCTTCTTGGCTATATTGTAACTATTTCATGACTTGATAATTGCTAGTCGTTTATCAAGAAATAGCAACATTTTTTGAGTGTGTTTCATAAAGAGAACTGAGCTATTTGTATTTATTTTTAGTTGTTCCTGTTGCAGTCTAGCGTCGTTCATTCTGTTGCCAATAAAAAAGTGTAAGAGTACTATAATGTGCGAACTGAGGGGATTATATGGGTTTCGGTTCAGTTAATTGCATTCAGAGCCCCCGCCCGCTTTGGCTTTTTATGGATTTATAATTCCTGTGATTACGCCAGTGACCATGAACTGATAATAGGCAACCATCCATAAGTAATGCGTATGATGACGCTATCGCAGCAAAAGTAATAGCAAAAACAAAAGCAATATCGAAGGAGGAATGTTTGAATGTTTCATGGCGTGTTTTGGTTCTCTGATTTACTTTTCATTTCGCCTGCTTATCGAACTGTATTTTTTGTTGTTTTCTTTTTATCTTGTACTCGCAAACAGCTTCAATCTGTGCACTGCACAAAAAATATTATTATTATTTATAAATATAGTATTTTTTATATAATTATATATTATAGAATTTGATTATTATGCCAAACAATTAACTAACAACAAAATTGGTTCAAATCTATTTCCTATTTATTAATTATTTACTTTTCAATCAAATCATTTTCCCGGTGCACAAATTCTCTGGGAAGTACGGAACATCGTTAGCTATTATAGTTAGAGCCATTAGGGCCAATAACTAGTAGACAGTGACTAGTGGCGGGAGTAGAGCTTTTCAGTTAATTAGCATGGCCAACCGGTCGCGTATTAGAGAGTTTAGGAATAGAAAATAAATAAAGGCTTGTGTGTGTGTGGATGTAAGGTAGACAAGTAAAAGTTGGCAATGTTGTTCACCTGCTGAACAGCCTCTGTCGGCGCTCTACCGCTGTCGCCAGCGCAATTGATGGTGCAATGGTCAAGTGTGTAGCAGCGTTCTTACATGTTTTGGTGCTGTAACCATAAAAATGGGTAGAAACCCATTAAAAATCTACTTTGTATCTTTTTTTGTGGCTTTTTTTCGGCTCTACAGCGCCAAAGAAAGCTTCTCTTTCAGTCTCCCCATCCTTTTTAATTACAGGCTAGAGAGGGAGAGAGAGAGAGTTGAAGGAGAACGCCGGCTGAGGAAAAGCAGTGGGGGCGGGTGAAAGACTCGCGAGAGAGAGAGAGAGGAGAGGGTGACCGAAAAATGCTCGATCAGCATGGGAGAGTTCATTTACCGTTGGTTTGGGCAAAACGCCGAGTGCAATTATTCCCATTTTATTCTTTTCCATATTCCCTTGTCTTTCCAATTGCCGCGTGTTTTGCTTTTGCTTACCTGTGCAACTTGTAGATGAAGAGGACGAGGAACGAAATGTAGATGAGGGCCACGAAGACCAGTGGTAGCAGAAAGGTGACGATTAGCGGGGTCAAGAAACGATAAAGCCATAGTGAATAATCCAGATCGATGTAGGAGGCTAGAAGAAGCACCAAAGAAGAACAAAGTAATATCAACCAGAATAAGACTTACAAAATTTCACAATTTCACATTATTTTTACTCACACAACAGACTCTGCAGTGTTTTAAATAAGTTCTCCAGGAATTCCATTTTGTAGGGGCTAGGAGGGGAAGGGGGGCCTTTTTCGATATTCCTTCACTTGATTTTTGGACTGTGTTCAGGTTTCATTGGTTATTCTTGTGCACACACAACAACAAAATACAGAAAAAAATGAATCGCTTTGGCCTGATTTTCACTTGAAGCTTTACTTTCTTTCCTTCTCTTTTGCGCTTCTTGCATGAATTCTTGTTGCTCTTTTGCTTCCTATTTTGTGGTTTGTTTTTGTTTTTGCTTATTTAAATTGGAATTCAGGTGCTTCTGTGTGTGAATCCGTGTGCCGAGTTGTCGTTGCCGTTGCTGCAGTTTTTGTCTTGTTTTATTTACTGAACATTTAATATTTTTACCGCTTTGCGTTGATCTAATTTACTGCATATAACTTCAGATTGGTGCATTGTTATTGCCCTTTGTTGTTGTTTGTATCGGTGCGGAATGTAAACATTAGCGAGGCGCGCCAGTCGACAAAAAACACAACCGCCGCCGTTCACAGTCAGCTACATAGTGCGCGCCGCGTCGGTTAGGTTAATAATACTACGAAGTTATCTTATTGTTCTTTTATTTCATTTTGTTTCGGTTTTTTTTTCGCTCGTTCGGCTCACATTCCTGGCACCTGGCAACGCCGGCTCAGCTGTTCGCAGGTAGGCTGGTGCTGCCAGCTGTTTGTGACGAAAGAGATGAAACTTCTACGCAACAAATAATTTTCAATACTGAATGCGGCCTGTTTACACAATAGCAATTATTATTTCCTTGTTGAGATGCCCTGGGCTATAAATAATGTGAATGCTGAAACAGTTGCGCCTACTGTGTTAAAACACCATCTCTTGGATTTAATCAATCTGGCATCGATGGATGATGCCAAAGTGCCGATTTCTATAATAATTCACTGTGGTCACACTTTCGTTTCGAAATGTCAAGCATTTTGTGAGCATTTTTCATTTTCCTTTTCAATTGGCACTTCCTTGCCGTTCTCCATTAAAAATGGGTGAGTTTATTTAAACTAAATGTTACTAGCATTACTCCAACTAATAAATATGTGTATTGTTCAGAGAATTTAAAGGTCCAAGAGGAAATCAAAGAGTTGAAGGCCTTAGGCCAGCACTACGAAAAACAGTTGAAGCTGGCGGGCATCGATCTCAGCGACTTTTCCGAGGATGACATGGCGCTACTTGATAATTGCGTTGACTTGGCTGCAGATTCACATATCCATGCCTTGCGCTTGAACTATTTGCGCAATTTTTACTGTGCCAAGAAGATGGATAGCATCGAGAACAAGCTAACCAAGGCAAAGCGACAGATAGAACTGAGGAAAGTGATGTCGGACATTGACAAAGCAGCTCGGGATGTAGCCGTTCTGGAACGGTAAATGGAGATAACTGAACTTCTCTCCTCTGTGAATAAACTGTATTTATATCCCATTTCAGTTATAAGTCTGCCGCCGAGGCTCGTTTGATTCCGGAAAGCGAGGTTTTGCAGAAAACTAACGCCCTGCTTGCTACCAAACAGGGCTTATTGGACAGGCAGAAGGGCTTTGATACACCGAAGGAGTTAAGCATTGAAGGCATCATCAATAAAGTGGACTCGCTGGATAGGCGCTAGTGAAGTCCTCTGGTCAACTTGTTACACTGCATTTACTCAAACAAACACTTAACAGAAATGGCTGCAAATTTCATAGCTATCTGGAATTTGCAACAAAGGATCTTGATCATTATTGAAAACACAACAAATCAATGAAGGGCATAACAAAACAAAAAATAAATATAACCCAAGTAATTAGCGATGGAACATTCTCTTTCATTTCATTTGGTCAGCATTAAGACATTTGTATCGATATTACATTGCGTGCCCAAAAGCACACTTTGAAATCAAAAAAACGTTTCCATCGATTTGTTATCGATTCGAAGTCAGCTGGCAATCCAAGAAACTAAAAACAAAAAGAAAACATAAATATAATCAAAACAAGCAAAAAGTAAGCGACTGGTGAAATAAATTAAAAGACGCAAGTCTTTTGCATAACACGAAATTAACATTGTCGAATCTCCCAAATAGGTTACACCGCCCTCAGCTCCCGCAATCGCAGCCGAAAACCAGCAATTTAGATTAGCAGGGCGTTTATTTTATAAACAACGGATAAGACTGTGTATCAGCACTGGTATTATTATTATTATTGTGGTGATAAAAGAAACAACAGCGGAGCGACAAAGAGACTACTGACTGACCTGTCATTGATTAAGCCCTCCATTTTTGTTTTGTTTCGTAGTCCACAGTTCTTCGTCGTCTTTCAAGCCGTTCGCAACCGTTGGAGCGTCTTCCCTTTCTCGTCGCCACAATGTGCGTGATATTCTTCTGTGCAGACGCCAGCCCGCAGCCAGGTGGCTACAAGCTGATCCTGGCCTCCAATCGGGATGAGTTCTTTGCCCGGGCCACACAAACGGCAGCCAAGTGGGCCAATGCCGGTCATGTCTACGGGGGTGAGTGGATCATTTTCTCTCTTTGGAAGCATTAATAACATACATATATTCTTTTGTCAGGCATTGATCTGGAGCCAGGACGGGAGGGCGGCACTTGGCTGGCGATTGGCCATTCCGGCGGCGTCTTCAAGGTGGGCGCTTTGCTCAATTTGACCGGCGAGCCCAAGCCTCGCGATGCAGTTGGTAAAACCACCCATTATCCATTCAAATCATTCCTTACTAACAACCTCCTCGTTCGCTCTCATATTTGGCCTCAACTAACTAAAAAACGTTCACGAAATGGGACACAAAACCGACTTTCTTTCTTCTGTTTGAAGCGCACAAGAACATTTTGCAGCCGCATAATCACAACAACAGCAACAACTGCAACCCCACCAGCTCCTCCACTACCTCTTACTCCTTCTCCAGCAACAACAACAACAGCCATTTGAGTAAGGTTCATCCGTCTAATGAGCATTTCTTACTAGGTCGCGGCATGATCGTGGCGGACTTTGTTACGGAATCTGACGAGGATCACAACATCCTGAGCTACAATCAAAGGCTACTCAAGGACTGCACCAAATACAGTGCCTTCAATTTTGTGTCCATCGAAATTGGGTAAGATTTGTTCTATATACCCACCCAAAACATACATATAAAATTGATTTTATTAAAGCAATCATACGATTTTGATCGATTGGCTTTCGAGTGAGCCATAAATTGTCCAAATTGCGTGCAATATATTTAATTATAAAGATACGGAACGAAGGGAGTGCTTTCCGGTACGACTCTCCTATCTCGTTCTTGCTCCCTTTTTAATGTTTTGCTGTAATGTACAAAGAGTGCAGCTTGTATTAAAATATTAGATATTATAATATCACTAGAGCTTTTAATATCTTGTTCATTTTCCCCACACAGACCATCTTCTGTCCAGCCCACCGCCCGCGTCCAGCTTCTGAGTAATGTACCGCCTACACTGGAGGAGTACCACAATGGCAAGTGTTATGGGTTCGGCAACAGTCTGCCGCACACACCCTTCGCCAAGGTGCAACACGGCCAGGCGGAGTTCGAGACGATCGTTAAAGAGCATGGTGGAGCCAGTGTGGACACCATCACCGAGCATTTGATGAAGCTGCTCAAGAACTCACACAAATTCTGGCCGGATCCGGAGCTCAAGAGGCGGGCACCCAACTGGGGCGAGGGTCTGAGTGCCCTCAATGTTCACATCAGTGATCATGCCTATGGCAGCCGAACCCACACCGTGATCCTGGTAGACAGCGACAACAAAATGCATTTCATAGAGGAAACAATGACAGGGTTGGATCCCAAAGGCGAGTGGCGGAAAACGCACATTACTAAGGATTTTTAAAATCTTTAAATTGGGAACTGCAATGTCTGAGAAATATCAGGAATATTTATACAACTAAACTGTATTTGTGACGCTGGCATTTTGCGATTAAATCGTTCATAATAAATAGTCATAGATACTTTAGTTTTTAAAAAGAAATATACAAATTCTATATCTGAATATATCAAATTTTCTTTTAAGGTAGTATATCTTTGTTATCTTCGTTAAAAGACGCAATCGTAATTGTTTTCTTTTCATTTTTAATACATCACTGCGTCGTCTTCATTAATTATACAATATTTGTTTATATATATATATTTAAGCAAGGTAACAGGGGTGGGGAAGTATTCATCCAACGTCTTGCCAGCTTCAGTCATTAGCTTATCATCCGGCTTATTATCTCTATAGCTTTATGATCCAGTTAGTTGGAAGGCCAATGATTCCCCCAGATCTCCAGCCTATTTGTATTTCTTGGACACACGGCCGCCGCCACCTCCGTTTGTCTCGGCGCCTGCTCCACGCAGAACGCTCTTGAATTTTCTCGAGTTCATTGAACGTTTCCTGAGAAGAGATTATAATGAGATTAGATAGAACAAGAACATTTTACAAGTAAGACTATAAAAACGGATAGTGTGATTAGAAAGACCCACCTCTTGTTAAGCGTATTCCTGGTGAGCGGTATGTAAGCATATGGATCCAATTGGCCCCGTTTCTTCATATCGCCCTTGGCCTTTTTGCTGGTATATTCATTGCCGGCTGTTCGGTTGACGGATTTGCCCGATTTTCCTGACTTCATGGACATGGCATCAGTGTTTCCAGCTCCTCCCAGCTGTCGATGAATACCCTTGCCACCACCGGCGGCAGTGTAACGACTACTGGCTGTTGTCTTTCCGGATTTCATGCTCAACGCATCGCTGGCCTTGCGCTTTCGCTTAGCACCCGCACCCACTGATTGATGTTGCAGTTCCTCCTCATCGCTGGAATCCTCCTCCATGCCACGCTTGGCCTTTGGCTCTTTAGAATCGTCCTCCATTGATGCGTCGTCGGAATCATCCGAGGAGTCGGAGTCGCCACCGCCCTGGCCGCGCAGCGCCTTGTCGCTGATGATCAGGCGGCCATCGTCGGCCGTCTTAAAGCCACCATTGGGCAACTGAGGTTTCTGTTTGAGGCTCTTGGCGGCGGCCACCGTTTGAGCAGCAGAGCCACTGGCTGCAAAATGGAGAGATTAATTGGGAGTAGAGAATAATCCAGCTTTCGAACTTACTCAGCACATTGCCAATGGACTTGAGATCGGCCAGATCGACAATCTCGTCGGGTTCCTCGCGAATGTAGGTGCTCTTCTTAGGCTGCTTAGTTTTGTTGCGTCGTTTGCCAGCCCCGCTGCCCTCTGCATCCTCCGCATCCATTTCGTCCTCGGGCAGATCCGAGTCCGAATCAGCCAGAATATCATCAATGCTGTAGGAAGAATATATAAATTCAATATAATCGATTGATTGATTCTCCCTACGGTGCTTATCGAGAGGATAAGTAATATATATAGAGCTCCATATCAAACCTTAAATTGATATTTCCATCCCTAATCCCAAATTTCAAGCTCAATTCCTACTTACGTATAGCTCTTCTGCTCTAGATTGCCACCGACGAGCTCCTCATCGGAGCTATCCGCCTGGGCTTCCTCGTTCAGCTTCTTGCGCGTATCCCGACGCATCTGTTTGCGTATCTTCTTGAGCCGCCGATGGGTGATCTCATCATCACCAGGCACGAAGCGTGCCAGTTCTTCGGTGGTGAAACGCTTGCAGAGCTTCTTGAGGAAATAACCAATCTGAATGCGACAATACCGCTTCGTATCCTTGGTCATGGCGGACAAGGAGCGCATCTATCAGGGAAAAATATATACATAAGGTTAAATTCAATTTTAATTTTCAGTTGAAAGAACTTACAATCGTCTCCATATGATTAGACACCAGGGGTATGGGCATCACCTTGATGTAGGTGATCAGAAAGGCAACGGCTGCCTCCGATTGATTGCGTGACTTTTGGACCAGGAACACTGAGACCTGCTGCAACACAAACTCTAAGGTGGCCACAGTTAGGTGTTGACCCTGCTGCTGGATGACGGCTCTAAATGCCAGGATTGTGTTCGTCACCAGGGATTCGTCGCCGGTAAATCCAGCCGTTAAAATATCAACGAAATCATTAATTTGGCCCGCATCCTGATACAGTTGGGCAATGAATTTAATTAACTGCTCAGCCACCGACTCCTTGCGTGTGCTGAAGTCCTTGTAATTGAGTACGGCTTCGGGAATGGCCTTCGTCACCAGCTGATCGTTGTAAGCTAGATTATTGCGACAATCCATTAGGGATTTGAGGCAGCTAAAAAAAGCTTTATGTAGAATATATATATGAAAAATATATCCCATAGCTAAACTCACTACAAACGCGAGGCCTGGCACACGCTACAGCTGGTGTTGAATGCGTCCTGGAGGATTTGCTGCAGGACTTGGCTATTCTTTCGGGTAAACTTCTGGCAGGACGCCTGATCCGAGGTCATAAGCTCGCGCAGGAGTCTGAAAAATGGGAAAGATTAACCAACTTAATTTAAATTTATTGAAGAAACACTTACTCATAGGTCTTCCTCTGTTGCTTCTTCAGCTTCTGCTCATCCTTGGCCACCAGCTTGGACTTGTCGTTCCTCAGAATGGGTGCCATGTACTTCTCGAAGTACGCCTCGATGTTGCGGCACTTTTGCACCCGCACAATGGCGGCATTAATATCAAACAAAGCATCGTACTCGAAGCTAGCCACCGCACTCGACGCCAACTGGCCCTGGGCGGTCTCGAAGAGCTGCAGCTGAACATCCGTGGGCGAGCGCGAGATGTACAAACGTATTACATCTAGGGCGCGCTTCCTCTGGTCCGCCTCATAAGTGCCATTCGGCTTTTGGGTGTAAATGTTAAACAGGCGGGGCAGAAAGTTTTTGGCATACATGCCAATAGCCTGATGACACTCCCGGCTCTGGCTCTCGTCAAGCAGCTCCATCAGTCCATCATATATGGGCGCCCTCAGTTCGGGATTCTTTTCGAGGGCAGCGCCCAAAGTGGGAGCCAAGTGCCGCAGATATTCGGGATCCCTGGGCTGACGACAGAAGCCGGGAAACAGGCCCCACAGCTGGCAACACAGCAGCTCGTAAATGTGCGCCGAGGTGGGAGATGATTTGTCCTGCCACTTCACCTGACAGTCCAACGCCAGGGGCATTATCTTCTCTTTGAAGAATTGTAGGCTGGCGCCATTGGCACCCTCGCGAAGCAGTGGTAAGAGCCAGGTGCGTTCCATTTGCATGCCGCCGCTCTTGGGATCCGCCAAGGGTATCGCTGTGAGCACTAGCTCCGGACCCAAAGCCTTAATGGCACTGATAAGCGTATGCTCGATCTGGAGACGATTACTGCTCTGGGTGTCGTAGCGCTTGGCAATGGTCAGCAGGGATGGGGTTAGCTCCTTGCTGCAAAGATTGTGGTTAGTTAATTCGTATCTCTCGCTCTGTCTCCCTCTAATCCAAGCTAGAAACTCACCCAAATTGCTTGCCACACGCCTCAAAGACAATGGAGAAGATGAGGATTACATATTTGGAGATCTCACCGAATGGGGCATTCAGAACCTTATGCATTGACTCTATTATCCTCGCAACATTTGGGCGATTCCGCTGCACAGCCTCTGGATCCGTTGAGCTACAGGCCGTGGCCACACAGTCCTGAAGCAGCTCCTTGATACAATTCGAGACGCCGACGACCAGTTCTGTGCGATCTGATAGCCACAAGTCCGTGGTGCAAACATCAACGAGACGCGGCAGAGCCTGCATGCACAAGTCCAGCTGCAATGCGGCCAAATGGAGGTGACCCTCCTTCAAGACCGTAATCCAGGCCAGCATCTGACGGACATCGCTTCGATCCGGACGATACTCATGGATGGCGGCCAAGAGCTTGGCACACAGCGATGCATTCAGGTTGGGGCTGCGGGTCAGGAAGAGAGCGTGCAGCACTTGAAAGCAGTTTGTACGCACGAGGACGTTGGCTGCCGTCATAATGGATAGCAGATGCTCGCACACATTGCGTATATCCTCTGTCCGGAAGCCAGATAGTGTGTCCTTCAGCAGGGCCAGTGTGTACAGCACCGTGGTCTGAGCATTGGCCAGCACCTCGGGCTTGAATTGGGCGAGACAGAATTTGGTCACGCGGCTGCTCGCCGGATGGTGCTTCACCTTGGGTTGCTCCTGATCCTTCTTCTCCGATAAATCCTCTTCATCTGCGTTGGCTTTCACTGGCGGCAGCATGAAACAACTGCCATGGATAATGGACACCACTGCATGCTGGGCTGCTTTGCGTATCTTGGGCTTGGAGTGAATGCTGAATGCCAGCAAGGCATCGAAGTACTGGAAAGTGGAACTATACGTCCATGTGGCATATTCCTGGGCACGCAGAAGCACTGAGAGGCAGCCAACGATCTGGAAATAGGTAAAGTTAGACACAAAAATGTTGAGGGTCTTCCTAAGAACTCACATAACGCATGACAGACTGATTGCTGGTCTCAATAAATCGCTGGAGCAATGCCTGCAGCGTGGCAGCGGTCTGGCCGAAACGCCGTCGTAACACGGGCGCCGGCACAGACTTAATGCCCATGGATAGCAAAGATACACCCGCTATAATGTCACGCTCCTCCTGCGCCGCCTCGATCTGTTCCATGAGCAGCAGGAAGTACTCTGTGGAGGTTTCGCCGCCGCCCTTCTCTCGGATTATTTCGGTTAGGGCACTGAGTATTGCCAGCATTTCCTTGTGCAGATCGGATGAGGCACGGAAGCCGGTGAGGAGTTTCTTAAAGCTCATGTTGCTGCAGCTGGTGTAGTTTGAAGCGAAGGTCTTGAAGGTCTGAGCGGTGCCGGAGGGCGCTGTTCCCGTACCGGACATTCCTTCGTCGTCGTCATCGTTCAGATTGAAGCTCATTAGGCTGCCGGCCACATCGTTGACGGTTGTGGTTTCCGCATTGTAGGCCTGTCGCTGCTCGTGCTTATGCACCGCCTCCATTGTAAGGCCAGTGGGCGTAGCAGCCGCTAAATGAGTTTGACAGATATTGGCCACAATACAAAACAATAGTTAAAATAAAGTAACCCACCTAGGCTCAGATTGGGCTGAAAGAAGCGTGATTTCGCCTTCAGGCGGTGCTTCATCTGGTCGGGATTGGAAACGGCCGACTGGCCCTTGCTCCATGTCTTGCCCTTGCCATGGCGCTTCAGTTTTGATCGGAATTTGCCCATGATCCACGCGAGAAAGGCTCAAAATAAAGAACGCAACAATTTTGTCCAAAACAACACGGGAATCCAACACGTGCGCGGTTAGAGCTGGCAAAAACGGCTATCGATAGGTCATCTGGACTTATCGCTAATCGTTTTGTTCACCTGCTGTAACAGCTGATTCTTACTTTTATATCGCCTATCGAGAGCCATTTGTGTGTGGCTTCAGCTGAGTGGTGCTTTTGTGTGCGTGAGAGTCAAAAGTCGAGGAAATCTAAAAGTAAATGCAATTATTTTCACGCAAAACAAAGAGGCGCGGGCGTCGGAAAACAAGGCGGAAAGTAACGAGGCAGAAAAAGAACCGAGACGACCAGACACACACATCCGGCAGATCATCACCGGCAGTATCGCACCCATAATAGAAGCAGAAGCGTCTGGCAGAACGATGACGAGCCGCCAGCGAACGGTTATAATATTTAAATCCGAGTCGGACAGCAGTGATGTTTACGCGGAAACGCTGGAAAAGCACGACTTCAATCCGGTGTTCATCCCAACTCTGAGTTTTGGCTTCAAAAACCTGGAGCAGCTGCGCGCCAAGCTTCAGACGCCGGACAAGTATGCCGGCATAATATTTACCTCGCCGCGCTGCGTGGAGGCTGTGGGGGAGTCCCTGAATCTCGGGGAACTGCACGGCGGATGGAAGCTCTTGCATAACTATGCCGTGGGCGAGGTAACCCACAATCTGGCCCTGAGCACCTTGGACCAGCTATTCACGCACGGGAAACAGACGGGTAATGCGCGGGCTCTTGGCGACTTCATTGTGGACACCTTCGATGGATCCCGGGATCTGCCGCTGCTCCTGCCTTGCGGCAACCTTGCCACGGACACACTGCTCTCCAAGCTTGCGGAAAATGGCTTCTCCCTTGACGCATGCGAGGTGTACGAGACGCGGTGTCATCCCGAGCTGGGACCAAATGTGGAACGAGCCCTTGCCACCTATGGCGAGTCCCTGGAGTTCCTGGCCTTTTTCTCACCGTCGGGCGTCAACTGTGCCCAAGAGTACTTCAAGGCGCACAACCAATCGATGGACAAATGGAAGCTGGTGGCCATTGGACCCAGCACCAGGCGGGCCCTGGAATCGCAGGGCCTAAAGGTCTACTGCACCGCCGAGCGGCCAACAGTGGAGCATCTGGTGAAGGTACTGCTCAATCCACAGGACAGCAGAGAGCGGCTGCTGAAGGAGCGTGAAAGGATGGCGGCCCTGGAGAATAACAATTAAGCAGAAATCGTAACCCTAAGTCTGTAGAGAACCCGGAGAATCATAAGTGGACATTGCACTCTCCTTTAGCAAGAAGCCTAGACTTAAGGGCTTTAGGTTTACATATAAGCTGCAGTCTTGAGATTTTGTAGTGACAGAAGTGCCCGGAATATGGCCATAGCCAATTGGAGCACACTTTTAGACACCTTTTAAACCATAGCGATTTCTATATTCATAAAATAGTGTTTATAGTCCCGAAAACGATAGAAATTTTCAAATTTTAAACACCTAATTTATAAAATTTAATTTATATGCTCACTGTATGGAGAGTGCACTATGCATATTTACTTTAAAACTATCAAATTAGAGTTCCGAGATAGGAGAATCCCAAAAAGACAGAAAAATAGGAAAACTAAAAGACTAAACTAAACTATATTTATTTTTTTATTTTGTATTGACCTCCGAACGAGAGTACAAAATTAGCGGGCATCAAATGCCGGGCGACGTTTTCGATCAAGCTGAATAAAATTGTTTCTAATTTTAGTCGGTGGTCTTCTTTGTGGGTCAAATGGGAGGGTTGGCATGGCATATAATCAAACTAAATTACATTTATTTATTTAATTATTTTGCACCTAAATTTCATTTTATTAAGTTAAAGCTTAAAAAATAAAAGCCAGATTTATATTTCCATTTATTTAAAAAATAAGGAAGTTGTTATAGTTTTAAGTTTATATTTTTATTCCAATAAGTTGTTTTCTTTGCGAAAGTACACAGAAAGTTTAAAAATGTTAAGTTCGATTTCCTCTTGACATGTTATCGCTATTCGATACTCGATCGTTCAGAATTCCAAACAAATTTCGATATTTGAAAAATACCAAAAACGAATACATTCGCACTCACCACTAAAGTATCGATAAAAAGCTGTCAGCATTTTCTTTCGCTCTATTTTGTTTCGTTCGGTTCGCTCTTTTTTTGCGTTTATTTGATTTCGTTTCCTTTGAAAAAACCACAAAGGACGTTAAAAGCTGCAAAAACAAGTGGACAAGCAACTAGACATTATCGGATTGGACCTTAAACACGGAGGAAAAACGTAAGTTCAAGGAAATTCCATCGCACTAGCGAAAAAGCAAAAAAGCGCAACAAGCCGCACATACAGTCATACGCTCTCACACACATACTAGCGCACGCCGGCAAAAGTTGAGCGTTGAACGTCTTTTTTTTGTCGCCCGCTTTTTTATTCGTGTTTCGTTTTCACAGCGACGAACTGCCTTTTTTTTTATACGTGTGTGCCGCTAAAAGGAAGAAAACGAGAAATAATTTTTACGAGAATATAAATTCTTAACATTTGCTGGCGACGAAAAAAACGGAGAGCCGTATGTGTGTGCGTGAGTTTTGCGAGTTTTTGTTATTTACATATAATTTTACTTAATTTTGGAGAATAATTTCATCGATATTGTTGCTTAAGTGACAAGAATATAAGGAATAGTAAATGTGTGTAGGAAAGAATATAAAAACTCAAACGAAACGCAAAGAAGAAAGCAAAGGCTGAAATACCGGTATGTGGCGGCATTTATGTGTTTGTGTGAAAGACAGAGAGAGAGAGAGAGAGAGGCTGGAGTGTGAGTCATTAACCGGCATTTAAAAATAAAGTTAAAATAAGCAGATTTCACAAAAGTGAATATAATAAATACTGCAAATTAAGGCAATATTTTAAAGAAGTTCTCTCTCCTATGTTCTCTTTCTTTTACTCAAACACACACACACACGTGCAGTAGTTGGAAGCCAAACCAAAAAGTCGGTTAGTTAATTTGGCGTAAGAGCGAGACAAAGCTAGGGCTTTTTGAGTGAATTTTTACATTTTCGGCAGCTGCTCATAAATCACAAATACCGTTTGTTTGTGTGTGAGTGAAGCGTGTGAAAATTGCAGCAGCCACTCCAACCACCGTTTTTCCTAAGTTTTCCCTTACCACCTTTTACCTTTTGCCGTCATTCCTCTCCTTTCCTTTTCTTCCCATTTCTGTCTTTGTGTCTCGTAAGTCGCTCACTTCCGTCTTTGTCAAATGTCTTCCCCCCCACCTCTATCTCTCTTTCTCCTATTGCTCATTAGCATGAAGTCGCTTTTTCCAGTTAGAACATATCGCGCTTCCAGTTGGAAGATGTGTGGCGATGGGTGCGTGACGCTGTTTTTTTTCTTACCAGATCAACTGGCGATCGGAGATGCGTCTGACCATTCGGCGGGAAAAAGCTAAAAGTCAGATATTTCTTTAATATTTTATTTTACAATAACTGTAATCAATAGATCTGAACAAAACCTTTGGTAGAGTATAAATATTTGCAAGTAAGCTATAAATATTGACCCCACACTTGCGGCCAAGATAATGAGTACACAAACTTTGATGCCTTATACATTTTCTTATGCACATTTTTTTATACAGTTCACTTAATTTTTATTTATTTACAAATAATTTTGTACTATCTTGTTTTCAAAAGCTACATCATCTCTAACTTGGTATTTATGACCAATATATCTCATCACTGTCAACTTTTCTGACGGCCCGTTTTTAATACGGGTTCGAAGAGCTGTTAGAGTTTCAAGTTACTTTAGTTCCCTCTTCGTACATATATTATTATTTATTATTATTGAACCGAGCATTTTCAGGCGCTTTTTTCAGCCTGTTGCTGGCCCGGCTATATTCTTTTGTGATTTGTCATGCATTGTCAAAGTCCCACTATGTACATTATATATCTACTGTGAGTCAACAGATATAGTCTGATCTGTGGCACAGCGGAGATACCCCTGAAAATTAAAGAATTCCATATAGGAATCTTGAATCTTAAATCCAGTTGCAGTGTATATATATTTATTTCCTATAATAATTCAATTATTCATTTTATTTAATATGTTTTTACTTCTAAATTTAGTGAGGTTAATATATGATTTTAATAATTTAAATTTGAATTTTTGATTACATAAATTTAATTCTGAAGTTGAAGCAATTATTTTCTAGTAGTAAGTAGCAGAGTAATGATATATTGTTCTCAGTGTGCTTTGGTCCGCTCTTTATCTGCATCCAGCTTTAGCTGTGCCCCTCCATTCCACTTCTTTCACACATTCCCTGGCCAATTTTTAACGGTTTTGTTTGGCACTGAGAAAGCGACAAAGTTGTCAGCTTCTTCATTTCTCAAATGAATGCCGTTCAATAAGCTGAAACAAGTTGCTTGGAATTGATCGAGTCCAACGATTGGCTATAGAAATTAGCATTAGACTTTTTGATGAACTATGGGAGTACCCTGTTGTGTGTAGAAATATCCAATTAACTGACTTATTCATTTATAAAAATTTAAGAATGGATGTTGGATTTGTGAGACTTTTAATTTCAAAAGCTGTTATTTTGTTAGAATTACATTTTTGAATTGAATTTATTTACAGTGATTTATGTACAGCCCACGCCGAGTACTTTCTTTCTCTTGAGACACACTCACATAAAGGTCACGAACCTTGATGTCTTGAGTTCGTTTTTATTTGAACACTGCAACGAAAGCAATGACAGCTTTAACTCTCTCTATAAAATCTTGAAGAACCTATATACCATGGATGCACCCATTATCGCATCTGGAATAACTAGGCTAGCGCGCTTCTTGCTCGCACCAAACGGGGCATCGCCATTGACGACGGATGCTGTACGCCTTTTTATTTACACATCTCGCTCTTGATCCCTCTCTTGCTCGTTCTCTCTCAGTCTCCTCTCTGGTATATATCTTTGCACTTGGACTGGTTATTTGGCCATTCATTATTTGATTTATGGCCTGGAAAATGGTCAGCTACAGTGAAATGTGCCCACTCATCCTCTTTCTCCAATGCTGCTAGCTCAATTAGCACATTTCTATGTAGATATACATATGCTTAGATAAATATATATGTATTCCCGGCTTGACTGGAAACGTATGATGTGGTCAGTGGTTTGCATATCTTTTGAGATGCGCTCACCCAAAAAACAAAAAAAATTAAGATGAGAGATGCGAGAGAGAATATAAAACCAGTTTCTTCGTGTCCGTGTTGCCATTTTGCGCGAGATTTGCGTGGCCGGCAACTTGGAGTCTTCTCCTCCATCCTCTTGGCTTTATTGCTCCATCTTTCGCCTTCTCTGGCATACCCCAAAAGTCCTCGGAAACAGTAAAAGAATATATGGGGCAGGTAAAACAAAGTGCTGAAACCTGGAGATGGTATCGTGAGGATTAAGTTAAAGATCGACCAATAAATCAAGGCACGACTTTGGAATAAATTTCTTCAATATAAGCCAAGGCTAAAGACTTCTAAATTGAATTAAAAAATAAATCGACTACTTGGTGAAGATTTAGATTTTTATACCCTTACAGGGAATTATAATCTTAGTCCGAAGCATTAAACGCAGTGAAGGAATCATTTCCGACCCCATCAATCATATATAGTCTTTATCAGCATCAACAGCCAAGTCGATCTAGCCCTGTCCGAATGAAAAGAAAATTTAAAAAATTTTTTCAAAATTCTATAGGGGTTACATTGTTAAAATTCTTTTTAAATTTAAAAAAAATTTCAATTTTTCTAGATTTTAAATTAAGTATGCAGATTTGTTAACCTGATAAAAACTAGTAAAAAACCGTTTTCTGATTGGAAATTAATGCATTTTTTCCAAAGTTATGATCGATTTTAACTGCGAGGATATAGTTATTTCGAGTTCCGAAATTAACTTCCTTTCTTGTTCATTTTATAATTCAAAGAATATATCATATACCCACTCATCAACACCTTATTTTGTTTTATGAAAATAATAAATAAAAAACATAATACTTAAACTTAAAAATCTGGTAATACAGCAGCTTTTAAAGTTTAATTTATGCATTTTAAGTTAGAGATCTACGTTTAAAGTTTGTTCCCATCCCCAATCGCACCCACGATGTTGTCCGGCTATGCTTGTTTTTTACAGTTTTTGTTTTTCGTATTTTTTTGTGGGGGAATTGAAATTGGGAATGGCTTTTGGCCGTGTTTTTTGTTTTATTTTCTGACATTGAATACACAAAATTTGCAGCGAACAAGCAACAAAGGCAAAATGCGCGCGGAGAGGCACCTAAAAGCGACTGACGTCATGGCTGCGTCTGTTTGCCGCCCCGAAAGCGTGTTCGTTATATTGTATTTTGTATTTATTTATTCACGAAAAAGAAAAACAGAACGAATGGCGAACACCCAATGCTATTCGAAGTACAGTGATCGCTCGGAAAATGAGAGGCGAATGAAAGTCGGTGTCCTGGTATAAAAGGATGCTCTTTTGTTTTCCTAAAAATTACATTGATTTTGGATTGTTTTTGTGATAGCTAGCAGTCTTAGTTACTTAAATGCATAAATGCATTTGCATAAATATTTAAAATATAATATTATATTTTAAAAGATATTTCAAATACTCTTTGGGGTTTCAAAACCCCCTCACTGACTACGAACTCGAATTTAAGCAATTAAAAAGAAAGGAACTCCCTCTCTGGAGCTCTCTTTCACTGCTGTCTTTCTCCAA